GGCTGTTCTGGCTGTTCTGGCTGTTCTGGCTGTTCTGGCTGTTCTGGCTGTTCTGGCTGTTCTGGCTGTTCTGGCTGTTCTGGCTGCTCTGGCTGTTCCGGCTCAGGTGACGGGGTCTTACGCTTAGGCGAAGCCGGAGGGCTTGGGACAGCGTGACGAGAAGCCGCAAGGTCATTCTTCTTGGGCGGCTCCTCCGTTGCAGGTTTCGGCTGATCAATCGTGAAGGGTATAAATTCAGCCACTGAAGGCTTGAAGGTGAATGTCTTCTTCGATCCGAACAGCGCGGTCCTCCAGTCCTTCTTCGGGGGCGGTCCCTTGGGAGCCTCCTGCTGTTGTGGTGGTGGTGCAGGGGCAGCTGCGGCGTCAGGTTCCTGCTTAGTTGATGTTGCCGTGTCGGGTTCCCGTTTCGGTGGCTCCGGCGCGGCAGTTGCTGCCTCTTCCTTGGTACCAGAAGGAGCCCAAGTGGAAGCCTCACTGACGGGAGTGTCCTTGCGCTCCTCAGGCTTGCCAAGCTGAGCCGACAGAGGCAATGTGCCCGTGGGAGCTGCGTTCTCTTTGCCCTCGGCCGCCACATGAGGGCCGTGAGGAATCTGAGATCGCTGGGCATTGGACTCCGTTAGAGCATGACCCGGGCTGAATGGAGCCTCCTCATCAGAAGGCGCATCACCGCGACGGGCACGTTTATGGCGGTCTGAAGCCTTTCCGCTCGGGGCCTTCTCATCCCTGTCTCTTTTCTCGGGCGTACTATCATCAGGGCGGATAATGGGAATTGCCTTCGACGACTTCTTGCCAGATTTTGCAGCCTGTGAAACATCATGTTCGTCGAAGATCTTGGTTCTATTGGCGGCCGGTGGCTGCTCGGAACCGGCAGAATAGACGCTAGCGGCTGGGTTGAAGACAGGTGCCGCAACATTGAAGGAGGGTGATCCGAAATTGAATTCACCGGATCCATGGTTAGCTATACGATGCGAGCCACTTGCGGAAAAGGGAGCTGGGGGCGCATCGAACGAGTTGACTGAAGGCTTGAATCCCGGTCCTGAGCCGAAAGTGAACATATCCTGACCGGCATTGGGAAACTGGAAAGAGTTACTCTGGAAGGGGAAATGTTGTGTGGCCGTCGAAGCGTTCGGATCGAATTCCTTGGCGTCTACATTCAAAGTAGAGGATGACAGCTTCGAGCGGTGACCGGGATACGAGCCACCGCTGGGTTTGGCCGAGTGCCAGGGAATGTGATGCCCCAGTGGTCCATGTCTGCGAGGTGTTCCAGAGAGACTCGGATTCGTATCGATATCGGATCCCTCTTGGACATTGTTGCCGGAATACTCTCCACCGTAGAATTGATGCACATGCTGAGGGAGATGCTGGAGATCACGGTTATCGTTCTCTGGCAGGGCCCATTGAGGGTGCATCAATCCCGGGGCGACGAAGTTGTGAGCCGGCTCGTGGTCACCCTCCTCCAATTGCCTCTCAATTGACTCCTCCAAATGATAGTCGGACTGGGCGATCTGATCAAGTCCCTTCTGGAGCGTTTCGCTCAGGTTGTGACCACGGCTATGGCCGCGAGGCGTAGGCTGAGCGATCTCCACTGTCGAGGCGTGGAAGTTGTCCAAATTTTCTGTAGGAGTGTGAACAGGACGCAGAAGGTGGCCTTCCATGGCATTATTGTCTTGTTGAAACTGATGATCCATGTGTGGTTCGTGGAATGCGCTGTTTTGCAGCTCCGGCTGTTCGTTCAATCCTGGGTGGAAAGCCCCCGGGCCATTCATCGGTGATACAGGTGACAAAATAGACGTAAGGTCCGGGAGAGTGCCCGGAAGACCAGGGTTATTCGGATGACGGGCGTTGAAGAAGCCCTGAGGGGTAAGTGAGCCCTGTGCAGGAGGCGTATTATGGAACGGAACATGATATCCAGGCAAGAGATTTTGGTCGACGCCCAAGAATGGTGTTTGAACGCCGAAATGCGATACGGGGGATGCCAAGCTACCAATGCCATTGCTGTTGTTTGCGGACTGGTTGAAGTGAGGAGAGAACGGGTTCGGTCCGGACAATGGGTTGCTGGCTGCTGATGCCGTCGGTATCGGTGGTGACGGGCCCATCCCGGGGAATGGAGCCATCTGGCTCATGGCCGGCGATACAGATGGCTGCATTTCCTCCTCGCCGAGAGAGACTCCCAGCGCTCGCAGCTTCTCCTCCTGAAGGGCCCGAACGTACGAGTCCCAGACATCCCTGTTCGGAAAGTTGACGGTATAACTCCCCGTCTTCAATTCTTCTACATCTTCCGGCGCGTCTGGGAAAGACGGACGACTTAGTCCGCCTAATTCGGTGACCTCTGAGCTGTCTTCTGGTGCACCGACATCAAACCCGCGGACGCTGTAACCCTTCTCTTCGAAGTTTTTTAGCCTCTGTTCAACGTCCTCCGTACTTAATAAGCGATAGCCGGATTCTTCGGTGCCTCGTTTGTCTCCCGGTGGAAGTCCAATGATACAAGCCTTGCCGCGCCAAATAATCTTCTTTCTCACTCTCGGCACGGGTGTTGAGGTATTCCTGCTTGTCGACACTTTATTCTGTGCAACTTTCGGTTCGGAGCCTTCTGCAGGCGTGGCTGCAGCGTTGTCTTCTTTTCCGGCATCGGTAGGAGGCGGGGGGAGTGGCTTTTCGCTCGGAGACGGTACCTGGGTGGGCTCCGGTTGGGATGTCGGGGGCTGACCCTCCTTTGTGTCGGCCATGGTGATGGGGTTGGGATCCTTGTCGTAGGCGAAGCCCCAAAAGTCTTCTTGCCGTAGTGTATCGGCTCTCCGGTGAAGGTAATCCTTCGTGCGTTGACGCCCGAGACTGTTTTCCCCGTGGGTCGCAATCGTCCTCCTCTTGACAAAGTCGGCGAGCGTCGGGGTCTTTAAGACGTCTTCGTCACGGGTGTCCTGTTCTAGAGCAAGCCAATCGTCGGACGGGTCGTCTGCGAAATTATTCTGGGCCGTGAAGAACGAGGGAGCCTCGCTACCCGAGTCGTCGCTGAGCCAGTTACTGCGTTCGGTCCTGGGCTGACCCGAGAGATATTGGTTGATCCAATCCTGAGTGAAGTCTTTGATGGACTTTCCTCCTTTCCTGCCTAACAGATCACGCCGCGGCGAGCGATTGAGTGTCGTATCACCACCGTGCAATTGCGTGGTCGAGCTCTCCGGGGCTGAGGGTCTCAGAAATTCGGTATGGTTTGCTTCGGAGCCGTGGTAGAAACCACTGCGCATGGAGGCCCGGGAACTGATGCCCGAACCACGATCGATGCCAGCGGATTGACTCAATGACCACGAAAGCCTCCGAGGGCTGGGTGCAGCATACGGTGAGCCCCAGGCGGTGGTGTAGTAGATGCTGCTCTCCGCTCTTTTATTCTCCGGGGACGAAGTCGACGAATCCCACGCGCCTTGATATTTCGACACAGTCCGGATGGAATTCGGCGGATGGGAAGAGGTGACGCTCCGGGTCCGGTAGGAACCAGCGGCCGAACGATTCGACGCTCCGGGGGATGTGGACGATGAGATCAACGGAGCAGCCAAGTATGAATCGTCACGTAGGCGGGATGGGTCTCTGGAATGCGGCGGCGGAGAATGCGCCGAATTGGCGGAGGGTACGGACGGACCTAGATCTAAAGACACTTGAGAATTTAGTCCAAGCTCGGATTGCCGGCTTTTAGGGGAGACCGGTAATATGAATCCAATTGTCTAGAATAAAAAACAATATTGCTCTGGAAATGGGATGGGGAGATTGGGAAGATTGATGCCGTCGGGGAAGTTAAAGAACCAAAGAGACACACACCTTCCGTCTCGACTGCTGCAGCAAGCACTTGCTTGCTGCTCTCCTTATCGTCCAGAATGTTGAAGCATGGAAATCAAAACCGCAGATATGGAATCCACCTCGCAAATTCAGCCTCTGATCGGCACACGAAAGAGGATGCAGGGAAACCGAAAAGAAGGGGGAGGGGAGGAAGGAGAGGGCGGTGTCTCGACTCGGATTGTTCAGGAAGAAAAAAAAAAGATAGCGGAAATTTAGTGTTCCTCAGGGGAGAGGGGTGCTAAAGAAAAAGAAAAAAAAAAGAACCCCAATCAGATTTCAGAAAATACAAACAAAAAATCCAGAAGCAGTGACGACAGGAAGGAAACGAACAACAGATCAGAGATACCTAGGGTATGCGGAAAACTTGGACATGGCGCATACGCGGAGGACAGCTGGATCGAGGTTGGACGATGCAGAAAGGAATCGAGACTAGGTGTAGGGGGAAAGGGAAAAGGGAAAGGGTAAACGGGGAAAAAAAAAAAGAAGAATTGAAAATTGTCTAATTAGTCTTAGATCGTGGCACGATCTGCCAGCAACAAGTCCGCAAGTGAACGTACCGGAGGAAAGGTCGAAAAGGCGTTGGGGAGGGAAAGTCAAATGCTGGCAATTCTGATTGGCATCAACCAGTACCTCCGGAGTATGGACTACCTTGGACTACTTCGTCCTCACTACGACTTAGCACTACTAGGCCCTACTAGTCCCACGGCCTATGAGGTACTCGGTACCTCGGAGCTACGGGCCTCGACTTGTGCTAACGCCAACTCAGCGCGAGACTAGGATGGGTGATTGTTGACCGCCATCTACATTCTACAGTCCCTCATCTGGGCCTGAAATAAACACGGTGGGAAATAGATGAGAGAACAGACCTGGAAGTTATTAGGTTAATAACTTAATTAATTCAAGCTAATCTCCTCGAGACGGGCAGACCACAGATGACTCTATGGTGGATACCTGACGACCCCTGAAAGTGATGCTTCCCGCGGGCGTAAACAATCCAACATCCAAACGCGCCTCGCTCTGGTTCGTGTCTCCATTTCAGGGGTAAAATGACGCTACGAACCACGGTTCTCCGACGATCCCGTGACTCTGCTTAGGTCAGCCGACACGCTTCCGCTGGCCGTTGGACGGACGGAAGCAACTCTATCATGCCGAAACTCTGCAGATGGCAAACGCTATTTCTCTAGTCCGATGGAACGTGTCTCTTCGTGAATGCAGAACTTTTCGATTATTTTTAGCTGTTCCATATACAATAACGTGATCAACATATGTTTCGTACAAACTCCGCAGTCATCAGTAATATTTATTGCCCCGGGAGCATGATATAATACACAAGAAGTTATTCATCGGAAGAGATCCCTCGAGGATCTGACCAAGCTCGCCATGCAGAAGTTTTCAAATGATAAAAGGACAAAGGAAGGAAACCCCGCCGTTAGTTAGGGCACGAATAATCGAACTTGGGCTTGCGGTCCGAAGTGAACAGACCCCAGTGAGTCTCGTCCTTCTCCTCGCCGTTGTCACCCTTGCTGACCGGCTTCCAGGGCTCATCGAACGCCTCGAAGTAGAAGACATCGACGCCCCAGGTGAGGATACCGCAGACGGCATCCTTCCAGTACCTCGCGGCATACTCGGTCTTGGCGATGGCGGCCTCGTAATCAGTTCCGCCATCTGTGAGAGTCCGTTAGTTCACTTTGTTCTGAATAGTCGACGGATGTCAGTGTTCAGGTCACGTACCGGTAGGCCAGCCAGTTTCGCCGTTGCCGAAACGGATCTTTCTGCCAGCAGCACGGCTCTCGACCCGCTTCTTGGCCTGGGTCATGTCGTCGAAGTAGGTGTTGGTGGCATTGCCGATTTTCTGGCCCTGCCAGTAGGCGAAGCCATTGGCCAAGCTAATCGCTTGTCAGCTTTGGTGCACGGCGAACAATGCAATAGGCGATACCTGAAGGAGAACTTACAAGTAATTGATCTTGGGGCTGGAGATGATATCATCGTAAGTGCCGTCGGCGAACTTGTTCCAGCTGTCCACCGTGCCGACAGTCACCTTGGGGAACTCATCCACCACCTGGATAATTCTTTCCTTGAGCTTGGCAGCGGGGAGGTCTCCGCGATACAGGACCTCGGAACCGACGGTGATACCCTGGACGACGTCCTCGTTGCCGTGGACGAACTGCTTCAGGACGTTGAAATCCTTGTTGAAGGACTCGTCGTAGTCGGGCCTTGGTAAAGAGAGTATTAGCCTATTACCCATTGAACGACCAAATGTAATGCACCGGATGGGTAACTTACCACACTCCCAGCACCACCTGGAATTTCTTGCTCTTGGCAGCAGGAATGATGTTCTTCGCGGTGTCGCAGTCGCTGGCGGAGTAGGTGCGGACCAGGGTGGTCACCTTCTTGAGGGCGTCGAAGTCGGCCTCGTAGTCGCTGGTCGTTTTACATTGGCCGTTGACGTTTTTGTTGCCCAGGGCGAGTCCCAATTTGCCTCGGTCGGCGGCAACGGCGGGGATGGCCGCCAACATGGCGGGAAGCAAAGCAGCGATACGCATTGTGAAATTCTTCAATGGAAGATACAGGTATTAGGCCGGAAGGGCAATAGTAGTGGTAGAGAGTGACAGTAGTATTTTAAGACAAGAGGAAACGAAGGAAACCGCCTCGAGTCCTTTCAACACGGAAGGTAGAGAGAAGGAAGAGAAAGATAGGGACCGAACCAAGATAAGATCGGTAAAGAAAGGGGAGGAAGAAGGGATTCCTGAACGGGAAAAAGAGCGTCGCTGCAGAGATCAGCCGAAAGGGAAGAGGAAAGGAAGGGATTGACGGGAGCAATATATAAGAATAGAAGCCCGTACGTCAGGGAAAAGAGGGTGTGGAGAAGGAATTTGGGGAGGACCATGCAGAAATCGCCTCCTGAGGCGTCGATGGCCGATGCTTACTACTCCCAGCCAACATGAACAACGGTTCGTCGGATTGTGGAGGGGGACGAACGCCCCTTCGTCCAATCCAGACCCTTACGGACCCACCCGGGCGTCGACCTTACTGCAAAGGCGCAACTTCGCCCGATGATCCCTATTAACCGCCACGACCCTCACTGTGCGCTCTTGGGGCTTGCGTGCCCTATATCCAGGGTCCCGGAGTCTGGACTCTACGGACTCTCCGGAGTATATGCGTTCCACCACCCCCTTACGTGAAATGCTTGGGGCAGAAGTGTATCAGATTGGACGAGTTGACCGTCCACATTTGTGTAACCTGAGTAACGGCCATCCCCATCTTTTTGGTCGACTACCCCATGCTTCCGGTGATGTTTATTGCTGTCTACTAGTCGTGGCATTCCATACTGGCCCAGACCCCCTGAAACAGTGCAATTGTTCGGGGCGAGACGCTTCAATTCCAGACTCTCTTCTTCGGAACCCTTGGTGCGGAACCCTTAGCCTATCTCCCTTCCGTATCGTTTCACCCAAAATTCTTCGAAATCCTTGAGGGTTAAAGATTCGACTACATACTCGGTCCAGAAGATAGGGACCATGGACAAGGCTAATCGATAAAACTTTCTACTCGCCGAGACCAAAGTCAATGATGTCACATAGAAGACAGTGAACACGAACACTATGCTGTACGAACCTTGGGCGAAACCCTGCGGTCCGAGTCCAAAGGCGAATGAGATGGGAAGGAAAAAAAAGAAAGGAAGTCGACCACGCAACTACACCCACAATATCCGCCTCCGACGGACTTCTCCAAGCCGATCAATCCCGCATCCACATTCACGGTCATGTTCTAGTCCTCCCGATCCAAATACTCGGCGCGAGATGCCGAGAACATTCCATCTGTCTTCTCCTCGATCTACTCCATTCGCCCGTTCTGGCCAGCTTAGTTATCGACAATCCATTTGGCCTGCTCCGGGGTAAGGCTATGGCCGGTCTTGTCATTGAAGCGGGTGCTAATGGATAGCCAGCGGTCCCTTTCCCACTTCGCTGCGATCCGATGGAGTAGAAGCACTTCTTTCAGGGTAAAGTCGCTTTCGATGTAGCTCACTTTCTTGAGTTTCGGGTGTCGGGGCAAATAATCGCCATCGTCGTCCTCGTCATCGTAGTTTTCGTCAACCTTCAAATGACCGGTCAGCGTGAAAAGTTTAATACCTGCCCACTGCAAGACCAGGATAGAAGGTATTTTTCAGGTTGCCAATACCCACCTCTCTTACAGTAGTCAATGGATCAGCGAAAGACACCCGACGTCGGGATTTGTCCACAATCCGTTTTCCATCCTCTTCGTCTTCTTCCTCCACCCAAGCATTTCCATCCTCTGGTTGGTCTCCCCAGTCAACAGCCTCGACATCCATGGGTCTGCGATCTCGAAGATGATACGATCGTCTTTTGAGCTGCGCGACCGGTCTGTTCCCCATTGCAACGGAGACATATTTCCACGGGATATGACAGCTCTTGAGTTCCTGGAGGAGTCGGTCCTCTTCGCGCGTCCATGTTCGATCCATCGCAATGTCCGGTACGGCCGATTTGCCACGCTAGATGGGTGTAGTGTAGTCAGTATAGAGCCGTCGGAGCCGGGCAAGCCGTTACCATCCGGAAGCCATCAGCCATCAGCCACATATGCCAGGGCTGGTTAGAAAAGAAAATCATAATATGAAGAAACTTTCCTGACCTTTCTTGAGGATGGTAGTGGGTCTTCGGTGATTGGCTCGCTGCCATTCAGTAGGGATAAGAAGCGTACGCGGTAGCGTTTGCCGTTGACTACAAAGATAGGCATGGCTGCTTCAGCGCTGCCTATCTCTGAACGGGCTGGGAGAATTTAGGTAGTGGTCGCACTTCTCGAGCTATTTGCTGCCTAGGAGACTTTTTAGGAGAGGACAAAGGGTTGCACGGGGAAGTGAAGAGGAAAGAGCTCCCCAATACAACCAGCACATGACGGTCTCTGTTGATACGGAATTTTGGTTGCAGAGTCAGGAATGAAGTACCTAAGATTACGGTTTGTGTATGGTCGTAAGGTCATATAAATTTCTCAACGCGTGCACCCAACTGTTTGCCTTGTCTGTAGTTAATAGACAGGCATTGCCTTTGCTGCACATGCAGACTACGTAGACCCTTGTTCGCCCAAGGATCGGGTGCCCTTGTTTATCCGCATAAGCATTGGATGCAGTGATAGTTCATCTATAAGCAAAATAATTTCATCCAAAAAATTGATTCTTTTGAATGAGTGCTGTGTAGACAGAAGGGGATCTACGGAGCAGAAGGGGTGGAGGGTCCTGACACCTCAGGCATCCAGTGTACCCGCCAAGAAATAATCATGTGACTGAAACTCTAAAAAACTACAGATTTTTTTTTAAGAGTTTTTGGGTGTGGTTTTTTGAAAGATAACAGAAATTGTTTGGGCTCTGACGCCTGTCAGCCTCTGTTACCATCAAATTAGCCACAGATTATGTAAGAATTACGCCTAATAGAAACAAAACTGTGGACTATCCGAATCTCTGGTTAAATTTGAAATATCGCCTTTTTTGCGACTGTAGGAGTCGGTTTTGCTGCCGGAGTTTGCTTGGACTGTCATTTCTTGAGATCGCGGTTTTGGCAGTCCCTCAGGCCCTGAGCGGTCAATCTAGCGTTGGCGGTCAGATTCGTTTTTGCCCGATTCTGCCGACTAACAACGGGACGGAATAACCATTTCTACGGAGTGCTCTACTGTAGGATTGTTGTTACTGCCTTCGTTTGACTACATCATTGGCACATAGCTTCATGTTGAAATCAAATTTCAACTGGTCCAGTGACTAGATTACCAGCGAACTATTGTGCTTTTCTACCCTGAGCATCAGGCTCGGTCAGTTGTAAAAATAACAGGGACAAAATCAACCCTGATCCATCAAAAGATACTACTACTACATGGGCCAGATGGCTTGGATATCCCATTCGCATTTGGCAGACCAAATCAATTTCTAATTGTGCGCATTACTTCCTTGTATTCTTTCTCATTTCATCCCTCTCCTCCCTCTCCTTCTTCGCTTCCTCCTTTCTTCTCTTTTTCTGCGCCCTTTCTTCTCTTCTTTTCTTCTTCTTCTCTTCTCTTTCTCTTTTTTGCTCGTTCTGGGCCTCGTGAAGCCTTCTATTCGCAAGCGCAATCGTTTCGTCTCGTTTTTCTTGGGTCTAGTCCCGGGCATTGCGATATGCTGTTGCCCCTTCCCGAAAGCTTTCAAGGCTTTCCATGAGCAAAAATGACTTCAAAGGTACCATGAAGCACGTCGGTCGCTTTACCTGGTCCGTAGGCCCCTTCAGGTGATGAGCAAACAAACTGAGCACGCCATCAATATAAGCGGCGGTGATGGTATACACACGATTATCGTAGACAGTTTCACAATGAGACTTGCCAGGTTGATACGATCGGAGCGCCTGGATTCCCCGCGCCCCAAGCGCACCATAAAAACATGCCTGTCGCTTGGCCACATTGGGATCTCCGGGATCGCCCTGTGCCTCCATGAAGAAGTTGGGCGGTACTGGAAGACCATCCTTTGGGGATGGGATGATCAAGTTCTTGAGATCCTTGCGGATCTTCTGATCTAAGCGCCCTCGGCGTGCGCCGTTGTAGATATCGGGCTTTGTCTGGGTCGAAGTATCCTCTGTTGGGAGCGCAAGGTTATTGAATAGAGTGCCCCCGCCAGCATCCTGGGGGTTGTAACCCTCGATGAAAGGGATCGCCGAAGCTGAAAGTTCCCATCTCTTGAACGCAGTGCAATATGCCGTTTCAACCTTTTTGAAATCTTCTGCAGAAAAGCCGGACAGCGATAGGTCTGGGCGAGGAGTTGCTAATCTTCGGATCTCTGCTAGATTCTCGGGCTCGTTCTCCTCCTCCGTTTTCCCGTACCAGTAACAAGATGGTAAAACTTGTACCAACATCGGAAGACTCTAGTCGCTTCCTCCTGTGAATCCGCGCCATCGGTCCGTGCTCGAAATAGGCCTTGATGGGTTGTGGTACTGAATACCTAGTCAGCCTTGGATTTTAGTTTCGCATGCGCGCATGTCCCATACACCTCTGAAATAAAATAGGTCCAGCTCTCCTTGTCGTGAAGATCTCTTGAGAGCTCTCGGGTGGTTTCTAAGCTGTTGGAGAAGTTCAGTAACCGACAGGGTCTATAGTCTCGCTGTGGATTCTGCCAAGATGATATGTGACTTTGTGGACGAGCGAGTAGAGAGTCGAGGCTTATACTGAAAGATCGTCTGATGAGAGATAGAATAGTTGGCTGTTATATGGTCAAATTTGAAGGTTAATATGGGGGACATGATGGAAAATTCCACATGGAAACTTCCACAAACGAATCACCAACGGGCACATAATTAGCGATAACAAAGGAAAGTTCCCTTCGTAACTATTCATACAGAATGTAGGCTCCTGAAGGGAGTTTCCCAAGGAACAAAGTGATCAGTCTTGCTTATTGGAACATGGGAACCAGCGACTGAAGCAGTGCTTCATAGATACTTGAAGCAAATGGGTGCCTGGCAAGTCACTTGGACACCTGAGGCCAACAGCCCGTACGTTGGTCCAAGCGCCCAACCGACCGGAGAAAGAAGACCACCTTGCGCGTTATCCAACCCGTCAGGCCAAACTCACCACCGCCGCCCGTCCACTTCTTTCTCCTTTGCGTCCGGTCGAGCATTTGAGAAGAAAAATAAATATAATATAGTCGTTCCCCCCCACCATGCGATTCTCCGCCACCACGCTCCTCATCACGGCGCTGGGATGGATCACCGCCGTGACCGCCCACAACATCCAGCTCAAGGCTCACTCGCGAGAATGTTTCCACGAATCGCTGCACAAGGATGATCGCATGACGGTGACCTTCCAGGTCGGGGATCGGGAATTCGGCGGAAGTGGCAACTTGGAGATTGATTTCTGGGTATGGATTGCAGTTGATGTTTTCGGGGGTCGGAGTTGGATTGAGTTGGGATGAACAGTACTTTTCTTCTCTATTCTCCGGCTCAATCCAATTCCAAATCCCCAGCTACGGTGAAAGATACATGACTGACGGGCTTTTTGCTTTTGCTCTGAAATAGGTCGAGGACCCCTCCAGTAACCGCCAGTACTACCGACAAGCCATTTCGTCCGAAGATTACTCGTTCGACGCCCACTCCGACGGCAAATACGTCTACTGCTTTAGCAACGAAGGCTGGACCTCCAACTCCAAGGAAGTGTCTTTCAACGTCCATGGAATCGTGTACGTCCCGGAGTCGGAAATGGAGCAGGATCCTCTGGAGACCGAAGGTAAGCAAAACCAGATACGGCTCGCCGGGGAGGTGGGGAAGGAATTTCCCCAACAGCAACCAGCGATGGCAGCAGCGATGGCAGCAGCGATAGCTAACGGATCTTTCGCCAGTTCGTCGACTTTCGGAGGCTTTGGCCCAGGTTAAGGATGAGCAGTCTTATATTGTGGTGCGAGAGCGCGTGCACCGGAACACGGCGGAGAGCACCAACGCCCGAGTCAAGTGGTGGAGTATCTTCCAGCTTGCGGTGCTGATTGGCGAGGGTGTTTTCCAGGTGTGGTGGTTGAAGAGATTCTTCGAGGTACGTGACACGGTGATTCTGTCGTTGCGATGCGAACGGATAGCTAACATGTTTCCTACAGGTCAAGCGTGTGGTCTAATGTTTGTTTACGAGCATTCTTTCATTAAATAAAAGGCGTGGGATGATGGACAGCACAGCGCACTTTGATTGCTTTGTGGATCATGGCTCAATTCTGTACTAGTTGAGGAGTTTAGATTTCTATGAGATTATGGATAACCGTCTGGATCTTGGATTCCAGGCGCTCTAAGTATGTTGGTTCTGCAGGCCGTACGGAGTAGGCAGGACTGCCATGCCAGGCACGTTAATAAGCCCGCTTAGACGGACCCCCCAAATTAAGCTTAAACCCTCCAGACCCCGCAACCCCATCGACTTTGTTCCATCCAGACTTCATCATGACGACAGTCCAATACAATTGATAATATCGTAATCAGCGCTGCATTCATTCTCTTGCATAGATAACAATGGTACTTCAAGACGCCTGGAACGACGTTTCCCAGATGAATCATCCTCCGAATGCGTCGTTCGGCATCGACGCCAGCGATCCGCTCTTCTACGTTTGTTGGCGACGACAGTCCTGTGGATGGTGTTTACAGGGTGACGTGGCGTGCAGTTGGTGCGCGGTGGTAAATATTCTTTTCTTTCTTTCCTCCATTCCCCTTTTTCAATTGTCTCTACCTTATCCTCATATCACAATGTTTTTGTTTATTTGTTTTTGCGACGCGACTGTATTTCAATACTCCTTCTACCCCATCCTCATACTACCTACTTATATCCATCCCCCAACATCAAAAAACCAAAACGTTAAGACGCTAAGATACACCACGCAGACATCAACCTGTGTCCCCAACCTAGCGCACCTCCCCATCCTCGCCCCCCTCAGTTCCTCACAGATCTGTCCCCTCGGATCAAAAGAGCGCTGGGAGCTACGCGCCCTCCCATTCGGATGCAACGTCAGCACCATCACGTTCCTGACGGCCGTGGGGTCCGTGCTGAGTACGTTGGTCGCCATTGCGCTGGGTATTGGCGCGGTTTGGGCACTTCGGAGGGCGTCTGGATGGTGGGGACGGAGTAAGTTAAGATTAAACAGAGGGATGGTTTGGGGGATGTGGAGAGGGAGGAGAGAGGTGGGTGATTCGGAGGAGGCTGGGGATGCGGAACGGAGGCCGCTGTTGGGGAGGGAGAGGGAGGAAGAGGGATTTACTTGACGATAGGTGTGGGAGGGAGTTGGGTTACGTTCTGGGCGACGGTTGATAGGGGAGGGTTTGTTTGTTTGTAGGTGTTTATTTCATTTGATGGTATAAGAGAAGTGGGTGGGGATACCTAAGGGATATAATAGTTCATTCATCATTGATCCATTCTCTTCATAACACAAAAGATGCAGCCATGGTTATTAACCCAGTAAATAGTAGATGAATCCGAGATATTGTCTTTCGGCAGGTAATACTCTGGGGAGAGTCCTCCATGAAACTAGATATCTGGTTGATTCTGCCAGTAGTCATTCATATGCTTGTCTCAAAGATTAAGCCCTCCTTGGTGAATTACAATATCCTAACGAATCACCTGGCCTTGCCGACGATGGTTCATTCAACCCTATCAACTTTTGATGGTAGGGTAGTAAGTAGTCTATCTATTATGATGGCAAAGGTTCACAGGGAATTATGGTTCGATTCCGCGGAGAGAGCCCGAGAAACGGCATATGGTGCCGCTGCTGTGCGAATGGAATAATGGAATAATGGCCTTGGGGAGCATCCTAACTAAAGTATGCGGGAGTGGGCATATTCTACTTGGGAATCCTACTCCGTATGGATATAGATAGATATACCTGAGAGGGACCGTCTGGCGCATTAGGCCGGCCCCAACTCATCTGTATTATATATATTACAACATAACCCTCTATCTATATCTAATAAGGTATACCAGCCAAGTAGCAGACAAAAAATGCAAAAAAAGGAAATGCCGCGGATCGCGCGGGACCTACAGATAAACTGCTTTTGGTTGCAACTTTTATAACGGTTAGTTTTTTATACAATCATTGATAATGATGATGTCACATACTTTGTCGCTACTACCTCTGAGCTACAGCTCCTATTGACTGGAGTAATTATACTTTGAAGAATCTGTAACTCTGTAGAATGATGGATGAAAGCTAGAACTGATAGACGTAGAGTTTCCACTTTTATGGCAGACCAGATTCCAGCAATAGGACTGTGAGTGAATGAGGGCGACGAGTCATCCTTCATGGACAACATTCACTGCGCAATTAGAACTACGTATCCGCGCCAGACCAAATCACATCTATGGTAATCAACAGCCGCTACTCTGTAACGAAAAGATGATCATTCATTTTTCAAGTTTCAGCCGACACAATTATCATTTAATCATTATGCGTGAACCACCTGACTGACTCGGTACTCCACCACCACCGATTTGTCCGTTTGAACGATGAAGCGGCCCTGCGCGACGAAGACGCCGTGCTCGAGCTGCTTGTAGCGGTCGTCACCAGTCTAATATGTTTGTTAGATCTCACCTGCCTCGAATATCTAACTAAGTAGCTTCTCACCTCAAAGGTAAAATGCGTGACTGATCCTCAGAGTTAACGACGCTCATCTCCGATCAAACAAGGAAGATACTCACAAGCATTACCAAATGACGTCGCTCCGCCGACCGCGATGCCGTCGAATACGGCCTGTTCGGCGGCAGTCACGGTGACGACGCCTGTGTAGTTCATGTAGATGAGCTGAACTTTGTTAGTTCCAGCCTATAGATCGGTCGAGGGAAGACATACGGCACCGTCGTGGGTCCTACATGCCAAATGCAAAGTCAGACAGTAATCGACATACACATGGGCTACCGTCACGGCTACCTACTTGAGAACACTATGCGCATTCAATCGCAAATGTTCCCCGTCCGCATCGGCATGGATGTAATCATTTCCGACACCCACGAATTCGGCATCGACGGACGGTGAGAAGCTCGATTCAGTCTTGAAGGTACCGCCAGTCATGGGCTATGCGGAATCAGCGATAGTTGGTGACGGTAGAAGTTAGGCCAAGGGGAAAGCTACTGACCACGACCTGCAACGGGTTGGATCGCGAGGCGCTGCCTACATGTAATTGGTTAGCTGCCGATAATGCAGCTGAAGAATAACTCACCGACAGCCAACGCAGCATCTATATTGACCTATATCGGCTGTCAACTCCAAACTCCAGAACCGTGGAGCCGTCAACGGACTTACCTTGATTGTGAAAGCAGGTTTGAGAGAAGGATATGCAGACATGATGGATCAGATCTCTGGATTAGGGTTTTGTTGAAAGGGCCAACTCAGTGAGATGGAATGATATGATATAATACGAAGAAGGAAGAGATTTGGAGGAGCTGGAGAAAAGCCCCGCGCTGAAAAGAGGGGAATTCCCTTTTTATGGCTCCAACCACGTGAAGGTGGCACAGTCACCGCCGAGACCGAGCACAAGTAGCCTTGCTTCTTGCTTTGGTCTTAGGGGATGTATACATTCGGGATGGAGAGAAGGGTGTGTTTTGAAGCATAACAGGTTGTTGGACATGAGCAGAACAGTTACTCGATCGGAGAGTACTAGATCCTGGTACAATAGAGCCGTGAAACAGTTGCATTGAAGTACACAATGTCTTCCCATTTGGAAGACTCAAAAGCAAGTCCCTAAATATTGTTATGACTACTCCTTATTCTGACGAGTCCCAACTGGGAATGTCCAGGGCCAAAACCTACGGTACTGTACATACAAACCTCCCGCAAAGACAAAGCCATTTCCTTCCTCGTAAATGTCTCATCAGAAAGGCAGCCAGACAATTCTCATGATCCGAAATCATAATCAGCTTCTATTCCTCTTCCCTTTATCCGACTAATATGAATAGCCAGTCAATGCTATCATCAAACCAGTTCCAGGATGATGTCTGAAGATACACTGCTCTTGTGCTGCACTGTCGTCCAAGATGTCCTCTCTCCACAACAAATCTTTGCATTTCGTGAAAAAGTCTTTTCTGATGCTTGTGATGACTAGCAGACAATGGTAAAATAAAGGTGCGCCAATAACATCGTAAAAGCGAAGAGATGGCCCGATACCTAATGGCATCACATATCAGGATCCGAACGGGGTTTCTTTATCCCATTTCTCAGTGAGACTGCTGAGATCCTTTAATTTCTCTGTCAAATCTTCCGATCCCCAAGCAAGGTGCCATACGGTAGCACCATCATATGTGACTCATTCAGACGCAATCCGAGGGCTGACAGTCCTCCGGCATCCCTGCTAGCGTTTCCGAGCTCCGACGGTCAGCATCGGACTAGATCCAACAGCCTCGCTCATCTTAGCTCGGATTCGGCATTGAATGAAAAAGCACATAGTAACGTGGGGGCTATCCCAGGCAAACCTATAAAAGCATGGAGCGAGCTAACCTACCTTGATGAACCGACTGCAAACTTTCCTTGTCAACCTATCTACCCTTCCCCTATCACAATGGCTGATCTCACATCGGTACGCAACCACATCCAAACCGTGACTGATTCCGAAGTCGAATATTTACGACAGCTCAGCCTAGGGATCCACAGCCATCCGGAGACCGCTCATGAGGAAGTCTATGCGCACGAAACCTTGACTGGCTTTCTCGAGTCCCGAGGATTCAATGTAACGAGGCAAGCGTACGGTCTCTCGACTGCGTTCGAAGCTGAAATAGGCACATCCGGCCCCATCGTCATCTTTTGCGCCGAATACGACGCGCTTCCCAACATCGGACATGCGTGCGGCCACAACCTGATCGCCACGTCCTCGACAGCAGCGTTTCTGGGCCTCGCACAGTCAGTCAAGAAATGGGGCATACCCGGTCGGGTACGCATTCTAGGCACTCCGGCGGAAGAGGCGCACGGTGGAAAAATCAAGCTCATAGATGCCGGCGCATTCAGCGACCCAGCTATCGCTGCTGCTATCATGGTGCATCCTACCTCGCAGCGCGGTATCAAAGAAGGATACCACGGCACCGCTGGATGGCAATCGATTGCGAACAGTCTTCTCCGGGTCGAGTTCCACGGCAAGGGTGCGCATGCAGGAGGGGATCCGTGGAATGGATTGAATGCCTTGGATGCAGCAGTGTCGGCATATAGCAGTCTCTCCATGTTACGACAGCACATTCAACCCGACGAACGTATCCATGGTATTATTGAGGATGGTGGGAAAGTGCCTAACATTATCCCGGACTATACGCGCATGCAATGGAGTATCCGGAGTCGAACGGCTGCTCGCACAGACAACCTACTGGCGCGAGCCAAGGCTTGCTTTGAAGCGGCCGGAGCAGCAACTGGATGTAGTGTCAGCTATGCTATGTGGGTTTACCGTATCTTTATGAGTACCATCGCTAACATGAGACTAGTGAACCAATGTACAAGGATGTCGTCGTCAATGACGCATTCTGTCAGATATACACAGAGGAGATGGCAGAACTCGGACGGAACGTGCAGTTGAAGTCGGACACTGCTGCTACTGTCTCGACTGACATGGGTAAGCTCACCTCGTGCTCTTAATCACATGTGGCATGTACACTAATATCTGCAGGAAATGTCTCCTACGTGGTCCCCAGTTTCCACGGTGTCTTTCGCATCTCTACACCGGACGGCGCCCCGCCTCATCATGCTGCATTCGCCAAAGCAGCAGGGTCGGAAGAGGCGCTCAGCGAGGCAATTGTATGCGGACAAGCAATGGCCATGCTTGGATGGAGGATATTGACCAGGCCGTAAGGGAGTGTGTACATATTTTGAAAGCCTCTTCAATTTTATACTGTCTAGGGCTAAAGGTCTTTTACGGACGGGAATATGTACTAAAAAAATGAGTGTATTCAATAGGCTAGATTTCGGTGACATGAAGCAACTTTCAGACTATCCAGCTATGTGCATGAAATACCAGCAGAAATAGCCCTATAATTGCAAACGATTGACATTGACACCATGCACCCCGGCCTGCTATCCATCCCCATTCAAAATCCCCGATTCAGGCCTCTTCAGCTTCCATCCAGCTCAAACCACCTTCACCCTCCATATCCCTACCATCCCCATTCAAACCCACAAAGAAAGCACCCCAAAGCACTCCCCTTACAAATCCTTCTTCTTCTGCGCGAACCCGACAAACAAATACGGCGCATCCTTCAACTCCAAACAATCCACCTTCACGTTCCCAGGATCATTCCCATACTTGATATCCACGAACGTACAGTCCGTACAGTCACTGTCCCTGCAGCCACCGAACTGCGGCGGATTAATGCTCTCAGGGGTCTGGGCCTGCGCGGTCAGTCCCGCATGGTAGGCGTCGGAATACGGACGGCCCATTTCAACACAGACGCTACCGTTGCTGGGCTCCCAGGAGAAATCGATGTGGTTCTCGGCGTGCTGCGTGAGAGGACAGTTGCCGATGCCTTCGGTCGTGATGGTGCCGTCGTAGCCGCGGGCGACTTCGTCGGCGGAGGCGGCCATGGCGGTGGCGAGGAGGGTGAGGAGGGTTTTGGTGAGGAAGGGCATTTTGGTTTGTTTTTTGGTGGTTTTGTTTGGAGGATGTTTTTGGTTGATTGATTGTGTTCTTGTGTTCTTGTGTTTGTTGATGATGAATTGAATTTAACGAGGCGGATGGAGGGGGTTTATATAGAATTATTGTAACTAGCTATATCGATTCCATCTATAGTGTCAAGTATCTACTAACTAACTACTATACTAGTCTAAGTAAGTCCCTGGGCAGTAAATTCAAGTGATCGCCACTCAGGGTCTCAGATATCGTGGCGATGTCCCGTCCCGTCCCCAGCGTAGAACATATCAAGTTCAACAATTGGACAGGTACCATTGTCTGTGTTGTCGGGGCCAAGGCGACAAGATTTCTTGTTTCATATTATCCAGGCAGCAAAGATTCCACTTTTTTGTAAGTCCCTAGTCTAACTACAATGCTTATCGTAGATCGTGGACAGGGTCGGGGTATGGCATGGCGAGGAGAGATGGAAACGGAGATGCGGACTGCCGATCAGCGGTCCATTCCGTTTCGGGGAGGTTTGTATTTCCTAGTTGGGGTTTAAATGGTGCTGCCTTGATGAGTAAGTGTTAGGGTTGTTGGTGGGAGTATACCGTGTCCTTGTGTCGGGTGTTTTGGCCCCAATTGATCTCATAGAACAGATTCAATTTATTATTTCACTCAATAATCGGACTTTTCGGTAACTCCAAACGGAAATCGCTATAAAGAAGGGCCAGCAGAAAATATTACAGCCTAGCTGCCTCTCTGCCGTCGAAAGTAGGCAACGACCTTTGAAACTCATCCCACCGTGACGAGGACATCATCGGTGCGGTGAGGTACGGCTCAACGGCCCCGTGGCGGTCTAGCAGCTCCTCAATTCTGGGAAAGAGCGCGTCCATGGCGTGGTCTTCCATGTCCGCCTGCACTGATCGGCTGAGCCCTAGTCGCTCGATGTACCAACCGGGGTCTGTCTGGATCATCTCGGCCTCGAAAAGAGCCAGGAGGTTGGGGTCGATGGATGCGTCGAGGGCGGCTTCGTAAGCCATGCGATGGGCGATGGCGAGGATGAGTGGGCGGCAGAGGGGAAGGATGCTGTTGTTGTATGATTCGCTGCGGTGGGCGTGGTTGCTATCGTTTCCTGATTGATCGAGACCTTGGTCTTGAGCGTTGGATGCCGCTACTAATGAATGAGAGATATATTGAATCATCTCTCTCGCTTCGTATATGAGGCCCGCCTCATGACGCGCCAACAGACAATCGGGGTATCTGGGCTCGGGCAAGGAGTATCGGCCTATGAGGAGCTCCGTGGCTAGTCCTGTTATCTTATTAGATGAGACCAGATGTCTTTTGAAGTGCAGACATACGGATTGTGAGGACGAGCATCTCTCCCTCGGCGATGCTGGTGAGACGTGTCAGTGCCTGTATTCAATTAGTGAGCTTGATGCCTAGCATCTAGCCTATAACCGATGGCCGAATATCGTAAAACATACCTCCATCTCCATGATCTGGTTATGGATGAATACTCCTCGAGCAGAACATCGCTCGCTCATGTTCGCCAAGCTCCTCTGTCCGAGCTGAATAGAGATCCCCTTGAGAACGACACCCAGTCCGTGCCTTGCGCTTGGGTGGAGCGTCTCGTCGACGAAGTTGTTTTCAATCCAGTCTGCCAAGGGTTCCAATACCGCGATATGGGTAAGCGCGTGTAAGATCGGGCGATGTTGGGTCCGAAAGTTGATAATTGCCGTACGTTCGCCATGTAATCCCTGCTGGACTGTACGGTACAGGCTAAATTTTCCAGCGATGTAGACAGCACCTTTGAGAAATGTAGAAACCCAAATACTAAGAGCTAGAGTGCCTGTCCCAATACGCTGAATTGTGGAAAGAAAATTCGTGCGCATGTTGTCTGGTTTAGCGAAATCCCCGAGCATGGCTGAGTCTGGGAGTCGGACGTGATTGAAGCTAGTGATGCTGTAGTCAAGCATTCGCCCGCCGGAGGCTGGTTGTAGAAGCCTAGGATTCTAAGAATCATCATGTTTGAGGCTTATTGACGGGTACATACTGAGACTTCACACCTGGCTTCATGTGCCCCTTTCCGGTTAAGGGGACTAAGAAGGCTCGTATGCCCAGGTCGTCGTTGTCGACTATGAGACGGGCGAGAACGACGCCAACGCGAGGAATGGTTGCAATCGGCCTGGAAGGTGGCATAAATCTTGCCTTGAGATTAGACGTGACTCCAAACAAAAAGGCTGATGTCTTACTTGGATGCGCCGGGGTGAGGCGTGTGCAAGTCAAAGCTTCCATCCGACTGTAAAGTCGCTGTGGTCTCGAGGTTTCTTGCATCACAACCATGCCCAACCTCAGTGAGCATAAAGGAGCCACTGGGAGAATTAGCAGATAGCAGGAAAATAGGATGCAGTCTTGCGCACATGACATTGAAATTGAGGATGTCGTCCATAAGAGGGTGTAGATACGGTCGATCCATGGCATACTGCGCAACAGTCCCGGCAAAGAGATTAACGTGAATCATAAGAATTGTATGAGCAGCACTATCTCTGATAGCCATGTAGTCCTTGTGGATACGCCAGAACTTGGGCGACAGGGCGATAATATCGTGAGCCGTTAACTCTGGAGGGTGTTAGAGTTGCTTGTATGTGCTGAGCAGTGGACTGACTATAATGTCTGCCAAGGGCTTGGGCCCGAAGGTAGGAGCGTTCCAGATGTTCGATCCGTGAAACTTCTTCATAATGATGTTGGAACAAAGGAGTCGATAACAGAGAGAGGGATGAAGGTGTTGGCGTGGATTCTTTTTGCTCTTGAAAAGTGGAAGCCATATTTCTGTATTGGAGGATATGTTTCTTGTTAACAGTTAATGCATCAATTAATTGCAAGAAACAAGAGGGGTATATATAGCCTGTCTGATTCGCGACAAATTAACAGAAAGAGAATCTAAACAGGGTTACAGACCGACTGATTCATGTTCATTGGAGATACATCCCCGGGCATCACCCACTGGTATAAAGCAAAGCCCGTTGACGAGCCTCAGGTCCCCATCTAGAAATCTGCCGTGCGATAGGCCAGACCTGCAGCTTCCATATTGGCATTGTCCTGCTTTGAAACTCTTGGCCCATCGAGCGATCCTGTCGTTAAATGCTATTATGAGGTGTCATTTGGTTTAAGTTCGATGAAACCGGTTGCTAAAGGTGTAATAAGCTCGCAAAAGTGCCTGTAAACTTAAATCTTCCGAGATTTGCATATGAAGCTAACCTTCCAACTTCGGCAAGGTGGCCAACACCGAAAAGAAACGTTTAGGGCATTGGAATGACATTGGGAACCAGCTAATAATAGAAAGACTTGCACAGCTTGTTGAGCATCCAAAGAAATCTTGATGATTGGATGAAAACCGCGCCAAGTCGATTACGATGCGAGAAAGGCTCTGGCGGCGGAGGTTGCAAGAAGTAGGAAGTTTCTCTGACGGCAACTTCCCAAGTACTCCCAATCACGTGGCAAGGTGACCATGGTTCATGGAGGTGCCAGCGTCCAAGCTACCTTGATAGATCTTTCGGTGTTTGAAATCAAGATGTATGTCCTATTGAATTTTCATATGTGTGCGAAGGGGCAATCAAGCATTCAAATGAATAAATCGCAAGATTCAACTCTATATCTACCGGGATAAAACAAATCTAAGACAAGTAAACTATTTACAAGGAATGTGTAACAGAGTAGACAGAAAGAAAATATACCGACAGGTAAAGTGGTCCTAAGCAAAAGGTTCATGCGCTTGTGGTATCGATCAGGGGAGGAGGGGAATATACTGTCCACCATTGAGCGAGTTAATATATGTGACTTTGAGCTTGCTTAGCCACCTCAGGAATAGGGTGCCAAGCGAGTAAATAATCCTTGTTGCATGCATGTTTTTGGTCTTCAACAATTCCAATGTCTTGAATCGAGTTATTCGACGCGAGCATCTGTGGTTGTCATACCACGCTGAAAGTATGACGAAGGCGATGCCTCCGTAAGTCCTGCCGTAACAAACCCTTATGACTCCGGAGCAAGAACGACGGCATCAATGCGCTGCGCCAATTCAATCGATCTCTCCAACGTATGGATCTGGTTGCTGGTGAGGTTTCGGACCTCGCCACCAATCATGCAGCTCATGTCCTGCTTTGTAGCACCCTTCCGCCATTCGGCATCGATCACCCAGTTCGTCGGAATGTCGTAAACTTTCTTCATTTCAGGTACTTCCTTGTTCTTCAAGAGACTTCCGTTCCACCACAACAATTGATCCTTCGCATCGACGTGGGCGATGACGAAGCTGCAAACCGTTGGCCGGCCTCCATCCATGCCGGCCCACCCAACGATCCCACCATAATGCTGCGAGAACTCATAGCCAGCTCCCGCGAGCTCCATACCCATCCACCAGCTCTCCTTGTCCCCGTATGTGATTTTATATGTCACCTCCTCGCGCACCGCGTGGGTGTTCTGCCAACACACGTGGAGCAAACCAACCAGAACATCGATTCGGCTCTTGTCCATGACTACTAGTCCCGAATCACCCTCTTCAGCGTAGTCTTCGGTCCACACACGGGACGAGTTCATCGCTGGGCTCGGACGTCGAATCTGATCCCTCCACCATGCGTGACGACTGGCAAATTGGTTTTTCCACAGGAGTCGGTCATGGAAGAGGAGAGACCCCGAGCGAAGGAATGCGTCATGTTCGAAGAGCACTTCTGGGGGCTGGAAGAAGACGGCGTCGGCATCGGCGAGAATTACTCGCTCGAACCGCGAGGCCAGAGCGGCGAATGCCTTGATTGCCCACCCGCCGGACTGCAGCTTCAACGTGGTGTCATCGAAGATGGTCAAGATATTCAGAAACTCGATTGGAGGACCCTGTCCAGCCAAGCTGGATAGATACTCTCGGCTTTGTGGCCGAAGATCGTAATCGCCTGCATAGACGACTTGAATGGGCAGAGTGGAACCGAGGACGGAACGTAGAGAGCCGATGAGGTGAGCGGCGAAGCGGAGCGTCTTATCGCTAGTTGGAATGACGATGCCCGCAGATCCAGCCTCGAAAGATGCGCGAAGATCCGTAAGAGGTTGTTCTGAAGGCGGTTGTCTCGAAGGTTTTTGAAGGAATGGAAACGACGACGAGGCTACTCGTTCGACAGTAGCGAGAAGGACGTTTCTGGTTGAAGGATCGGTCTTTTCAGCGTAAGCCAACCAGTCACGCAGAACCCGGCAGCGTCGTCCGAGTTCGCCGAATTTGCTTTCATATGGCTTCTTAATGGGATAGTCGACGAAGTACTGCGACACATCGGTTACCAGGTCAGAATCAATCACGGGCATCTGGATGATTGTCTGTTCCACACGGTCCGGAGGAGAGTCGGTGGTTAAATCCTCATTGTAGTTAGCCGTATCGCCATGATCCGTCGTTCCGTTGTATGACGGCTTTTCGAGTTCCATGCCCTTTACACGCGGTGTTGTCTGTGTTTTCGGGGAATGCAAGAGTAGTAGTGAGAGTACCATCATGGCCACCGCTGCCACCACGATGGCCCGAAGGGCTCGAGGGCCTGTTAACGGCCAGGGAATGCTCATTTTATGTGCGAAACAAATCCAGATCAACTCATCTTAAGAAAAGAGCGTTAGATAGAAACAAAGGAAAGGGAGAGGGGTTCAAACAGAGACAAAGACGGAACGACAGGTACAGATTAAAACATAATTAAGAATAACCTTCATAGACTGACAGGCTTGGCTGCCTAAAGGAAATGAACTGATCCATCTTCGATAAAGAATGGGGCCAAGAGATCCTTCTCGTGGCAGGTTTTTTTTTTCTTCCGATGGTGTACGACTTACGCATGCATGAGGCTATTGGACTTAGATTACCTAGTGATAAGTCTGGTTTGGCCCCATCACCGCGCCACCTAGCGTTGCTAGTGCGCCGGCCGATTGGCTCGTGGCGAGACAATACAGGAGCTTAACTTAAGGCCGCGTAGAAGCCACACAATAAGATTACCACATCGCGAATGAGAGATAACTGTTGACTGATCAAGACAAAAGGCGCAATATATTGCGCATGGGTTAGTTAGATCATGGGAAACGGAGGGCGACTTACGGTCCTGAACTCTTGAGCGCTAAGCAATATCCCTCCCCATGGAACCCTCTGAAGAAGGGAGACCAAATAGTCCTCTCGTAAAGGCGTATTGCCGTGTCCAAGAAGCTGACTAGCATTGTCATGCCGGCAATCTTCATTGAATCCCGAATCCTTTCCTGTTGGCTGAATTTCACGGATTTCAGGGCTTTTCTAGGTAATGTCGTATTAAGTAATCCTTTCAACTGATCGATCATTCTTTCTCTTTCTCTTGTGTGCTGCCTCTGCTGACAATTATCAGAATCATGAAGCCCTCATTGTGTAGAGTTGCTTATTGTGAACTGGTTGATCTCTCTGAGATTTGCCTATTCCTTTCGGGGCTCAACTGTTGCTTATTATCTAGATAGCTAGTAATAGATCGACACACGATAGGGATGTCGCAATGGAGACTAAGAATTTGGCCACTGGCGTTTGAAATATAACTCAAGCCTCTCTTAGGTGATCAATCAAAGAGCTTGTCAGGTCTAGAGTGCCCCGAGACCAGAAATCTAGTATAGAGGGGGCCAAGGCGAACAGAACTGTGGACTCCGACGTCCTGTGATTGGATAGAATTCACTCATTCATTGTCTCCATTTTGAAGGCTGAGAAAGCCATGTTGCCCTTTTTTATCGTTGCTGCCTTGTTGCCCTTTCCGCGGTTGGTGAACCTTACGGAGTACGGACTACAGAGTACTCAGTAGAGCGTGCAGTTTTCAGGATGCTGAGTTCTCGATCACGCCTCATATTTGCATTTTCTATGATTCATGAGTCGAGGGGATCCGATCAACGTAGCCCTATACCAGAATCCAGGATCATCGCCCGAGAATAGTCTAATTGGAAGCCGTTCTCGCACCACAATTAGTACGGAGTAGTCGGAAAAGTTAACTGAAGCCAAGGATGGTGTTGATCCTTCCGACGGAGCCGGTCCAGAGTAGACACTCTCATTGTTTCGCAGGTTCACAGCCTCACACGCTCACGACATTACGGTGTCCTCTGTACGAGTAGGAGTTTCGTAGGAATCAAGAGGTGTCGAAATGAAACACATCCGTAATCCGTCATCCTTATTGGTGGCAGGGTCGTGGATAATAGCACATCCCATTGGTTTTGACGCTAGCTAGTTGTTTTGGCCTGGCAATATCTGCACAACGCCGAAGGACAGCATCCTCGAAGGCTTGTTTATGCCGTCTCTGACCGCCGCCAATACCGCTGGAACCGCGAAACCTGCTCCGGCCAAGTCACGTGCCGTCCGTCAAGGTACCCGGCCCGCTAAACCCAATTGAGGCCTCGGGCGGATGTGACGTCGCCAACACAGAATTATCCGGCACCCGCATCTTCAATACCACCATCTCTCCCCTTGCGACGCGTGTGTGTCTCGATTGAAAGACAGACCCGGTTCTCGGCTCTGCTGGCGCTTCTCTGCGAAAAAGAGAGCCCCAATGATTCCCTTCCTTTCCCTGCCCTCCGCCGTTCTTCTCGCCGCCTGCGCCTCCGCGATCCCCGTGTCAGATCAACAGCCTTTGGGCAGCGGCGTTTCCAGCGATGCGGACATTATCAGCGGACGGCCCTCCCGTGGGCTTGCAGGGCGCTTTCTGCATATAACAGGTACAGGAGTCTATCCGAATGCAGCCCAGCGATTAAGAAGTGCACTCGCTGACTACTCACCAGATTTACATCCAGATATACACTACGAATCCGGTACCGACAAGGATGACGCATGCCACCGCGGGAAAGGCTCGGCGGGATACTTTGGAGCCCAAGGAACGGAATGCGACTCTCCTCTTACGCTAATCAACCAAACCTTTCGATGGATTGATCAGAATTTGAAGGATCAGGTCGATTTCGTCATTTGGACTGGAGACTCCGCCCGCCATGACAACGACGAATCTATCCCTCGGACGGAGGATGAAGTCATCCAGCTGAATGATTTGACCGCGGACAAATTCTATGAGGTGTTCCAGAAGAAGGATTCTCCTCGTGGTCTTTCGGTCCCGGTCGTCCCCACCATCGGCAATAACGACATCATGCCGCACAACATCATGAAGGATGGCCCGAATCGGTGGACCAAAAGGTTGTCGGACGCGTGGTCCAAATTTATTCCTGAACATCAACGGCATTCGTTCGTGGAAGGCGGCTGGTTCACATCGGAAGTGATTCCCAACAAACTCGCAGTGATCAGCTTGAATACCATGTACTTTTTCGAGTCGAACTCTGCGGTCGATGGATGCAAATCCAAGTCGGAGCCGGGCTTTGAGCATATGGAATGGCTCCGCGTCCAGTTGAAGATCCTGCGGTCTCGTGACATGAAGGCAATTTTGATCGGACATGTCCCTCCAGCGAGATCGGGGCCAAAACGGAGCTGGGATGAGACGTGCTGGCAGAAATATACCCTTTGGGTGCACCAATTCCGAGACGTTATAGTCGGTAGTGTCTATGGTCATATGAACATTGATCACTTCATGCTACAAGACAGCCATAAGGTGAAAATCGCCGACACTAGCGACAACCCGGAATCTTCGACTGCACTCGATGATCACTCGGGTGAGTTTTCGGCCCTCTCTCGTTCAAGTTATCTCTCCAGTCTGAGAAAAGATTGGTCTAAATTGCCATCTCCGCCTAAGCCCAAATCGAACAAGGCAGATTCTCTAGAGGAATGGGCCGATGATGACGAGTTTGTACCCACCGACGATGATCGCCATGCGCAAAAATCGAAGAAAAAGCGCTTTCTCAAGAAGATCGGCGGTCCATTTGCGGAGAGGTATAGCGTGACGCTGGTGTCACCTAGTCTGGTACCGAATTATTTCCCTACCCTGCGGATTGTTGAATACAACATCACTGGATTGGAGGATGCGGCTATTTGGAGCGATACGCAAGAGGAGTATCTCGAGGTTGAATCGCTTTCGGATGACGACGACGATGCTGTCTCCATCGACAAGAAAAAGAAGAAGAAGAAGAAGAAGGGAGGGAAGAAGAAGCCTCCTAATTTCAAAGTCCCAGAGCCCCCGTCGAAATCGGCTCCCCCAGGTCCAGCTTATTCGAACCAACCCCTTACCTGGTTAAAGTATACCCAATACTTTGCCAACCTCACAACGATCAACGAACAAGTGTCGACAGCCTCCGAGCAGTCGGACAATTCAAGCGTGACGGGGACCGGTAAACCCAACTTTGACGACATTTTCTCTTTTGAAGTTGAATATGACACCAGGGACGACCACACCTACAAAATGAAAGACCTCACCGTCCGCAGCTTCTTCAAGTTAGCCACGCGCATTGCGGAGAATTACTCGAGCAAAAGAAAAAGCAACAGCAACGAGATTGACGCGGAGGGGAAGAAGAAGAAAAAGAAGAAGTCCAAGACTAACCAAGTGTGGCGGACGTTTCTACAACGAGCGTTCGTCGGATTCCTGGACGATGACGAACTTGACGACATTGAGACATGACCTGTTCATTATTTTACCCGTTTCTTTCGCTACAGGAAGACATGACTCCAACTTTCAAATGAGTCTGCTAATGTAATATGCTACAGTCTAATCCATCTTGGATGTATATACACTTCATGTCTATTAATTCATCTTTGAATTTTGTGACCTCAGATAAAAATATTCCCGTGAATACCATCGCATATACCTCTTTCAGATTATTTCCTTGAATAGAAGCAGATTCAAAATCTGCCTGCCTTGATCTATTCTCTGATATCTAGGCAGTACAGGAGGGAATCTCCCACAGCAGAAGTCAACCTAGAACGTGCTAAGCCACTACCCCTCCCCGTAGTAAAGGCCCCGCAAGGGAGAGATTTGGAAAGTGGTGTCTTTCCGAACACAATCGACATCATTCTGGCGGTGAAGATTGAACACTGAATAGTACGAGTATGATAACATCAGGGAATATGGGTAGCACAACGGGAAGGATGTTTCAGAAAGCTATAGCAGAATTTATTGATACGGTACAAATTGCTAAAGTTAGAAGACTGAGACTTATGTCGGGAGCCGGCTATACTACGCGGTAGGTAGTTAGACAGCCGTGGCTGTTATGTCTTGTGGCTTTCTCGTACGGAGTAAGACAAGACAAGACGGCCGACGGCCAACTGCCTGAGCCTGGGGCCAGATAAACCATGGATCGCAGTTGGTAAAACTGAGAGTCATTTCCCCACTGCCAGAGAGGACGGATCGTACTCAGTAGTATAACAAACCAACTCGAGTGTGAAGCTGTTGGGCAGAATTGCTCCGACTCCGCGCGAAGACCCGACTTGGCGGTCAGCAGAGCGGTGTCGAACTGCCTCCCCGTTTGGATCAATTCTAGACCCTCCGTCCTTCTCGCATCTCTCCGGGGATCGAGAAGCCTACAATACATCATGGCATTATGAATTCATGATACGAGGCCGCTGATATCATCGACATGTCTTCAGATTGATGGCTTCGTTGTATGATTTGCTGGGAAGTTTCAACCTTCTATTCAATTGGACCAGTTCTCTGATGCCACGCTGGCAATTAAATGTCTGCCAGCTGTCAGCGTTGCCTCCGTCCCGAGGGTCAATTCCTGCTGCCATCCACCCCCATGCTAAGAAGCGCGCGGACGCTGAGCTCCAGACATTTGGGGTTTAGTCGATGAGACCGTCTCGACTCCGGCCTGGGTCAGGCACGGATATTCCGCCTGTCTTAAGCCCCAATTGCCATGGATTCCCGCCAAATGGGAGAGGCTGGTGCTCGTCGGTCCACCGTGCTATTCCTTTCTTATCATTCGCCTGGATCCAAAACTGCAAGGCAGGGAAAATTCAGCATTCGGGCTCTGACACGTATCGAGCTAATCGATGCGCTGTCCCCCCGCCTCATTGCCATTGCCTTTCCCTCTGTTTCCCATTTTATTTAATTTTTTATGCTGTCTCGCTCCGTAATCTTGCTATTTATGATGATGATGGGGTTCAAAATCCTGGGGTCCTATCACAGCTATTCCTGCCCGATTCCTTCCGTCAGAGACAAGATTAAAGAAAAAAAAAAGCAAAGAAAAACTCTGACGGGCATGAACTAATATTTCAAACAGAGGCCTAAATCCAGATGTAATAATGAGGAGATGCCGGTCCTCAGATCACTTTAATTAGGGCGACAGACGACCGCAGTGATCATCCACTTTTACTGTGCCAGGGGCAATTCCATTCGAGCAGACCAATTTCCTTGCATCATCCGTTTTCCACTACTACATTACTCTGCTGCTCTGCTACTATTACTATTATTATTCTTGTCTTTTCACCGCACGGCAGGAACGACTGTTCGCCTCTATCAATTGTGGCTGAAATTGTTCCTTGGATTAACCCTCGTCTTCCCGCGGTGGAAATAATGACCTTCGGGTTTCCTCCCTCCCACTGATCTTGATCAATCCTCAAGTCACTGCTAGCACTTGCAGGCAAAGAGGTCCAGACTAACACCTTGCGACTCAAGTTGCACGCACAATGCATCGATACTGTCTGCTTCAAAATCACGAGCACCTTACCATCCCCCTTTCCGCCGTTGACTGCTCCTTTTTGCGTGCCTTGCATTGCTAGTCATTTCTGCCTCATCAGTCGCTTTTTTTTTTTTGATATTCTGCAGTTTCGTACCGCACCAATTGCTCCAAAATTGTTGTGTTACTCTGCGTTGGTTAATAGGGATTGTTGGTTTTATTTTTATTTTTATTTTATTCTATGCGAAGCTTTCTGACTGTGCGCTGTACTTTTGAAATCTGACCTCAAGGGAAAAGACAGAACCTGACATATGTAACATATCCGATCTATCGATTGGAATTGGTGGCTTTGTGATTTTCAAACGCTCGCGTTTGCCTGTTAAATCTTCCGGTTTGGTTTGAAAGCGATCTTTTTGACACTACAGAAACGGAGAAAAGAGAAAAGACACGACGGACAAAACGCTCAATCGGATTGCCGCCTGCTCAATATTACTATCGACTACGAAATTCAACTAAAAATAAACGACGAACCTCCGATTAGGCGCTCTCGCATTGAGCATGGGGTCCTGCGGCGTTTAAAATCAGCTGCATCGTGTCCTGTTATTCGTTTGCGCGCGTTTCCGAGGTAAGCTAACGGTTTTCTCTGTCTCACATTCAGTCTCCAGCAGATGTGCCTAAGATGGGTCGAAGCACAGTTCTTCGGTCTGTTAAAAGACATGTTGCCCAGATTAGGAGGAGCCGATCACTTGCATCTTTTTCGGTGTACTGGTTACACTGGAATTGCTCATCTTATTTTATTTTATTTCCCCAGCCATTCGCGATCCTTCACCTCGACGCCCTAATTCGCGATGGAGAAAGCTGATTTCAATGGCAATTGCCCTATCATAGACCCCGAATCGATCGCTTTGTGGATGGCTTCCTCCGAAGTTGACCAGAAGGCCTTGGGCAACTTCGCGGCCATGACCAGCCTCGAGAGCCCGTTTCTTTCCGCCGTGCTGTACAAAATGCTGGGACTTTCAGTGATGCTCTCGAAAAAGCTTCTGCGTGCACGACGGCTCCGACGACTAGATCCCACCCGTGAAACCAAATCACTTCAGCTGTACCATCACATCATATGGCTCTCCCGCGAGGGCCTGCTAATGCTCGAGGGGTTCATCTTCCCCCTCGTCGATAAATACATGGAAATGAAGATTCTGGCCTACAAACTCAGGGCCTCGTTCTACCACATATTCGTCTTATTTCACAACCAACCGGCTGTCCACTCCCCGGGGATCGCCAGCAGCCGGAGCGACGTCACCGTACCTAATGGGACTGCCGATGCCGCATCGCCGACGAAGGAGCTCAACTCGAGGTTCTCGTTTAAATCGAAACCAGAAAACTTAACCGTGCCCAACACCCCGACTTCGACGGCGGGGAATGCGCCTCGGGGGAAATCGACGCAGGTACCCCCGGGGCTCGCACCTGTCCTACTTCCCCAGTCAGCATCCTCATTCCTGCTACCCGTTCTCGATTACACACCCACTGCGACGGCATGTTTCAACCAAGCCTCCGTTCTGGCCGATCGGTTTCTTCCCGGATCCCACCCCATGCGTCTATCCATCAAACTCGAATTCGCCGCCTATCTGTACGACTGCCTCCATGATTCGATTGCGTGCCGACGACTCGCCAAACAGGCCATTGCCGATGTATATAATGCACAAGAGGGAATGGACGACGAAAGTTTTGAGGATGCCGCGGAGATCGTAGGAATTTTGGGCAAGATGGTCAAACGGGGCGGCAAAACCAGCAGCGCCGGCAGCAGCACCACGCCGTCGGGGACGCTCCGGGCGGAAAGTTCAAAGAGCGGCGACAGTCGGACGCCACCCATGAAGAAGGCGAATTCCAAAAAATCCGAGCGACCGAAGAAAAGCGATCAATTGCCCCCTGCCATGCCCAACCCGACCATGATGAATCCCATATGAACCCTAGAGATTATGACCCGATGCGAACGAGTGTATGTAATATGCATGTTAATGAATGATGAGATCTGTATGGATGAACAGCTCTAGTGGTATTGCAAATCTGTCTGTGTGGTGCTACTCGATATCGTATCATATCACATCATGCCATTGTGTACTGTACCATGAGTCTCGAAGATAAAGTAGGGCATCTTGGCCCGGCAGAAAGTCAAAGCGGTCGGCACCGAAAGCCTCACCGGAAATAGGATTAATTTCCACTCTTCCACGAATTCTCGAGAAACGCAATCCGGCTAAAATCACTAGGCCAACCGCTAATGAGAGACTAACGATTTAGTTCGGATTAATCAACCATGCATGCATGCACGTTCAGGGAGACCCTCTGCCCGCTCATCTAACTTCCATTGATATTTCACCTTTTCCTGTCTTCTGCTTGGCTGTCGCCCATCCTCTCTTGACTTGGCAACATCCGCTTGCGACTTGGTTACTGTTAGCTACCACTGCGACGTCATTGCCCGCTAATCCATCCTCGCAGCGTCCGACTGTTGAGATATCTTCATCGTCAGAGGGAAAATCAGGTTTATTTCTGGATCGGTTCTCTCCACTTCTCGTTGCTGGGGATCATCTTTTTCAGCCTTCCCAGTTCCAGTGTTGCAGAACGTTCCTACTATACTCCGGACACCGACCGCCTGCGAAAAGCGATAAGACAAGGGAAGGGAAAAAAGTAAAAAAAAATCGTCTGCCCTCCCCCCCCCGACCACCGGCGGCTGCCTTGCCCCAGAAACCAACCAACCGCACGAGGCTTGTTGCAGCGCACGTACGCAATACATGCAGATTGTCCCATCCCACCTTTTGTTTTGATCGACTCTTATCTACACTATTTTTTCCCTTGCTGCCTTGCCCCTCTTCTAGCAATGAAGCTATGAATCTTGTCTGCCTGTTGCGTCCTCGGAAGCTACTTATCACCTCGGATCTCTTGGACATTGGCCTTGGGCAAAGGTCTTTGAATGTGGATGATGCGGTCGGGGATTCATAAACCTGGCGCAATTCCGTTTCTTGCTCTTTTGGTGTTTTTGCTGTTGAGTTTGGTTCCGTCGTTGGCGAAGGAGTGGGATCTGTATAACCTGCAGGTGGGATACATCGGTTATCAGCGGCACGAAGTTCGACGTACGTTTTTTTATCTCCGGTCTCTCCTTGATACTTCGGTCGGAATGTTAGCTAACTGGGTGGTATTTGTTATAGAAGCTCCCCGGGTTGAGGATGATTCAATCGATATCTGGTCGAGATTGCGCACATCTCGTGGTCGGTGCCAGTCGTGGTTGATCGATGATGGATCCTGCCAACCGCCTCCCCCGCGACATGCCGTACTTGATACGCCTCATCGGAGCTCCTTCGAAGCAGCTACTATATATGACGACCCGGCTCCGTACGTCGAGGGACCATCGACTTTGACTCGAGGAGTTCGAGCATTCAAAGCGCTTGTCAAACAACTGGATAGCCGCCCGGCTCTTCCGCTAGATCCGACGGACAACACCTGCGAAACAGTCTCTACGCGCCCTACCCCCGCGTTCTCCAATTCCTCTATATCCCCTTTACCACTTGGTCCCGAAAATAGCCTCCCTATAGTGAGCGATGATACGATATCGGCGCCTAAACCTGGTTGGCACATGCGTTTCCGAGAATCCTGGCAGCAGGCCTGCCGCGTTGGGAGCGACTATCTAGAAAAGTTCACCCAGCATCAATTGAGGGAAGAAGCGGTGCAATCACCTGTTCCATCCGACAAATCCTCCGAATCGCAGTTGACACCACCCAGCACGCCGTCCGAAGAATTTGTCTCCGAAACGCAACCTGCGAATGGCAGCAGTGTTGATCCCGGCGCACCCCGAATCCCATCGCGAGTCTTATCGACCCAACCGCCTAATCCCACCGTGACTACTGCCGGCCAGTCCAAAAATATTGGGTTTGGACAAGATTCAGAGCATATGCGCGGGAGCTGTATGGCGATTGTGATCGCTCTGGTTGCTGGCGTCATGTGGTTCTGACCGGATCCTCGAGGCTTGATCTCGGTTTTTTATGCGAGTACGGAATGTACCACTACTCGAACATTCCTCTAACTTTCTACGACTTCCTTCTTCAGTGGTCCTGGCGATGGCGTTCGATTCTTGTGATTTTTAAATCCGGTTTATATGGTTCTTCTGTTTGATGAAACAGAATTCTCGTCGTCGACGGGCTGGCAATTATTCTTTCGTGTACGTACCTGTTATGCGGCCTTTGACAGGCCATGTTATGTTTTATGATCGCCGGTTTGGGAGGAACATAGGGACGGTTGGCCTGGGATAACTGGCAGTTTGGACTGCACAGTTACTTTACAATACTATATAATGTTTGTTATTCATACATACCATGACATGTCTTAATACACGGAGTTCCATACTCCAGAGTGCACCTCACGACGCATGCGTCTTCGCCCAATCTTCAGGCAAACGCAGATGCTGCGGTAACGCATACTGCCCCAAGCAACTCCCCGGTGTCGAGCACCGCAACCCACACCGGCCATACAACCGACAATAACACTCCTCGGCCGACGGACACGCCTTGCGATTCAGCTCCCCCAGATCCACCCCTGCCCCGTCCCGCTTCATGAACAAGATATGCCAGATATACGAGATGATCCTGCCCGCCACGCGATCGTCCTTCGGCGCCGCGCCTCTCCTCCCATCCATCCCGTCCAACAACCACTGCCTCAGCGCGACATACTCCTCGCGCGAATGCTGCCAAACACCGTTCCTGCTAACCGCGAACTGCGCACAGCATTGCGCCCGCACCGTATCCGTCCTCCCCAACCTGCTCCTCCCCATCCCCACCTCCACGCCCATCTCCCCCAATGACGCGCCAAAAATCTCCTCCAACGCCCCCGGCAGTCCCCGATCCGACACCGTCCTGGCACTCCACGGCTGCAACACCGCCTGCACACTATTCTCCAAACTGCCCTGCGGTCCCGCCCCAGGTACACAGGTACTCAGACTCCAATCGCAGCGCAGATTATGGTATCCAGACGCGTGCAGCGCGAACGGCAGATTCAGGTGTTGGAGGAGGGAGAGGTTATCGTAGGTCGGGTCGTCGTTGTGCCATGCGAAGCGGGAGCCGTGGATAAATACTGCCCCCTGGTGCGGGATTGAGAAGTAGTTGTCGATTAGGAAGGTGAGGTAGGTGATTGCTTCGTGGGCGCGGTTTGTGGGGACTTGGAGCGTTGGGTTTCCTTCCGTGGTGGTTTTCTTGTCGATGGTGTTCGAAGTTGAGGTCGAGGTCGAGCTATCCGTCTCGATGTGATACACGCACACCTGATACTTCTCCCTCAACGCATCCAACCACCCCGTGTCCCCGTCGCTATCGACATGCGATACCACCAGCGCCGGACGCCCCGATTCGCTGAGTCCCGGACAGACGCCGTTCGGGGGCGGGAGGGTCGATGCGCGCGTGCGGTACCGAATGCGATCCCAGGCGAAGAGCTTATGTGGGGATTGAGGGCGGTTGAGGAAGCAGATGAGGCCGAGGATGAGGAGGAGGATGAGGAAGTGGGTGGCTGTTTTTTGGGTTCGGCGGCGCATGATCCCTTCTTTCTGAGTTCGGGGTTGGTGTTGGGGTGAGGGTGAGGGTGAGGTTTGTTTCGCGGGGATGGAGGATAAGGTAGGTAGGGGTTCGTTAGGTCGTTAGGGTCGTGGATCTGTGTGTTGCTGTCATTTCTCGTTGGAAGGGGTGGGTTATTTCATGAGGTATAACTTGTTGGAGAGGGTGTAAGGAAGAAGATTCCGAGTGGAGAGCCGGAGTATCCGAAGAATAGCGACTAAAGAAGGATTGCTCAGAGTACCTTGAGTACCTTAATGCCTCAGGAGACAACTCTGCTAGGTAGACACACCGTTTATACATTTAAACCAACGCATTTAGATCCACCGTGAACACCTCGGAAATTCATAATATCAACCCACCCCTCGAATCAAATCCACCCAAGAAACGACCGACGAACGCCTCCGTAACACCAAGAACCCGCCCCAGCCAATCCGACGCCGCCGACAAGCCTGGGCATTTGAGCTTGTCGCGCGATGATGTATACAGTATACTAGTATATTGGAGTTAATCGAAGAGTTGAGTTCATTCCGAGGGCTCTTGTCTTGCCTTCTTCCCCTTTAGTACATCACTATCCATCTAATTCAAACAAAAATTTCCTCTTTTGAGATTCTGGGCTTAGAGTTCTCATATTTTACCTCACATCCAGTTGTGGACAGTTTGGCCGAGTGGTTAAGGCGCGCGCCTGCTATTCATGAAGGTGTCAATATTATATACATTACATGTGTTATAATTGAGCTTCTTTCAGATCATAATAGCGCGTACTCTCGAGTGCGCAGGTTCGAATCCTGCAGCTGTCGTGATTTTCTTTTATTATTTCGAACAAACAAACAACTCGTTTTTACTTTTTACCTTGTGGCCCGCCCATCCATCCCTTTTTAATGATCATACAAATCAAGAGATTTACTTCCTCACGCAAACTTTCAGGATGTCAAGATTGAGGCTAAGAGTCATGGGTTGCCCCGGCTCTACTTGTCATATTGTATATCCACTCAGCTTCTAGGTGGAAAAGCACATATTATTGTATAAGTTACAATTAGAATGTGCCTTTGGGTGCCGTCAAGGCCAAAAAGGGCATCCGGAGCGGCCGTTTCTGGCGTCGTCTGCCCCGGAAACTTCGCCAAGACGGGCAATCCGTGGGTGCTGCTTTTAGCCCTGACAGAGCGGCATCTGGACATGTACCTGTAGTACAGTTATTTTACCCTCAGCCTGCCCAGTTCACCCCCATCCAGCTATGATCCCTGTCCTGCTGAGCCGTCCCCATCAGACGCGACCGGCTGAGGACGATAGAACACTCAGCGGGGTCACAGCGACAAGGAGGGAAAGGAGCTCCGCTCTTGAACACCCACTGACCTTTTTTTTCATCCCGTCGCAGTATAGCAGGAGGCCAGAGAGGAAGATAAATAGCCCTGTACACGCCTGCTATTTTGTCACCATGATTCTATCCTCTTCACTCCTCGCGCCCAGCGTCAGTCTTCCACAGGCACTCTTTACACCATGGGATTTTTTGGCCTTCCCGAAGAAAATATGCGCAACAAGAGAAGCACGTAAGTCCTATCTCTACTACGCTGAGCGTCGGAAGCTGCACCTCGAAAGCGGACCAACACTGCCCGAGTATGCATCTAACATAAACATCTCAGCGGCCTCGGTCAGGGGAAAATGGAGTCGGTATGTCTTAAGTCCAGGGAATGCCTATTCCTAATCCCAAGCTACACTACTAACCGTCTTTATTGCCAGGTTCTGCTCCCAAGCTTGCCAGGACCCAGACACCCTGCTTATGAATCTTACAGCACCACATGTTAAATCCTGGTTTGACTGGATTGAGGAAAACTTCTCGGGATCTCGTAAAGCCTACAGTGCACTTGCAAACTATTGGAGAACTCTGAAAAGACTCTATTTCATTAAATCTCACTAGGAAATGGAACCGAGCATGCAGACGGACTGACTTAATGTGAGTGTTCTCGGATGAAACTGGCTTTGAAGGTCGGCTAATACAGCCGTATAGTATATGAACGTTGTGAGTAGGCGGATAGGCTTGCGCAGACACCCTCTGCCCAAGCCCACAGCAGCATCAGATGACCTTCTGCATTTTCTTGTCACCCACATGGCTCATTGCGACTCGGTGTTTGCCGATGAGAAGCAACGACTATATGTCTTGGCTGATCTCAATTTATTGAGCATTTTCGCCTGCCGAGCAGTATCATTGTTTGACACAAGACATACTGTTAACCTTCAAGCTGATGGGCGCCCCCTCGAAACTTCTGGATCCGAGAACCCTATTAATCATATGGAATTTGAGAGCTCGGTTAACAAGTCGGAGGACGAGGCACCCTCGGGGGTTTCTAGCCATGAAACGGGTAAAAACACTGAGATGAGCGAGCTAGAAGAAACCGAACTGGATGACATTTGCAGCTACCACTCTGATCTGGATACTGCGAGCGATATCGACTGCGATTCAGACGTACATAGCGTTACAGATGACAGGTATTTCGAGGGCGACGAAGAAACCAATACTATCCTTTGGAGACATGTTGGATTCTATATTGTCCGCAATCCGACTCCCGGTGAACGCTATATTCTCGCCGCTATCATAACCCTGCTTTACACGAAAGGGGAGGATCGAAAACCGAGAATGTAAGTACCAGACCTAAAGCAGATCATGTTAACCATCTACTATCACGAATACAGGAAGAGGGCGATTGAACATGAGGAAAACCTGATATTCGACCTATTAAGTCAGCTGATGGCGTTGGCTATCGACGATGACATCTTCGCCGCGACGATCAAGGACGTGACGGATATTTACACTGTGCCTATCCCTGCACATCGTAGAGGTATTCAGATGAAGATAAAGAAAGAAAAATTGGATATCCCGATATTTCGGGAGCCAGAGCATACTGATGACGGCTATCGAACATCTGATAGTCAACCACTCAAGTCACGGACATGGAGTCGCATCCTGAAACGACTTAGAATTCGGGCTGGACAGGCGCATAACCTGACACAGAAAGTGCTTCGCCGGGGCGGAATCAACGCGATCAACAGTATGTTTCCTGCTATATAGATGCTGACCCCTATAGCTAAATACTCCGCAAATAGGCCAAGCCCCATCGTCTGTTCGTGATCAAGTTGCGGATCATGAATCGAATGCTGTCAAATATTACCTCAATGAAGTAGTGTGAAAGCCAATCAAGATGATCAAAACTGATTCATTTGGTACTAAAAGACTAAAATTTCAAGCGTAGGGAAGGAAGGAAGGGAAGGAAAGTGGGCGGACTGAGTAGGTGGGTGTCGGCAAACAAGGTAACAGTACAAAACAGAACAAACAATGCCCTTGGGTTAACTAGGCCCTCACAGTAGGGCATATCTTAATATAGAGATATACGCGCTCGGTAATAAATATCAGGTTAAGGGATTGATGAAAGGAGACATTATAATCCTGCGTATATACTTGATTTTCTAGCCAGACCGATGGCTTTCCCTTTCCGTTTTTGTGTTTACCTCTCGCTGTTTTTTGCTCACTGAGTAGACCTAAATACGCCCTGAGTACGCTCTGAGCAGCCTGAGGCGATCACTGAGCACAGAGTGGGCGGAAGACTGAATGCCCTGAGCGAGTAACCCTAATGAACTACACCCTACCTACCGACCTCCCCCTTGCCCGTTTATCCACTTCTAGTCTATTTTTGCCCGGCACACTCCCTAAAAAGTCCAGCACTACCATCACGAAAATGACGAATAAGTGAAGCTATTATTCCTTCTGATGCCTACGGCCGTTTCCCCAGTAGTGGGGTGCGCTTTCACCATCTAATACCGTCTAGTTCAGGCCCACAGGTGGGGCGGTTGCCCACTGAGCCAACTAAAAGACTAGAATACCAAGTCAGCAGACTTGGTACGCGCATCGCTCTATATAGTGATTCTTGGTCAGTTCGTCACAGTAGTATATAGAAGCCCTAGATCCTCGCTCCTAGATAATCAAGGAAATTAATAGATTGGCTGGGGAGAATGATGATGTGGAAGCCACTGCTTAGGTTCTTGTGGAGGGCAAGTATCCTTGTGAGCTTGATATTACCTCAAATCAGAGCCTCAGTATAGTTTTTCAAGATGGTTCTTATGGTGTGACATGCCAGTCATTCGGATCTATAATGCTGATATACTACTTAGTATACCTCGGAATAAGAACGTCCGTTGGATCAAGAATTCTATATTTACGACCCGTCTTAGGAAGTAAGTGTGGGACTAAAGATGAAGGCTGTTATGAGTAAATCCTGTACGGTTTAGAGATTATCTGAATGTCGACCTGCGGTTGATAATAATTTATCTTCAAACGAAGAGAGCAAATAATGTGGGCTTAAGAGAGAATGAAAATTTGACTACTAAAATCCCAGAAAGTCAGTAACGCATAAAGAGAACCGAGACTGTGCTGATCCATGCTAAGTTGAAGTTCGTCGACTCGCGCCTGAACCGCTGGTCAAAATAATATCAGATCGCCCATGCCAAAAGCCGAAGATAAAGCAGGTCGACTGCGACCGCTGCGGATGTGAATTAGGCTCTCAAACGCCTAAACACGTCCTTATGGAGTGCTCGCTGCACCTCGCCAGTCGGAGAATAATAATGGAACGCCTCGAATTTATCGAGTGACTGCGTGGGCGTATACAGGACTACGACGCAGTCATGAACCACCCGCAGGCGATACGCTACGTCGCCGATTTCATGCAACGAACAGGCCTCCTACAGCAGTTCCGATTCGCCACCTTTAACGAGGAGGACGAGGAGGTCCCGGAACCCAGCACCCTCCTAGAGGGACTCGATCTAAACGAGGAAGACGATGGTTACACAGAACGCTAAGACTCAACTGGCTATACGACGCGCACATGCAGGAATACTACAAATAGAACGGAGTGGAAGGAGAGAACAGCGCCTAGAGGCGCAGTAGGCACGCGGCAGGCGTGTGGCAGCCGGTTTAGTTGTGTTACTTTTTTATTTCCTTTGTCTACTGCTTTGAGGGTTTATATGGCGTATGGGCTCGAATTCTGCTTCAGTCGGCGAAGCGCCTGCATAGCTTAGCGTTTCAATAGATAGGCTTCATCAGGTTAATAGATTTTTGATTGATTGATTGGTCGCCGAAAGCTGATGGCCAGTAATACCCCAAAAAAAGAAAGAAAATGAAAAGAAAACGGCCGAGTCGATAATGCAGCAGGAAGTCGTCCGACATCCCTACTCCGCAGACTTCTTGAAGCCCACTAGACTGCTCTCCAGGTAGTCCTTTCTCTCCGCTTCGCCTTCAACGCAACATTCGAAGTTCCCATTCGATTTCAAAGAAAAAGTCGTGCTCAGGCCCTGCAGAAGTCTCACAATCTCTCTTTTAGCCATTGTGTTCGGAAAAGACATATCGAAGATAACATGCTCGATCGCATGACCCCGTGGGATGGCCCGACATGCGACCCACCATTTCTCAACAAGCGGTGAGATGTTGGGACCATCGACGCCACCTTCTACTTCCGTGTCTGTAAGCTTAGCGGTTGAGATTGCGTGTAGTATGACCAGTCGGAGTCGCCTCATGTGTATAACGATTTGTTCATGAGTTTTGGCATTGCGGAAGATGGAGCTGAGATGGTCGGGGTGGACAAAGACGAACGTGCGTTTAGATGAGAGGTCTTTGATGGCCTCAGGGGGGATAGCTGTAGTGGGTTCTCCGTTCTTGGAAGGATCGTACAACCGGAGAGTCGGGAGCCCCAGGTCATCTGTAGTGACGAGGATTTCTTGGCTCATGATGACAGGAGAGGGTTTGGAGGGGTTTTGTGTCTCAGAAATTGATGGATTCGGTAGTTGGTGGATGAAATTTGATGGAAGGAATGATATGCGGGAAGAAGAAGTTGGTGACGGAGAGGTGAAAGAAGGCATGCCGTAGCATATCACAAGCGGGTCACATGGTCGTACCTATAGGTACCTGAGGCTGCGAACTTCCACCTGGAATTCATGCCTCATTGGATGAAGAACCAAACTACTCGCAGGAGGTCTCCATTGATTGGCTTGAGATCAGATAATGAGTTCGTACCTTCTGATCACCACAATTCCGAATCCCTGTATTGGCTGCAGAAAACTCCCGATATCCCTGTTGATCGCCCCGATGGTATTGGATGCTAAACCTCCGATGGGAAATCTGACCACAGGAGAGAGCCGTCTTACTGTCCGAGACATCAGGTCAAGAACGAGATGTGTAGCTTCTCTTCATGCCAAGCAGGCCTGAAACAATCGGTCTCATAGCACCACTACTGCTTGACGTACTATATTGGAATGTTTTGGCCTACATGGACACATTGGCACTTTAGCATGCATGTTCTATGAAATAGGCTATGCAAGACGTGCTGTTATGCGAGCGTCATGTCTCGGAATAAGTAATAGTTGAACTACATTGAGTCAGACAACCCCATCCGCCAAGCTGCCAAGCTGTCACTCATCTTGACGCTCAGATAATAAGTATCAGAGCGCCGTAAAATAGAGATGAGATAATCCAAACTCCACATTCAACTAGGTAGTAAATTTTCGTGCTTTCTGTAGGTGTTTTTGTTGAGGAAATCCAACTACATACAAATTAGTATGTTCGAAATTAGTACGTTCGAAATAATTGTAGTTCTTCCGGTGAAAGCCTCATGAAGCAGCATTGCACCAAATGAAAAGCGTTATGCTTAATTGTCTGTACTCATCGAAGTGTAATATCGCCATTTCTTTCCTTTTCCAGCCACCGTCTTTCTATTTTGACCTCTCCACATTACACACTGAGGTCAAAGCCACTCGTACTAGTCGCATGACCTCAGTTCGTTTCCAAAACGTTGCACAGCAGTCGGGAATTAAATGAGTGATCGACTGATCCTCAAGCTTCCAAGTGAGCCGCGCTCTAGCAATCGAGCCCAGCATCAAAAGATATAAAGGCTCCCAAGATTGCCTTACTATGTGGATGATTAACAAGCTCTCTCTCTCTCTCTCTCATCCAACCCCCAAGCAAACCGAAATAGGCAACCCAATTCTACCAAAGCGTATCCAGTTCATCGAAAGCTTCAGAATGCACTTCAAATCTCCCTTTCTAACCATCCTCTTCTCCCTCTTCGCCTTCCTCACCCTCGCCAACGCAGTTGACCTGTACCAATACACCCGCCATAGCTGCGGCGGCCGTCGCTCTGTCTGTCGCCGTATCAACCAACGAGTCTGCTGCCAGTCCCGAAACCGCGTTTTTGCCTCTGGCAGCTCCACCGCTCGCACAGACACTGATTTGCACATCACCTGGAATAGAAACGGAGGGCAATACTGCGGAAGAGTCGCAGCCTCTGCCAACCGAGGCCGGTGTATTTCGGGCGGTTCAAATCTCCGCGGCCACTCCTGGTGCCGGCTCTGTCGCACCCTTGCGAGCGAGACGGAGGTTAATACAGCTGCCTGTACCTCTAGTGTGGAGCCGGATGCCCTTGAGATTGGAAGCAAGTGGTTTGCTATTAATAACACGGTCTCTGAAGATGAGAAGAATGCCCTGTGGGCGCTGTGGCAGGGAGAGGTAGTTGATGAGAACGTTCCACAGAGTCTACTGCGATATGTGACCGAGTGGGTGGCGAATGAAGAGGTTGATGATGTGCAGGTGGCTGAGGGTAATGCGGATGATAAGCCAGGACAGCCGAGTGATGATCTGCCGGGCGAGGTGCCGGAAAATAGCGAGGAGGGCACAGCGTAGGTTTCCGAATTTCGTTGGTGGGGTGGCTGGGGGATGAATTGTAGTTGGACATGGTTTCATGTAGCAGGTTTTCACGCTGGTTATTGAGGAAAGGGGCCTCCCGGGCCGCTTTCATACTTATTTCAGTTAGTCGAGATGATGCGGACTGTCAATGTTTGAGGAGTCTGCAGTTCACCAATAATCAAATGGTACTTGTTGAGATTAAAACTGAATTTTAATTCTGCGATCGAATCAACTCGAACGTCTTGAAATTTATAAGAGTATCTCGTTCAATCGCATATTTACCCGAATTTCCTTCTGTCAGGACAGTTGGTCGAGGGCTTCGAAGTATTGCCAAGGAACGCCAACAAAATATCTAGGTGCAAAGCACTCTATTGCTCTTGACTGCTGGATATCTCCATTCCGACAAGCATTTATGGCGGTTACCGGTTACTTTATCGATGACGACTGGGATTACCGGGACATCTTGATTGGCTTTGAGCGCTTATGGAACGCATTCAGGCGTGAACCTAAGTGCTGTACTTCTAGATCTGCTACAGCAGCATCAGATTATGGATCGGGTGCTTACAATTACCACTGACAATGCATCGAACAACAATACGTTGATGTCAAGCATTCAAGAATCCGTCCAGTCACTTGACCTTGATAATAATACTGCTATTATCCGGGTTCCATGTATCGCCCACGTTATCCAACTTAGTCTTAAGCAGCTTGTTGGTCAGATGAAAGCTAATCCTAAGAACGAGAAAACTGAGATATGGTCAGAAGCTCGGTCTCAATCGGTTCGCACGAGTGTAAGGCAATAAAAACAAGAGATTGTTGATACCCTTCATAAGGTTGGCAATATCATTGGTAGTTGTCAAACTACCCGCACAAAATAGATGGGGGTGAGCGGCTCACTGAGTATACGTGACTTCTCAATAAGCAGGAACTCCGTACTCAGGGAGCGGTGATCCGTGATATGAAATACTCACTGACAGACCACTGAGCGCCCTCACCAAAGCGGCGGTGTCTCGAAGAGGAAGTCTACGGTTGTCCTAGAAAATCAAGTACGTATAGCTACATATGTCTCACATTGACAGCGGCTATAGTGCCCAATCAGAGGAAACAGCGCGGTTCGGTCGATTGGTTAACCGGTCTGGCCTTCTATATGTACTAGGGTATCGATCCTTGCCCTTGCCCTCCTGAGCGTCGATCGTAATTCCGTCCACCTTAAAATGCAGAAGGATCCCTAGATCAGTCGTTTATTAATCAACCGGGCTCGACGGCTGGTGGTTTCCCTCCCCTGTTATAGACACCAATTTGCTTACTGTCGATGATGGGGCTTTGTATATTCTTCTATAGCGAGTGAACTCGATATATAGATCGTGAAAACAAGTCTGATTTGTCTCTCCAATACATATTAAATGACTCCCCCATCCAACATTGAAACAACATCTTCATGGCCCTGTTGCAACCCAACATCCCTCACAGTACGGCCCTTTTCATCTCTCACACTAACATCAGCACCCCGCTGCAGCAGGAGCCGCACGCAGTCCAACGCATTACCCTTAACCGCATAATATAGAGCCGTTTCCGTCCACTGGTAGTCGTTATGATACTCGTACTCGCGTTGGCTGACAGGGAAGCCAACTTCATCCAGTAACCACTCCAGAACATCGATCCTGCCGCCTTGGGCAGCCCGGTGCAGGGCATTGCTGCGACAGAAGTTGCCCCCGTGGGCGGCGAGAAGTCGGAGAGTCTGCATTGAGCCATGTTCAGCAGCAAAGCTGAGGACATCAATATGACCTTTGTAACCTTGGGCGTTTGGATCAGCGCCATGGGCGAGGCACCAGCGTACGCTTCTCTCATGGTTCACGACTTGTCTGTGGAATTGATTTAAATTACAATGTCCACCGGCGTATATTACCTAGGGAGATATACTAATCGATAGATAGGTAGATATCATGGTTAGGGGAGATTCAACTAGAAATACACGCACCTGAGGATCGTACAATGATTCTGCTTTATCGGCTCATTGATCCCCCATCCATGTTTCTGAAATAACTCCAGGACATCAAACGACTCCGTCTCCATCGCCCTCTGGATGGCGATGCGTGAAACTAGCCACTTTCTGTCTTCCAGAAGGTACCGGATTACATTTACTTGATTCTTCCTTGACGCCTGGATCATCAACCGGTTCAGCATGATATAAATTAAATCTATGGGCTCGGCGGGGTGATATTTGCGACCGAGCGCCTGGCAGACTTCTTTTTCCTCGGCGACCGTAATTCTAGAGCATAGATAATCCGTTTGCGTGTGGTTGTTACCGGTTATGCCCGCCTCCCAGTGGGCGAGCTGGGTTTGGAGCTGGGCGAGGTTGCCGTCGTTGGCGCTGACTTGCATCTCGTAGCCGAGCTTCTGCTCTGTTTTGGCTGTTGCCATGGTGTAGTGTTTATTTTGGGTGAGTTGGGGAGGGGGTAGAGGGGAAGAGGGAGAAGTTTTATTGGGGTTGCCTGCCCACGTGATATCTACACCGGAGGGGGGCTTCTTCCCTCCTAGGGGCTTCTTCCCTCCTACAACTGCCTCACAAGAGTCAGTTATTTGCCTCTGGTGGTAGCTCGTCATCTCTCACGCAGTCAAGACTCGATTTTGTCCCTCCCACCTTCCCTCTGTATATAGAAACTACTGCAATACAGACACATTGCCTCCCTACTAGACCTGGCTAGGAACCGCGAGTGAACCTCACGAACCTCAAGGAGGTTCACCCACCCGGAGGTTAAGGTTCCATGACCTAGAACCTCCGGGCGGTTCCATCTTGGACCGAACCTCATGGAGGTTACCCGCGGGTGAACCTGAGGTTCAACAAACATGACAAACAGGTAGAAAACGTGACTTGGGGTCAATTGTATAAGTTATGTAGAAACAGGCTGTATTCTCTCGTAATTATAAACCAAAACTTCATTACTGTATGGCTTTACAGGAGGATTTAGTGTATATCATGGGTTTAGCTTCCAATTAGGGTTTCAACTTTCAATTATCAATGGTTTACAAGAATAGGGAATTCCCTCTGATGATCTTTCCAGAAGATCCGAATAGATCCTTTGATAGTATCTAATTAGGTAAAGTTAGTTATATAATTTATAAAGTAGGCTTACTTACTTACTACTCTGGAGATATTTGGTAAGCTCGTCGTACTGCGGAGCAGTTAATCGTTATAAAGAATTGCCGTTAAGGGCCTTCTTAAGCTCCGATTCAGTTGTAAATAACTGGCTATCAGACTGTATCATCTCTGATGGTATACGTTGGCTATATCTCTCAAAAAGAGACTGAAGGCTTTCGCGGTATTCCTTTCTGTAATCCTTTCCTATCTCAGGATCTAGGTCCCAATCACTTGTTGAAAAGAACTCCATCTTGCTCGACGGCGCTAGGATCGTTCCAATTGCGTAGAGATTACCTTCGATATTATCTGTCTCGCCGTAGTATTTCTTCAGTTTCTCTTTCGCGGTCTCGAGGGAAGAAAACATTAGCTGTTTCCAGGGAACCTTCTTTCGACGAAGCTGACGCATCGATATTTCAAGATGATCAAAAAGCTTATTGTAAATCTTAAAGACAAGGTAGATACTCGAGTCTTTAGTACGACAAACTAGCGTAGTGAGCGTAAAAAAGGGCTGAAGAATACAAAGCAGATAGTCAATCTGTTGCCACCCCTCTGTACTCAGTGTAAAATGGTGTTGATCATAGTCAGAATAGAACTTGTTGAATGCGATATAAAGCCTCTTCGCCCGTCGGAGCATCAGAAATGTCGAATTCTACCGTGTACGAATATCCTAGATTAGAAGAAGCCTTAGTGTATTACTAGGCTGGGTATTTAGGAAGGCTTCTTTGCGTTAAGGGTTTCCGTTGATATAAACTGCAAGACCTCGGACCTATCAGTAACCAGAATAGTTAGTGTTATTGAATTATGATTTATGATTCATGAATAGAAACATACCTTGTTCAGAGTATCGGCAATCTCATGTTTCTGCTGGCGTATACTAAATAAACGTACACGATTATCAGACCATTCTGTTTCAGCGTTATCATTCTTTGGCGAAGCCTTGATTTTACCAAGTAAATCAACTAGACTCAATTGAATAATATGCGCAAGGCAGGGCACTTGGACGATCGTAGAATCCGTTTCTATCTGTAGTTTCTTGATTGAATCATTTACTGCTGCGATAAGTGTCTTATTGTTAGACGCATTATCAGTTGTTACTGCCAGTACTCGATCAGCGATTTAGTACTTCTGTAGGATCTGGAGAACTATGTCCCCGAGGTTCACGCCAGTATGAGATCCAGAAATTGGCTCAAACCCAAGTAGGACCTCACGATACTCCCATTCCTGGTCTAAGAAGTATCCTGTGATAGCCATAAATGCGTGCTTGAATGGTGAAGTCCAACAGTCAAGCGCAATCGACATTTTTGCACTAGATGGGAGCTGTTGTAGTGTCTCTTGTTAATACTCTGTAACAAAACCCCGGAGGCGGTGGCGAATTACCTTTCTTAATGAAACGCTCGGTAGTGTAGGTACTAGCCGTATATAGGAAAAGAGATTATAGAATTTTTGGTGTTCGACGAAAAGAAAGGGTAAATGCGATACAGTAATCAGGTTTAGAATCTTCTGTTCCCATATTTGTTGGGTAAAGGTAGGCGCTGGTCTTCTCTCGGCCTAAAAGATAGTTAATTCATTATTAGTATTAACGTTAAATATAGGCTATTTCGAACATACCGCGTCACTAAATAGTTACTGGATATTACCCTTTTTCGTAATTCGCTGTCGATACCTTGGCCCATCAAGATGCTTCTGCATCGATGAGTTTCCAGTATAATTTGTAGCTGGATGCGTAAGAACTGTACGGTACCGATTGCATATAACATCAGGCTTTCTATCTTTAGCATGTGTAACTTGTTGAAATCCAGTCTAGCAGTTTGCGCGACAGTTGACCTCCCAGTTTAGCCGCTTCTTTTTACCAAAATCGGTTTGAAGCCATCACTTAACGAATTCCGCGGACATGTCGGTTGTAAAGACGATATATTCGTTAATGCTATCCGGCTTGATTCGCGTAAGGGTATCTGGGGCCCGAGGTCCTGCGCGAGATCGGACTTGATTGTCTAGAAGATCTGGAAGGTCTGGAACTGAATCAAACTGGCTTTCGGAGGGTATTTGACTCTGGCTTTCGCGTTAGGATAGCGTATCGTCTGGAGTAAGGTATTGCAGCGCATCTAGTGGTAACCTTTCGAAGCTAGATGATGCGTAGCCATAGACGTCGGTAATCTGAGACATAATAAATTCAGTAAACTAGTATAACTTGGGGCGGAAGATAATAAGAGACTTACTGATTATTTTGTAGAAGTTACGGGATATTCTTAGGGTATCTGTTTGTCCCTGTTCTACATACTCAAATTGATCTATCAACTTTTGTATCCACCTATCTATATCTGATTCGCTAGTATAGTGGATCACTATAGAAACGAACCTCAATAAACCTCAACGAACCTCAACGAACCTTAACGAACCTTAACGAGAACCTCATTTACCCGCATAGAACCTCTAAGAGAACCTCAATATAGGAAAAACAGAACGTCCAAGTCCAATAATTGGGACCTTTGAACCGGATTTACGGTATACCTAGATCATCTGACTTGAATTCTTGAAGATAAAGTGATAGAAGAAGACATAACAGTTTGAATAATATAAAATTGAGGGAATTTGAACTGCGTCTTTATAGTTTTCTTGAAAAACAGTAGTTTTACTGATGAAGATATACATACTTTACAGTGTCTGCGATATATATATCTATAACTTTACATGCTGTTTTATCGATGACCTCAATTGACTACCTATCACGTCGATATTATCGAATATTACCTGTAATTTGTAGCTGACTACGCCTATTGTTTACTTTTGCATGACTATTTCTTTATAATTCATTATGTTGATAGAGTATTCAGTGAAAAGTCTACAGATTGACGGAACAGCTGTAAAAAAGAAAGATGAATCATCAATTTTATCCGGCCAAAAGAGGAAAGGCGTCAAGAAATTATGCATATGTAGGTTTATGCGGGTCGATGGAGGTTGAACCTCAACGAACCTCTGGAGGTTAATGGGCGGTTGGAGGTTAGGAAGGTTGGAACCTCACCTCAGGAGGTGAGGTTCGAGGTTCCGGAGTAGGGACCCATGCGGAGGTTCAAAGCCAGGTCTACTCCCTACAAGGGAGCGCGGATGGGCTTTCTCTGACGCTACAGTCTAATGCGTTTACGCATAAGACTGCAGCGACAGGTGGCCCATTACGGCCAAACTGTACACGTTCCTGTTCCTACCTTGACTGCGAGAGGTCACCAATAAAATGGTCTATTTTTTTCCTGGGAAATGCAAGAGGTGTAGCGGATGAACAAGGAGGCATTTATAGCCTACGGAGTATAGTAGGGAAGCTTTGGCCCCCATGCTCGTGATTAAATAATAATGGGCTCGATGTCGGGAATTGCTAAGGAAATCACAGTTTTTTACTAGTTATAACTATTGACGGGGAGTGTGTAAGCATCTTCTCTCTTCTTTTCTTATTCTTTTTATTTTTATTTATTTTTATTTTTTTAGTTGATTCCTCATCTTCTAAAAGACGTATTTTGTTTTTCGTTGTCTCCCCATGACGCAACGAAAGCAAGCAATCCTACACCACCACACCCACACATACACAGATCCATATATACTAACATCAACCAGAGGACTGATAACGTCCATAATGCGCTGCGTTGCATTCTTCCAAAGCAACCCACTCGAAGACGGGACCTGGTCCTCAGTGACATTCCTAAACTGGAGCATCATCGAGCCAGGCGTCTACCTCCTCGCCGCGTGCCTACCCTGCTACAGGCCCCTAATCCTAGCCGTGGTTCGGCTGACTGCGCACCACAGCACGAAGCGATCGGGAACCACATACCTGAATCTATCAGATAGCAAGCCGACAGATGGGAGATGGAAGAATGGAGAGATATTCCCTAGTCCCCCTGTTTCGAATAAACAGGAAGCTGTGGATTGTATCCGTATCGGGTGAATACTAGGCCTACTGAGCGGATGAATGATGAGCGGGGTCTGCCGGAGGAGGAGGAGAAGAAGAAGGAGAGGATGGGATATGCTCGAGATTGATAGTCTTTCTAGGGATGGGGAAATAAGCAACGTTCGTTGGGTCGGCGAATGTCATAGATACCTGTACGTTAATTTCACTCCTTTTAGTTTCTACGCCTGCGTCGATTCCACCCCCTACGAATTTTCTATATAATTCAGTGATCTCGCTTTCTACACCTTTTACGCCCTCAGTATCCAGCTCCCCTACATCCCATGAGGCGCCGGCGAACTAACTTATAAGAAATTATATATAATCCTAATATTATATATAATCGATTTTAAATAATTTGCTATATATTTATACAAGTATTTTCGTTTTTCATCGAATTATGCCAAGATTTTTTTTGCGATTTTTTATGATTTTTGGTGGGTTCTGACGCGGTGATCCGTTTCCCGGTGTAGAACTGTACAGAGTCAGCGTCGGAGAGGGGTTGGTGATCCAGATTGCCTGTCCTTGTCACACTTACTCACTGCCCTAGCCAGTAGCCAGCTCCACCGTAAGCACTAAAGCTTGCCCGTTCTCGGGTGCGCCGGTTCCGCCCGCTGGGGTCAAAAGTCGTTTATCACCCGAAAAGCCAAATCATCCCTCCGTTCATGCGGGGTGGATAAGGGGGCCGAATCATACAAGGCTAAACATATATGGAGTAGACTACCTAGAGCCAGGGACCTCGGGTCCGTTGTGCGCAATGAAACCGGCGTCTCCAGGAAATTACTTGGAAGGAACACTAGGTATACGGAGTACAGTAAAAACCCGTTATAGCGAGATAAAGGGGACGCGGTGCAATCGCAGGACTTCTTTAACTAGTGCATCAATATATGGAAGATTGTTCCGATCTTCTAGGCCTGGCAAACGACCCGTACCCATGATCAGATAAACGAAGGGGGCGGAAATTGTTTCACAATTTCCAAGTATGGTGGGCTACCTTCTGATCTTCATTGGCTTTGGACGATGCTCCATGTGGGATGAAACCGTCAGGTTCGCGAACATCAGCATGACCAGGACCAAAAAGGCGCAGATTCGCATTGCCCAGCCAAATTCAACCCGGGGAATCAAATGTTGGACCATGAGAGGAAACACCACCCCGCCAGTCGAGGACCCTGCCACGGTGAGCCCAGAAGTAATCGCCTTCCTTCTGCGAAACCAGGTATACGGCTGGGAAACAGTCAACAAACCAACAACCACCCTGGATGTGTCTGAACGGGGTGTAGGGGAAGGGGGAAGGGCAGCCCCCATCTATGTATTCCTTACGGCGGCCATGGCAGGGGTGAAGATGAGAGCGCATCCCAGTCCAGAGCAAACCGATTGGCTCAGCATGAACTGATAGTAATCGTGCGAGATGCTGGCCATCATCAGCCCGAAGGTGTGCACCAGCGTGCCTATCGCAATAGGCACTCGCGGCCCGTAATTGTCAAACAGCTTCCCCGTCACGGCGGAGGAGAACATCATGAAAAAGACTGTGAATGATCTTCGTGAGTCGAGGGCAGGTGCCACACGAGGGCTTTTGGGGACCAAGATTCCATCGACGTGATCTAGGAGATCTAGGAGATCTTGGAGCTGCTGTACTCGCGTAATTGATTGGTTTCGTACTCCGCCTGAAACACCCCGATGCAATCGACCCAGCCGAACGAAGCAAACAGAGCAGCGGCCGAGCCGGCGACAGTCAGCCATGCCTTTGGGTTCCCTTCCTTGGGGGGGGGGGGGGGGGGTCAAGCTCAGTCTTGGGGACCTCGGATGGATCGGATGGGGGGAGTGGTTTGGAGGGAGAAGAAGACATTGTCCGTGCTTCCTGGGAGTGGGAACTTTTTTTGGTATACTTTTTCGAGATTGTTCGTTTCGACAAAAAGATCGAAGGGTCTCTTTATAGCCTACAACCCATACATATCTCGGAATACTGGACGCGTATGCCGCTGCGTGGGATTTGTGGCAATAGCTAGTTAATGAAACAGCCTTAGGTAACCAAGGGAAAAGAATCCCTGCAGCCTCGGCTACGAAACTTCTTTGTCTGCCCCTCCGAAAGTCCCTCCAACGCCTCCTTTCTGTATTTATTAATTTCCTTTCTCTGCCGGACCAAACGATGTAGAGACCAACCAAACCATGTCGACCACCAACTTCAACGTTACGGAGCACACTATCCCCGCGGGCCACATTCGCGAGTATGCCGGCAGCACCGCCAATAGTCAAGAGGAGGTGCTGCAGCTCCATGTGAAACAGTACACTCCTAAGGAGCAATCACTGCCCCTGTCCCCGAATGCGGTGACCATCGTGGCAGCCCACGGGGTTGCTCTGGCCAAGGTAAGCCTCGAGGACTCCCCTAGAACGAATTGGAAGGTTGATCGGCTGCAAAGGAACTGTACGAGCCGCTGTGGGACGAAATATGGCAGCGTTCCAGGCAGAATGGAAACGTGCATATCCGCAGCATCTGGATTGCCGACATGGTCAATATGGGCGGCAGTGGCATCCTCAATGAAGACAAGTTGAGCACGGATTGTGAGTTGTGGCCAGGAATCCTCTAGGTTAGCCAGCTGATGAAGGTATACATAGTCTCCTGGATGGATTGTGCCCGAGACCTGCTATTGATGGTCAATCACTTCCGCGATCAAATGCCTCGACCCATCGTGGGGGTGGGCCATAGCTTTGGAGGCACCATCATGTCCGTTCCCTCTCCATATCAGATAGAAGAGCCGCAACTAATAACGCGCGACAAGAACTAACCTAGCGTATCTGCATCCTCGTCTCTTCACGACGGTCGTCCTCTTAGACCCCGTCATCCAGCTGACCCCGCCACCCATGGGATTTGGGACTGAGCCCCCCAGCGCAGTTAACTTCACTCTGTATCGTCCCGACGTCTGGCCAAACCGCAAGGCCGCCATGGCCACTTATGCGAAGATCTTCCCCTCTATGGACCCTCGTTGTCTGGAGCGAGCGGCCAAATATGGATTCCGCGATCTGCCCACGGCTCTGCATCCAAACCTCCCGGAAGGCAGCAATGCGTCTGACCCACCCGTCACGCTCACCACCACCAAATACCAAGATCTGCTGGGTCAGATCCGCGAGAATTTCTCGGCCCGCGCCCCGGACGGCTCCATCCAAATCAACCGTCGCACGCACGCAGACATAGATCCCCTGGCCGCCTTCATCCCTATGTATCGTCCGGAGCCACGGAGCACGTTCTATAAGCTCTCGAGTTTGCGGCCGTCGGCGCTTTGGCTTCTCGGGGGAAACAGCTATCTCCGCACGGACGAAATCCGCCAGGGTGTCCAGACCTGTGGAACAGGGGTCGGTGGCAGCGGGGGAATTTCGCCAGGGAGGGTTAAGGAAGTCATCTTGCCCAAGGCGGGTCATCTCTTCCCGTTTGAGAATGTGGCCGACGCGGCTGAACATTGCTTCCGGTGGTTGGATCACGAAATGGCGCACTTCATTCGTTTGGAGCGCGAGTGGGAGGAAAAGCGCCGGTCTATGAGCAAGCGTGATCATCTTGTCTTGGGGGAGGAATGGTACAAGGCTATCAAACCGAACAGTGCTTTCCGAGCTCCGAGACCGAAGAAGGATAAGCTGTGAGCTAGGTAGGAATTGCTGGTCTAGGTAGAATTCGATTTCAACTGTTGAGTAGTAGAACAATTTGCCTGTTGACAGAACGTAATGTAGTTTATCCCTCAAGTGTTCATGTTGATATTTTTCACCCCTGGGCGATCTCAATTCCATGTAAAGCAACTAGGTAGCAAGCTTGAGCGACAACAACAAAAAACCCTCCAAATCGAAATACACTCAGGCTCAATCAACCCCTCTCACGAAACTGAACCATCGGCCCCTCCTTGCCCACCACAAAATTATCTCTAATCATATACTCCCCACCACGCTTAGCGACCCCAACATGCTCCATCCCCGGCGCAATCCGAATATCATACAGCCAAAGCGCCCTCGCAAGCCCCACCTCCAGCTCCATCCACGCCACATTCCTCCCAATACAGGCCCTCGGACCCAGACTAAACGGCACGAACGCCTCCTTCTGCCGGGCAAGGATCTCCGCGCTAACGCCCTCGTCGCCCTGGCAGGCCGGACTACCATGAAGCAGCCAGCGAGAGGGCCGGTAAGCAAACGGATCGTCAAAGTAGGCCTCGTCATGATGTAGCGAGTAAGTCGGGACGCCGACTATGGTACCGGGAGGGAAATATTGGTTCATGACGCGCAGACCGCCGGGCTGGACTTCTCGGGGAAGATCCATGGGGACGGGAGGGCATAGTCGCATGCTTTCACTTAGACAGGCGCGGAGGTAGACCATTTGTTGCATGGAGGGCCGGAGATGATGCTCTCTAGGGTTGAGAATGCGGAGCGGATTTCGGCGGAGAGGCGAGTGAGGATAGGGGGGTGTTTGCAGAGGAAGTAGAATGTTGCAGCTAGGGCTGTGTCGGCTGTGTCGAAGCCTGTGGGAATAAGAGAAGCATACAAAGTTAGCGATCTCTACTATAGACCTTCTTGGCCTCGATCTGAGAAGACAACCTACCGGCTCCCATTAGTAATGTAGTCTCCGAAATCAGCTCTGACTGCGAGTACGCCTCCCCCGTGTCAGGGTCGCGAGCCTTCTGCAAATAGTAGATGATATCTCTCCTTTGCGTCGCCTCCGAATCGATCGCCAGCCGATCGGCTAACTGCTTTCACGAGAATCGGATCTGCCTCTCGCGGCTGGCCGCCGTCCCTCGACGAAGGTACGTATCAAGTCCGAACTTTCGCAGAATAGGCAGCTAGCCACAGATATTCGAGATACGCACATTCAGTGCCATTAGCGGAAAGAAGAACTGGTTCTCCTCTTTAATCGACGTCTCGAAGCTCCGTCCGAAACAGATCTCCCCCAGCACATCAAAGACCATACAGGCGCTCCAATGCGCCATGTCCTTCGGCTCAGTCCACCTGTCCGACGCACCGCTCTTGTTCTTGGAGCTTGCATCTTTCCCGATCGCACCGCACCATTCTCGAATGCTAGAGATAATATGCGGTTCCATGGCGCGGAGGGCCTGGTCCGAAAAGGCCTGCGACATAACCCGTTTCTTACGGGCGTGGACATCCTTGTCGGTGGCGTTGAAGATGCTCACGCTGTAGAAGGAGCTATACCAGCGGGATTTCCTGACGTTGGCCCCGTGTCCGTAGATCGGTTCCAAGGCGCGAACATCCTTGATGGAGATATGGTTTGGGCCGAAGCGCACGATGGGGCCATATTGCTGGTGTAGTCGGTAGAGGTCGGCGTGGCGGTCACTCCTGAGAGCATGGTAAACGGAGTATAAGTGCGTGAGCTTCGACACCAACGGACCGGGGTATTTGGCCAAAGGACGATGCCATACTTGGTAGATGACATATCCGGCGGTCTGTTGGGGTTAGTTAGCCTTGCAAGTCCGTCCGGTATGGCCATGAAGCACTATACGGGTCCCATACCAGGCACAGGACGCCGAGAAGCAGGGTCTCGGGCAGAGAAAAAGCAGCCAGGAAATTGCTTGTGATTGGCATCGTGGTGACTGGTGAGGTTTACTGGTGCTAGTCGATATGACCGCATGAAGGTGGGAATTTCGGGGCTTGGGGACATTCAGGCGCTTTGTAATTTCACATTGCGATCCGCTTTTCAGTCCTCCTTGCTCGCTCGGATAATGCCACATCCAGAGAGGCCATTCGAACGCACCTCACTACTGCAGACCCCGGTTAGGGGGGATTCTGGTGCAGAGCAATCAGCGAGCAGGCAGACTCTCCCACATCACTCCAGCGGAGCCTTATGGGGCTCACCCGTTTCCAATTATAAATTGGACGCAACGCACCCTCCCTTCCTTCGATCAGACGCAGTTGAGTCGCTCAGTCTGCATCGCAATGCATTTTCTTTGTTTACACGGGGTGGGGTCGAACATCCAGGTGCGCCTTAGCTGGTGAGAAGGCTGTGCTGTGTGTTGTGTTGATTGGATTGGATTAACCAGATACAAGATCCTTGAAGCTCAAACTGGTAAGCCACCGAATTGATGAATGATGAACGATGATCTCTAACCGATGGGGCCATTATTAGCTGCCCTCCGATATGAGTTGGGAGACGGTCACACGTACGACTACGCCGAGGGAACTGCCTCATGTCCTATAGACCCCGGTATGTACGTCCAGCAGCAGCATGTGACATGTTTGGCAAAAATAACGTAAGGCCGCCTCATTAGTTATTATTGAATTAATCGACCCTTGTAGGTCTGGCGACGTATTTCCTCACCAACGACGACTGTTTCGCGTACTTTGATCCCTCGCGACCGGAGTCATTTGCGACGGCTTTGCACCACTTAGCCGAGTTCATCGAGCACGAAGGTCCCTTCGACGGAATCATGGCCTTTTCCCAGGGCGCCCAGATGGCCGCTGCCCTGCTGGCTCGACTCCAGGCGCACCGCCCAACCGGCTACCCTGTACGGTGCGCGATCTTCCTCTCGGCCGCCACACCCGACGGCGCCCCCATTCTGGGCCCACCGACCGACGAGGTTGAGGTTCCATTGCAGCTCCCCACCGCGCACATCTGGGGCGAGACCGATTACTCGGCCACTAGTCGTATGCTAAGCACGATGTCTCGGCCGGAATGGTGCTTCCCGTTTGTGCATTCCGGAGGACACGAGGTGCCGGGTGGGAGCTCGAGACGTTACGGATACGCGAGGCCACGGACGGCGGGCTTTATAGCGGCACGGGGTCAGGCGGTGAGGGGCGACACTTCCGGGTTGGGCGGCCCTAAAGACAAATTACATCAGGGTGTAGTCTGTCAACAGACGCAAAGGGGTACATCCCCCCAAATTGTGAGACTGCCTTGAAATTACAACCCTTAACCTCATGTATCCAAAAGAGAGAGAAAGTGTAAGGGAAACAATAATAGATAAAGGAGAATTGACTATCCTATGTTTCAAATTATTTGCTACTGGTATAATATTCACTCCATCAACACTGGTCTAATTCCCAAACACTACCCTCATGCGCACCTAGCTCACTTCTTACTTTCGTCTCACTTTACTATGTGCATGAGTGACTGGTACAGATAACACGTCTTAAAGTAATCATATTCTGTCTTCTGGCAAACTTTACATTCACTTACCCAGAAAAGCCCAGAGCAAGACTGAAACAGTTCCTTATAGACCACTGTCCTCATCCCATCCTAACTCTTATCCACTCGACCCCCTACGAGTCTAAGGACACCATTTAATATCCCTCATCTTCCCAACCAAGCAGCAAACACAAACATACCCGAGAAAACCGTCCACCATGTCCAACTCCACCACCAAGCCCAAGAATAAAGCAAAGGGTACGCCAACTCCCTCCAACTCCCTTTAATCATCTGTGTGCTAAGCCACCTCCCAGATACCAAAACCACTGACCAAAACCCCGCTACCAACTCCAACTCTCACTCGGAATGGATCCAGTCCGCTCTACTCATCATCCAAGCCGGCAGAGAAGCCGAACTGCAGCACCGCCAGACCGTGGCGGACATGAAAGCAATGACCGACATGCTAGACATGCAGGCATCGTTCCCGGCAACCATCATGGCAGTGTCGGCCCTGGTGCGGGATAACGAGATGAATGTCGCCGGGAAGGCGTTCATCGAGAGAGTGCTCTGGGATGTCATTGAGGAGTTGGCGGGATGATCTTTGTTATCTGTGTCTTTGGGATTCGGTATTTGGAGTGTAGGAGAGGGAGGGAGTTGGTTTGGTTTGGCTGGGAGTTTTCTTGTGCTTTCAATGGGTATGTTTTTCCCTGCGTGGATTATCTCAAGGGAGATTTAATAATGTCTTTTCGTGGGAATTTGTGGGTTGAGAGAATTGGGGTAACTACGGGGAAGGTACATACAAAGTAAAGAGTGAAAGAATACACTGACATGCATGTACCTTACTTACTCTCAGACCATGTCTGTTGGAGAGTGTGAGAGAGGACAGATATATCATAGAAGATGACCCGAAAAGCGTAGCCTATGGAGGCGATGGTTATTGTTGCAGGGTGCAGACTGCAGACCAGACCCAAAGCGCGCACGGGCCACACGTCAACAAAGCAGCGTCTTCCCTCGCGCCTCGCCAGCTTCCCCGTCATCCTCGCTCCCCCATTATCCCGTCGCCCTTTGATGATCCTGGCCCACGTGGCGCCCTCTTCAATTGGTATCGGCTCTCCAAAATGAAGCCTTTGAAGCCTTTCAATCCGGCTTGCGATCGCTGCCGCATCAAGAAGTCAGCGTGTGATCGCGTCAAACCAGGTACCGATACCCCACAGGTCCCGTAGATATGAGGCCCATGGCTAACCGCTCCTGTAGTATGTCAGCGATGCACCAACTCAGGCTGGGCTGACTCCTGTTTTTACCGGACAAAGGGTATGGCTCCGGTGCAGAACCGGTGCGTCACTTGTATCACTCAAGTTGGCTTCGTGCGCTAACCTCATCAGGAATCCCAAGCGCGTGCAGACGCATCACCCGCGGTCTTCGCCCATGGTGGTGATCCAATCGCCATCTAATGTGGATTCGTATAAAAAGGAGGACGTCTCCAGTAGGGCCGATTCAGACGAGGAAGATTCAGATTCAGATGATTCAGATGACCCGCGGGCGGCCAAAGCAGTCCCCGACCAGGATGGGCAACACAATCCCGTTGTCATCGATTTGTCTTCATCCCCCTCAGATGAAAGCTTTCACACAGCTATTCTGCCCCGGGATCCTCCCTCTACAACCCGCGATCCGGGGTCCCGATCCTCCCGGCTCACGGGGCAGAAGAGGGCAATCCATGAGCAGGTGAGACAGCGGATACGCGATGGAATCGGAGAAGACTCTCCGTTGGCACGACGCGGCTTGGTCCGCCCTAATCGCCGTCTCTCTCTCGCCTACGATCCAAAATGCCGCCAGTCGTCTGAACAAATATCCCCCGATCTCGCGGACCATCTCGTGGCCGCCTATCTGGCTCATGAGTATGTGAATCTGCCCATCTTCGACCTGGATCAATTCCACTCGTCCTACAGCGCGATCCGAATGGGACGGAATATAGCCTCGGGGTCTACTCCGTTCCACGGCCTCCTCATTACGATATTTAGTCTCTCCGGACTGAGCTGGCACGACGTCGGGGAAACAGACATTGCGTCTTTGTTCAATTACGGCCAGTCGGTCTCCCGAGATTTGGACTCTCGCAGCACTCTGACTGAGCGAGCGCAGGCCTGTATCCTACAGAGCCAGTATCTTTATGCTAGTGGAAGCCCAAGGGCGGCTTTGATCTCGATTGGTTCCGTGGTCCGAATAGTACAGGTCCTAGGCTTGGAAAGTCGGACTCAAGATCAAAACGCCCGCCGAATACAAGACAAAGAGCTGGCCCGAAGAATCTGGCATAGCGCTATGCTTCTGGAGCGCATTATTGCGCTCCAATTGCGACTCCCTCCACATAATTCTCAATTACCTCGTGTGTCGCTGCCTACTCATATGGAAACCGACTACGCCGATGCAATTACGAAGGAAGTTCCCTCGCCGGATGCGGAGCGCGCATCCATCATTGAATTCTTGGCGGCCAGTGTTGGACTCTACGAACATGTGGAAGATATCTTGACGTGGGAGGAGGAAACACAAATGCGACAGGGAAGTTGTGCTGCGAAAAAGCTACTTTGCTTAAACTTCAGCCCGTTTGCTCGTTTGGATGGTGCGCTGTATCAATGGCAGACATCCCTTTCCCCAAGGCTGCAGAAGCCAGGGCTACAAACGCGGCCTACCCATCCCATAATTCATCGCCAGCGCAGTATAATCCGCGCGCGCTATCTTTACGTTCGCCTACGACTTTATCGGCCTCTTCTAATACTAGGACTGGCAGCCTGCGAGAAATGCAGCTGCCAAGTCGGCAGCGGCCCTCATTTCGTGTTGAAGGAATCCTCCCCCGATTGTCCAATCGCGCTCACCGTGGTCCGAGATTCTTCTCTCAAGTGCATTACAGCGGCACTGGAACTCCTGAATCTCTGTGAGCGCGAGCAAGATTCAATGCCTCCCTGCTGGGAGAACATAGACTATCTTTATGCTTGCGGGACCGTCTTTCTCGCCGCTCAATCTTGCCCTTTTGTCACCAATGCTTCGCCCGATCAGCCCGGCCCGGAGGAGATGGAATTATCGCTAGGTCGCGTTCTGACGCTTCTCGAAGGATATCAAAGTATGCAGTCCAGCGACCGCATCTATAACATTGCGCAGCGGTGTCGACGTACGCTGGAAAGCGTGTCGGGAATAATCGAGGGATCGGACGAAGCAGCCGTTTTCGGCGAGGATAACTCTCGTCGTCTTCTTGAGCGCATGAATATGTGCTCCCCTCATAGCCAAGGCGGGAACACCCAAAGCGATTCGAGTCGACTTACACTTTTTGGTTGGTTGAGCAGTTTACCTAACGATTTGACTGGAGATTTGGAATAATTTGGACAATACGATACCCTTAGCGCTTTCTACACTTTTCTCTCTTCTTTTATTTTGGCAGTTCTCATGTAGTACACCCTATACCAAACTGTGCAAATGGTGTAAATGCGACGACTCGGATTCCGTCCGATTTCTCTTCCCCCACGCTTCGCTCCCACCGCGATCTACTTCGGGCTATCATTGCCACGAGCTTCATTCTCTCTCACTCCTTTCTAGTCTGTCTGTTTTTCCGGTGTCATTTCCGATTCGACCTTTCTTCTTCTGTTCCTCTTCAACTTTATTGTTTCTTCTGTTCTTCACGTTGTTCCTCATATAGCCATACCGCTACAGATCAGTTACCATACAAGCCATGCAAGCCTCTAATCGTCACCAGAATGCCTTCCGCGCCGAGCGTGGCCTGACCTTCGGTGCCTGGCAGATGCTGCCCGGTGCCAATCATGCTAGATTCATGGCTCGGACGGGATATGACTGGATTTGCGTGGATACTGAGCATGGGAACATTGCTGGTGTGTCTAATCAGGTCTGAAATGAGATCAAGATTGGAATTGGGATCTAGTTTGGCAAATGCACGAGGCCGTTGCCGCCATTGCGGCTACGGGAACGAGTCCCATCGTGCGAATTGCGGCTAATGAGGGGTGGATGGTGAAGAATATGTCTTTTCATTCGTGACTGTCTGCCTATGTATGGCCAACGCTATCCAGGGGCTTTGAATTCCGGCGCCCACGGAATAGTCGTCCCTCTGCTTTACACCGCGGACGATGCCCGCAGACTTCGAGTCGGCTAAGTTCCCGCCCGTTGGTTGGAGATGGTTCGGCAGCCCGTTCGCCATGAGTTCGACCGGCGGAGTTACCGGGGTTGAGTACCTGCAGCAGGCGAATGATGCCCTGCTCACCATCGTTCAGATCGAGACCAAGGAGGCGCTTGAGAATGTGGGTTGTTGCGTCGAGATAATTTGGCTGGTACTCTGCTAATGAGAGAACAGGTTGAGGAGATCGCCAAGGTTCCCGGTATCGATGTCCTCTTCATCGGACCTTGGGATCTAGGCAATAACATCGGCCGTCCGGTCTTGGGCACATTCCACAACGACCTGAGCGCCGCTATTGAGCGCATCCGTAAGGCGGCCGTCGACAATGGCAAGCGAGCGGGTATTTACTGCGTTGGCGGAGAGGCCGCGAAGAAGTATGCCGACCAGGGCTTCCACATGGTATGTTTGTCTCTTCAAGATACCGGTGAATATGGCTAACGAGTCTCTCCGACTGGATCTCGGTCGTTGCCGATGCCGTCGCCCTCCCGACCTTCCTCTCCAATGCGTTGGAGACCGCCAAGGGCACCAAGACGGATGCCGCGGTTCCCACGTACTAGATGCCATCTCATGATTTTTCCACGTGCACTGTACTTATTTCTAGCGTGTCCAAATTGACTGTCCATTGCATCTGTATCTCGAGTTTCTGGTCTGAACGTGTATCACTGAGAAGTCTTCTCGGCTTCGTCCACCAGGTTCTCCACCTCCTGCTCCGTCCATCGGTGGAATAGTTTCTTCGGATCAGACAATTCGCTGGCATGCGGTCCCTTGACGGACTGGACGTGTAGCACCGGCACGTCGTAATCGTAGACATCCTTCCACTGTTTGTTCTCCAGCAGCTGGATATCCGTCTCGGCGTAGTCGAAGGGGCGACGCTTGTGCAGCTGCGTCACAGTGTGTTTGGCGGTGTCGCAGAGGCCGCAGCCGGCGCGAGTGAAGAGCGTGACGCGAGCGACCTGGGCGAGACGAAGAGTAGGAAACATATTGAGGAATTGAGATCAGTCTTGTTGGGATTGTATGATGTGTAAATATGACAAGACCCGACCAGGGAAAACGATGAACCACTGAGCAGTCGACAGTTGACAATTGACGGAGGGCAAAGACCGACAGAAATATGGAACCTTCGAGCTCACCCGGACTAAGCCTAATCGGGGCGCCTCGACAGAAGTATTTCTGCGTCTTCCCTTGACTTTTCGATCCTCGCCGATCAGCTTCTCCCGCCTTCTGTCGCTATTGATTCATACGGACTTTCTTTTTGGGCATCCTGACTCTTGCCCCTGACACTCTGCCGATCGCCTGATTCTACCCTCCCACGATGGCATCCAAGTGTGTGCACAAAGGTTGCGGGAAGGAGTTCACCGACCCCGAGGAGCCCTGCGTTTATCATCCTGGGCCACCGGTGTTCCACGAGGGTCAGAAGGGTAAGTTTCAAGGACCTTGGTGTCTACGCTCCTTCACCTTGAGAGACACATCTACTCCATATCCTTTATGGCATTCGCCCGACCACCGATCCCAACGGACACCAACTAACCAAACGACCCATAGGCTGGAAATGCTGCAAACCCCGCGTTCTCACCTTCGAAGAATTCCTCTCCATCCCACCCTGCACGACAGCCAAACACTCCACCATCGACGATACCCCAGCCCCCGAGCCATCCAAAACCCCAGCCCCCGAAGCCTCGACTACGCCCGTGACCGCGTCGCTGCCTGAACGCGGCGTCAAGCCCATCCATTCGCCCGCACTTGCCCCGCCTTCGAATCCGCCCTCCCCCGCGCCCGCCCAAGACGAGACCGAGTTCTCGGACGACGACAGCCTCGAGATCCCTGCGAACGCGACCTGTCGGCGGAGAGGCTGCAATGCTACCTACGAGGGCCCTGCGGCGTCTCGCGACGCTGAGACCTGTGTTCATCATCCCGGACAGCCGGTGTTCCATGAGGGTAGCAAGGGCTGGTCGTGCTGCAAGAAGCGGGTGTTGGAGTTTGATGAGTTCTTGAAGATTCAAGGGTGTAAGGACCGACGGAGGCATTTGTTCGTGGGGAAGGGGAAGCCGCCGGGCGAGGAGAAGGTGGACACTGTGAGGTGAGTTGTGAAGTCTTTTCTCTATCCCCTGCCCTCGAGAGATAAGACATCTATATACCTTGTCTGATCGCGAGATGGAATCTTCATGACGAACGGTACATCGGCACAGGGAACACCAGCTAACTCGCAACGCGCAGGAACGATTTCTACCAAACCGCCTCCTCCGTCAACGTCTCGCTCTACCTGAAGAAGATTGACAAGACTAGGGCCAAGGTTGAGTTCTCCGCGAACTCCATCGCCTTCGACCTGCCGACGACCGACAACAAACGGTACACCGACACCTACTCGCTGTTCGCGCCGATCGACGCCGACAAGTCGCAGTCCCGCGTGCTGGGCACTAAGCTCGAGCTGACCCTGGTCAAGGCGGACGGAACCAGCTGGCCGGTGCTGCGCAGCGACGATAAGTGGTCCGGGGAGAGAATTCAGATTGGTAATGCTGGACGGGCTTGATTGATTTCTGAGAACAATGAGAAAATACGAATGAAATATGCATATAGATGAAAAGATTTAATGTTGAAGATATGATGTTGACATTGTTTGATAATATGCTATGTATGTGGAAAAAGTATAATATATACCAGACGATCCCAAAAGATCCATATACAGAACCACTGAATAATAAAATGAAGCAACAGGTTCGTTGGGCAAAATCCAAAACCACCGCAATCATAAATGCAGCGACAAGAAAATTGCCAACATAAAAAAAGGAATGTAGCGCCTCCTCCACAGCTAACGCGCCTGGGGATCTTCTCTTGCGAGATGATACCCTAGCATAGCCATATTTGTAAGGGAGAAAGGAAGACGCAAGGTCCGCTCTGCGAAGCTGGGAACGGAAGGAAACCCATAGAGAAAAATCCCAAACAAGATAACCCTCAGCGAGCCGTACTTTGACGGAGCTCCGGTAAGATTTACTTATGGTAGAGTAAACCGCTACTGATGATGGAGAAAGAAAAGAAAAAGTAACGGAAGAGAGGGCGGCGGTCGAAGGCTTATGTAGGGGGCGGTGGGTGGACCGGCTAGTGGGGTTCGGGACTAGTGAGTTGCCGAGGACGGTTGTTTGTAGGGCTAGGGCTGAACAGGTCAGGTGAGAATGCCCAGGAACACGTGATGAGTGCCAAGACCAGTAGGCAACAGGTCACATGGTTGAGAATCACATGTGAATGGTTGAGAGGGGTGACTACATCGGGTTAGCGGCATCCGGTCGTTACTTGCCTTGCCGCTGTGATCTGTCGATCCCGCTGCTGGAGGTATGCGCATTATTGCGTAGGAGGACACCCATACAATGTCCCCGTGGTAGATGCTACACCCTGTGCCTTTGTTCTCATAGACTATCCTCGATATCTAGGGTCAATATCACCTCCTATTATGTCCTAATGCAGGCACAATTGAGTTCTGACTGGCGTAGCTGGTATCCACGTGAGCCTGCCCTACGGAGAGAGATATGGAGGAGCCGATAAGTGCCTGGCCTGCCTGGATTCCGAGGTGGCAACGGCGGTGCCTCAGGCCCTTCAGTCGCCAAGGAGGGGAAGGCGTAGGCGGGGCTCCCATTTTCAGCTTTCGGCCAATCAGGGCCTTGCAGCGCACGAGACCGTCGAGACCATCGCTCGCCCTCGCCTTCTTCTCCTCCATCTTTCACTTTTTCTCCTTCACTTCCTGCTTTCATGTGGTGACCGTTGCAGAGAAATAATTGCTGGCCAATTTGTCTCGATTGTCTATTTGCGAAAAATCTACAGAATTTTGGTCTTCAGAAGCCCAGAGCCTGTTCTCCCAAGGTACGAGAAATGTTTACCCACTTCCCTTCCCCCTTTCATTCTCGGCGGCATTAACTGATAGTTTGCCCGCGCTAGCTGTTGCGGAAAATTATTTCTCTTGGTCTCTTCCCTTCCTTTCTTACCGTCTCCCCTCCTGACGAATCCTCCCGTTTGATTCAACCGTCGCTATGGGTTCGATAAACGGATCGCCCGACTCGTTGCGCTACATTGCGCAATCCTACAACCATGCCGATTCGCAGGCCTCCGCTTTGAGGCTCATCCTCACGCTGAACCCGCACTGGGGAGGTCCGGAGAACAAGATCGAGTTCGTGCGATTTACGGACGGTATCACCAACACAGTGCGTTCAGCCGGAGTCCAGGAGACAAAGGAGTGGTAATCCAGTGCGCTAACCCGCCGACTAACGACGACAGCTCCTCAAAATCATCAACCGCAAACCTGGCTTGACCGAGGAACAAATAGACCACGAAGCAGTACTGATGAGAGCGTATGGTAACCACACAGAGATTATCATAGACCGTGAAAGTATGCCTATTACCGCCGGGGTTTCTCTCCCTCTCTCCTTTGCCCATTGCGACAACCTTTGCTGAGTAGTTCTTTGTGTTGTGTCCTATAGGAGAAACCAAGTCCCACGCGCTCCTCGCTAGCTACGGCTTAGCCCCTCGTCTCCTCGCTCGCTTCCAGAACGGTCTGCTGTATCGGTTCATTCGGGGTCGTCCCGCGACACATGAGGACCTGGTGAAGCCTTCCATCTGGCGGGGCGTTGCTCGGAGGTTGGCACAATGGCATGCCGTGCTCCCTATCTCCGAGGCTGCTGCTGCCACTTCGAACGGGTCTGCGGAGGACCAAAAGCCCATCATACACCGTGTAGATGTGGAGCAGCAGTCGGAGAAGGACGATCTGGTCCCAGTCACCCCCAGACAGCCACCTCCCAACACGTGGACGGTCCTACAGAAATGGATCCGGGCTCTTCCCACTACGACGGATGAGCAGCGGCAGCGGAGACTCGACCTACAGAAGGAGCTTCAACGGGTCGTCAACGAGTTCGACGACGGCAAGGGTCTCGGTGAAAACGGGGTACGTAGAGGTTTTCATCGTATTCCGAGGACTGGACTGACAATTCCGGGCTAGCTGGTATTTGCCCACTGCGACCTTCTCTGCGCCAACGTCATCGCCGCGCCGTCAAAAGAGGAGTCGTCATCCGACGAGGCCACAACCGTACACTTTATCGATTACGAGTATGCCACGCCGTCGCCGGCGAGCTTCGACATTGCCAACCACTTCGCAGAATGGGCCGGCTACGACTGCGACTATAACATGATGCCGACGCGCTCGGTGCGGCGCCAGTTCCTGACCGAATACGTGAAAAGCTACAGCCACCACCGAGGACTCCCGGAATCCTCTCAATCGGACATTGTCGATCAGCTGTGCCGAGACGTTGATCGATACCGCGGTATCCCCGGTCTCTACTGGTTCGTTTCTCCATCTTCCATCTTTTCATCTTCCGCATCAACTAACTCGATAAAAGGGGCATCTGGGCTCTCATCCAGGCACAAATCTCACAAATCGACTTCGACTACGCCTCATACGCCGAACTCCGTCTAGGAGAATACTATGCCTGGCGTCGCGAAGTGGAGGGGACTCGCGCCCAGGCGGGCGAGGAGATGCCTCTTCGCGAGCGACGCTGGGCCCAAGAAGCCTAATTCTTCTCCTTACATCCTCCCTCCACATTACACCATACCATACATACACCCTACCCTACCCTAGACACAAAACAGACCAAACTGTGTATATAGACCGCGATGTGATTAATATCCCCTGATAATTCAACAGCAAGCGAGCGAGCAAGCGACAACAAACCAAGCAAGCGTGCATGCATACTACTCTTACTGCTACTTACCTACTTGTTCACAGTACCTACTCTACTACATAACCTTGAGCGCCTCACTTCCCACACGCGACTTGATCTTAATACACTACCCTACGCACCAAATTATCTCTTGATGTATCTATTTTGTCATCTCAAGGATTTCAACACTTTGAGATGTAAGAGGACGAGCGAGATGCCGAACGCGACCAGAAGCAGAACAGCAGCAGGAACAAAAAAAGAATGAGAGGATAACTTGAACGACATTTTACGACGAAGAAACCGAAACAGTTGAACCAGATGGTGAGGGGAGAGAAGACGGTAGAATTTGTTTGATTGGATTATTTATTTTCTTTTGGGCGTTGAACTAGGATAAGTTGTGCTAAGTCTTCAACGACTGAATTGAATGAAGTTTTTTTTTATGCTCTATTCGATACTCTTTGCCTATCCAAATCGAGCCCTACGAACAAACAGATCCCTCCCCGGTCCCGACAATAAGGATATATATACTACTCCCCCTCTTACAATGAACACTCCACCTCTCCTTCCCTTGCCCTAACCTATCGCCCGGAAAATGAAACATACCTCTCCCCCTCCAGCCCAAGCCCACAATAAACCTTTTGGTCATACGCACTCGCACGCCCGATCTGCAGCCACCCAGTCCCACCAGCAACAGCACCATCAACATCGGCATGCCCACCCAAACGCTCACCAACCAATCCAGACACGAATGCACCGGCCTGGAAATCACCCAATCAGCCTCATCGCAACCCGAGGGATAATAATCCCATCTGATACTACAGTTGGCGTGAGCAGCTTTATTCGAAAGCTTAAGCTTCTGTGATCCCCAAACCCGAGAGAGAAATGGCTTTAGGCATGAGGAAAAACGCCAGTGTGGTTGTGATGGCGCTGCATGTTGCGAGCGTTGTGTTTCTGGCAGGAAGGTTAGTGCTTACGAAGTACGTATTTAATTCGATTTGGTTTATTAATCGGCGGAGTGGACTTCATGTATAGATGGAGTACTTACCTAGGATATAAATCCCTGATATAAGTGCCGGCAAGCGCAATGCCCAGGCTGAAATTGTTCAATAGGATATCGGGGCCGGGGCGGCCTCCGTCGCGAAGGAGATAGTAATGGAGGCCGTTATTGACGAGTAATAATAATATGAACATAAAGGGGGCGGCCTGGTTGATGACATCGCAGAATTTGTTAAAACTCGACATTGTGGTTTTGGTACATACACCGTATGTGCCTAAGGAGTGGGTATCATGGGTGGATGTTGAGGGCGGAGAGCTTGTTTTATAGTGTCGCCGTCCGGATTCCACCGCATATAGTACTACTGAAATAATCTTTCGCTAAGAAGGGTCAAGGGTGGACTCTTTTTAGTGCAGTGGAATATTTTGCCACTTATATTACGGTAGGCACTCCAGTTTGAGGGATGCGGGAACTAAGCACCGCCCAAAACACAGCCCGCTCGCTGGCACTATTTTCTTACTTCTTAGGGCTATCGAGTTGGATCCCAATACAGAGAAGGAGCTATGGATTTCACTAGGTACTTAGTTCTAGTTTGGTTAGAACAACCGAGACACCTGGCGAAGACAGTCTGCCACGCAGGTGTGTCATAGGCAACGCAGGGGGTCGATTGCTTCATCCTTGCCTGGGACAACCTGCGAGCTGTATAATTAGTCGGTCCCGCGGCTTCACTGAGCTTAATTCAACTCCTCTTATCGCAGCCTCCTTGGCTGCCTTGTCCGCCTTTTCGTTTCCCTCCACCCCGATGTGAGCGGGGATCCAACGCAGTTCAGCATCCTCCAGGCCCTCGCTCCGCAGGGCCCTAATCCTCCCGTAGGTAGCCCGCAGTGCGTACTGGCCCGATGGCCGGCCAGGGTTGCGCACGGCTTCATGTCAATATGAATGACTTTCTACCACCAAAATAGCGGCAGGTTATAGGCCCGTCCATATTGTCAGGTTCACAAGAATTGTCGTGGATCATATGGCTTCTTAGCGCGGTAATGTGAGCTTTCGGATAGGGTCAGGTCACCTGCGTACTCAGATAGCGATCATCTGGGTTGATGAGCTTGAAGTCTTATTACGACCAATTAGATTTGATCTGTAAGCAACTTGCATGCACTTTAAATACCCACGTTTTCCAGTCCCGCATTAGAAAACGCTAATCAAGTATAACTTGTGGTTACAAAAATAGTTTGCAGAGCTTGTACAACGTGCTTGATTTTATTGAAATTGCAACGGTTCTGGGCTAGTTAACTAACTTTTTTAATGCACTGAAGATGAGCTAAGCGGAACTGCTTCGCTATCCGCACGTTCAGTGTGAAATTGGGTCAACCAAATGCCGGGTCTATGATATATATACATTTGAGGCCCCAGACCTTCTTTTCTTGCGAGACTATTTCGGCGTGGATGATCAAGACCGTCAGCGCCTAATAGAGCAACATTCTCAACGACGGAAAGAACTGGGTCAATCGAGTGGGACTGTCTCGAAAGCGTATGTTTTGACGCAGTTATGTGAAGTCTCCGATGACTAGGGACCTTCATTAATGTGCTACAGATCCATCCCTTGGAGCACAGTGCCCCTCGGGAGGAGATTATGAAGGCCGCTCGGAGTGGTTGGCACCGATTCATCTCAATGCAAAACTTTCACAATCCTATTGCCCGCGAGGAAGAACATGGAATGATCCCTCCTTGTCAGGATACAAGGATCAGTCGTCATTCCTTGGTCGCCCCTGGTTCGTAGTGTCCTGATGAGACCGTGGGATTCCCGTTCAAACCACCCGCGGGAAAACCGATGTGAGTCCCAACAGTAGTATCCGCAGTCAGGAGTGGAGCGCAGATGAGATGATCGTGGGCCGTGCGGAAGAAGTGGCAAGAAAGAAAAGGCAGTCGCCATGGCTTTGGGGTCGAGCCATCCTGGAGAGGATCCCATCCTGTTCCTGAGACTTGAGCACCATATTGACGCCTCTCGGCGTCCGCTGGAGGCCAATAGCCAGCAATGAATACCCAGCAGTGACCTTTCCGTAGTGTGAAATACTGTAGGCTCCGTTCTGTGGCCGCTGGCCGTGAAAAGCCCAGCTTAGTTATGGCGATGGGTTCAGTTGAGGATTATGGGCCTAGCGGTTTCGGTTCCTTGGGACGATACGGGTGCGGGAAATCTTCGGCTCTCAGGAAATTCCAACGTCATACTCTGAATATTGGGTCCAGTAGCACAGTACTCGAGTATATATAGTGTGTCGACCTGGAACGAGTGCCATCCCCTCGATGCCAACAACAGACGATCTCGCGCCATGGCTAATCTCTTTCGTTTTCTCCCTTTGCTTTACCTCCTGCTGCAGGCAGGTTTTGCCCAGAACAACAGCATCGTTTCCATCCCGTATGCGCTCACATACTTGCTTCCCTCGCGCTTCAACGGAGACATTTCTTTCACTTTCATAAATGGCACCCATACCTCTGACCCGTCCGTCAATTCTCTCCTCGAATCCGCGACGTACACTCCTTTCATCTCATATGACGAAGAATTCCTCTCTCTGCTCGGTTCAAACCCTACGGTGGAATTGATCGATGAACGCGAAGCCAACTTCGCCGCCGAGGCAGGTGTCTGGATTCGCGAGCGCAGCGAGGTCTGGTATACGACTTGGATCAACGATGGGCCCACCAGGGTGGAAATATTGAATTTGGCAGACAGAAGCATTCGAAACCTGAGTTCATCCATGCCGTTGGAGAATCCTAATGGAGGGTACTATCACCAAGGCCTTGTATACTTCACTTGCCTACGCGACGATTCTCGAGGCTGGCCCGGGGGGGTGGTATCTGTGGATCCGGAAACTGGTCACGTCGAGAGGATTCTCAATTCATACTTTGGTCTCAAGTTCGACAGTATTGACGATGTGACTTGGGTCACGCAGCCCGGTACCAACCACTCCTTCATGTTCATCACCATTCTGCCCAATCCCGAAGGCACTGAGAAGGGGGAAAATGATACACTACCTCAAGGTCTATGGCGTTGGGACCCACAAGCAAAGCTTCTGCTGCCGGCTATTAGCAGAACCGAGCTTCCTGTTGCGAACGGAGTCAGAGTTTCAAGGGATCAAAAGACGCTCTGGGTTACAGATTTCGGTGGCGCGGAACGCAGTAGGGCCTGGGGTCTGCCTGCTGAAGTTGGAGCACCGGCGATATACAAGTACAGCCTCGATGAGGACATGTGGCCGACGAACAAGCGTATCTTCGGGGTGTCGAGGATGCAAGCGGCCGATGGGATCCGGGTGGATGATCAGGGGAGGGTGTGGACGGCAGAGGGCGAAGGAGTCATGGTACGAGCAGCGGACGGGAGAGTTATTGGTGCGTTTAATGCGCAGTATTTCACCAGAGACCCTACAAGTACAGCAATTGTGCAGTTTGCGCTTGCTGGGGACACGTTAGTGATTCTGGGACAAAATAAGCTCTGGACAGTGAAACTTGCAGAAACTGTGTCCAGCAGGTCGATATAGGTGCGGCGGGAATTGGGCCGGTAAGACTTTCGCTTTGGGGTAATTTCAATTGTACAGTATCTATTGTATTTAGCAACGTAGTGAACTAGGTGGATTGATTCTAATGCTCCTCTTTTCACTAGCTTCCGTCCCTAATAGTAGCACATTCTCCATGTCTCGTTCCCGGCGGAGTGAAGGAGAGCAAAAACAACTTCGTTTCAGGAATTCTCCATGTCGATCTCGGCAAAATCTCGGCTTCGAGAAGTCCACCTTGTCAAGGATGTCACTCCACTTTGAAGATGGCCCTAATCGACCAATGATACTCGACATGTAAGCGTCCCACATAAATTTAAATCGTGGTCCATTATCCTCCCCTCATCAATGGCCACGTTGGGACTCTTTGACATCTGATGTCCTATATGGCAGGAAGGCCAGTTGGAATCACGACTGATTGTCTTACAGCCACACCAATCAAGAAGAACAATGGCACGCAATTAAAATCAAAACCCAACTATAAGATGAGCTCCGCCGTCTATAATACGCCCAACGAAGCCCAAACAAGGCGGTACGAAATGCTCATATTTTCACGCGAATCGCGCCTCCCCCCATTACTCTTACTCGCGCGTTAACGCTCGCTGCCACTCACGCTCTATGCAGCTCAACACTTCAAGGATAGACAGAGATTGGGGCTCTGTCTGGACATCTGACGCAGCTTCGTGTCCACGGATTCGGCTTTCAATGTTAGGCCCATCTCGAGTATCCTGTTCATGCTTGTTTGGCTGCTTAGACCTTCGCAACGAAACAAGGTAATGCACAATTTCTTCCGTCAAACATCCGGGGCGTGGTGGAAGGTCACAGCCTTGTAGACCGATGAAGTAGCCAAAACGGCGGCGACGAGTATCAAGATCAATTTCGGACTCGTCGGGCATGCCGAGCCAGGGCTCCAAGTGACCCAGGTCAGTCTTCGCACATCAGGCCAAAAATGCGTTTCCAAACCAGAGGCCTTTCTCCTCTGCTTACCCTCCAAAAGTTCGTTGACCGGAGAAGCTCAGGACAGCCCTGAAGCAAGGGGCCCCACTTCGTAGCAAAGCCTTCACTAACCTCCCAGTTTTGCGGATCCCAAGGTGCTCCCCACACGAAGAGCGTAGCATCGCTTCTGCGCGTGTCCCAAAATGCTGTTAGGTCATGGCACAGTTCGTCATCATCAAGCTGATCACCCGCCCTGATGAGGTTGTCCCGCATGCGCGGGAATGGGAAGATGTCAAGCCATGGATGATGTGAAATTTCCCTCTGCAAGGCTGTTGGGCGTAAACTGGCGGGGGTGTTGTTCTGCTCCTGGCTGGCACGGGGACCGTCGATACAGAAAATGGAAACGGTGTCGTCAAGGCACATCCATTCTGCGGCCATACCCAAAATAGCGGCATTCTGGTAGGCTGCCCGGAGTACGTTAATTCTGCTTAGGTCGATGAGAAGGTCTGTCTGTAGCGAACCGCCAAGATAACTGCCCATGGCTCTCCTTTCAAAGTCCGCCATCAGCTCATGCACACTGGGAGGGGCAAATGTGCAGCGGACATGCTCCGCCTGCGATAGTCTACATGTAATCGAATCCGACTGTGGGCTGGGAGAGCTCAATAACGGAAGGTCACGGTCATTATTATCTGGCACATCGGACTTTTTGCCACCTTGTCGTCGACGTGACCCTGCACAGAGCGCAAGTGCCGTTCATCAGCAAGGGCTCGCTCGGTATCTAGGATAGGGTTTGGTGGGTGGCTCACTATAGGCTCTCTGGTTGAGGCGATTCTGGACTCTGCGCCGTTTAACCGGATCGGTCACCCCGGTCCAGTCATCGATGTGGTTAACGGTTGCTGTCTGCTGCGACATCTGCTGCAGGTTGGCGATGGGGGTTCAGCAAAGTCGGAATAATGTAGCCAGCTCGGTATGTACACGATGCCTGTGGACGAAGATGAAGGAAGTGGGCTCTTGGGGTGGGGAGATTTATGCGCAGGACGCTTACCCCGTGGCCGCCATTGGTCCATTGCCCTGGGTGGCGAATAGCGGAGGAATAGTCTTGGCGCTTCTTAACTCCGGCCCCGGTCATTTTCTTGGCATCTGGCAGGTATGCTTAGGTATACTTACTTGCAGGGCCAAATAAGAACACCAGCGCAACGTCAATCTCCATGTAAATGCGCGTATTATGCCTTCTCCGGCCTAGTTTATATACAAACCCAGCGTACAGCCCCATCCCACAGCGATCTGCTCTAGCTTCCTTACACATCAACACGGAGTTCCATCACTTTCCCTCCTCTTGATCTGGTATGGTTGACCGGATGATCTGTTTCCCCCCCAGTAGTTATGTACAAAGATCCAACACCTGGCTTCCGCCCGAACGCAGCCGAAGTGGCTGACATCAGTGCCGTCGAATTCGGATGCCCTGCAACGACCTCCCGGGTCCCATTCATGAAGACGCGCGTCACAATGTTATCCCGAAGTCCCGCAAGGTACGCAACACCTTCTGGGCTAATTGCAAAGTCGTCAGCCAGCACACCTCGGGCGATGACTTCATGCGGACCAAGCGCATGGCCAGTCGTTGTGTTTATCGGTATGCGACAGAAGATGCGTTCCGGGGTATTGACGTAGTAGACATAGCCACCGTGCACTTTCAAGCCGTTGATCCCCAGCAAAGGACCCTCCTTTGTGTTCGCTGCCATGGTCTTGTCCCTGAGGATAACCGAGGAATTTCCAGTACGGGTATCCAGCCCCCATACGAGGCCAGCCTCGGAATCTGAGATCGCGACTCTTCCGGCCTCATGGTCCAATGTTGCCATGCCGTTGAGGCTTCCGGCGAGAAGTGTTGCTAATCGAACCGGGCTTTCCTCGCGGCCCTCATTTAAATTCACCCTCCAAATGGAATTTGGAGTTATGACGGCAAATAGATCTGGCGAGAGCTCGGAGATGCCCGTGGCCATTGTTTCGTCGGTGAAATGGTGAACGAGACGGGCCTCGCTGCCTCTAAGCTGGGTAGATGGTATGATCTCCCAAACTTCTGGAACATTCACTAGAGTCACCAGGAGGTTACCATTGGCCCGAACGGCAATATTCTCGACCCAGGTGCCGTTGGGGAATTGATAGACTTCACGAAGATTACGAGAATTGAGATTGAACGATGTTCCAACGGAGGCAAGTAGTAGTAGAGCGGCAAAGACGAACGCTATGTGACCAGCCATTCTGAAGACAGACGAAATCCAACTTGTGTGCTGGTGAAAATTAAACATCTAGGAATCTCCCGGTCGCAAGGAACTTTATACCGGTGCAATACTCGGCAGAGGGGTGAAATATTAAGATCTACATCTACAAGATGTTCTGGGCACACGTATCTTAGGGCCACATTGTAGACCGACAACACGTATACTAGCATACGTAGCCAGGATGAGTGGCATATGAATATAAGCTGACGTCAACAGACCAATGGGATCTTTTCAGTAAGCAGTCTGCAGAGCTCTGGATGATGTAATACAGGAACAATGGTACAGAACCAATGGTACAGAACCCCGAGGTTCGGAGCTTGCTTACTGCCGAGACGTTGCCGATCACCATGCCAGAGCCCCTTGAGTGTCCACAGTAAGCAAACTGCAGAAGCGTGTCCACAGTAAGCAAACTACAGAAGCCTACTACATTAACACATGTTAATCAGTAAACAAGATAATGTTGCCTGAGAGTGAATCTACCAGGGAGGCTATCGCAGGCGCAGATAAATAGCAGAACCTCACCGAAGTATCAAAGACTTGTAAGTCGATATTACTGATTCAGGGACCAATACTGATAATGAAGCCAGCCTTTATCGCCGTCCTCTCTGCGATTCCTTCTGCTACGGCGCTGGGAACAGTTGAGCCCAGGCAAGACGCCACAAACTCGTCTTGTATACAGGCGGTATGCTTGTCTTCTTCACCATGACACTAGCCTTGTCTGACTTCCTAATCCATTGTCAGTGTTCCCGCCTGGCTCGCAATACTGACTACCGTACGCACTTCCCCGGAAATGGCAACCTTGAAGTCTGGGATGCCAAACAACAAGAGGTTCGGTCCGCTTGCCGCGTTCAACCTACATCTACCGACGATGTTGCAGACATTCTGAGCGTAGTCCTAGATACGTCTTGCAATTTTGCAGTCAAGAGCGGCGGACATGCACGGTACCCCGATGACTCCGTCTCCGTTGGAGGGGTCACGATTGACCTGCAAAGAATGAGGTCCACGGAGGTTTCCCCGGATCGGAAGTCCGTCAGACTAGGTGCCGGCCATGTTCTGTACAGCATGTTCACGGATCTCGAGAGACATAATCTGACTACAGTTGGAGGCAGAGCCGCCGATGTTGGTATTGGTGGATTTGTTCTCGGAGGCGGATTTTCACATCTCTCGCCCGTATACGGCCTGGCGAAGGATAACGTCTTTCAGTATGAGGTATGGACAGCCTCCATATCCAACATTGAGATACACGCATTTGGACGTCTAAGGTACTAACGGGCTCCTCGATCAAAGATTGTCCTCCCCAATGCCACAGTGGCAATTGTGAATGAACGTACCCAACCCGATCTCTACTTTGCTCTTCGCGGGGGGATGAACAATTTCGGCATCGTAACATACTTTACGATGAGGGCGGTCGAACAGGGCCAGATCTACTCCGGGGAAAATACCTACAAAGCAGACCAGAAAACCGCTATCACAGAGCAGGCCTACGAGCTTACAACCCGCTTCAAAAATGATACCGCGATGTCTTTCTACTACGGTTTCGGTTATAACCAGGAGACGGATGAATACGATATCTCAGTAACCCAGACATATGCCCAGCCGATACTTGATCCGCCAGTCTTTCGGGAGCTCAACCAAATTCCGTCTGAATCTAGCACGGTCCGGGTCGACTGGCTGACCGAGTTTAGTAAGGAGGTGGCTTCGGCAACGCCTCCCGGTGGTCGGTAAGGGCTCACTCCGCTGTGGGGACTTAGACCCACGCTGCTAAGGAGTTGCCGGCTAACTGCAGTGGTGCAGAAATCTGTTCGCGACCGTGACGTATAGTCCGTCCGCGGAGCTGGACCGGGAAATCCAGGATATTATGGCCGAAGAACTCCAGTCAGTCAAGGGAGCTCCAGGATTCTTCCCGAATCTTGTTATCCAGCCATTATATGAAGGCGCCATCCGCGCTGGGAAGCAGCGAGGTGGGAGTGCTGGTGGTACAGATGCCGATGGCCCACTTACAGGTATGCCCAGAGGATCAGGATGCCCTTCCAGAAACAAGACCGCGGCTTCTAACTATTGGTAGTCGTTCTATTGACCACACTGTGGAATGAGGTTGCCGACGACGACGCCATGGCTACTTTTGTGAACAGATGGGTTGAGAGATCTGAGGCTGCCACCAGAGATGCCGGGAAATACCACCCTTGGCGCTATATCAACTACGCAAGTAAGGAGCAAGATCCATTTGCGGGGTATGGGGAGGAAAGTCTGCAGCGGCTCAGGAGCATCCAGGCGAGCATTGACCCTAACGGTGTGTTCAGCTCAACCGGACTGTGCAGGGGGTATTTTAAGTTGCGGTAGTTTAGCAGGAGAGCGCAGCCAGGGGTCAAGGGAAGAACAAAGAAGGGTTAGCTTTGCCGTTGCTGTAAGTCTCCTAGTATGCAATTACTTGGTCCGGTCCATTAATGTAATCTTTCCGCCCCCTACTACTTCCTTCCTTAAAATATCATCTTTCTATCTACTACTACGAAAAATGCCTCTTTCTCAAGAGACCAGACTTCAGATGGCCATTTCAGCTTATAAAATTGGTCAAATCAAGTCAAAAATCAAGGCTGCCAACGTGTTCAAGAGTTACACAGGAACCCACGGCCAGATGGGACTGGAAACAGGACCGTTGAAGCCTCTTCAAGTAACATGGACGACGGAACCATGCACGAGCTTTATATGTGGCCATTTGCTGACATTGTTCACGCTGGAGCTGCAAGTGTTAGTAAGTTTTATTATTTCACGCTCCTCTTTTTATATTCTTTGTGCGTATTGTTCTCTAACCATGGCCACATGTAGTGTGCTCCTATCAGCGACTTAACAACAGCTACTTGTGTCATAACAGCAAAGCACTCAATGGCCTTCTGAAAACAGAGCTCAGCTTTCAGGGGTTCGTTGTGAGTGACTGGTGTGCTGGTGGAGTGCCCAGCACACCGGTATTGCAAGTGCCCTGGCTGGCCTGGACATGGTCATGCCTGATGCAAACAAATACTGGGGTGCCAAAATTACCGAAGCAGTTCGCAATGGATCTGTGCCAGAGTCACATATTACCGAAATGGCTACTAGAATTATGGCTGCCTGGTACCTCTCTGGCCAAGCTAACCCAGATCTCCCGCCTGTCGCTGTTGGGATTCCAGGTATTGGAGGCCCATGTACGCCGCGATAGAACACAGTTATTCTGGGACTTTGATGGTACGGCGCGAATGAATTCAAAAGCAGATGCATGCCTCATTTTTATTAACGCGGCAGCGTCTGAGGGTGTGGATCGACCGGCTTTGCGCGACGATTATTCAGATGGATTAGTCTTGGGCATTGCTTCACGATGCAACAACACCATGGTTATCATACATAATGCCGGTGTTCGCATGATTGATCAATGGATTGAACATCCAAATATTACGGCAGTGATATTCGCACATCTGCCCGGTCAGGACTCTGGAGAGGCCATCACCAAGATTTTATATGGTGATGTGGGCCCAATTGGAAAGCTTCCTTATTCATTACCTCGCAATGATTCAGATTATGGGTCGCTTCTTTCTCCAGTGACTTCTACAGGCTGGGACCATTATTTCCCCCAGGATAACTTTACTGAAGGTGTTTTTATTGACTACCGAGCATTTGACATGAACGGTATCACGCCGCGGCTTGAACTCGGGTATGGCATGACATACACGACATTTAGGTATTCAAATCTTACAGTTCACAAGTCCGGTAATCTATTCGATCTCTCAGAGTATCCTATTGGGCCTGTGATTCCAGGTGGCAGTGCCGACCTTTGGGAAACTAAAGTGGCTGTCACAGCTGACATTACAAATACCGGTCAAATGGTGGCCGCAGAGGCCGCACAGCTATATATCCAAATTCCTGCCGAGGATCAGCTTATTTTACAGTTGCGAGGGTTTGAGAAGGTGAATGTCCCTCCCGGCGAGACGAGGACTATCTCCTTCAACATCAGGCGTCGTGATCTTAGTATTTGGGATGTGGCTGCGCAGAAGTGGAAACTCATTCTGGGGGCCCAGTATCCTGTTTTTGTTGGGACCAGCTCCCGGAAATTGATGCTAAACGGGACGTTGGAGCTATAACAGAGCTATATACTGATATATGGGGGTTGTTGGCTGGGGCCATATTCATATATATCTAGCATATAGCAAATTAGACCCAACACAGTTTGCCTTAACCTTTCTGTACCAACCATTTGCAGTATGTACAGACCACTATTAGGCTCTATTTATAGTGACAGTTCGCATCATGTAATGTTACATAGTGCGCGGTTAACAGGCAGAGAGTCCGAGATCCGTATTCTCGCCTCGGCCAGGAACACCAATTTTGGCGCGGCATGACTTTCGCTGGCATGTAGGACCATAAGAGATTCTGATTTCTCTAGATGTGCTTCCTTTTTTGACTGCATCACCGAAATTTCTGGGTCTCGGTTGTAGGAGTGAGCAGGACTTACCGAGCGACTATTAAATATTTGGCACGTCCATTTTGCCAGGGCCACTTACTCTACCTACAAATGATTTCTATCTGCTTATTTTTCACTAAACCTTATTCTTATAGCCTGAGGGCCATGGAATACTAGTCTCTCTGTCGACCTTGTTTGGTCTCACCGGGAAGGGTGCGAACCAGGCGTTTCCCATGATACCGTAAATACCAAACGACTTCGCTGAGCCCCCAGTAGTCCATTCTCCTGCGAAAAAGGACTTGGTGTCCAGGAGGGACGGAGCTCTGAACTGCAAACACTTCAGCATGACATTGTCGCTGCATATTACATGATCTACAACATATAGAATCTTTATCTCAACGGAATCTCGGCCATTACATGTGAAGATAGAAGTGGGGCTTTAAGTCCTTTACAGATGCATCATAGCAGCCAGCAGTAAGGCCACCTTAGAAGGATTCGTCAATAGGGGGATAGAGTAAGGCTGGGTCTACTGAAGAGTCTTATCAGCCAGCGGACCTCGAGTTTCTGATAGTGCAGGGCTCTTATCACTCGACGATTTGATATTGAACAAAGGCAACTGTGCAGTCTATCATGACGGCCGGCCCTACAAGGACTATTCTAGTGGATAGCACATCTTAACCACTAACGCAAGCCCACTCACACACTACCAGTTCGCAACCCAGCTGCTTCGGCGAAACAGACCGTTGAAGTCAGCATGTCAAAAGACGAAGCATACAATCTGTTGTACCTAAGATACTTGCACGTGGCTGTACATTTAGCTGGCGTCTCACTTGATATGGAATATAGGATCGTTTTCGCGGGAATCGGGCAATGAAGAATGAGGGTTTATGTGTACGCAACTTGCTTACACTTTCCCTCTGATTAGCCACGATAAGATTCGGAGCCGGAGACAATGCTAATCGCTCACAGGACCCACCGCTCGCTCGGTCGGTACTGTGGCGCACGCAACTTGCTTACAAGTTGCGCCTAATTGGTCAGGATTATCTGAAGCTTGAATGGGTGACGAAGCGTAACAACCGTTTCCCAGTGAGCCCCGCCAGTCCACAGAGGACGAGAGTCAGTCCTGTGGGGCATGCAACTTGCTTACGAATTTCCTCTTATTGGTCAGGATGCGCGAGCAACTAGTTTGTTAAGTTAGTTAACCGCAAAAGTGCTTGTTTCATTGCTCTTCGCGGGTAACTTTCAGTCAAGCAATTAACCAACAAGTCCCTATCCATTGCATCATATTGAACAGATTTCAAATGCCACTCATATCCGACTACTAGGGCGGGTTGACAGAGGAGAAAACATAAAAATTATAAAGATAAAACCTATGGGGCCTCTGGGGTGGGCGGTTGCAAATTTGCAATCACACTTGGTGATCGGAGGTGGCCTACAGCTCTCCCAAAGTTGCTCTGCCAAAGTTATAACCCAGCCGCTTTGAGCATACTTTCGCCGATCACGGCGGCACTTGGAGGGTTCTGACCCGTAACCAACTTGCTGTTCCACCCACTGGTGATGACCTTAACGCCGAAGGGGCTCTCGGCCTTTTCGTACATTCCACCATTTTTGCGTAGCTCCGTCTCCAGCAGGAATGGCATATCACTAGTGAATTGCATGATTTCCTCTTCGGCATCAGAGAGACCCGTGACCTTCTGGCCAGTAACCAAGTAGTTTCCGTCGGATAGCTTCACGTTGACTAGAGCGGCAGGACCATGGCACACAGCAGAGACCACTTTACCACACTCATAGAACTCCCGGACGACAGCATGGGATGTCTCATCGTTGGCAAGATCAAACATGGCTAACAATCGTTAGATATATTACCCCACCTTGAAGTACTGGATATCTTGTAATATAAAAAGACTTACGACCGTGACCACCAACGTAGAATATTCCCGCAAACTCGGAAGCCTTGCCTAGCAGGCTCTTAAGCTTCACTGTGTCCTTCCAGACATGAGACTTCTCCTTGAGGAAAGCCACGCATTCAAGGTCCTCTCTTGTCGCTTCGATTGAGTAGGGATCGAGGGGGGCTTCACCGCCAGCTGGAGAGGCGACCACGATATCGAACATGGGCGAGAGCTTATTATAAGGATGAACGAACTCAGGGAGATACCATCCCGTTGGCGTGCCACGACTAGGGAGAGTGCTCTGCGAAGAGAGAACGAAAACGAACTTAGGCTTCGGAGACATAGTTGTAGTTGTAGAGAGCGTAAGTTGTTTCAACTTGGAGGTCGCGGTCAAGAAATACTTAGACAGAAACGTAGGAATCAGTCGGTGATGCGCACATATTTATGTTTTTTAGTTTTGAATGCAACCCTGAATACATGACAAATCGACACTCTAAATTGAGTAGAACTCAAAACTCTGTTCACGATAGAAGCAGTTGGACTTATTCGGACGTAACCCACGGTGATAATGTAATGAAGTTGATTTAACACCGAGAGTGAGTATATAAACACCTGTCCTCCCGTAGCTCTCATGCTAGGCGGTCGAAATTTTCAAATACCAAGATATCCTCTCTCTTAATCTTCTTTGTCTCTTCTTGACCACTCAAGACACCTTTCGCTCGTGAAAACCACACTTTTTATCATGGGTTACACAATCACCGTTGTCTTTCCTAACGATATCGATGCCAAGTACGATATTGATTATTATAACGCGAGCCACATGACGCTCATTGAAAAGCATTGGTCCAAGTATGGTCTGAAGGGCTGGTCTGTCACTAAGTATCTTCCGGGCTTGGACGGTGCGGACCCGTTGTATGCCTTTGGCAGCCAAGTCTTTTGGGAAAGCGAAAAGGCTATGAAGAAGGCATTTGAAAGTCCTGAAGTCGCGGAGATTATGGCGGATGTTCCTCGCTTCAGCAACAAGCCCCCAATTTTCTTGATCGGCCAGACAGTCAAGCCTGCATTCAATATCTGAGGACAGTAAGTTCATTATATAACTGTTTCTACAATTCTATTTATGGCTAATTAAGTTGCTGAAGAAGTTTTGGTGGTCATTTATCTCGTTGTATTTGAAGAGTATGCTATCGCAGCAAGTATGCAACTTCCCAGAGCGCTTTGGTGGAAGGCCAGACAGTTGACGTGGCTCTCTATCCATCAAGGAGGTCCGCAAGCAAAAGATTCGATGATCATTTTCCGAATTTCATGTACGGTTTTTTTTTTTTTTTTTTTTTTTTTTTTTTCTTTCATATCGTAAGCACTCCAATCTCAACCATCGAGAGCTGAGCTCGAGGAATAGTGGGCTACGGTGGCCAGCGTCGGATTCGGTTTCGAAAACGGCAATGCCCCGTAACAGGATTCGAAAGCCCGGAACAGAATCAGTAGCATGATGTAAAATCTTTCGCCTCCAACCGCGTGTGAAAAGACCCCCGTAATTAAACCGAGAGATCGTGAATATAGCTCAGTATGATGGTACAAAAAGAGTCGAGATCATTGCCCTGCCTTGTCATGTAAATCATGGCTTGTCCACAAGACCGTAAATGATGTGAATGGCGTAGTCATTACTTATGGAATGCTGTACTTCTACTCCGGATGGTCTTGCAAATAGTAACCTCTTTCATCAATACAGGTAATTTTCGCCAGATTGCAAAAAGGCCAAACTCAGATTTGGGGAATGGCAAGCTCTGAACCGAAACTTTAGCCTAACTCCGTCACGGTGGAGACTTAAGGTTCCCTCACATACAAATGCAGGATATCTCCCCACCACCAAATACCTGAAATGCCCAATTTTCGTGTTTCATCATCCCAACACCATGCAAAAGGCCATCGTCATCCAAACTATCTCGGAGCCCGCACGGCTTGTCGAGCGAAGTATCCCCGAGCCAGGCAAGAACCAAATTTTGCTGCACGTCACAGCTGCTTCGCGTGAGTATTCTAGCGTAGCCCCCTGTAGTAGTTAAGAGTCTTTCTTCGTTACTCACTGACCCTGTCCTGTAGTGAACCCGCTCGACCAGAAGACGCGCGATGTGGGGTTGTTCTTCAAGCAATCCTCCCAGGTTTTAGCTCATGATATCGCTGGCGAAGTGATACAATTGGGGCCGGACCAAAATCCCCCCAAATTCAAAGTCGGGGACCATGTTTTTGCACACGCAAATTTCGTCCCGGGCAAAGCCTTGACCGATTGTGGCGGTCTCCAGCAGTACGCCATCGTGGATGCTCGCTTTGCGGCCAAACTTGACGCAGCGGGACTCACAGACAACGAGGCAGCCACGATCCCTGTGTGCGCAATGGCGGCCTTTATTGCCCTTTTTCATTCAACCGGGCTCGGGATCCGTATTCCATCACCTCAACTGGTTATCTCCCAATCGATAAGTTGCTCCGCGGACGACAGCAAGGCAATCCTTGTCATCGGCGGGGGATCAAACTGTGGCCGATTTGCAATAGCGTTTGCTCGGATGTGTGGATTTGAACAGATCATCACGGTCGCAGCCCGAAGAACGGCGGTTGAATTGCGGGAATTAGGCGCAACACATGTTATTGACCGACATGCAAGTCGCGACGATATTGTCCGTCAAGTGCGGGAAATCGCAGACGACGGGTTGGTCTACGCCCTCGATACGGTGAACATAGGGCCAGGACAAGAACTAGGACTCGCCGCGCTATCAAACTCGAAAAGAGGTTGCTTGATCACACTTAACCCGGTCAATGAGAGAGACCCAGAGCCGTCTTTCATTGGTAAGAAGATAGCTGGATACGAAAGGCGCCTAACTTTTGGATTTAGTGCACTGTACCCGGAAGTGTCTACAACGTTTTGGAATCATATTCCAGCGTGGGTAACGGCGGGATATATTCGTCCCCTACAATACGAGGTTGTGGAGGGGCTGGATGTGGTGCGAGTTAACCACGTTTTAGATCAGTATCGTGAGGGTCAAGGACAAAAAACGGTTGTACGGCCTTAAAGATGTCTAGTTTCACCAGCTTGCTGTAACGAGAATTGAGACCAATGTATCGCAATATTTGCAATACTGCGGGTGAGCTATATTAGACTTTTTAAATCCTGGGCTTTGATTTTTCAGGAAGCAGCCCACAGTAACTCTAGTGGTGACTGCCCTACCAGATACATTCGATTCGGTGCGGTTGGTTGGTTGACTCAGTGACGGAAGGGTCTCTTTGACATCTGCGCGAGAAGCTTTATAAGGTCTTGTTACATGTAGCGCGCGAGTTCACGCCCACTAAATGAAGGCTTCAGTCTCGAAACCCCTGTTTCTTTGCGCCATCTCGGTTTCTTGTGATCCAGCTAACAATCACCGCATCGCAAAACCCGTCCTAGGTCTTGAAGAAAGCAGTTCTTATTTATGCACCCAATTTTGACGTTTCTTGTTTTGCTTGCCTTCGTATTGCCCATGATGAAACTGTTAACCAAGGGTCCATCTCCCTTCGGATTACGGCAGATCTCGCTAACCTGAGCAGCAGATCACAGGTGCTGACGTTGAATGTCCCTCCAGAAAGAGTCGAAGAATGTGCATTAGCCCGGACAAGCAATGAGAGCCTCTGTTTATCTAGTTTAGTCTCCATACTCCAAGCGCCTGTTACCAATGCTTCGGCCGTCTCAACACTGAGTCTGAGACTCAATACGACCGGCATTGTTCTGTGTCCATCTGAGATGAAGTCTCTATGTCCCGCCAATCGAGGATACTTGATCTTTCACGCATTTGCAAAGATTTTTCAATACAGATTCCTACGTCTACACTTTTCCAGACGACAATTTGTGAATAAAGAACTTGATCGGCTGGCAAGTTTCTCTTGTACCCTAGGAGAAAAAAGTCTTCAGACAGAGACTTTTGACCACGCTCGCCATGGCGTAGTCCAGAGAGATTGGCGTGCCTTCACTTTGTCCCTCGATCCACCCCCATATTGTGAGGAGTCTGTATCCGAGCAGGTGGTTGGAAAACGTCGCAGAGGTATCTTATCTGGTTGTTGTCTTAGTGCTTTGTTATGCATCTCATTAATAGTATATAGACCAATGGTCAATGCCCCCTGACAATGAAAGACGAAAAAGTCTGCTCCTTCCATCTCCTCAACCGATAGATACTCCTACCGAAATTAATACGCCGAGTACTCTGTCTCCGCCACCATCCTCAATCTGCCCAACTTACTTTACGCATGCTTCTTCTCCTGGCCGCACAGAGCGTAACAGACTTATGCGTCTTGAACATGAGCTCCGTGGTGTTTCCGATGATCTGATTTGCGAACTATTAATTCGATCAGGACGCCAACATCTGCTGGCCAAACCAAAAGGTGTAGACAGTGATCTGCCAGCCGAGTTTGCCGAGGTCAAGATGATTGAGCGCCGCCTTAAATCACATATTGCCGATGATATTGTTGATAGCGCCGTAAGCGAGTGTCGTGATCAGATCTTCGACGAATGCAAAACGAACAAAGCCGAATTTCGAGAACGGTCGAAGATGGTAACTCCGAAATACGCCTTACGGCCAATGAATGTATGAATGAGATGAAAGAACAGGCACAACTTTCTACCCAACACTGGCCGCCCTGGAACTTACATGCTTATAGTATGATTGAAGCGAGTATTAGTATACTCTGTATGTGCTTGTTACTAGTTCCTGCTTGGATTAAAGGCGATGGCCCAAAGAGAATCACATTATTTGTTGATCGCTGTTGCGGTTGGCAAAGCTATCAGAAACAAATGACAACAGACAACAGAACAAATATCGATTGCGAACAACATTAGCGCTTGTTCCTCTTCGCCGTCGCTGTTTACATTCACCATTGTCACTGAGCTTGACTGCGAGTCCTGTGGCTCTATCCTGCTTGAATTAGACATCTGCAGGAATGGCTGAGGAGATTGCTGGAGAAGCTGCTGGAGGAAAGGCATTAAATATGGCTGGTACTGCTGTAGGTACTGTGGCAGTTGCTGAAAGCTTTGATCACATCCCGGACTATCTGATGGGATTCCCATGGGAACCCGGCCCCTACTTGAAGTAGTAAGAGCGTCTTTGAGACATAATTGCTCATATTCAGGGCCCAGAAGACTATCCACAATCATGTATTCTTTTGTCCCTTATCTGTGACGATTCTGAACCGTTGCATGCGAATGTTTTTGTAACCTTACAAAGCCGAGTGCCCTACTGACCACGCATAAACTTCCGTAAGTACTTGCATACCATTTTACGGTATCCTAATTCCCTGGTGAGGCTTAGTTGCGCCCTCAATCATAGACGTGCTCGTAACCATAGCCTGAAGATCAGATTCCGTCCACGCCTTAGAGTACGAAGCGCACAGTTCAAAGAGTGATGAATTAGAAACTGAGAAATTTAGTTTATACGTCAATTAGAGTGTCTGCGGAATCCTGTCAACTGCGACATACTGTTAGAGCCATCATCCCATAGTCAGTTCTCATATTATTCACAGCAAGTGCTAGAGACCGTACAAGCTCCAGCCCATCCCGGACTTCTGACAAGTGAGTGAAAATAAGGGCGCGGCAACTTCCTATTATATTGGATGGTATTCCGGGACTGCAGTGATTAAGTAACCCCCACGTATCCTTTGAAATCATTGCAAACCATTTCGCAATTTGTTCCAAATCAAGAATGTTATGAGCCCCATTGACGAACCACCGCATCTTCTTCTCATTAATGATTTTGAATCTTCCTTGCATACTCTTCCATTCCGTATCTTTAACAAGGAGAGCCTCGACGCTATCAAGCAAAGTCCCGTATAATGTATCTAGTTCCTCTAGACGCCCGTAATCGCTCGCCATATCGCCACTGAGCCATAAAATATCTCGACGCAGGTTCATGTAGAAAGAGGTCTCCGGAAAGCCTGGGTGTTGAATACATATGTAGTATTCGAGTGTGTGTGCATACGGAACTCGTGACATATCCACAGGGCGATAGGAGGAGGACGATATTCGACGGGAGAGCTGCATTCCACGATTCTCGAAGTTTATTTCCAGAACTGTATCAAGTGAACCAAGCGGACGCAGAATTGTTGGTGCATCGTATTCATTGTCGCCTAGCTCTTCTAAAAAAGACGCCGCTTCAATGGCTCGTGTTTCGGGCCATGTATATTCCCAGATCATGAACCGTAGTTCTAGTGGAATGGTGGCGAGCGAAGCTCTGCGACTTATTGAAGACATTTCAACAGCATTTTCCTGTCTTTGTGCCATCTCTACCTTATTCTCTCGCCCTGACGGGTCGCTATCTTTCCTTGGGCGCTTCCATGGTACGATGCCGCTGTGGTTAACTATGATAAATTTAGCCAATTGCAGATGATTCGATGCTCTTGAGAGGGTCAACCCATTGAATAGTGTCATCCTGACTGCGGAGATGAAAGTCTTATTAGTTTATATTGGGGGAATCTCCTAGATTTTAACATTTACAGAACGCGTCTTAGCTTGCCCTGTTGAGCCTTAAGTTATGTAAGCCAAACGAGCATCTTATCCACGCGCACTCGAGTATTGGCATCACAATCCTGTTGCCTGGATTACCAAGGGACGGACCAATTATATTTTCTTTCTATGAGATCCAAGGAGGCCGGGCCCTGCGGCTAGTGCATCTAGGAGTGGCCTTCGCCCGAACAGTCTAGATTTTGGGTGCCAAGAGCGAAGGCTGCGTGACATTCTCCGACACTCTATTCCGGATATTGTATCGTTTTGATGCAGCCAACAAACTATCATCTTCGTGCAAGGAATTGAATTCACATGGACGTATGTGTCAAGAACACTCCAGCGCTGATCTATATTTATACTATTACCTGGTTAGGTTCATTTTATAACAAGATAGTAATCTTTCTAGAAAACGCCAACCCCCCTCTAAATAGACCATATATTTAAATGCACCTAAATCGGCTTCAAATATGTGCACAGAACTAATTCCATCGGCCTTTGCTTGGTTTAGAAACATTGGGTGTCGATAATCTTGTTTTCTAGCTAATAAGCGTCAAATAATTTGGTTACGTCTACATGAGACTTGAACTAATGTACGCCACCCTAACTTACAACAAAGAAACCGTGGTGATAAAGTCCTAGCTAGAGCCGGGAAAGCCTGGAAGAATCGAACGGCTGAATATTATTGGCCTCACGCGCTCTCAGAAGGGGGACGCTCTCTTTCTCGCCATAAACCTGGTTCTTGATGGTTATATCTAGTATAAAGGACGGGCCTGGGCTGTCTAGCGCCAACGCCAAATTCACGAGAAAGGCACATTTGCCTCAGATAAGCTTGGCCGCCGCAAACAGAATATATTTATCGTGGCAGCAAACGAGGTAGCTTTCGAACAGATGGACAAATTGGAGGAGATGATGATTAAATTGGAGGAACTGAGGAATCGGGGGATGAGCATGAGCAGAAATCTGTGTAAGTAAAGCGACAAAGCAGCATTGCAAATTGGTGCCGAAAAACATGTGGTTACTTTGTCTTTCTATCTTGTTGCTTAAAGTGACGACCTACAGTGCGGTTTTTCAATAAAGGTTGTTTCATGATGGAAGGATCTTTGGGAAGGTGTGACTTTCAAAAACTTCGCAGATGTTATGCCTCTATCCGGAGACCTTTTTAGAAGCCATCTAGACTCCCTTGAACTGATCTCTGATTTTGATTCTCAGATATTGCGCGGCCCCTATGGAGATCTAAGTGTGATGGGCTCAATTTAGGATCGTCATATTCAACTAATCTGACCTAGGCAGCTGACAACGAGAATAACAAACATGAAGAAGGAAGAAGAAAGGAAAGGAGCTAGGCGACGCGGATGTCAACCCCGAGGGGAAGGCAAACGCAGGAAACAAAGCAAACATCTAGGTGACATGAGAACCCGCCGTCACATTAAGGCGCAGACTTTTCGCCAAGTACCATTCATGCAGTCTAATTGAAATTTATTTCCTGTACTATCGGGCCATGTATACCCTATGTCAGAAGTAGTATTACTAAAGTCCTAATGCCAATTCACCCTAAACTCTCAGGGTCCCTATATAGTACGTTGACTGAATGGCCTGTTGGTCATTCATTGAGCCTTTTTGGCATGTAGTGCAATGGTAAAGTCAACGGACCGGTGCCTTACATAAACTGTACCTGGCAAATTTCAGATAGACATTCACACAGCGAAATTACCAATCAACCACGAACGAATGCGCTAATGTTAATTAGTACTTTGTACACCAATGAAACAAAGTGAATAGAGCCTACCCTTTTCCCCATTGAGCTGAGCGTTCTAGTGACCGTGGATTATCAGAGATGCCGCTGAACAGAAATCCATAATCAAAACCTGTGGGCTCCCAAAACTTGATCTAGAGTTGCCTGCAAGGCCCTTCCTGGTTGAAAACATTAAAATTTGATGATTTCGCTTCCTGGTCAGTAAGCGTCTGATTAATTAATTGTGAGTCTACGAGACCTAAACTAGTGTGCGCCACCCTAATTACAACAAAGAAGTCTTGACGCTAAATCCCTAGCTACAGCCGCAATTAAATGCAACAATTGTAGATGCAAATATTATTGACCTGATACATACACCCTAAAAAGGGAGTCCAGGCCTTTTCGCCATAGACCTGGTTGCTTATAGATTTATTTAGTACAAAGCTCCTGGGTTATCTAGTGCCAACACCAAACTCACAAAAAGGGCACGCCTGTCTCAGATAAGCTTGACCCCCGCAAAGAGACTATATCCATCCTGGTAGCGTACGAGATTGCTTTTGAACAACTTCTCTAGTGCTGTGACTAAGTATGCTGAGTCTGCCGTTGGTGATTATTCTACTCCTTACCAAACGTTTGGACCCTTGGGCCTAGCCCTTTCTCCTCATACTCCCCTCTATCGACCTTGTTCACAAAGAGCCGATCGCGGCTTTAACTATATTTGGTTTTCTCGTCCTAGAACCAGAGAGGCAGAACCACTAATCCTTTTCGGGAAGTTGATCAGGGGTACGAGTTTAGGTTCATCCCAGATCTTGAACACATCAAAACAAAATTTACGAATTTGAACTCCGTGATTCGTGCCGGGTGTTGGGGGAGAGGGATTTGATATGTTCCTCTAGCAGCTTATGCTTGTCAAATTACCTTATATTACGCAGATAACCTCGCCTGCCCGGTCAATTGGGCATTCTGTTGGCCGTCTCTCTAGGCGTAATTGCTAGTAATGTACACTTAGGAATATCGAATGATGAAGGTCTGATTCTTTCAATCTAGCTGTAAACGATGGTTTAAATACATAAAGAATAATAAGCAATCTAGCCAATACCGATATCCGGAATAGGAAGGTCTCCTATGTGACTAGCGGTCACATACGGTTGACACATTCATTTACCTTCCTAGTAATAAAGCGATGAAATTTGTAATCCGTGACAGGGGGTAAGGTGACGGACCGGGCCAATCGCTTCTGGGTTTGGCGACCCACTCAGCGCCACTCATTAGTGTCGCTGATCTGAGGTTTTGAATACCTGGTCGTGCTGGCGTTTAGTGGCTGATTCGGGAGGGCGAATTTAAAATTCCACTGCCCTCATCCACCCACTCTCCACGTTTCACTGGAAACCGTACCTTTTGAAGATGGATTCCTGTCCTCAAGAAATAGTCTCAAAAGTCGATTGCAGTTCGACCTTGACGGGTTGCGGTAAAACGCTCCGCGCTCAATTTGCTCCTACACAGCAAAGGCTGGAATTAACACTCGAGCAGTCGCGGTCACTTGCAACTGTTATTGAGGGCGATAAAAGTCTTGCGCGTCATTTCGGTGTTCCTCTTGCTAGTGACTCTATGACGGGGAAGATTGACCCATTATTTGGCAAACTTCAACTTATAAGAGACGATGAAGGGAAAGTTGACAATACTATTTGCTGGCTCGATATTGTTCTCGCACCTTCGTATAAGCCAGCGCGTCGAGAGGATGGCTATTATTATTTACAGCTTGATGGACGCAGTGGATTGATTCAGGTGTCAGAATCAGACCACAACTTTATCGAGTCTGGCCTTCCTCAAAAACTCATTAATCCACGCTCATATCCGAGCGATGTACAGTCTGAGGAAGAGACTATGCGGTTAGTCGAGGGGTTGTTATTGAATTTGAACCAACTTGCCTCACAGAGTGAGTATTCTCTTGAAACCATCAGTTTTCTTGCTATTTCTATAACCCTATGCGTGTACCTTTACATATTGACTTGGGTGTAGTCATCGACCTGAACAATGAATGCCGGGAAAAAATCAGCCAAAGGCTTGAGATTCTCAGGCAATTTAGCGGCGGCTACTCTCAAAACACTCAGCGGGTCCACGATAAATCGAATCATGTAGACCTGCAGACCACTGAGCCTCCAGAGCCGGCAACACCAAAGGGAATCAGAAAACGCAAGCGTGAGTCAAGATTTACGAACATCTTAATGGTGTATACAGCCTAACTTTCGGTAGTACCTTCTACATGGGAGCCGGAGGAACTAGATCGTTTACCCCGGTGGTTCGGGGATCACAAGCATCTAACGAAGAAACAAGTTGAGGCTGAATTCAAGAAGGACTTCGGTAGATTTCGAACCTTTGGTGCGATCATGGCCGCACACTATCGGGCAAGAAATGAGCATGGAACGCATCGTGTAGGGTTGAAGCGGAAACTCCACCCCGATGATTCCCTACCACCCTCAACGGCCATTGAATCCGCTCGTGTTGCAGTACCCGACCGCATCTATCCATCCTTACCAACGTCCGATTCATGTTCCAGACCTTCCGTGTCCTTTTTGCCTCCTCTCAGAAGCCTCTGCAGTCCGGGAACATCGAACGGTGGAACCACTGAGAAGCAGTGTACGGAGTCGCCCCACCGAACCACACACATCGAAACAGTAACTCCTCGAGAAACGGCAGAAAGGCCTTTGTGGAAGGATTGCTCTTTTTCCAGCACTTCAAGAGCCGAGGTAGAAGATTTCGCTCCAACGGGTACCGCTATCCTCAACCCCGAGCAGACCACAAGGGACGGCAGATCATCACGAAGAGGACACCAGTCGATCCAACCCTGTCCTATCGATACTCGAGAGGGGAATAACACTCTCCGCCATGACAGCCCGATTGATTCCCTCGAGCACGTGGAAGGGGACACCGCTGTCGATCATCATGGACTCTCCGGCCAGCAACACAGCGTGAGCGCTTCCAACGAAGGCTCTCCCGGGATGCCATCAGATGGAAGTTGGGTCAATCCTGATTCTCCAAGTTTCGTATCCGGACAAGATACGCTAGATGGTAGAGGAGGTTTGACTGCGGCCAATAGATTGCCGCTCCCGATCTACCCTGACACCGGTCCTCAAGTGATGCCACCAATTGATCAGGTTCTCAATGGACAGTTATGCCTATAAATCAATCAGCGTTCTCGGGTTGGAGCTAGCAGCCGTGACCGGTCACTGCCCCGATGAGGAGTGGTCGTCGTTCCTCATCCCCAGTTGCAATGAGTTATAGCGTGGGATTTCCCACCTGGATCAGATTCTCAATATCAAATTCCTGACAGGCTCTGGTATCAATAGCTGCTCGCTAACTTGAAGCGGTCGCTCTGGGTCACTCATGGGCTATGGTAGAATGAATGGTTGAATGTGATGTCCAGAACACCGGGGATGAATACAATCTGTAAATGCCAGGCACCGCCCGGTTCCTATTCAATCGGGTCAACTGTGATTACTCTTAGCGAATCGACTTTCTTGACCTGAACTCTGGGGTGGGCTTGGATTCGGGGTGTTCCTTCTAGAAGACAAAATAAAAGCGAGCTCAACGCCCTGTGCTTAAAGTAGAAAAATTTGCTATAATAACTATATGTGATGCCTTTATCTTTCAGACTAGACGAAATCGCTTTTGCTTACGTGTATCTGCTTCGCACGAGATCTTCCTAGGTAGCATCATCCGCTTATTTCTCAGTTGAGGGTCCAACACCGAAAACAGTGAAACGGAACCCTCGGAGCTTGTATACACTGACAGAGTATTTTGTGCATCTGGAAGGATCTGTCGCAGTTCTGCATCTGGGATTTCAGAATGTTCGTGATCAAAACCCGTCTTTTATTCTGGAAGCTGATCTTCCGCATTATTTCGCTAATTCTGGTCACGTAATCTTAAACCAAAGCTCATGAGACAGAGACATACCACACGGGCAATACTTGTTACTGTACCGGCCACTAAAAGCTCTGGTCATTCTCGGGTTTCACTTCCATGTTGGGTTCGCAAAGGTAGTATTATAAAGTCTGACTTCACCAGATTTCTGTTTACCCGACCGCGGCAATTCTTGTCTGCTTTGCGTTGTTACAATAAAAAGTAATGCAGATGACCGAATCCTCTGCGGGAAATCCCTGCAGCATGTCTTGTGGTTAATACGCCATGGTTTACCATGGTGTCTTTAGCTTACAGACTGCAATAATAAAAGGCTCTATAGAGGCCCTCAATTACGATCCTATTCCCTCTTCATCAGCATAATATTGTGACTACTCGACATCAATTTCCAATAAAAACCTTCTAACAATTTATTTTACGTCGTCTACTCTAACCAGCTAAAAATGAGGACCTTTCCAAAATCAGATAAAAAATTCATCGGTAAGAAAGCAGATCGGCGCAAAAAAGGTCTGATGAAAAGGGCATGCGAATATAGTAAGATCTGTGATGCCGAAGTTTTTGTTGGAATTAGGACTCTGGTCGGCTCTATACCTTGCTGAGGCTTCGGGGTTCTGATCTCCTTTGGTCTCTGTGGCCGCGGAAGATGACTAAAGTGATTAGTTAACGTAATTCCCAACCGAGCGGGCCATCGCGTATTCTATAGAAACCATCACTTTTTTTGTACTCGAATATTGTTACGGGCTTGGCAGTGGGTAGGTGCGCTTCTACCCGCCAAGACCGTTTTAGTAGGTCGTTACCGACTGAGCTACTAAAAAGACCAGAATACCAAGTCAACGACTTGGTACGCGCATCACTCTATATAGTGGTTCTTGGTCAGTTCGTCATAAATATCTCAACAACTAAAGAAGATAATGGTATAACGTATTTCACTAGCGAGTGAGTCAACACTACCGAGTGAGTCACCTCCACCCAATTTCTGCCCGCGGGCCAAATACTAGAGGCTTTATCAACGAAACAATTACATTTCTATATAAAAACTACTTAGGAACTCGATTAGGACATTGTAATCGCCTATGTCCTAGAATATGACAATCGCTACACCGCGGGGGCGCTCGTACGCGTGGCCTGCCTGCAGAAAGTGCAGGATCTAGGGGAAGCGTATTTTGAGCTTCATCAACCTCATTCTCGCGCTGAAATCGCTCTAGGCCCTCCTGAATAGCTGATCCCTCTGTAATAGCTAGCTGCCTAGTAGAGTGTTTCCTTTTTTGAAGTTTCTTTTCATGAGAAGCGCGTAATTCGTGGATTTCTTCGCGTGCAAGAATAAGCTCATTAAGATGTAATTCATGACTTTTAATAAGCTTATTTATACGCGTCTCTAGCGAAGATGAAGGGCTCTGCATACGCGTTTTAAGAAGCTTCTTCACAGTAGATGCCTGCTTCTCCAGCTGCCTCGTAGTGTACGGTGTCTTAGGCGCTGAATTGATTGACCGGCTGCCTGGTGGTGTGGGGGTCTTTAGTTGAATATTCAGCTGATTGAACACCCTATCCGGATCAAATGGAATAAGGCCAGCGCCTGCGAAGCTATTCCGAATAGTATCTGCTTGAAAAGCGCGTTCACGAGCTTGTGGAAAGGCCTTTAGGAAATCAAGTTTATCAATATGATTGATTCCTAAGCGTGCTTTCCGTTCCACTAAACTCCCGTACGCCTTTTTTAAAGGCGCAAAGCAGCCCACGCCCAAAGGTTGAAGCTTATGGGAAGAATGAGCTGGCATACAGATAGGAATAACATTATTCTCACTGCATATTTGGTCAAACTGAGGCGTAAGATGGCTGCCATGGCCGTCGAGAATAAGAAGCCGATATATTCCAGTTGTACGACTAGTAGTAGCAGGAATAAAGAGATTTTTAAGCCAGCGAAGGCTTATCTCATCGGTAGTCCATCCATTAGGACTAACTTCAATCCTGCTATCGCGTGGGAGCTTAATATCTTGATACCAACCCTCTATATGGACCTTCCCTTTAAAGATCACACATGGAGGAAGCGCCCAACCAGTAGAGTTGATACACTCGATTGAAGTAACCCATTCGCGATTACCTGGCTGTACAAGAGAGGCCTTTCCATAGTAGTCAGCTCTAGTAACTACTCGTGCAGTAGCTACTAGGCCCATAGCGAAGCCAGTTTCGTCAAAATTGTAGATATCTTCCTGCGCGATCCCGTGTTGCATTATAGTAATTTGTACGCAGTTAAACCACACTTGTATAATCTGAGGGTCTTCGCATTTAGCACGTCGATAATCATAGTGTCGAGTATAGCGAGTTTTCAAGCGATCTTGTCGTTTAATAAATTTGGTGACCCAATTCTCTCCGACTGATTGAACTGGGGTAGTACCGCGTTGAGCAAGTAGAATATTGGCCATTTCTCGTATATGCGAAGGTCGGGGAGGGGCTCCACGTCGATCTAATGATAGAATCCATTGTACAAGCGATTCCTCTTCATTTTGAGTCATTTTATGGCCGTTGGCGCGTATCTCTGAGCGTGAAGTTGTTCCATTAAGTCGGCGACGAAGCGTTTCAAAAGAGATATGAAAAACGCGCGCAGCTTCACGGATACTGCGAATTTCTTGCTTTTTTAAAGCACAAATAGCAAGTAGAATCCTGCCCTCTTGCTGAGCTGAGTTTCCTGGATTTTGACGCGCTTTTGGAGGCATGGTGGGTGGTTGAATTGGATGAGGTTTTCGGTCGCGTCCAAAACGCGGTGGGTGACTCACTCGCTAGTGTTGACTCACTCGCTAGTGAAATACGTTACTTTAAAGTAAATCAAGATAAGTATCATCATAGCACTGTATAGATATCTTTTGAAAATCTAAATATCAATAATAATTCTATAATGTAGGATTATTCAAAATTTCGAATAATACATACGTAATTTAATTTACTGATATAGTCAGTTTATAAAAGTAGCTTAGACTTCTATATATACTTTATCTATATATTCCCATTTTATATACCAAATTTGAACTCATTTAGACTTTCGGATGTTGAGATATTCAAGTATAAAACAGTCATGATTTATGTGCAATACGCGGTGGCCCGCTGGGTAGGGGTGGCTCGCTCGGTTGGGAATTACGTTAGTTAACTAGTTAACTAGTTAACTAACTATCATCGCCTTACTTGACCGGACCCATCATGCAACCGATCGACATTAATCATATAATATATGATGACATAGAACGCGTAATTCCGCTCTAATTATGATGATCCTGAAGCCCCTGAGATTGCATAAACATTGACTTCTTTATCGTGTAGTTAGAAAGAATCAAGACCTTCACTCATTTGAATAGTTATGATCATATAAAATCGGTTGAATAATCACTTCTTCGGTAGACCCACATATTTCTGCCACAGTCTCGTGTCGCCGCGGATATGCACTAGAAATAAGCCCTTACTACTAAGGGTTGACCCTTTTTAGTGCAGCGGTATTTTTTCCACATCTCGCAACTTGTGAGTTCACGTGACCAGGAACTACTTCCAGTCACTAACGATTGTAGGACTCGTATTATCCAACGGCCATCCACCGAAATGTTAAAGATTTTGATGTGGTCCCTGAAAGCAAAAAGACTTCCCTTCCAGATTCCTCTGGCAAAGGGGCTGATACAAAGAGAACATAAAGAAATGGATCGTCGAATGATTCTCTGACTTGCGGAGAATGTATATTTGCCTTGGTTTGGTCTGATAGTTTCCGGTGGATAGTTTTGGTATTTTTATATATCCACTATATATCAAGTGTTGCAAAGGTAGACTATAATTACATGTATCGAGATTTACTCTGAAAAGGGAAAGAAGAATATTGGATCTTGTGATATCTAATGTCAACTCTTGTGCAAACGTTAATACCCAACTGTTGTATAATTGCTAATCTGTAACTTACAAAGCAGGAATGGCACAATGGCCTACTGAGCCCTATGCTGTTCATGAAGGCGTCGATCCTGACGTTAAGTTTATTCTCTGGACTTTCGTCGGCCCATTATTCCACCCAACCTTCGTCTACCAATGGCCTGCAGTTGATCGGCGACCAGCGGCTACCTGATCAGCGGTATGCCAACAACCTGGTCGACAGCGAAGCCTGTCCCTTCCCATCAGCCCTAGAGCTGGTCGACGAGACAGCCACAAACACTATGACCGAATTAGATACCCGTACGCCGATAGAGGTCTGTGAGAGCGACCCCTCTCGATTGTCCCGGTTTGCGTCGTTCACGACTGCCGTCTACACATTCACGGCGTCCGTCGCGGCCACGATCTGGACCTGGTTTCATCACAAAGACTGAAGCTCCCACACCGGCAATGTCGACGGCTGGCGGTACGAGTACCATCCGACGGGTCGCAACTGTGATACCACTGCCCAGCAGAAGGCCATCCCGGGTGCCATCTACGATTATCTGAAGACGGTTGAAGGCGACAAAATATACGACACTCAGTGTCTATTGCTCGACTATGGAGGCCCCTATGCCGGCTACTTGAAGCTTGGAAAAGAGGGGGCTTTTGACTCTTCGGCCTATTGTGGTCCGACACTGCATTTCGAGTATTGTGCGTCGGAGGTATGAACAGCTTTTGATTGAGATATCATGGGTGGGAGACAGGGATTGCGACAGTACTACATTCTTGGTTTCGTTGTGCTTGGGGGAAAAGGGGATCTAAGTGCAGCTGAGGCAATGTCATACCGAGGGGGAAGTTGGGACTTTTGAACAAGATGAGCGAGAGAGATTCTGTGAGAAGCGGCCCAGTCTTAGACCTGGTGGTAGTGTTTTATGTCTGTAAAATTGGGAGTCAATAGAATTGAAATGATACAACCTAATACGAACCTACCCTTATCTCCTTCTCCAGGACTGAAATATGTTTAGCCATCGGGGTCTATTCGGCTTGTAGTTAAGACTATCACCCTGTTTGGAATCTCACAATCCATTAAGATCCTAGTTCAATATGATAATTCGTATAAAAGGTTTGTAACATATGAAGTTAATTCTTACCGTTAATCCTATAGCCCAGTTTCCTATGAAGTGGTACATGTATAAATAATAATATAATTGTACTACTCGAGAATCTCTCTCGCTCACAATCTGCCCACCTGAATGATCTGAAATGTTCAATTTCCGTATTCGTGACACTAAACCAAAATCAAACGCCTGCTAGTAGATGCACAATCCACATCCCATCCCAATAACCTATACAATAGAAACCATAAACCCGAAATACTCGAGACTAGATACTCGATAATTAATCCGAACTACAACCGATGCTGCACCGCCACCAACCCATCACTCCCCTCACTCCCTTCACTACCCTCGCTCTTCCCGGACACCGAATCCCCATCACTCCCATCCACCAAAGCACTAGCAGCGGTCTTCAACCCCAACGCGCCCACCAACTTCCTCCACGACTCATACCCCCTCTGCGCATGCCTCATCGGCGTCGCTGGATCCGTATCCGCCAAAGTCCGACTAAACAGTTCCAACGAGACCCAGCCCTCGAAGCCCGTATCAAAGAACGCCTTCGCGGTCTCCAAAACAGGGAGATATCCGCCTCGATCTTCCTCGAAAGCGAATAGTCTTGCATTGCGGGACCAACTCATCCGACACGGTTGCGAGTCGACGTGCCATTCGTGAGACTTGTTTAGGGGCGCCGAGAGCCGTTCGCCGTCGACGATCTGTAGGTAGAAGATCTTGGAGACGTCGACTCGTTCACGGAGTCGGGTTAACGAGGCTGCGAGCTCGGCGTCTGCGTTGGGGGTCTTGCCTGTCGGGCAGGATGGGTCGGCGTAGACGCGGCCTGCTAGGTTGAATGTGTCGAGACAGATGCCGACGTTGGGACGGTCTGTCCGTTCGACGACGTCGTAGGCGGCTTCCCATGTGTCGATGTGGTTACCCCATGCGAGGGCTTCGTAGACGAAGCGGATCACGGGCGTCTGTTGGAGTCCGAGGTCTGCGACGCGTTGCATGTCCGAGATGATGATGTCCATGTCTCCTGTGGTGCGGGATTTGCCGGTGACGGGGTCGTTAGGGAGGAAGTTAGAGGGGATCTGGATGAGGTCGGTGTGGAGGGCGTGGGCAATGGTGAACCACAGGGGGAGTTTCTCGGTGACCAGACGCTCGTGTTCCGTCCGGTCGAGAAGACCTTCGAAGAAACCGAAGGGCTGGAGACAGATGATGGAGAGGTTGAGGGAGAGGCAGAGCGAGTGCACGTGGTGGGCGGCGGCGAGGACGTCGCCGGCGTGCGAGGTGCGCGCCAGATGCTCCAGGTCATCGAAGAAGAGCTCGATGCCTGAGTAGCCGTGCTGCGAGGCCTGGTGAAGTTTGTTGGGCAAGTCGTGGATCCCTGGGCGTCCCAGGGACATGGAGGCGATGCCGAGTCGGTTGGGCATTTTGAAGATGTATAGTATGGAGATGAAGAGGGTGGCTGTGAGATGATATCAGGATACGGCGGATATGCAATGCACTCGACTGGATCTGATCTAATACCCAACACCAAGAAGGAGTATAAAAAAGAAGAAAGAAATCTGATACCTAGAAACACCGACGAGAAAAAGGAGTCGAGTCGTCAGATAAAATACGAGCAAACTTTGAGAAGGAGGCGGTGCTTGGCGTTTAAGAAAAACAGGAAGGATGTGATGCATCGACTCCCGATGGATTTGCTATTTATGAAATAATTAATTTATTAGTTCGATAGTTATCATTCATCTTGCTTGCTAATCCCCGGTGCCTGGCAATTCTGGACACATCAAATCCTGAAATGCTTACCCCAGACGCTGGGCAACGTTCATCCGTCACTAAGAGTTAGGGCTACCCTGGTCGGTCGGCTAAGCGCTTTGCCCCCTTGCAGCACCTACTAATGTCGGCTGATCCGAGACGGCTAACGTTTACCCGCCCAGGGGGAAAGAAATCTTCAGGTTATAAGATATCACCAAAAACCTCTTCCTTTTGTGTGCTTTGCCTTGGCAATTTTTCTCAATTGAATTCAAATCAAATCACATCATATCAACAATATACTTTATACTATATTCTGTACAAACACCCTCATTCCAGCTGGTCCAGAAGGTTAAAATCCACATCCACCGTCTCGCCCGTCTCCAACGCCCTCTTAGCCGCCTGCACAACCACCAACGCCCTAAGCCCTTCCTCCAACGAACATCTCGGCTTGACGCCACGTTCCACAACGTCCACAAAATGCTGTAACTGGAGATCAAACGGCTTGGCCTCCTCATCTGCCACATCCAACTTCTTGACCACCAACTCCTCGTTCCAGCTCTTCGACGCCCGCCCGTCGTAACTCCACCGTATCATATCCGGCACGCTCAACGACGCCTCGGACCCGAAGATACGATAGAAGTCGCTCCCTCCGGGAACATCGACACTCGGGATGGTGGGGTTCTCGCCCGTCCCGGCCTCAAAGCTATGCGGAGACGGCGTGGCATCGCAGACGAGGAACGTGCCGACCACCCCGCTAGCGAACCGCAGGGTCAAGGCGGCGCCTTCGTCTGCGGAATGCGGGGGGTTTGCGCGCTGAGGGAGCGTCTTTTCGGCGTGGATCCGAACCACGGGTCCGAAGAGGTAATGCAGACAGTCGATGTCGTGGACTAGGTTGATGGCTAGGACGCCGCCGGTGGAGGCGTCGCGACGCCAGGACCCTCCATCGGCGAAGTAGTCGTCTGGCTTGAAGAGTGTCCAGAGGCCGTTCACAGCGATGATGTGGCCTAGGGACCCGGAGTCGATGATAGCTTTGGTGGCTGCGATATAGGGGTTGAAGCGGCGGTGATGGCCCGCCAGGATCTTCAGGTGGGAGGTTGTGGGCTGGCGAGCGAATCGAAGCAGCGACGCCCCGCTGGAGAGGTCGTGGCTGACGGGCTTCTCGAGGAGAATGTGGATGTTCTGCTCGAGGAGTTGGCGTGCTACGGTGACGTGCGTGTGGTTGGGCGTGCAGATGATGGCTGCATGGGGAGCCGACGCGGGCGTGGTGGATGTCGCTTGCAGACACGCCTCAATGCTCGGGTAGTAGCTTGTTCCGAGCGATTGGGCGACGCTGGACGCTGAGGGAACAGGGTCAATGAGCCCAACTAGATGCGTGGATGGGTTGCTGAGCACCGATTGTGCGTGACGGGGGCCGATGAGGCCGGCGCCAATGATGATGATGTTGAGTTGCGACATGTTTCTTGCTTTGCACTTACGAAGGGATGAAAAGGATGGACACAGAGAAACAGCGGGCGAGCGACGTGATATACGTCACAGGTAGAGATTTTTACCGCTTCGCCTTACGTTTCTCGGGACTTGTGGGGGGATCGTCATGGGAAATGAGTCAAGTCGGCTATGGGTTTACACGATTTCCGGATGGACAAAGTCAACGATTGTACACGAACCTCAAATTACGACTATCATCCCCTATCCGACACATTATGCACAAACACCGAGAAATCATCCATACACCTTCGACTGCACCGATCCGTCCGCCTCTTCCACCTGCTCCGTGTCTCGCTTCGTGAAGCCAGACTCCTCCAGATCCCGTCGGAACCGTTCCTCGTCTTCGCGGATCTGCGCCAGAACCCGTCCGTGAGCGTGCCAGATGGGCTTCTCCTCGAACAGAGCGTCCATACTTTCGAGCGGGATACCCTTCGTCTCGGGGATCAACATATACACAAAGATGATGGACAGGATCATCAGAGATGCGAAGAAGAAGTACACTCCATATTCCATTTTGGCAAACATCTGCGGAGTGAACCGGGAGATCAGAAAATTCCACAGCCAGTTCGATCCGGCGGCACAGGCCTGTGCCAGGGACCGGACGTTGGGGTCGAACATTTCCTGCATTGTTTGTTAGCAAAACATGCAACCGACAGTCATCGTTCTATGCAATGCTGGGCTTACCGAGTTGATCACCCACGGAGTGCCATTCCACGAAGGGGTGTAGAAGACGGTCCATAGGTAGAAGAAGAACATAGCCATGATACCGCCGCCGTCCATCTGCTGGTTGTCGCTTTCCCCGGGCTTCGCAATCTTGATGTACGCGCCTACAATCCACAAACAGACCGAGCCACCCGCCGCACCGATCAGCAGAAGATTTCGGCGACCAACGCGATCGATCAACCAGAGCAGCCAAACGAAGGTGGTCACCGTTTTGACCACGCCGAAAATACCCGTGGTGAACAAGCTGGTGTTGGATCCTCGGAGACCAATACTCTTGAACACCGTGGGGCTGTAGTAATTGATGGCGTTGATTCCTGAGCCGTTCTGCCAGAGGAACAGCATGCTACCAAGGAAGAGACGGTAGAGGATCTTCTTGTTGGTCCAGGCCGCCTTAAATGGCTTCCAAAAGCCCAGTCCGATGGTCGACCGCTGGTGTTCCAGGGACTGGTCAATGGCGCCAATTTCCTCCATCATGTAGATATGATCCTCAGGAAGCTGACGGATCCAACAGAGGTTCTTGATGGCCTCCTCGCGACGACCCCGGAGGAACAGCCAACGCGGAGATTCCTTGATCAGCAGAGCACCGATCAGTAGAAGCCCCGAGGGGATCAACTGCACAGCAAACGGGATGATCCACTGCTTGTGGCTCTGCGGAAGGGTCTCATCTACACCATACTAATACGCGAAAGTAAAAGGATTAGCCTCGTTCGTAGCGTAACCCCGGATTTTCCTCCCCAGACTGGAGTGCAAACTTACGCAGATCCAAAAACCGACTAAACCACCGATTTGCCATCCCAGCTCGTAGACTCCGACCAATCGCCCTCGAATGGCCGGCGGAGCCAGCTCCGCGATGTAGATTGGCGTAATATTGGAGCCGGCACCCACCCCCAGACCGGCCAGCACGCGACCCCCATAGATCAATCCGAGTCCCCGGTCGCCGTTGGCTCCCAGCATCAGACCCGCCCCCAGGGTGAAAATCAGGCCGGACACCATCAAACCCCACCTTCTACCCCAGAAATGGCCGATGGGGTAGGCGAAGAAGGCCCCGAAGAAGGCTCCGGCCTGGTACAGAGACACAATATTGGCGCTCACTAGGTCCTGGGTCGCGTCCGACATGGACTCCCAGTCGAATTCATCTTTAAAGGACTGCAATGAGATGGTAGTGCCGATGAAAGCACTGTCATATCCGATCATACAAGACGTGCAGGAGGCTACTGCCGCCAGAAGGTAGATCTTCCAGTTGTAGACCTCCTTTGGGGTCGGCCTATCCTCCACAAGAGACAGGATAGACATGTTGGTGCGTTCGCCCTTATTAAGGGGTAACGAACACTGGACGGACTTGTACGCTCGAAGTTATAAGAGAAAAATGCGTGTTGCAATGTCGAGACAGGCAACAATCCTGGCCTAAGAATGAACAAGGACAAGCAGGAGAGAGACGGGGAGAGAGAAGAAAACAAAAGGGCGATGTCTGGGTCAAAAGACAGCTGGGTTTTTAAATACTGGGTCCTGCACTACGCCGGAATAAGCAGAAACCCAGGGATTCGAAAATCCGGGGTGTTCAAAGCGAGACGGAGATGCGGAGAAATGATTCAAGGAGAGGGAAGAAGGGATATCAGACAAAGACGAGGATTGGAGGGTGAGAAAAGACCAAGGCGGGAAAACAAATAGCTACAAAACGCCCAGAGACTCTTCAGAAGCGAAGGATTAAAAGAAAGTTTTCGTGCAGGGGAAGGTCATCCTTGGCTTTCGCTCGTCTCGTTCTCCAGGTCTGACCGGCCACGGGACCTTGTCGAAAAACTCTCTCGTCACCGCACCAATCGAGGACTGAATCACTGACAGCCAAACAGACCCAAGAAATCTCTGCGCGGCCCATGTGTTGGTCTCGCTCCGATCCCGCCCATTCTCTCTGTGGGTGGGGGACTGAGATGGGTAAGATTGGCGAGCATTTGTGGGGAAGCTAAAGGAGGAAAAACTCCAGGTCGTTAGTGTGTTCCAGCACGGTCTGGTCGGCGGTGCCAAACATGTTGGACTTTGGGAATGTTCCCCACGACCATTTCGCATTCTCTGGCCCAATCAATCCATATCTGATGTCATCAGTGGCTGGGGAAAGGGCTTCGCCGGAGATTTCTAGCAGGGGAGGCGACAATTTCCCCACGGGGGCGATTGTGCGCACGAGGAACACGCGATAGGCAACTTTAGTAAGAACCTTGAGATCTAGAAAGAGTCGGGAAAAGGGTTCTCCCAGACACTTTGATCTCGGGCGGACGCTAAAATCCTTTACGGTTAAATGGTCAGGGAAGGATGATCATCCATGGTCGGTGCCGAAGCCAAGCATCCATCGCAGCCGAGGCGACGGAACTAAGCCGACATGGTCAGCCCGACTGGCCGAGAGAATGGGAACCCACAGTTCAGCCGAGATGAAGAGAATGATGGACTATGGAGACTGCGATCTTGGGAGGGATGGAGGGGGGTATTTAGCATTATGCAAAGTGGATTGGATGTTATGCAGAGATGAAATCATGAACAGGGAGGGGAGAAAACAGGAACAGGAAGAAGAAAGGAAGAAGAGAGGGAAAGAGGGGAGAAGGCTAAACGTATCCATCACGGGACAGAATGTTTCTCCGCCTTAGTCAGCCCTTCTATACTTGCGCTTTGCGCGATTTGGTTGGATTTTATTTTAATTCAAGATTCCTCCTCCTCCTTCTCGATTCTCTCTCTCGAAGCTCTTATCCTCCTGATCCTCTCCCTCCTACCCCTCCTCATCAATTCCATCTCCAAACCATCCACCATGGCCGCTCCACAAGAAATCACCACCGCAACCCCCACCATGCAAACTCCCCCTGAAGAGCCCATCACCATCCCCGACCACCTCGACGGCGTCGCCTACCTATACGGTCACCCCCTACTCAATTCACTCTCCCCACCTCTGCACCAGACCGTCTACACGGCCCTCGGCCTCAACTGGACCCAGATCCCCCTCTCCAGCGTCACCGGCACCTCAGCAACCTACCCCCCGCCCTACACGCGGTCCCCACCCATCCCGACCTTCCTGGCCAGCATCCGCGCCAACCCCAAATTCGTCGGCTCCTCGGTCACCATGCCCTGGAAGGTCAACATCATGCCCCATCTGGACGACCTGACCGAAGACGCCAAGCAGGCCGGCGCCTGCAACACTATCTTCCTGCGCAAGGACCCCGCCTCGGGGGAAACGTCCTACGTCGGCACCAACACCGACTGCATCGGTATCCGCGAAGCCCTGCTGCAGAACTCGCCTTCTGCCTCGGGGGATCCCGTCAAGGAGCTGTTTAGCGGTAAACCCGCTCTCATTGTTGGTGGTGGTGGTACCGCTCGGTCTGCTATCTACGTGTTGCGGAAATGGCTCGGCGCCAGCAAGATCTACGTCGTGAATCGCGATACCGACGAGGTTAACGCCATCCTCGCCGAGGATGCTCAGCGGAACGTCAACGCCGATGCTACCCTGGCTCCCTTGATCCACGTCACGGATCCCGCGGTCGCGGCGACCCTGGAGGCCCCCGCCGCGATTGTCTCGGGTATCCCGAACTACCCGCCCAAGACGCCGGAGGAGATCCGCGCGCGCGAGGTCCTGCAGGTCCTCCTGGGTGAGGCGACGGAGGAAACGCAGGCGGCCGAGGAGAAGAAGCCCCGGGGTGTGATCCTGGAGATGTGTTATCACCCGTCGCCGTGGACTGAGATTGCGCAGTTGGCATCGTCGGCCGGGTGGAAGGTTATTCTGGGATCGGAGGCGCTGATCTGGCAGGGTCTGGAGCAAGCGAAACTGTGGACGGGACAGGATGTCGTCAAGGTGCCTGGGGTGGTGGAGAAGGTGAAGGATCTGGTGGCTAAGTCGATTGCTGAGCGGTCGGCGAAGTCGAATCTCTAATTGGTTTGATGTGATGTTGGCAGTGTCTACGTTTTCATGTTCATGATTCTTGTATAGAGCATACCCTGGAGCATAGTTATATAGTCTGTGTTAGAGAATTGGATCTCTGTGTATAAATTTATTTCTACTGTCTTGGATTACTTTCAGATGCGATATGTTGTCCTTCCTGTATGTTCTTCCTGTATAAATCCGCCCAGTTCTACCATGGATATTGCAATCCTTCGTAGTGTCGCTCAAGCTCCAGGTCGAGAGTACTCGAGCTGTCGTACGCGTTTCCACACCTCCCTGACTGTTCTCTCCTGGGACTGTCGTCCCGATTCTGTCTGCGACGGCCCAGCCGGTCTATCCTATGTCAGTATATCCATATTTCCTGCTTTTGTTGAACCAAAACACATACCGAATAGCCAAATACAACCGACTCCCCAGACGAACGTCCTCAATTGGCGCCGTCGTCGGGTCCTCCGGCGGATTAGCAGTCGTCACCAACCCCCCAGCTTCCAGCAAGATAGCAATGCCAGCCGCAACGTCCCTACAATAAAGTAAGCACCGTGTCCATCATACACAAACGCAAAGAACAGATAAGGAAGACAAACCATTCCCAACACCCACCCTCCCACCAAATATCAAACGACCCCATAGCCACATAAGCCAGATCCAGCGTCGCGCTGCCCAGACTCCGCACGCCATGCACCATACCGCCTTTCCCGTCTCGACTGCCCAGCTCGGCCGCCAGGTTCACGAAACTCTCGATTTTACGATGAAGATTGCCGTCGGGGATGTCGCGCCGGTCTTTGCCCCACTCGCAGGAGAGAATGCACTTGCTTGGCGCGGTGGGAGGGAGCGGCGGGATGGAGGGGTTTTGGATGAGAGGGAGGCGGCGTTTCTCGTTCAGCCAGGCGCCGCGGTTGAGACAGGAGGAGAAAAGTTGGTCTTGGAAGGGGACGTAGATGACGCCGATGATGGGGCGGTGGTTGACGATGAAGCCGATCGAGACGCAGAACATGGGGAAGATGTGGGTGAAGTTGACGGTTCCTGGATTGGTATTAATATACTTGTGTGAGGCGTTGCGCAGGGCCGAGATGGAGTCAAGTTACCGTCTAATGGATCAATACACCATGTTGGATGTTCGTCGATAAGGTAATCGCGCGATTGACCTTTGGCGTATGTTTCTTCGCCGAGGAATCTGGGCCATGGGTTAGCTATGTCTGGCAAGGACATGGCAAAAGGACTCACTTGTGAGAAGGGTATTTCTGTTCAAGAGCTTTCCTGATGTATACTTCCACATCTATCGAAACGGTTAGATATCTTCTGTGAATCCGCACGCACAAACCGCATACCTTCGTCTGTCTGAGTCACAATATCCACGGCACTGTCCTTCTCCTCGACGGACTGACCACCGCCTGCGATGCGCTTCTCAACACTTTCCATCAGAAGATGGCCGGCCTTGCGCCCTAGATCAATCGCGAAGGCATAGATCTCGTCTAGCTGCTCCTGGCTGAATTCGGTTGTCATGATAACTCTGTGCGGGGTTGCGATGTCGCTGTCGCAACTCTAATTATTAGTCGGTAGGGATTATGCGCAGCTCGTGTCGGCTTATATATAATCTACAGAGTTGGGGTATCGAGCGCGTGGTTCTAAAGGTGACGTGGGTAGGGAGATGATGAAGGGAAGAGGTGAGTTCACAAGCGACAGAACTTATCTCCTCCGACGGCGGAGGGCCAACAGCCCCGCGAGTAACCGATGGAGTTAGATCTCCACCCCTCACGTGGACGCCGTTCTGGATTCATATCACGGTGTCCGCGGTGTGCTTTCAGGGTTAGTCTGTTGATTTTCATTTCATAGTATGAAGCTCCTAATAAAAAATATAGTCAATCACCTTTTTTTTAGACAATAACCAAGCATTGAAGCAGAAGAGGGTCGAATTGAACAGCTCGAGGATCCCAGATTGCGTAGGCTGTAGATCCACGGGTTGAACGGGTCCAAAATAAACTTGGCCGTTAGTTGTCAGTTTCGTGTTGTGACTTCATTCTGATGATGAATAGAAATGGTGCGAGTGGTTGTTGGCTATCGGGGTTGGAGTCCTGATCTACTACATCGACCGCGGGCATTAGGGTTTATACACATCTACAATGTTAACAGAACTTCGAAGTATGGCCAAGACCAATATTAATGCAAGTGATTCATCTATCTTAAAAGAATGTATACAACAACAAAGCCCAACCCACAAAATCACTGCCTCCAAAAACCCTCACACACACTTGTCAGCAACAGTTAAATAATCATGGGCGTCAAGATGCAAGTAATGCTGCTGCATCGGCAGAGCGGATACCCGGCAGAGCATTCAACCCGACCCGCAACCAGCGCAACGCAAGGCGGAACTCCGCTTACCCAGCCGACCTACCAGGAATGGGGGTGCCGGGAAAAGACAGCGAAAGGAAATTGTTGAAACGCTTCTCCGCAGAACCAGCAGGCGCAACGATGCTCATGTCTCATAACTCCGTAGAGAATAACCGATTCTCATTCAATAATGGTGCCGATGGTTGTAAGCGTCGCAGAGTTTATGATGACATTTAGGCACCGCGTTGTCCATCTCCCACTTCCATAGTACTTACATTACATACATACAAACTACTCCTACTACCCCTACTAGACGCACCGCAGATCTATACCCTCTCATATCTACCTATCTATAAATTTTCTACGATAACAGTCTCCAAACCCCTTTGATACCTACCTACCTACCTCCCTATCAACCCCCACCAACGGAAGAAAACAAAATGCCCGCCAAATCCATCCTCCTCATCAACGGCCCGAACCTCAACCTCCTGGGCACCCGCGAACCGCACGTCTACGGCAGCACAACCCTCAACGACGTCGAGACATCCGCAAAGGCCCAAGCCGCGTCCCTCGGGGCCACGCTCAACGCATTCCAATCGAACCACGAAGGCGCCATTATCGATCGCATCCAAGAAGCCCGGGGCAACGTCGACGGCATCGTCATCAATCCCGGAGCGTTCACACATACATCGGTAGCCATCCGCGATGCGCTGCTGAGCGTCGAGATCCCTTTCATCGAGGTGCATGTGAGCAATGTGCATGCGCGTGAGCCGTGGAGACATCATAGCTATTTCAGCGATAAGGCGGCGGGGATTATCGTGGGGTTGGGTGTGTACGGGTATAAGGTGGCGGTGGAGCATGTGGCGCTGAACTTTAAGGGGTGGGAGGAGAAGGCGACGTTGTAGGTTACGTTGAATAGAGGAATGTGGCTGTGAGATGAGAAAGGTTGTGTTATATTTACATAGATTCGTTGACTTCTTGGTATATATTGATAAATTTTTTACATCGTGTCTATTCGTCCTTGTAGTCTGACATGTCCGAAATTATATACGTGACAATATGTACAACAGAAGAAAGTCGTGTCGGGCTGGTCATATATGGAAAGCCCGCTTGATTTTGTAGAGCTTTGCTTGCTCCTTCCGTCCTCACAGGCGTGGTGTAGCCCGAGGCATCGACATCGAAACTATGGAGATAATCAGACATGCTCATCTCTTCGGATTCGATTGCGCCTCGTTTATGGACTGCGATTCTCGTCGTAAGTGCCCTGTAGGCTCAGAGCCTGGTATTGGTTGCTGGTTTTGAGCCAGCATAAATGGTTCCACTTGGTTGGAATATGAGTAAAGCCCCGGCACTCCGGCGTCGGGCACGAATCCTAGATTCTGCATGAACTCGGGGAGATTGTCGGTCCTGCGCGCGGTTAGTATTTGATTATTTCACAAGGATGCTAAAGAGCTCACTTTTCAGTGCCATCCAACGATGCCAGCTCATCGAACAAGGCATCAAGATCAGGAGCAATTCGCGGTCGACGTAGAGATCCATATCCGTCAACGTCAACGAATGAACCCATGTTAAGATTGGGTTCGCTGTATGTCTGAGGGTACTGAGGCGCGGCGGGAGGAAAAGGGGAGGTTAATTCGGACATCATACTTGTCCCGTTGAGTGTTGGTCTTGTGGAAGAGGAGATGGAGGCACGGTGTCTATGTGCTTCAGTAGGGGGCGCGGGGTGGGACGGTTCGGCCGCTCGGTTTATGCTCAAAGAAGGGGCTGGCGTCGGCAAGGACAGAGCAGCACTATCGTCTACATTGGACGGTGTCCTCATCCATTGATTTGGAAGGAATTGTTCTGATCCCGGTATAGTGACACGCGTGTCATCGATGAGGCTTGCCCGACGAGCGGTACTTGCGGTGGCGGGCAACGGTTGAGGGGGAGTAGTCTGTGCCGCAGGATCTATAACGGGCAAAGCGCCCTGAGGGTGCGACGTGGGCGCCATTATTGGTACGCTGGCAATTGGGGATTTTTCAATGGGTCGATAGTTCAACTCTGGTCTGCTATCCGCGGCCCACACAGTCGCGAGGTGAGACGCAAACGAACGCAGTTTGTGCTTGAGTCCAGGCTCGAGATCAAAAGCGACCGGTAGATGTCCTTTGTCGCTCGTCCGAAGAACGCCAGATGTCAATAGCATTCCAAAGGTGGGACATGTTGCCGAAAGACTGTAGCTTTCCATGTATGCCTGTAGTAGCATGAGTATTCTCTGCGAACTATCGGTTGCGTGCTTTCGGTACGACGTTTGGATATTGCCATCGCCTCCATGCAGTGCGAGTTGAATACTGAGATGCGAGACAACACCCTCATACATCATCTCCAGTCCGAAAATATGTGGCGATGCCGGCCGCTCGGAGTTCCTCTGCAGATCAACCCGGTAGCTTTTGGGTAGAGCCGAGACCCAAAGCTGCAGTTGGCGCTCTGACGCTTCCAGATGCGAAATAGGACTGGCTGGAGACTGTTGCAAGCAACACGTGTCGTTCAGGATGCACATTAACGATATAAGTCGGTTGAATGTACTTAACGCATGGAGGGGACCCCGATGGAAGGAGCCACGAGACGTTTCGACCGGACGCAAACCAGTCTGATCCTCCCACGGATGCCATTCCTCCAGCCCATCTTCATTTATTGGACCGACCTTTGTCAAATCGCTCTTGCGCAGCGACGGCACTTGTCCAGTCTGCGTGGCAACTAGAGTCTCCAACACGAAGCAACCCAGAAACACGTGCTTGGATCGTGCGGCGGCTCTACTATCCCCAACATCCTTCCCAGAAATCGGCAAACGATCCAAGCCCAAACATTGAGAGATGCGTACAGCCTGTCCCACAAGAATCCATGCCGCCGTCCAGTCCTGCTGGCCAAGCTTGGCAAGAGACAAAATGAGTAGCGCCTGAGCGTGTCCAATTTCATGTACTCCATTTTCTCCCGGGATAAAGCTCTTGGCGGTAGCATAGAACAGGTTGGGATCGGGACGGTCGCTGGTGGCCTGTGGAAGTTGGCGCGTGGCAGAAATCGACGCTTCCTGAATGGATGCGAGGGTAAGAACCGCCCATAGTGCCGCGTGATCTCCAGACCCAGCAGTAGATGGGGATACGGGTGTGTCATTTTCGGAATGACGGAAAGCCGTTCGAAGTATGTCGTGTTTCTCAAGTATGGGGAACCAACATTGCGTATAGGAAAAGTAAATATCAAGTAGCGGCCACGCGTTGGAGGGGAGTTGGGGAGTAGGGGTTGATAAAGATTCTCTACCGGAACGGTAGTCGAGGGAATGGGGCAGTGCACGCCCGAGGGAGATATTGGGGATTTCTTCAACACTGGGGGAAGAGGTTTGGGTCGTTGAATCCCTAGTAATGCGAGTGACATGGGTTCTCATGGCTGAAACAGCCGACGGTGTTTTGATTGGGGACAGGCCGGAATATTCTCTCTCTGTTGCGAGTCCTTCGGGGATCTGCCACTCAAGAGCATCCGCCGACAGCACGCTGCTTCCCTCGGCATCCGCAGGAGAATCATTGTCCCCTGGCGGTCGGCTTCCTTTATCTTGCTCATCCTCGGGTTGTTCCAGAGACACCAGCAATCTCTCGATTTCCTTCAACACGATACTGTTCTTCCACGACGATAACAGCGTATCGGATCCTTCCGCTTCCTTGCCCATTGTCGCCAAATGGCTAGGTATATTCGCGGCCCTCAATAGGGCGCGCACCACCTCCTCGCTGCCTTGTATTTTGCAAAAGACGAGGCCCCATAGTAGTTCGAGAGTGCGAATGTATCCGGTCGGTAGTCCCCTCTTTTTGGGATTGGCCTTGTACGTGCAGGGTCTGCATAGCGACGCGCAGGTTGAGCACACAGGTTGGACGCCGTCGCATTTGTCCTTCTTCGATCGACAACTGTCGCAGGCTCGGGAGACACGCTGTCGTTTGGGGTTGGAGGCAAAGTCGTCGGCGGTCGCATTCTGCCTGCTATCCTCGTCCGCATCGATTAATCGTCGTTTAGCTTTGCTGGTGCCTCCAGAGGCTTGGCGCGTGTCGTTGCTCATGATCGTTCATACAACGGGCCACTAGATTGTTCTGGACGCATGTTCATCGTCTGACGCTGCAATCGGAGATGAATCCTTTGCCGGCGGCGGGAGTATGTGAGCACAATCGCCTGGGGAGTTCGCCCCCACCTCACGAGGCGAGAGGCACGAGACACGAGAAGAAAGGAAGGGGAAAATACTCCGAATCTCCAGCGATCAGATGAATCAAAATAGCGTAAATCCAATGCGAGTAGATATTGTTTGGCAGGGACGATCGGAGAGAGATGAGTGACAGGGGAGGAGGGAAGAGTAGTTAGGCGACGGAGGGAGCAAAAGCGGAGAAAGGAAAAATGAGCAAAAGCCTGGAGAGAGTTGGGGAAGGAGGGCCCTATAGCTTTAGCCGCGGCTAGTCCGCCATGCGAATGATATTGAGTGGATTGCCAACAAACTGGGGCTGCGGTGAGCTTTTTCAGTATGACCTCGTCGGCGGTTATTATTTCGGGGGTCCCTTCTGTTATGTTATTTTATTTGATGATATTGGTTTTGTGTTTTTCTCTCGTAAGCATAGAATTAATCCTGCCTCGTAGTGTTATGGAAGTGGATCGTGGACGGGCCCCCAAGTACATAGCGCGGCATGCTGGAAGAAACTCCGTAGAGACTAGGTAGAGAGAGAAAATCCTTCGCAAATGAAATTCTTGCACGGGCACCTGCACGACTGGCAGGCATAAAATCCCCGCGGGGTAACGCCGAAAGTCAAGTTGCGACGGACTTCGGCCAGACTCCGGCGCATCCGTGGCTGTGAAGCCAGTCTACCTGGCAGGGCACGGCAGAGCCTTTGTCCGCCGCCTCCCCTCAGGCCGCCACCGCGTCAGAGCCGAGGGCCCTAAGCCTAACCCCCAATCGGCACTTTCCCCACGATCTCACGGCGCGCTGCCTCCACTCGTTTCCTCCACTGCCTTCACTTACCGGTCCTTTTCTCCCTCTTGCTCCGAACACGGTCCCAGTCGCTCAACCCTGCCATCGAATCCCTCGACCCCCATCTCCCCGGGGAACACCTATCCACACCACATGAAGCTAATCCCGCCCGTTTGATTTCGGTATCTCCCGCCTGTCGTCGCAATTCAACGCTCCGTCGCAGGTCAAAATTGATTCACACCCTCAATGCTTTGATCTCGATCTCCTACCTCCCCCCAAGTCATGCCTATGTCCGAAACATCCGAATGCTCATAGCACATCTCAGTGTATAATCCTACCGCGGTTCTATTCGCACCATGTCGATCCTCGTGAGGCCTCCAAAACGAAAATTAGACGAGCTAGACGGATTCGATCAGCAAGAGCAACGGATTTCGCGGGGCAGCCATTCACAACCCCTTGAGTCTCACCCATCTTGGTCGTCGGATACCATTGCCAGAAGAGCGGCCAGCTATGGGAGTGCCGATTCTCGCCGGTCGTCTGAACAATTAGATACGTCGGGGGATCTCTATCGCCATGCGCCGTCGCTGCGTGAGCCGCAGTCCGGCCGGGCGTCGCCGGTTTTCTTTGACGGGCCATTTCAGTCGCAGAAAAAGTTCATTCCCAATGCTTCTGTGGTGCTGATTGGTATCCGGGGGACCGGAAAGTCTAGTCTGGCTGTCATTCTGGCCGCGACGTCTGGGAGGCGGTTGATCGACGCGGGTCAATACTTTCAACAGGCGACCGGTCGGTCGCGCGGCGAATACAAAAGGGATTTTGGCCTGGCCGAATATCGTCAACAAGAAGTCAGGATTATGGAGACTATGCTGGAAGAACACAGGGAGGGTTGGGTCATTGCCTGTGGCCCGGGATCCATGGAGCGCAGAGGACAAATGCTACTGCGAGAATATGCGAAAACCCACCCCGTCGTGCACATCATTCGTGACTCGCAGAGCATTCAATCCTATCTCAATGCATGGAACAAAGACAAAGTTCACCGATTTCTCGAATTATCGGGCCCGATTTATCGTGCATGCTCCAACTTCGAGTTTTTTAATGTTGACGAAAAGGGCTCGGGAGACCCGGTGGTGGACAAAAACAGCCATCATAACCCCCACTTGGGCCAGGAACTTGATCAGCGGTCCGAGACATTTACACCGTTCCTGACACTTAAAAGGTTACAGCGCGACTTTCTCCGGTTTATTGCCTTCGCGATCGGAGATGCCACATATCTGCGCAAACAGCACACCTCCTTTCCCCTGTCAATGCGACCGGTCGAGACCCGCATGTACAGCTATGCCGCAGTCGCGCCGTTGTCGTCCCTACTTGAGCGAAAGTTTGATTATGAGGACCTGGAGACCGCCGCGGACGCATTCGAATTGAGGATAGACGTCACAGAGGGCTTATCCTCCCAGCTCAGAGTTGACTCGAGCCTTGCGGATAGGATCAGCCAGACCGTGGCCACCATCCGACGGAATATCATTGTTCCCATCATCTATCATGTAGAAAGCAAGACAAATCCTAATACCCCTTTTTCACAGCATAACGAAGTATCTTGTCGCCCGGATACCGCGTATCTAAATCTAGTGCAGCACGGTCTGCGGTTAGCTCCGGGTTTCCTAACGATCGATCTCTCCTATGACGATGGAGTCCTCTCGCAAATAATTTCTTCAAAGGGGACAAGCAAAGTTATCGGTCATTATGAAACTCTTCAGCGTCCCGCGGATGGCTGGGACGACCCCAAATACCTCGCGTTATACGAACGGGCGAAGGAGCTTGGTTGCGATATGGTTAGGTTGATACAGCCGGCGGAATCGATCGAGGACAACTTTGCTGTTCAACGATTTAGACATCATGTCAAGTCGATGCCAGGAAAACAAACACCTCTCATAGCCTACAACTCCGGGCCGTTAGGACGGCTATCGTGCTGTTTCAATCCGATCTTATCGCCTGTGATTCATCAATCCCTGATGCCCGACGTCCAAGCCAAAAGGCTACCGTGCATCACGCTCCACGAAGCGCAAGGAGCTCTCTACTCCTCATTCGCCCTTGACCCTATGCAGTTCTTCGTCTTTGGTGCCAACACGACATACAGTCTGTCACCCGCCATGCACAATGCCGCATACAAACTCTGCGGTCTCCCACACCGATACAACATCCACCAATCATCCTCCCTCCGAGGTCTCAACGATCTCATCGAAAACCCCCACTTCGGCGGAACCAGTGTCAGCTTGCCCTACAAGACAGAAGCCATCCCACTTCTCCATTCAATGTCACCCCACGCCCGCGCCATCGGCGCAGTGAACACGCTCATCCCCATCCGCGGCGACATCGGCGATCAAGCCTTGAATTCCGAGGACTGCACCCTCTACATGGAACGAAGTCGCGCCGGGCCCATCAAAGCTCTTCACGGCGACAACACCGACTGGATCGGCATCTGCAACTGCTTCCGCCGGGGACTGTCCCCGGCAAACGCCATCCGTCCATCCTCCACCGGTCTGGTCATCGGCGCAGGCGGCATGGCCCGCGCCGCCGTCTACTCCATGATCCATCTCGGCGTGCAGGACATCTTCATCTTCAACCGCACCCCATCCAACGCCGAAAGACTCGCATACCACTACAACCGCCAGACCCTGCACACAGCCGGCAAAAGCGGATCCCCGGCGCGTCCAACCTTCCACATCCTCCACTCCTCCCAAGAGGCCTGGCCAGCGGGCTACAAACAACCCACCGTCATCTGCTCCTGCATCCCAGCCCACAGCATCGGCGACCAACCAGCCCCAAACACCGAAATGCCACTACAGTGGCTAGAAAGTCCGACAGGTGGTGTCGTAGTCGACGTGAGTCCCTCTTTCCCCCTAAACCCAAATCAACCCCCACACCCAAACCATACTGACACCCCTCCAGTTAGCATACAAACCCCTCAATACGCCCCTTATGAAACAGATCCGCAGCCTCTCGCACCGCGGCTGGGTCGCTCTCGACGGTCTGGACGTCCTCCCTGAACAGGGATTCGCCCAATTCGAGCTCTTCACTGGCCGTCGCGCCCCACGCCGTCTCATGCGCACCGTCATTCTCCAAGAATACCGAGGCGAGGAAGGCCAGTACGATCCCGGCGCTATTAAACGTCGGCTGGAGAATCTGGATGCTCAGTTAACTTGATGGGGTGGGATCCTTCCTTGGTTTGACTTTGGGAGAGCCGGAGAGGTACCTTTTTTTGTATATATTATACTACCTACGCTATATTCTGTTTCAGATACCAATACTTATCTACATACCTACCCACCCATTCTACTCATCTACCCTTAGGGAGTTTTACCGGCTAAGTGAGTCGGTCGGTTTGATTAATAACGTCAGATGCGACGCGGTGGCTTGGATCAGGGTTGATTACGGTGTGGATTAGCGGTGTGTGTTGGGCTTGTTCATTGTCTTACCTATCCGAATGGGTCAGGCATACACTATCGGGGGTCTCGGATGACAGAGTTGGCATCCCTTGCCACTGATCATCAAATGAGTTCATTCCTTGCTATGAGGGATGATGACTTTCGATTACTCAAACACTTGATTTCAAATGTTTCGGATCACATCAAATCAAATCCCTCAGTAAAAATGGAAGTTCTGAACCGGGGTTTCGTGTCAGCCACCAACTATCAGAAACCTACACTACAAACGCTTTACAAAATATGAAAACTGCAAAAGCTTACAGCGGTTGTACCCGCACCGATGAATTATCCATTAAAAAGTAAAGGTGTCTAACGATAATGCCAGCGATCCCATTCCGCAGCAACAGGGTGATAACCATAAGTAATCAAAGACCGCTAAACGTTAAGTATACAGTGGCAATGCCGCATACACAAGAAGTATACAAAGAAGAAAAAGAAGAGTAGACAGTCAAAAGCATGACTCTTGACACAAAGTCCAACGTCAACTTGCTCAATCCTCCAGAGGCTCAGGTACAAGCTCGTCGAGCTGCTCAGATTCCTCACTCTTGAGAGAATTCAACGGCACAAAGTTTCCGCAGTTCAGTCTGGTGTTGTTGGGCGCGTGAAGGACGATGGAAAGGTTGCCGATGAAGGCTGGGTCGTCTTCCTCGTTCGAGAGATAGTAGTCGGTGTAGAAGACTTCGAAGGTCTCACCGTCCGGGGCGAAGATGGGACCGTGTTTGCCGCTCAGATCGCCGACCTGGCAGGTCTGCGGAGCGTTGATGTCACAGGGAGGCTGGTCACCACGCTTGTAAGGGTCAAGATGGGCGCCAGTTGCGTAGCAGTTGCCATCCTCGGGGACGGGCTTTTCGTGGATGTGATAGGCTGTGGCCAGAAACGTTAGCAATGTGAATCAGGATGGACCAGAGGCGCGGAGGAGGATATAATGAAAGTAACGTACGGTAATGAAGAGATCCATTGGGGAGACCTGAGACTTCAGCATGGATCTTGATTCCGACTCCGACTTTGGTAGCCCAAGCAGTGAATTGGCCAGAGATGGTCGTGTTGTCTTTGTCAAGAAGCTTGACCTGGTAGACAAAGTCGGGGTCGTTGTCCTCAATGACAGGTGCATTCTGGGGAGGGACCGGACCAGCAGAGACGGTCGCTGCCAAGGTGAAGCCCAAAAGGGCAGACGAGAGAAGAGACAAGCACCGCATTGTTCCGGGAGGACGGTGAGGATGCTGAAAGAGAATCTTGAACCCAAGTGGTAAAGAGATACGATGGCTGTAATTTGCTGCACAGTAAGCGATACTTGTGATGATGGAAAGCAGAAGAGCAGATGGATAGGACAGCCAGATAGCACAATGTGAGATGGAAGAAGGAAAGAAAAAGCGAGGAAAGGTTCGCTGGGAGGGCTTTATGTTTGCTTGCTTTCCTGCCCCGATCAGGGAGGATCGACTGCGCCTGCCAGGGCCGGGGCAGGAGCCAAGCTAAGCCTGGGAACTAAGGGAAGTCGTGCTCCTGATCATTTAACGTTCAGGCCGGAGCCTTCCATTAATAGCATCGTTTCGTTTTGGCAGGGGCCTGAGGACGAATAAGCGTCAGTGGTGGACGGCGCCGAGACAGGTCAGAGAGGCTGGGATGGCTGCCCAAGCTGTTAGCAGCCATGGTTACACGAATGGCAATAGTCGCTGTCAGCGCTCAAGCTCTTCATTTCGTTGTTCTTTGTCCGTCGGGCGGCTGGCTGCACGAATGATGGCAGTGACTGCTGTACGGGAGTCCCGGCCTGGGCAGGTCACCTGCTCCCCATGTGACTGCGTTGTCGCTCCGGATGACGAGAAGTACATTTCCCATCAATACGAATGTATCCATGGACCTGCATCCAGGATGTACAAGCCCCGTGCTGATTATCCGATCCGCAGTCCCCGCCTGCGAGCTGACATTGTGTTATAGCAGTTCATTTTACCTCCGCCCTGTCTATTTGTTTTGAAACCGTCCTTGTTTGCCAAGTATCTCTTTGCATATAGTCACCTTACCGTGCTGCAAGTGCCCGCACCAATTTCCTCTTGCATCCTGTATCATTTTTCTGTCGCCTTCGGAAATGTCTTGATTGGATAAAGTCTGCAACATGAACTTCTAATCTCATCAAAAGCAAATAAATGATCTGCCGGAGAGCCATTTACACAGGCCAGATGCACTTGGCAGTCCCTTAATCCCGGGAAATGCCAGGAGGAGAACTAGAAATCTAGAATAGCAAAGGAAATCACAAATGTAACCTGTGCTCCTGGCTGGGCATATCCCACGGTCTTGCAAATCGCGCCGCTGATAGAGGATTGCGTTGGGCCATAGGATTAGAATCGGTCCAATTCATGACCCAGAACCATAATCTGACTAGAAGATGGCTGTGAAGGTACGAATTCTTCGGCTCAAAGTCATCCTCGCAGACCGTAGTGGGATACACTTGGCGTGGTGCGCCTTGTACTGCATGTTGGGACAAAGTCTGGGCGACCTCGGGCCAATTCTCCGCCGGGTCAATCGTTGCTAATCCACCCATGATTAGAATTTTTAATCTCCCTGTATAACTATAGTATGTTCTCCCTGACCATTTGGCTTCCTTACTCAGCGGACAGGCTTCGCCTTGTCATTCTGGTTCCATGGTTCTCTCGAAGTAAGCGTCAGGCCCTGAAAATAGATCTGTCAACGTTATCAATTCTGACCAGGATAGCCTTGTACGGTATGGGCCATAGAAAGTCTGAGAGGAACTGTTCTCAACTGCTGTACATGTCGCCCAATGCCTTGACAACCATGTCACATTCCCAGATGCTCTCTTGATCTGAGTGACACCTAGAACCATGTTAGTGTCCTTGCAGGAATGTGGAAAGTGCCCGTGGGGTTGAGAACCCAACGGCCAGACTGCAGGCTCGGACTAGACCTAAGATCGGCGGCTGCAGGGCGCTTTGACGAGAGTAAGGATCGATCTTCACGCTAAAGACTACTCAAAAGGGAATTGATACGTGCCTCATGGACAAGGCAACCGTCGGCACGCGTTACTCCATCCGGGCCCCTCGAGGGTCGGTAGGATTTAGTCCGGGGAGCCCCTCGGCCACCCCACGCCTTCTCCACTCCCCGTGCTGTCGACATCCTCCCTCTGCATCTCACCGTGAGGTCATTCGGCATTCCCCCCGACTCGGACGAACTTCCCCTCTCATACAGTCATGTCGCTTAAAACGAGGACCCTGCTCGGGTGCCTGGGCTGCTCCTCACTCAAAACTCTCTTGCCGAAGCTCCCACAACACGCCTTGAACACAACAAGCTCCATGCAACTATAATTCATCTTAACCATGTCTCTCGCTCAGAATAACTATATCGTGACACTCCCCGTCACCCCCTTATCGCCGAGGTCATTGGATGTCCGGTCAATCGCTCAGCGATGGATCACCAATCTGGAGGCTCTCCTGAACAACGGGGAATATTCGCGACTTTCCGAGCTCGTACACGAAGAGTCTTGGTGGCGTGACATGTTGGCATTGGAATGGGATTTTCGTACGATTCAGAACCGCAACTCTGTCCAGGACTTCCTTCACCGGAACCAGCCCCGCTCTCAGCTTTCGGGGTTGCGACTGCAGCATGAAGGCAAATTCCAACCTACGCTCGAAGACCCGGCCGAGGGTCTCAGGTGGATATCTTCAATGTTCTTCTTCGAGACGCGGATGGGACGCGGTGCGGGTGTTCTTCGTTTGACTCAGGATGAGGCGGGCGCATGGAAGGCTTACGCGATCTATACAGCTTTGCAGGAGTTGAAGGACTTTGAGGAGCCTCTTGGTACAAGACGAGCAGAGGGTACAATCGAGTCGATGCCTGGGGGACTCAGCCAAGGGAACTGGAAGGAACGAAGACAAAGGAAGATGGAATTTCTGGAAGAAGAGCCGGCCACACTTGTCATTGGCGCCGGTATGTGTTATTCTCTGGATACACCTGACTGCATTACTCACAACGTCCCATAGGCCAGGCGGGCCTCAACACAGCTGCCCGCCTTGAATCTCTAGGTGTCTCTTGTCTGGTTGTTGATCGAAACGAAAGAATCGGGGATAACTGGAGAAATCGATACCGAGTGGGTTTATCTGATTCAAAGGTCCAGAAACGCAAGTCAATATTAATACTCTCTGGTTTTCTAGACACTTGTCACGCACGATCCGGCAGAATTCACCCACATGGCTTACCTTCCGTTCCCTAAGAACTGGCCCCAGTTCACCCCTAAAGACAAACTTGCCGACTGGTTCGAAGCCTACGCAACTATCATGGAGCTGAACGTATGGCTCCGAACTAGCATCAAATCTGCAACGTACGACGATGCAAAGGCAGAGTGGACTGTTGTTGTCGGTCGGGGTGACGGATCCGAGCGAACCCTTCATCCGCGACATTTGATCTGGTGTACCGGTCACTCCGGCGAACCAAAGATTCCCACATTCCCCGGCCAGGCACAGTTCAAGGGAAAGGTCTATCACGGCAGCCAGCATCAAGATGCCTCCGAACACAACGTTAGAGGCAAGAAAGTCGTCGTTGTTGGAACCGGAAACAGTGGACATGATATTGCCCAGAACTTTTATGAAAATGGTGCAGAAGTCACTATGCTGCAGCGGAGTGGCACCTATGTGATCACAGCCGAGAAAGGAGTCTTCATGATGCATGAAGGCCTTCATGAAGAGAATGGGTATGAGAAATACCCCTTATTTGAAAGCACCATTGCGCTAACTAAGCCGGTACTTCAGACCTCCAACGGAAGAAGCAGATATCATTCACGAGAGTCTACCATATCCCGTACAATTTGCGCTCGATGTCAGTTTCACCAAGAGGGTGTACGAAGCGGAGAAGGATATCTTGATAGGTCTGCAAAACGCGGGATTCGAGCTCGACTTTGGCGTAAATGGAGCAGGTCTCTTGCGGGCTTACATGACCCGAGGTGGGGGCTATTACATCGACGTTGGATGCAGTTCGTTGATTGCGGATGGCAAAATCAAGGTCAAGCGCAGCCCCGAAGGAATCACTGGCTTTAACGAGAAGAGTCTACTCCTGAAGGACGGTAGCTCTCTCGATGCAGATATTGTTGTTCTTGCTACCGGATACGACAACATGCGCACCACTGTGCGTAAAACGCTGGGTGATCAGGTAGCCGATCGATGCAAAGATGTCTGGGATCTCGACGAGGAGGGTGAAGTGAACGCGGTATGATTTAGACTTGTCTGTCTTTTTTCCACGGCCCAGGCGACTAACATGCATATAGATGTGGCGCCCCAGCGGTCATCCGGGCTTCTGGTATATGGGTGGAAACCTCGCCCTCTGTCGAGTTTACTCGAGGTTCTTGGCCTTGCAGGTAAAGGCCACAGAGGCTGGCCTTGTACCAAGCCCAGTATAGGTTGTAGGGAGTTTTATTTGATTATTTAAGCGAACTCTCATAGACGGAACAAGACGGGACTGTTAATGACTAGACTAGATTAGAAGATTGGTAAGATATATCCGGATCTTTGAGTAGTTTGCCGAGTCACTGGACAATATTACCTGCTTTCATTGTTTCTTCTCCCCTTAAAATTTTGTCTTTGGCGTAATCAATGGCTTCGTTACTGACTCCAGCTACTAAGAACAAGGTCTACGTCATGCTAAGACTGTCACTGCTATTGATGTATGCCGGGCTCCGGGTTCTTGGCGTCCCGAGGCCCCGAATAAACATATGTTAACTGCGAGTCGTCCACTCCCGTCGTTGCATTATTTCTTCATCTACTCTTTTACCGTCTTTTTTAGCTTATCATTCTCTGTGTCATCTTATAGTCTTGACGATCGCGCAAGAATGGGGACTAACAGTGAGGAGTCAGCCGCTGAGGACTACTTATCCGCGCACGATGAGGGCGGCGGCCATGGTTCTCAACAATATGCTGTACGATCCATTCTCGCCTATCATGGGGGCTTTGGACTGACTAAAGCCAGTGCGACCGATGTCGGAAACGAAAGGTGTTTAATATTCCCAATACCTAGCTTATTCCAGCTGCTCATGTTCTTTTAGACCCGCTGCGACCGTTCCATTCCGTGCTCTCAATGCGCCATGGTGAAATCCAAATGCTCTTACTCCCCTCGGTACAAGCGGAGAGAGAAACGTCAACGAGTCATGATCTCAGCGCGATAGTTAGTCAGGTCTTCCAATCTGTTTGTGAAGACGCTGATAATTTCCGCAGTGAAGAAAAAGTGGACAATCTCACGAGGAAGTTAGAGGAACTGCATTTGAAAGTCGATCAAATGAACAATGCTTCGTCTCCGGCAACAGTTCCCACCAACGTTCAACAGTCAGCGACTGGAACTGACGGGAGCCCCAAGCATGCCTGCTCAGATGTCTCCAGAGGTGACAAGGTTGAATATGAGGGCGAATCATCCTTTTCCGCGCACGCGCTATTTGCCACCAAGTTTCTTCAGAACGTTGTTAGCAATAACGACTACCCCAAGGACGTCGTGCAGGAGATGACATCCATAGTTGACACACTTCGGGAGATAATACACGTTCAAAAGCAGCAACCGGACTGTCTCGAAGAGCTATATCCTCATGCTATACCGCTGTCAGGTGATTCAAGTTTGCGACATCTGCCATTGCCTCCAATCGATGTAGCTCTCTCGTGCTTGTGGAAGGTCAAAGGTATGGATTGCTAAAAATGGTTTGATTTTCATCCTCACTGACCATTATCTCAATCTAGACACCCCCTTCATTCGTTGGAACTGGTCCCTCGAATTTGTTTCAGTAGCACAGTTCACCGACTACTTTTTAAAAGTATATTCTCCGGCCCCAGCCACCAATGCCGACTTGATAATTGTCAATGCAGGCTTGTTTTGGCTCTTTAGCGAGAGCGCAGAACTGGCCATTGATCAAAAAACAGAAAGTGATTATCGAGAACATGCTTTGAGATGTAGAGATAATCTCGAGACCGTTCTTTCAAACCTCCCTTTTCATGCTCCTGTGACCATAGATTATGTTCTTGCCATGAGCGTTGCCGTAAGCTCACTCTCCCAAGGAGCAGATCTCCACTGATTTATCTAAAGACAACATATTGCCGACAATCCGCCAAACCATCACTTGCATGGACCTTCATCACAAACGCGTCCTTCATGTGTCAAGCGCTCGGTCTTCACAACGCCCATGCTCTCCACACGGAGAGCCCTGAAGTTAGACGACAAAATATCCATCTATTCTGGGTTGTGTACACCACGGAGCGCGTGCTTTCATTGCGACTCGGTCGTTCATCTACATTCCGTGACCAGGACATTACTGTTCCTCGGTTGGACATCCTGGATGACCGGGAACCGGATTCACTCCTTAATCCTGTTTTATCTAGGTGGATTGACACGGCAGGTCTGCAGGGCCGAACATACGATGAGATATATAGCCCGGGTGCTTTGGCCGAGCCTGTGCATGTCCGAGAGTCCCGCGCCAGGACTCTGGCAGCTGAGTTGAAGAAGGTGATATATCGCGAGGATAGTTTTGAAGTACGTTCCTGCTCCCTTATGACTTCAAACAGTTCATTAGACAATTCGTCCATCGTCTTTATCATCCCAATCACCACCCCCAACTCAGATCTCTAACTTCAGCCAATATAGCAAAGATATCTCCATGTCAGACGCCACGCACTCGGCGACGCAATCCACGAACTCATCTGGCGCGCCGACCAAGTCGCCAGCCTCTCCCTCCTCACCCTCATCTACCGAGGCATTCCTCCGCCTCTCCCTTCCAGAGCGGCCTTTTCCAACGAATGCATTACAACCGCCCGCGAAGCCCTCCACGAGCACGAAAAGTCTATCTCCATCATCACCACCGCCAAATCCCATCAGAACTTCCTAGAACTCTATCTAACCTTGTCAGTTCATCTATCCTCTATCCTCCCCTCAACCTCCCCTCAATTTCCACCACCAAAAACCACCGAAACCAACCTCAAGAACCCAACCCATCACAAGATACTCTCCTTGCATGTCCTTACATAAACTTTACTAACAAACCCACCCATCCACCCACGGATGGAATCCACATTCACAGCTCCCTCCTCGAATCCCCCTTCCTCCCATTCATAGTCCTATTCTGCCACGTCATCGAGACCTCCTCCCCAGACGACCTCCGCCGTCTGGGCACAGTCGTCCAAGCCCTTCAATCCACATCCCCTTCGGCATTCCACCGCGCCTACAGCAAGCAATTCCGTCTCTTCAGCGCCCTGTACCACGTCGCGAGAAAATACGTCGAAGTGAAAGCGTCTCGGCCGCGCGGATGGATGATGAATCGAGTTGATTTCAACCCGGGTGGTGATGCGGGTGTTGGGAGTGGGATGATAATGCCCGGTGCGGCGTCTACGTCTATTTCGGCGACCGGCTCTGGCGCTGGGTCCTTGGTTATGAAATTTCCGTTTCCGGGGTCCATGTCTTCGATGGATCGGATAGCTACCGGAGAGGGAGTTGGGACGTCGGTTCGAGAGACAGAGAACCGTCTCGTCGGTGGGGAGGATCCTGTGAATCAGGAAGATGGAAGGGATGAGTTTGACATGCAGCAGGCTGCGCAGATGCAAATGCAAATGGAACCGAGTATGGAAGTAGATGCTATAGGCATGGAGCTGGGGAATTGGTTTCATGAGAATCAGCAGATGTTGAAGTTCTTGGATGATAGTTATCTTTTTGGAAACCCATGAGAAATACCTAGATCTTATTAAAATCGAATAGCTCCAAAATTTCTCGCGGGTAAATGATATTTGAAACAAAGCAAATTGATAAACGGCAGGTCAGGATATTGAGGACACTGTTTGGATGTCTTCTGATTAAGGTCTGCTGTATGGCTCTCTGTTAAACAAACTGGATTCAAACGGAAGGAAGGCACCAGAGAAACAGGAGGAAGGACAAAAGACAAAAGAATGTCATGTTTTCATTCAATCTGGACGTTCTGAAAAGGCTCAAACGCCTCAAAGGATAAATAAACCAGGCCCGAGAGGAAAAAGCAAAGCAAAAAAATCAATCAATTTAAGAAATAAAAACCAGAAGACCATAAAAGATGCTACTTCGATCATCAACAAACAGGAATACCAGACCAGTCAACTCCAGACCCTTTTTTCATTACCTCCCCGTTCTTCTCTAAGCAAACGCTAACAGATTCTGTAGGGCCAGTCCATTCTACTCGATATTCATCCGTTTCTCTGTAGGAGGGATAACCGCGAGGACGGCGACGCACGAGTACCGAGTTTCTATGGACGGCTCATTGCCGTGTGCGATATGGCTGAAGGCCATCTCCTTGTGCTTCGGCTCCGTGATCAAGGTAATTCCGGGAATTTGGCAGATAGGGAAACAGTCGTTGATGATCTAGATGGGGGATGGATAAGTGAGTCCAAGAACGAACAAATATAAAGAAAGAATCGCTAATAGGCATGGGTGGGGATTCAGGAACGCAAACTTGAAAAGGAAACAAGAACGGACGAACCTCATTTTCGTCGTCACCTTCGTCAAGGGTCCGATCGTGTGCCTCGTACGGCGCGAAATGCTTCCCCACGCGCGTTATTCCTGCTGCATAGAAGCTATTCGGCTTCAGGGGCAGTTTATGCTCAGCGGCGTAGTCGATGGTGGCATCCATGCCTGTTATCTGGCGTGTCATGAGTAGAAGTTTCCATCTTTGGTCGACATCAGCGATTTCGACTTCTTTGGGCACACGATCGCGAGTATTGAAGGTCAGTGGGCTTCCATGTCGTAGATATTACTCCATGCTATAGGAGGAACTGTAGGACCTGTCGTGTCCGTACCAGGGATCATCAGAACTGTCGACGGTGCCTTTCAGACCAAGTGCGGGGTTGCTGGCGTAGACGCCGTGATTATCAACAATGGGAACAACGGCAAGCTCGATGCCAAGGGACTTGAGAACTGAGTAGAGAACCAGATCCTTGCCCTTCAAGCTACGGAGGAATTGGGTTTCTGCAAGCTTAGAGGTGTGTGGGTAGGCGTGGGAACAGAACACTCCGAGAACGCCACCTGAAGCTGTTAGTCAAGATGATTGGTGGATGATGGAATGTTCTTTTGGTTAATATGAGCTACGCTACCTTCTTTCATGAATTTGGGTTCGGAGAGTAAGTTCTTCACCCAACTGTGGAGAGGAAAGCTCTTTGGGTCGATGATGGAGGTAGGCGAAGGAATTGCACCATCAACGGGCTCGGTGACAAATAGGTTGTAGGTCAACGTGATTCGATCCCCATATGTGATGGTCTTGATTTCATGCTCGCAATCGCTGTAAAATGCTGCCCACTGAATAGTCGAGGAGCTCTGCAGGCTCCAGTCGAACTCGACTGTTTGGCCACCATGCCGAACGATCAACCTTCCTCCCTCGAATGGAGAGGGCAGACAGACCACTAGAGATCTAATCTGGCTTTCAGAGCGCGGGGTGTCGACATGTTTTCGGAACCGACCCGATGGTCCGGAGTAGGTCTGGGGCACAAATCATTAGGTATATCGAGACATGGTAGAAAAGTTTCACTTACATTCAATTTGTAAAGCTCTGCTTTGATCTTCCGGAATTGCAATCTATTGTCGCCTTCACCGCTGATAGCAGGAAGAAGAACTTGTTCGATATTGTCAAGGAGCCCAAAGTCAGCTGGGTGAAAGCTGGTCACGAATTGCTCAGGATCGATCTTTCCAGCTTTGCGGTATTTTGGATCGATAACATCTTTCTTACCCAGTCCAAAGCTGGCTGGGTCGCAGCTGCTGACCAGTTCTCGAAGCAGCTGAGTGGTAGATTCTGATGCAGAGTATTTAAGGGGAAGCACCAACTTGCGTGCAGTTGTGTCGTGGCCAGCTGACCAGAAGATCTTGACTGGGGAAGAGGTCGCCTTCTTCCCTGGAATGTTTGGGTTATTCACGTCGACAAGGATTGTACCACCACAAGCAAAAGAACCGTTTGCCTCTTCACCGTCGATAAAATCTTTCAACTGACGACAACAATCCGTCAGAGCAGCTTGGCTGTCCCTGGCTAGACAGACAGCCTTCTAGGCACCCGTGGCTCTGGCCGGGTATACCTGTCATTCTTGCGCAGGACCGTGGACAAAATAAGAATTCGGCGTCTCCGATCTTCTCCACTGGTCTACCCGTGGAAGACATGGACGGAACGGAAATACAATATTTCTAATACCTGTGAAGTCTCAGGTCGCGTAGCCCCAGTCTCCCAGAGTCTGTAGATGGCAGCGCAGGATACAAACAGAGCAAACAGTCCAAACAGAACATACCATGCCCTGTCGGTGGTGATTTAGCCCGAACACCGAGCCCACGGCCTCCGACCATCCTTCATCATGACATCAGCTGCGGAATCAATGTCATTATACGCAAGACTCACAGCCCCTCCTAGGCCCGCATAGAATGCTAATTGCTATAGTAATGATCTTTTCTGTAGGACTCGACATAGATTGCGAATTGCGACGGGGACGTGCTAGATGCTATTAAATCCGGGAGCTGCTACGCCCACACCCCACGGGACTTTTCTGCCAAGTCCGCCGCCGGTCGCGGCGGTTTTACAGCACGCAGTGGGGCGCGCGCCCGACCCTAGTAGGGACTCACCACCACAGTAGGCCTGCGCTGCATAGTATTTGCTCTATATAAAAGCTTCATTCTCAACCACGCGCGGCCCGCGGGTCTAGTAGTTAAGACATAATATTTAGTGTGTATACTCTATTTCTAGTTGAGAGATAGATACTATCGCGTTTCAATATACTATATGATCTATTTTATCAAGCTACTATTAAATACCCAAGCTTTTGGGCCCTGAAAGGTCTAAAAAGCTAATCGAAAGGCTGTTCGGACGGACCTAACTGTAGTGGTGGTGGTGGTGGTGAGATCCCTATCTAGGGGCGGGCGCGCTCCCCTACTGCGCACTGCCAAACCGCCGCGACCGGCGGCGGACTTAGCAGAAAAGTCACGACAGGGACGCCTTTCTATCTTGACTATCTCTGATATCTTCTTCTTCTCTAATCCGGAAGGTCTCTGTTTGTGGGGTTCGGCTTTCCAGCCTTCCATTGTCTCTTGGCAACAGGCCAATGGATCCCTCCTCCTGGCGGCCAGTGGTCAAGCGCATCCTGACCTGGCTGGTGGTCAGGGGCTATGGATAAAATGTATTCATCACTAGTCTTGTTACATCATACCATATCTACGGAGAATCTTAAGTCTTTATGGGAAACAAATCGAACGTAAATTTAGAGCAAAACAGGTCAAGGCAGGACCAACGACGCCTCTCGATAACAGAAGAAACAGAAGAAACAGAAGGTACAGAAGGTACAGAAGGTACAGAAGAATCCTTCTAGATAAAGGGAAAAGCTATCATTCTGGCAAAGGTTGACTTCAAAGCAAACTCCCGCTAACTCCTGCGAGGCCCTCGTTCGGTCACCCATAGAAGCAAACATTCTTCGTGCGATGATTTTTCGCCTGCTGGATGACTCCGTTATGGGAAACACCAAAGATCACAAGTGCAACAGCACAAACGTGGAGAGTGAAGAAAACAAGAAATACAGGGTATACGACAGGTGAGAATCTGGCAGTACGATACCATCAGAACAAATAGTCTGTCGAATCTATCCATTGACGTCGGAGATACTTCAAGAGGGCAATCTTTCATATATGAGATAATCTTCCGAGGGTCTCCTGCCTGGCTCCGTTGTATAAGGGGTGGAAAACGGGAGAGACAGCTGCTTTTTCCATTCAATCAGCCTCGCGTCGTCCCAGATGGCATACCCCCATTTCCAGAATTCCTCTCCCTCATATCCCATAGAATAGATCAACCAGTCTTCCGACAGCTTCTTAAACCAAAGCCGCGCACATGCGATATTCGGTCGGTGAATAGGTGACAGAGTTTTCCACAATCCTTTGGTCCTTCGGAAGTCATCAGGAGATTTGAATCCGGGATACCGCAAGGGATGCATGTCTTCGAAATGCAGATCATGCGACACTTCATCAAAAGTAAAAGGAGTGAACCTTGTATTGACCACAATCATGTCCCGGCGATGCAGAAAGCACGGATCGCGAATAAACTTGTGAAAGAACACTGGGCCCATGGTAGCCAAGTTACTCATGTGTATATCCGTGTTGCCCCTGACCTCGTCGGTATCTAACAAAGAACAGTTCGTTGGGAGAGGGTCAATCTGGTACTTATATTCAACGCGTTCCATTGGCATCATTTCGAATTGATCAAAATAGTCAGCGACCTCTTGATATGGTTGCCTGTATCTTTCGTAGATGTATTGCCACACACATCCATACTCTTGAAACTCCCATGGTGCCATCGGGCTCATGAATAACCGCCATACCTCTCGCGTTTCAAAGGTCTCCTCCTCCCAGGAGTTATATCTCCACTGAATTGGCGTTTTCTCACCCGGGTAGAACACCCTATGGCCAAATATATTGGCGTATATTTGTACTCGATAAAGGGCCCTGAGAAGGCGGGTCTTCTCGGTGCGAGATAGACTTATCGGTAAGACATCATTGTTCCACTGTTCTGAGTTAATCCACACGGGGCGATGCACAGCATTGCAAAAGTCAACAAGACAGAATTTCATGATCTTATGTAGCCTGATCAGTCGGATAATCTCGTCAAGATCAGCCGGTTCATCCGCCGATGGTTCGTTCAGACGACGGATTTCCTTGTGTCGTTGCCACTGATCCAGAAGCGTATAAATCTTTCCCTTGTTAGATGGTATATCCGCATACAAGCCTCTGGAGCGAAGAGCCACGACTGCATCCACACTTTCCATTCCATAATACTCTGCACAGAGTGCTTTAAAAAGAGCCTGGTTTCTGACTTTTCGATACGCAGCGTGGTAAGCCGGGGAGGCGTGCACTAATGCCCGAAGCGTCTCCACATCAGGGCAGCGAAGCAAGATGGCCATGTGCAGTTCCGCTGGAAGATCTTCTTCGAGTCGACTTTTTGGCTGACTTTGAGAATGAGGCTCAATAGCTGGGCTCAAACTAGACATCGCGATGGAAATGATTATCCTCTTGTTGCGTGAGGACAGTCAAGGTGCGCAGAGCTTGCGGTGTAACTACTCATACAGCAAACATGCCAGGAAGACTGCTCTTATATAGCAATGCTGGTTATTTTGATTAGAAGAAGCGGTTTATTACCCCCAATTTCATTTCAGGAAAGGACGATAATTCCCATTTAGTGTAGGAAGTTTACGGTGTTTCCCATTCCACATTGCGGAGGTATCACGCCACCATAGTAAGGACAAAGGATATCACGTTTGCTTCCACTAAGACTTGCATATCGAGCAAACCAGCATACCTGCCTTTCTACTAGAGTGTATCTCAGAACCTGTTAGAACTGTGTGCTCACGCAGGGTTTCCGATAAACTCGGTGGCTCAAATGATAGGAAGCTCACCTAAGGAGAGCTCGTTCAAAATCAATACGGTCATGTCTTTTAAAGATATCGAAAGCCTACTGATAGTCCATCATGCTTGGATGAAGTTCTAGATTCAATTGCTATTGTCTTGTTCGCGTGTTCTTGCTCTTTTCATGACTTCTTTGTCATATTTCCCCATTGTCTTCTTGCGTTGGCAAACGAGGGGCGCAGTTCAGCTTTCATGATGGTACAATTCCCCACTGCGTATAAACCCCTACCTATGTTTTCCTTCGCTATTCTCTTCTTCTTCTTACTTTCCTATCTCCTAGCAATTCTCTTCCTCTTCCATAAACTCTTCTACAAACTTTTCCTCACCTGAAACGAAACACAATTCCCCGAAATCCGCCACGGGCATTCAAAAACAACCTGCCTGTCCTCAGCGATCCCTTTTTGGAGGTGTTTTGAAGCCTCCTCGAGACTCCTATCAGGAGAGGCGAAACCGACAACATGGTTGACTGGACTCCGGAGATGGATGAATATTATTTGGCTTATAAGTCCCATCATAACAAGTTTAAAAAACTTACAGCCAAATTCGGTAAGCTCAGACGCCGGAAAGACGAAGAAGGAAACCCTTGGTTTGTGGATGTCATGGAAAGCTTCCTGCTGGCGAAGGAAGCAGTAGCTGAGGGAGAAAGGTAAGACACCCCAGAGCTCTTTTGGTGCCTAAATGAAAAGATTGTTCTAACTGTCTTTAACTAGGGAGATCGCCGGGAGAAGACAATTTGAAGATCGATTTCCGGACGCGCACCCACCGCCGGATTCTGGGGAGGAGGATGGCCATCTAAAGCAGATCAGGCAAAGAGAAGGGGCACTGGTGAGATACCGAAAGAAGATGGACACGCGTCTTAGAGAGATGGAGACTCTCATCATGAGAGATTTACGGGCTTTTGCACATAAGCTTGCGAAGCTTTCGTTTGGTTTTTGGCTTCTTACATATTTCGCAAGCTGTTTTTCTGTTCTGGATAGATATTTTGGAACCCCTCTTTTATGGTATTCTCTTTTTCTTTTCTCTTCATTTATCTTCCTTATTAATAGCATATATCATCTATTGGGGTTTCTTCTGCCGTTCGTTCCTTTGCGAATGACCAACTTTCTACGAGGTTGTGTGGAAGTAATGTCCAACGTTCGAAATTGTTCACTGTTCTCTAGGTGAACAGTCATTCTGTTTCTGCTGTGTGCTTCTACATGGTTATTGATATGGAGCCATCTACAGAGTTCTTTTAGTTGTTTAGTCGGTCCAAACTGGGAATATAATAGATTTTGCCGCTGCATAATATCTTCATCAAAGCCCTTACAATACCTTATTCCGGAGAGATATGAGTGATGGTAGCCACTCATTCAAGATGCTTAGAGGAATTAAAAAAAGGAAGGAAATAAATGAGAAGATATGTAGAGAATATGCAAAAGGTCATGCCAGAATGCATATTGACGTGTTTGGCAGATCACGTCCATTGGCATGGATTCTATAGATAATAACTAACAGCTATCTCGATCTCCAATACTAAGCCTTCAGGCACTCAGTGGCCATCGGGGCCCCATGAATTTAAGCATCTTACTGTCCACCGCGGCGGCTTGTGGCCCTAACTCAACGTGTAACTCAAAAAAACCTAGAACCAATATTATAAATTTCCTTCGGGTCTAGCATTGAGTGTAAAGACAATTTGCTAAACCCCATTTCCTGCTATATTGCTCGCGATACGATGATCATCGCCGATATCATATCGATTTTGTCCTGATCAAGCATGTAAAGAATAGAATCCGTTCTGTACTCTCCACCTTGACATTTCCAACAGTGCCTCTTCCCTCCAGCGGAAAAGATCACTGCATGATATTGCGTAATAGGTAAAGCTTGGCTCGATCCCGGGAGGTAGCCGATAAGGCCAGCGATCTCATCGTTTGGATGACATGGATGCTCTCATGCGTAGGATGAATGATGACTCTGTGTCTTGAGTAAAGCAAGTCGACGATGGTAAACACACATTCGCCCTCGAAACGCATGAGACAGACCTTCTTTCATCAATGCCGAACTTTCATTGGCACATAAAAATTGTTACATCTCAAGCCGGGCCGACCTTGTCAATCTGTCACCTGCTATCAGCTGTCTCTTATTCCTTCTAGACCCAACTACAAGCGATAGCAAAAATAATAGAGACAAACAGAGAACCACCTAAGAGACAGTGTCAGTAAGAGATCTAGGAGCGCAGTAGACTCCGGATGCATCTTGCTGTCAACTTATAGTATTTTTATGATATGCTATCTCATGAATTAAAATAGGAAGTACGCTTTAAATGCGCTAGTTCCATGCGAGAGAATATTCATAATCTACGAATCTGCTTCCCTTTTTTGGTGGGGAGTGGGGGGAGCCAAATCATCATCTATCTTGCCTCGGCGCATCAGTGCATCAGTCAAAAATAGCCGCGCAACTATCACCAAGAAAACATTACTTCCAAGCGATGAAATTCATTGCTATCTTCTTCCTTCTTCTTTCCTTCAGAACCTCTTACCTACCAGCGACTGCTTCGTTGATTCATTCCTGCCAACCCACTCGAGCCCCAAGGCCGCAGATTCCCGCTCCCTCCTCAAGTCTTCAAATCCAACGTCTCCTTCCTCCCCCACAACTCCAACCAGTCCGTGATAGTCGCGCCCGACCGCTTCATCTCCTCCATGCATATCGACCGAACCGCGTCCCCACGGATCACGCGCAAAGCGTTGCGGATATTGCGCGCCGACGCAGACTCAAGAGCCCTCACGACCCACTCGCCTTCGGGAACGTCAAGGCCCAGCACGATAGGGTAAGTCAGTTCACGGTTCCACAGGTCCTCAGCAATCGAGCCTTTGAGCTTCGCGTATTCTGACGAGTAGAGGTTCTTGCTGTCGTTTTGGAGTTGGGAATGCCATCTAGATATTCAGATGTTCTCGGATGTGAGTACGTGAGTTAGATCTAAGTTGGAACCCACACGGAAGGTAACATACGCAACCAGAGTCAAGGTCTCGTCCATCGACCGATTCTCTAGCACCAGATGCCCAAGTAACCGAAACAACGAGCCCGTTTTCAGCGACGCCATGTGTCGGTACGCTTTCACACGATCCACCGCGTCGACGGGAAACCCCACCAGCCCGTCGCGCCGCCATACCAGCGACAGGTCCTGCCCTTCGAGAATATCCTCAAGATCCTGCATCAGCCAGGGCGCGAGGCCGGGGAAGTCTCGCGTCACTTTATTCAGGATCTGCGTGACGCGGTAGTATGCGCGGTTGGCGGTCTCCGAGGGTCCGTAGATCTTGTGTGCGGCGGGTTGGCCTTTGCGGAGGTCGCTGCCGTCGGAGATCTACATTTGGCGGTGGCTCTGTTAGGACATCGTGTTTGGTTCTAGTCAAGGTGGGAAGGATGCGGAGGAGAGAATGAAATGAGGGACACACATCATCAACCAGCATGAGGCACAGGTGGATCGCGTCCATGGTCTCCAGGATCATCGTGTACTTAGCCGGGTCGTTGGTCTTCAGTGTGGGCGATAGCTTGTGCACGAAGGGAGCCCAGTGATGTTTCCCGTAGATCTGGCGAAGATACGCATACGGACATTCATGCGAGGTGATGCTCTCTGGATTCATCAGTCCGATCAACTGGGCTTTTTTGGACAGCCATCGCGGCGGAGGAATACGATCGACTAAGACACTGATGAGGATAGCCGGTAGAGCCAGACCCAAGATGGGCGTGAGGATCCTGATCACGATGTCGAGCATGATTCTGTGAGATGAGTATCCTGTTTCTCAGACGGTCAAGGTAGTAGATGATCACTCAGTATCAGTAGAGGCGTGCCTTGCTTCGGTGGAATGAGAAAGACACAGGTCCGAGAAAAGAATCCGATACGGAGCCCTAACTCGTTAAATCTCTTGCCTGTAGAGCCGGTAGAAGTCATGATCTGTTTGCCGGGCCTCGTAAACAGAAACCAAAAAGTGCCACAATCTGGCATGGCATCTAACTAACCAAGCCCTTGCTTTGCAACATCCCTGAGGTTCAGCTCCGCTGATGCGATCATCAGGTCTCCGAGAAAACAACTCAGTAGAAGTTTGGGCCCCCAGGTCAACATTCATCTCGGCGTAAGCACGGAAAGCTATAGGGAACGTGCGTGGGTTCAATATTTGTGTAACAGCGACCAGTCGATAGAGAAATGCGTTGACCATGTCGCAGTTCGTTCCCTTTCATCCCGCAGCTCACTTTCAAAATCGCCTCCGAGGCGCTGGATTGTCCGGTAGCGGAAAGATAAATGTCAAAAAGTGGGCGATCTGATCGGTTGAATACGTGGCATGAGGTTGATTGTTGTTGGATCCGATGCCATCGATGACCCCATCTCGCTTGACTGGTTGGTAAAGAACGGCTATCCTCCGAAAAAAGCCTGTTACTATCTGCCATGGCCCCTTGGGGAGCCTTCGCTGGCCGGTCAGATACGAGCGTGATCAATAGATGGGTCGTTTAGCGGAGATTGGAAAAGACTAGGATCGGCTTCAAGAGGGTCCAGATGTAACGGATCAGAACCAGTATACTGGACTCTGCAGGTTCTAGAATCGTATTGTTCTTCGAGTTCAGGCCCGGATCCAATTTCGAACTCAACGACTCGCGACTTTCGTCATTCGATCCCGGGGCATCCTTCTGCTGGGGTTTCGCTCGTGTGAATACAAACCCTTGTTACCTTGATAGCAGGGCTTATCCTTGGTGGTTCAAACAAGGTTATTGTAGACAATAGCCGCTAGACTATTCTGGTCAGACACCTGCTAGTGCTAACGCGGGTTTCTGCTTCCGGACTAGACCTGTAGCTGACCAGAGCTAGGAGTGTAAAGGCTCTGGGAAGATGTTGTCTTGACTGAGACCTCTGACCTGTATAATCCGTAGGTCTGGGGCAACGATACGGGACTAAAATTGATGTTTTCAACTGAATGCATTCAACGATGCTATTCAAGATGATCGAAAGAAGGAGAAAGAGGGGCAAGCGAGGTGCAGGTCTTTTAAACAGCTCAACGAGCCTCGTTGCACTGTCTCAGATGCCTGAGGCACCCTACGAAGCGCTTACATGACCCACCACTCGTTTCAATTTGGATCGTCAGGTTAGCTTCCTCGCCTAAGTGACGGTCGTGATTCAGCCAAACCTAGTGAGACATCCCTTCTGGTCAGTTTCAGAGAAGCCCAGCTTGTCTCGTATGAAACGCGATAGTGACTGGGGTATAGGTTGAAGGAGCGATAGTGTCATCAGCTGCGTTGAATCCGTTGGACCTTCTTCACGACAGGGAACCAAATATGCGCCAGTAAGCCAGTCAGTGAGAAACTCGCCGTGGGTGCCAGTCTATCTCCCGGGCGGTAGTCACATTTCGTTACAACTCCCCAGCGCTAGTCCATCCAGGACCGACGACGGATTCATGGTGATCATTGGGGGAGCGTCCGCTGCCGGTCTGATGCCCGTTCATTGTCTTGAGCGAGTGAAGATCGAACATGTCGTCTTAAAGAACCTTTGCGATATAGCGCCCCAGGTCGATGCTTCTATCGGGATTCTTCTCAACGGAGGTTGTATCATCAATCAGTTATGCCTACGGTGCGATCGTGAGCCATGCGGAATCGCTGGACGACCAATATCCGCTCTCCCGACCAGTATCCTAAGACACTCACGTATCCGAGACCACTTAATGAAAGGTGATACTTTGGCTTGAAACATAACTTGAACGTCCCTTTTCTGGGTTCTTGTGGTCGTTGAGATAGATTTGGATTCCCGTTAGCGTTTCGAGATGGATGGAAAGTCTTCGAGATTCCCCATCGAAACTCTTCATATTCTAACAGAATCCAACTATCCGATCGAGTGATCATCGTTGGTAACATCGAGAATAAAGCCACGGTCACTCTTCACGGCCGTAGAAACTGTTAGGGCGGTAGGAAGCTTGCGAGAATACTGCTTTTACTGAGGCTTCGCCTTTAGGCAGGTCTGTGAACCGCCCAGTATAGTGTTGGAATAGCACATTCTGACAGCTGGTATAATAAATAGATAGCATTGGCCTAGATATTCTCTAGACTTTCTCTCTTATTTCTGTCTTATTTCTCTCTGATTCTTCTAATTTTCTTTTTCTCATTCTGTTCTAATTTTCTCTATTTCTCCTTTATTTTTCTCTATTACAAAGAAAATAATTGGTATATTTTCAACTCAAATGATCTCAAATACTAAACATAGAGCTAACTTGGCCATTGAAGGGGTTGCGAGGCAGATGTATTGAAAGGTGTGATCTTTAGAGATGGTTACCATATTAAGCAGTGACTTTGTTGAATTATATCGATCATATTATAATTATCAATAAATTTATGCCTAGAGATACACTCTCCTTGACAGATAATATTGTGGAAAGAGATGCGCTTTGGTTAATAGAAAAGCCCATCGTTGACCCCAGATATGACCTCATTTCGACAGACTTAACTTAACAGAGCGTACACCTACCTTCCTCAACACGCGACCCACAATTCATCACTATTCCCGACAAACTCAAAATCAAAACGCCTGTCAGCGGGAACAATAACGCAGGCATCCTAGAAGCAAAGAATGCCTTACGTGAGTTGCCGGTCGATTTACAGATCGCAAATCCGAGAATCGGCACGGAGCAGAGACAGCGCGGATATGCAAGGAAGGGGAGGACGGGCTGAGATTTTTATACTTTTGGGCTTCAACTGTGGTGTGTTGTACATATGTAGGTCTTCGTGTCGCCTTTTTCTGGTTGGGCGGAATGTTGTTGATCGTGGGGTGATCGTGTTCGGGAAATGGATGGTTTTACGGCCCTGTCCTATCCTATCTTATTCTGATCCCATATTCCATGCTTTATCTGGACCAGGAAGAACCAGGTAGAGCGCTCTCAGGTGGACTTGAAGTTGACAAAGTCGGGTATATTTTCGTAGGTCAGTTATGCGAAAAATGTTACTCGGTATAATCTCACATACGGTGTTGTGGTCCCCCTTGTCAAGAGAACTAACTAACCATCTATGTCATCCCGGTCCAGATTATCGAGCAACAACTCACTCCTAGCCCTGCTACTCATCTTTCTTAGGGCCATCTAAGACAGCCCTAACATGACATCGAACGCCACACCACCAGTCAGATCAGCTCAGGTCAGGTCAGGTCAAGTTAGCAACGTGTGTATCGATCCCTCCAAACCTACGTATCTCTCCCCCTTCTCGTACCTCGCTTGCTGACTGACCAGACATGACATACCGTATAGATAACAGCTAAGGTTAACTTTTCCATCCCCAGTCAGAAAATACATGCTGTCAATAACCAATCGTACTCGAACGCGGATCTACAGACCTTTTTCCTATCGCCCTACGGGGTCTTTTCTCCGGATTCCGTCACTGTCGCTCGCTGTTCACGGCCGGGTGTTGTAGGAAAACCAACTCGTGAGCTATGGAGCGAGGACTGGCTTTAAGATTTTGAGATCCAGCCGATCTCTGAAAGGAGATGAGATGTCGCGATTCTGGGCTTTTAGTCTGTGTCTGTGATGTGTCTATGCAGGTCTGTCGATATGCTGCGGTAGGTATGCGTATACGAGGGATATGTTTCCTTCTTTTCATTCTTGTCTCGGTTTCTTTGCGGTACTCGAGCTTCTGTTGCTGTGTCGAGTCGTTAGGTCTGTGTCCTTTTCGGATATATGATTGGCAGCGTTTCTGGTGAGTTTACGATCAGCTGGAAGAATAATTACTCGGAACGAATGAAGATAGAGCGTGGAAATCGGAGGATGTGGGAACTGGCCGTGTGTTACTTTCTTACTTACTCCTTCGCTTGTTCTGTATCTACGATGTTATAGGACGACTTGACAGTGCAAGCCTATTACATATAGAAGGCCTTTCCTCCTGTTCAGTTATTTTCTGTCTCGTACGATCGTGCACGATCTAGGCCGGGTTAGAAGTATAATATAACAAGGTAGGTCATCTCAATTAACCTCAACATTACCCAGTCTATCTCTCTGTTCCTTCTAACTCTATTATAAGAAACCTGGAACCCTAGAGTAACGATCAACGAGAGACAACACACATCTGGAAAATAAACCAACCTGTACATCTCAGCTATGCTCACATTCATGGCTGAAGGAGCTCTACGCATGATCCATGAATACCCGATGCCGATATTCAGCGGAGCAGGAGCAGCTCCGACGATTCGATATCGGTTTCCTGAGATAAGAGGATTTCCGAGTCCGACTCACAATCAGACCCAGAATCGGAATAGTCAAGATAGAAACGACGTAGGAATGTGCTCTGTGAATGGGGATACCGAGAGAGAGGAGAAAGCCAAAGAAACGCCCGAGGAAATCACAGCAAGGTATGAAAAGGTCAGTCTATATCTCCTTATCTCGATATGATCAGGCCTATAATCCCACATCTGAATACCATCTAACCAACTATCTATACACCTGGTAGATCATCCGAGGACCCCTCGATTACCTCCTCTCCATCCCCGGCAAAGATGTGCGCGGACGTCTCATCTCCGCATTCAACGAATGGCTTCACATCCCAACCGAGAAACTCGACATCGTCAAGGAAATAATCGAGCTCTTACACACTGCTTCTCTCCTGTACCCTCCCCTTCCCTCCCCATCTAGCTATACAGCGAACCCCCAATTAAACTAACCAATAACCTCTCCCCAGAATCGACGACATCCAAGACGGCTCTCGTCTCCGCCGCGGCCACCCCGTGGCGCACCACATCTTCGGCGTCCCCCAGACGATCAACGCAGCCAACTACGCATATTTCCTCGCACAAGAGAAACTGAAGGACCTCGACGATCCAACCGCTGCATTCTCCATCTTCACGCGAGAACTCCTGAACCTGCACCGCGGCCAAGGCATGGATCTGTACTGGCGCGACGCGCTGGTATGTCCCTCCGAGGAGGAATACATGCAAATGGTATCGTATAAGACGGGGGGATTGTTTGAGTTAGCAGTGGGGTTGTTACAAGTGGGGAGGGATGTTGATGCTGATGTGTATGTCTACCTTCCTTCTATCAAATCTAACCCTATCTACATACACACCCTCTGCCTAATCTAGCCCTAACCAACCAATTCCCAAACCCAACAACCCTCACTTACTCCTGACTCCTAACGACAAAAAAAAAAAAGAGACTTCACCCCCCTAACCCACCACCTCGGCACGATCTTCCAAATCCGGGACGACTACCTAAACCTGCAAAGCGGCCTCTACGCCACCAAAAAAGGCGCCATGGAGGATCTCACCGAAGGCAAGTTCTCCTTCCCCATTATCCACAGCATCCGTGCACGACCCGAAAACACGACGCTGGTTAGCATCCTCAAGCAGCGCAGCGAGGACGAGACGCTGAAGGCGTACGCGGTGCGGTATATGGAGACGACGTGGTCGTTTGCGTACTGTCGTGAGAAGCTGGCGGGGTTGATGGGCGAGGCGAGGAGGGTGGTGAGGGAGTTGGAAGAGAGGTTGGGTCCGTGTCGGGATTTGCATGGGATTTTGGATTTGTTGGAGGTGCCGACGGCTGAGGGGTGGGGGACAGGAGGAGACGAAGAAAGGGGATGATGGGTCGGTGTGAGTGTTGGGTTTCTGCGCTATGGTCAAGATTGGAGCTTGGCTTGTTTATAGGTGTTTATAGGTTCTTAGGAACGTGTTCGTCTATCTCGACACAATCTCATCTACTGAGTTCAACTTCATCCTCTTAATCTCGCAAATTCTTTATATAGAACATGACTATCTGTCTTGTCATTCAAATAGAAATAATATTCATAGCAATAGTTGTCATATACAGGCCAGTCGTCGGATCAACAAGTAGTAATATCGCTCTGTAGTTCAACGCCAGTTCGCCTGTCCTCGTATGTGTCACATGTAGAAAAAGAAGACCGCTGATATCTTGAAAACGGTCCGTACATAAATCTTTCAATCATCACGTAAAAAAAAAAAAAAAAAAAAAAACATAAGAAAATAAATCCTCTTCAGCTTTGTTTTTTTTTTTTTTTTTCCTTTTTTCCAGGAAAACCTCGTGTCCTACTCGGCTGGCTCGTTACCTTGTGCACCATCATCAATAATCATCTCCACATCCTTGACGGGATGGAGAAGCATCGGTGGAAGACACATTCGCCCCTCCCCGGCGAGTTCTTCTTGCTCGCCTCCGTCATTATCAACCTTGTAACCCAACCAACGTCTCCAGAGGTTGGGAGAAAATCCGGCAGAGTAAAACCACGTAGTCCCTTTAAAGTTATGCTCCCGATCACCAAAAACCGACGTGCGAGCACCGCCCGACGCCCCGTTCCGACCAGCGTTGAACACGGCTTCGAGATACTGGGTGGGCCATTGGCGGTCGATATACACCGAGTGTGGAACGAACACGGCCTTGTACCCATGATGCAGAGCCGTCGTGGCAGGCCACATTTCCGAGAACATGGTGTGACGCTTGATGCTCGTCTCCTTGTGCATCGTATGCAGCAGCTTGCGAGACAGCCTAGACGCAGTGATAATAGCCGTGCGACGTGGCGGCATCCCGTTCTCGCGGTTGTATCCAGTCACGTCGTCCCGAAGAAGCCAGGTCGTACTCTCGGGGTCGTAAAGTGGGTTGAAAACAACCAAGTCGGCTTCCTCCCCCACGCCCCATTCGTATCGATCCTTGTCGACGGTGGTCGGGGGGATTCCGTCCCCATCCATCTCAAAAATATCGCGCTCGTCGGGTCGATCGGGGCCCCAGATGGGTCGATCACCCTGTTGGTGAGAGACTTTTTTATCGCCGGTGTTCTGGCCGGGCTTGGCGATGCTCCACATGTTATTCGGGCTGTTGGTGCCAATTTCGGTCTGCACCCGAACCATTTGCCGGAAGTCCTCCCAGGTGCCGTGGACGGAGGGGACATAGAAGCGAGCGTTTCTCTCCCAGAGGCCTTTACGCGGTTGCTCGCGCGCCCAGTTGATGACCTTGTCGAAAAGGTGATACCAATGGCCCGTGTATCGAGTATCCATCTCCCAGTTCCAGTAATAGTCATACTCGGGATGCTGGTGGGCGAAGTACTGCAGGGACATGTAGGTGCTGCGGTACACTCCATGCACGGGCAGTCCGCGGGTCATCGATTCCTCCAACCCGGGGTAGATGAGGGCCATCTGGCGCTCTGACCAGAGCGTCGCTAATCCCCGGAATTCCTGTGGAAGTGCGTCTTTCAGAACGCGCTCATATATATCATCATCGGCCCAGATCTGCAAATTTTCATCTTTGACATGGATCAGAAAGTGCACAGTATACTCTCCCCCGGAGAGCAAGGAAAGCTCTGATATCAGAGACCGCATGTACATCACATCTTCCGGGGTATATTGATAATCATGCCAGGTTCGGATCACGACAGCCGTTCGAGGCAAGCCAGTCTTCTCGCTTTGAGACTCCTGGTCATCCGCCGTCGTGGAGTTACTGTCGCTTCCCTTTGGCACCCCGACCGGCATGGAGAGAAAACGCTCTGCACGCGGGTCCGGTAGGCCACGGAATCGATGATTGTTGGTGGCCTGACAACGGTCTTGGGCAGTCGCCCAGTCAACCCGGCGGAAATCGACAGGCGGGAAATCATCCCAGACGCGCTCTGATCCTTCGCGATGGCCCTCCAATCCGGCTCCAGTGCCGCCTTTGCGGACACTATAGCCCAAGCCATATGGGCCGAGGCGACCGAAGCGATCGAAGCAAACATCGTCCTGAATCCCAAGCATTTCGTTTGAACCCATTGCGGCATCAGGGAATCCGCGGGGTACGCCGGGGTAGTGTTGAACCAGCGGAATGCGCATTGTGTTGTCGGCATCCAAAAAGCAGTCGTGCTTCTCGCCATACTTTGCGATGTATTCCGCTGAGTGGTAATCGGGATAAGGATTGAATACCGAGCTGGAAAATGTGGAAGTGGTTTCATCCCGGGCTTGCACGGCAGTCTCATTCGTGTTGGTGGCCGCGGCCGCGGCCAGTTCTTCCATGTTGTTGCTGGGAAACTCGGGGACATCGTCTTTGCGAGAGACCAGAGTCCGAAGACCTCCGTGGTATCGATTCAAGAAGGGAAAGCTCTCCCATTGAGGGGGCTTCGAAACCGGTTTGGGTATTTCTAGGTCGGCTTGTTTGGCAGAAGTTGAGAGAGAAAATCGGAAGAGGGTGATGACAAATAGGACCAGGGCTCCAAGCAATGCGAGACAGAGCCATCTCATAATACGATTGGGAACTCGATAGAAGCCGGCGCCAACTCGAGTGCGCCTTATTGTGGCACCTCCCAACATGGGACGATATGAAGCGGCTGTTGAAGCGGTGCCAGACGAAGAAGCGATCGAGTCATCGCCACTGTCCGAGTCGAACGAGCTGCGGCTATCCTGGCGATAGTGACGGCTGTAGCGCGATGGCTGTTTTTCGATATCTATCCTGGGATCGCTGCCATCGTAGGCCGAATACCTTCTCTTCTGTCCCTTCATGTTTCTAGTTTAGAAGGTGAGCATCGAAAGCAGGTAGGCAAAACTAGGTTTGTTGGAAAAGAGTGTTCAACGTGATGACATCGATGTTCTAGAATGCGCGGTCGATGGTCGTTGACACTTCGGATCGGAGCATCAGAAGTTAGAGCACGCTGGAATGCTCGAGGAATTCGAGATCAATGACCCGAGACTCCGCAGGAAATGTGCTTCCGACCGATCTGCGGAATGCAAGAAAAACGATGGAGGTGGATCCGGAATGAAGGGGAACAAGAAATAAAATATGTGCCGACGAAGATGTTCAAGGCTCCAAAGGCTCCGTCAAGAACGCTGGCCCGTGAACAGCGACTCCAAGTGGACTGGTCGATGAGACGGTGATAACGGAGGCGAAATCAACACAGCCGTGGCCCCAGCAACTATCGGTAGTATATCCCCAGGCGTTGCCCAAGAGATAGCCTGCGCTACGCATTAGGGCGGGCCAGGGCGTCTTGGCAGAGACCGACCGGAGATACTGTGCGGCCGTCAGCACGACTGACAGGAGATGAGAATGGTAATTGGGGTGATGCAGTGACAGACAGCAGACAGCAGACAGGAGATACCGTAGTAATAAAGATGAGATGATAGAAGAACGAACAATGTCGATACTATAATACAGGATATACTACGTGAGAAGGAAGTCCTCCCGGAATGGCCCATTCGGGTCAAGCGTGCTCGATGTGCCCGATACGGATTAGCGCCTGTCTATATGACGCTAACCGTTTTGGATGCCTGTTTGACTGGTTTGACTGGTTTGATTAGTTTGTTCAGCTTGCGGTGTGCACCAGGTAGAGTATAGATAGGATTCCTACAAAGAGAACTCATTCTCTAGTTGATCAAAAGACACACTGAGCAGTTAGAAACAAGTCCTCTCAGTCAAATGTCTACGAAGGCGATGCATAAGGCCTTCCAGCAGCCCACCTCACTGTGACGAACTAACCAAGAACCACTATATAGAGCGATGCGCGTACCAAGTCGTTGACTTGGTATTCTGGTCTTTTTAGTAGCTCAGTCGGTAACCGTCCTACAGACCTACTGAACGGTCTTGGCGGGTAGAAGCGCACCTACCCACTGCCAAGCCCGTGACACTCACCGTTTGGCTTCGTTTTGTCTAATTCATGGCATTTTCTCGCTTCTTCGGCGCTGCAGTCCCCATGAGATCTCCTCTTCCTATTCTGTCGAGAAAGTTGATCAGATACTTACTCAAACCCAGGAATATACCTACCACACCGTAGGATACATCAGATGCCGCACCGCTATCCCCAAAGCGGCAAGAAAACTACATCATTGGCCCCGGTGGAGTCCCGCCATGGAAGCCGTTCGCGGCGCCCCACTACTTAATAGTTACATTCCTGGGGTTCAAATGATTCACTCAGCAGGATCTGTACGGCGGACAGAGTAAGGGAGACAGACTGGTCGAGTCAGTCCTACTCATTGCCAGCCGAGAGCCTGTCTGACCGACCAAGCTAATCCGCTCATCCATCCACTCACAGTGCAGATAATGCCAATCCCCGAGTCCATCACACATTTATCTGCGTACGGTTTAGTCCCAAAGGCTGATCACGAGGTCGGGCTACTCTCCTGTGTCCTCTTGAGGATATAGAACGACATCCCAGATCCCCCCGCAAACCTTATTCCTTATTCACGAGGCTCCAAAACATCCATGGCTCGGATTAGATTTGCCACGCGATGGAAACGGGGGAGGACGGATTCAGCAAGCCATCCGGATGATTGACATCAGTCTGACGGAATCGGAATGCGACCTTGCATTAAACCACCTCAGCTCTTGCTGTAGATATGGGACATCGCTAATAATCACTGCCGTCAGCACCGGGAGATATTCTCAATTCAGCTGGCTCTTCTTGGCCTTTTCTTTGTAGGTCTCACTCAGGCTTCTATTCCTGCTTGCCTGCCTCTCCGCCTGACTGACTGTGCTGGCAGGATCCGGTACTTTTGTTCGATGGATACGTGGTTGGCTATGTGATTTCATTCAAGGGGCCTGAGAACAGCCATATCCACCCTTGCTTATAACCTGCCGTTATCTGTCTCTCTTCTTGAGATGCGAGCCCGGTCCGCATGAGTTCACGGTCTGGAGAATTGACTGGAATCGGCCATACAGAGATAGTACTTATATCATATCATATCTCTTTTTTCCCTCCGTTTGTTTTTTCTAAACCCATCCCCTCGGATCTGCCTCTTCATATACATATAAAGATCGCTCAGGGAGGTTCCGAGTAGATCATACTCATATCATGGTGTGTGCACACCCTACCTCCCCAATGTATCACTCCACACTCCACCATCCCTTAGGATCCATATCACATCTAACATCCATCCCACCCACCAGGACACTCCATACTCTCCACCAGCCCAACCCCCAATCTACATCACCAACCCGACCATCCCCCCCACGCCCAAACCCACCCACCTCATCCCCCTCCCTCTGATCCTCCTCATCCCGCCAACCCTGCTCTTCCTCCTCCACGCCATCCGCAAAGACTACCGCGCCTTCCTAGCCCTCGGACCCGGCGGCACCCCGTCTACCCCAACAGGCTACCTCCGCATCTGCATCCTTCGACTTGTAGCCCTCCGGAATCCGTTCTCTCCGCCTTCGATTCCGAAGACGTTATCGCCGAAGACGGGATATTTTGATCCTTGTCCTCCAGCAATCCCCTCTTCCACGGCTCCATCCGCACCAGCAACCCAGAGCAAGAACACAGACAAGGACACGAACAACCACGAAGGCGTTAAACACCCCAACCGAAACAAAAACCACCTCCCCTACCGCCTCGGCCCACCCCCGCTAGTGACAGGACTCGCACCCCAACGGCAACTCACGCAACGCAGCACCGCTCAGATCTACACGCATCTCACCCACAAAATCGAGGAGCTCGTCCTCGCCAACCCCCAAAAATACATCCTGGGGACATCATGTTTCGAAAAACATAGTACGGGGATATTTGCCTCCTCTTGCACCACAACCACCCCTTCAACACCTTCAGTGGAAGAAAAACACCGCCGAACGACCTGCAACGGCGAGATCTGTCACAGTCACCCGATCGACGGGAGTTTGCATCTCACGCTCCATCCGGCGGATGTGAGGGTGCTGATCGAGCGAGGATGGGGCCAGAGGCATCCGCTGGCGTGGGAGGAGACGGCGCGGCGGTGGTTGTGCGGGACGAGGTTCGTGCCGGCGGGGTTCGTGATGGTGTATGCGCCACGAGACGAGGATGAGGTAAGGGTTGTGATGGAGGTGGTGAGGGCGGCGGGGTGGTGGGTTAGTGGGGAGAGTTAGTTGGTTAGTTGATTGGTTGTTGATTGAATGTTTGGGGTAGAGGGGGGAGATAGACGGATGGATTGGCCTGGTGAAAGGGGTGAGTCTGGACTAATGGTCTTCAATGCTAGACATCTCGCGGATGGAGATCGCGTTGGACCGCGCGTGACCGTAAACCACCTACCTAGGTACCAGCCAGCTATCATAAACCGTGCATGACGCAATCTACTCCTGAAAAATCTCAACGTAACCCGTCGGTGGATCATAAATATTCAAGTCTTGACTGTAAGTGAACACGTAGGAAAATCACAAAAGAAAAAGAGAAGAAAAAAGAAAAAAGAAAATCACAAGCACACACATGAAGATGGGGGGATTTTGAAAACGGCACACACAAGAGGTAATTCGTTTCGGATCGACGCCGGGATGAAAGAAGAAAAATAAAAGCTAATAGCATAGAGGAATGTAAGAGCCGTTAGAAGAACATACAAGCAACCACCAAAGGGGGCACAATATCAACCCTTTTTTTATCCCTACGCGCAAGGTGTCTTTTGCCGGCCCCGATTGTTCCCCGTCCATCATCTCCCAACTCCCAGTCAACAATCCAGGTATTTCTTTCCACTCATCATATTAGGGCACAATTTAGTCGCGGTTGACCTTCCGCAGGGTTTCGGCAAGCCACTCCAGACCTTCGTACAGACCATCTCCGGTGGTGGCGCAGGTGGATTGGATGTACTGACGTAACGTTAGTCGACCGGACGAAATCAATAGAAGGGACGGGCAAACTTACCCAAGGACGGCGGGTGAGACTTTGCAGACCCAGCTGCTGGGTGATTTCGGCAGGGCTCATGGCATTCTAAAGACACGTCAACATATTCATTCGGCCAGCGGGACCACACGCGATGCGATCATGGGATGGGAGACGTACGGGCAAATCTTGCTTGTTGGCGAAAACAAGGAGCAGAGCATCACGGAGCTCATCTTCGTTCAACATGCGCTGCAACTCCTCCCGAGCCTCGACGATACGGTCACGATCGTTGCTGTCGACAACGAAGATAATACCCTGGGTGTTCTGGAAATAGTGTCTCCAGAGAGGACGGATCTTGTCCTGACCACCGACATCCCACACGGTAAATTGAATGTTCTTGTATTCGACGGTCTCGACGTTGAAACCTGATCATCCATCTCATCGTCAGCATTGTGCAAATATATAGATCGGAACCGTAACACGCGCGAGAAAAAGCGCCAGAGCCGGGCAGGAACCGAGCGAGCAGGATAATGGGAGGACAAGGACAAAAGACTGACCGATTGTGGGGATGGTGGTGACGATTTCACCCAACTTCAGCTTGTACAGAATGGTGGTCTTTCCGGCAGCGTCGAGACCGACCATCAGAATACGCATCTCCTTGCGACCCCATAGTCGGTCGAACAGCTTCGAGAAAGTGAGACCCATTTTGGCGGTGGCGAGATCAAGTCGAGGTCTAGAAGGAAAAGATGCGATGTCAGATATGACGGATCAAATAAATAACGGGAGCGAGCCTGAGCAAGGAGAGGGGGAGGGGGATAGGTAGGATAGGATAAGACGAGAAACCGTCGGGCCAGCGTCCCGAACAAGCCCAACGAATCCGGTGGAGGTTGACAAACCCGACGAGTGGTGCAACTAGGGTGGTGGTGGTGAGACGGGGGGTGGGTGGAAGAGAAGTGGTGGTAGTGGAAGAGGAATGGGGAGATTTGAGGTGTGGACGAAAGGGAAGCGTGATCACGCCGGGGAAGAACAATCAGGGGTGGTTTTAGTGGGAAAGGGTTGAACCCGTGGACGGGAGAGGATCAGGGCGGTCGATAGATGGGGGGAATCACCGACAAGCAAACAGACAGGAAGAGGACAGACAAGACTTACCAGTTACCACAGGCAATGATGAAGCTCAAGTAGAGAGAGGGTCGTTGATCGAGATTGAGCCCGGGACAAGTCGGTATGGAGCAGCGACTGTTTTTGTCGACGTTGGAATTTTTGGGCGTCGAAATGCCAGGGAGAGAAATTCCGTTCGCCGGCGTAGCCTCCGTCACTGCGAGAACCGCCCGGTTACCGTATGGTAAGTTTGCTTCTATAGACCTCACTATAATGTGGTATACTTCAGGTATCCTGTATCCTGCTGGTATACGAACAGAAGAAAGAGGTGGACAGATGCTGTTCGTCCCGGATTAAATATCTCGACCCAATGATCACTGCCTAATCACCCTTTGTCGATGCATCTTCTGATCATTCCGGCGTTACCATCTGGTCACCAAAAGAGGACACGGTGTTTCCCGTGCCTTGGAGCCTTAGTCAGTCCGCGCTGACGACACATGGAGATGGAATCTACAGCCTTACTGTACGGAGTAGTGATAGTGTACTGTACAATGTACAGGTACTCAGTCCCTGTCTCCTGGGCTTTTCTTATACAATCCTTCTAACCCTCTCCTCCAATTCATCATTCAATATGTTTGTGACTCTTGATTAATGAATCCAAGAACAAGACCAGGTCCAGAATCCAGACTGGATTCCCACCAGACCCTCCGGAGTCCTGATAGGCCCCCGACCAGCCTGGAATCTTCCCCGTTCCAGTGGATCTCCGTCGGTGGCTCTGGCACAACTTTCGTCTTTCTTCATATCTGGCCAGAGATCCCTCTTGATTTGACTGGGAAAAGGGAAGGGGGGCGCTGCAGCCCCCCGAACCACTTTTTTCCCCTTCTACCAAGTAGCCAACGTATGTACTCCGTTCACTAACTAATCTACGCGTCACGGGCATTCTTCATCCCCTTTTTTTTGCCATCCAGTCGGAACGCATACTAGGTAGGAGGACAGATCAGCCGGTTGGTCTTGGTCTACCATGTGACATGAAAACAGTTGCCACGTTTTGTGACGAAAAGTGGTCCGCCCTACAGAACGCAGCCAAATGATGGGGAAAAAAGAAGATATCTTGGCTCCGTATCTCTCGAAGGTTCTCTGCATCAAGTTGCCCTGCTAGCCTTACAGTATTATTATTGTTAGTTATTCGTACTCCGCCCCTAAGGTGGATACCTGCTATTTTACATACCTTGTACTTTTGTAACCTGGCCGCATAGACAGGCTGCACCCGAGGCTCAGCAGGGGCAAAGGCGGTCGAGGGTCCACCGATAAGGGTCACCGCTTTTGTTGGACTTGGATTAATCTGTCGCCCGGCTATATTTAACGTGTTCCTCCTTAGACCGGCTTGGTCTAGCTCGGATGGCAAGCGAACTAATAGTATCCGTGCTAGACGATAGACTACGGGACTAGTGGACTAGGTAGGTGCTACTAGATGGTCGCGGCAGGTGTCAGACAGTCGGTTTCATGGTATACGATTACGAAGTATTCAAGTTGTAATAGAGTCATTGATTGGAAAGTTATTGTCTGCCAAATTTCTTGTCATTATCGTTGTGGTCTCAAGTCTTTTCGTTTGGGCTCTATGACCGGATTGTGGATTGCGTTGTTGAAAGTAGTGGGGCGCAGGACCAGGTAGGGATAGTCAACTGAATATATGTTTGTCGGATAGACCATATAATGACATTCATTGGCCAGCGTTAATCATATCTCGTGAATCTTCAAATGCAATCTCTAATATACAAGCGCTCGATATTCTCCCCTATCTTCGTTCCTCATCATAGTTAATGCATCGTTACCTGATTAGCAATTCCGAAACTCTGAATAACCATTGGCCGCGACCGTCAACGACCAGTCGGGTCAACTCCCTCCCGCCGCTGCGCCAACCGGTCCTTCGAACTGCGGAAGAACGTCCGGAACAGCGATTTGTAAATAGTCTTGCCTTCGATCGTGTCGCTTAGGTATCCGAACATCGCGAGCATCACGACAGACAGAAACATGATCACGCCGAAGCTGACCCAGTATTGGACGGTCGTGTACACGTGCTTCACCCCCTTGAGTTCGGTGGAGAAGTACCCGGTCATCAGACTGACGGGCAAAAACAAGATGGTCGCCTTGGCCAGCAGGACCGTGATTCGCGTCAGTTTCTCGACCGCCTGCGAGTCTTTGAGGGCGATGAGGTTGAAATTCTATTTCTTGGGTTAGTGGTGATGACGAAGTGAGGAGAAAAAAAAGGGGGGGGTCTTACCAGGAAGGTTAGAGATTCCTTTTCGGTCAAACAGGTGTCGATCTCAGATAAACAGTACAGCTTGATGCGGTCGAGCAGTCTTTCAAAGCGAGCGACGGCCGTAGAGCTCAGTTGGACGCCAACCTGGGTGTCTGGGATACTCGAAAGACTGAGATTGCTCTGCAGAGTCGACTGTCGAAGATCCACAACGTCATGGTCGCCCACCATGTGTCCGATCGGGAATGTGGTGCGAGGGTTGCGGTGCTCGTCACGCAACACACGTTGTCTTTGCAGAATCCGCATCATGATAAGCTCATAGCTCTGATACAGACGCTTCAGAACTGCCAACCGTCGGCCCAGCCAGTGCAGCTCGTTCACCAGCTCAACGACTGGTTTGGATAGCATTTGCTCTCTCTATCGTGCTGTTAGAGATTGGGTTGTATCTCAAACTGGGATGCAGGTTCCTACCAGGGTATCGAGTGACCTTCCGTATGCATGCTCGCGCTTTGCTACCAGCGCGTATGTTGAAATCCAGTCATCAAAAATGTAATAAAAGATCAGACTAGCACCGTCCTCTTGTTTGATGCTCGCCTGTTCGGGACCACCGCCATGAGCAGGTCGTACTCTAATGGTAACCAGCGAGTCACTCTCGGATGAGGCAGAGTGCTGTTTTGACACGCCGGAGAAGATGAACTGGACATTTCTGCGGATCACCCCAAGAACGGACTTCAGTTCGCTCGGGTCTGGTCCGTATAAACCGGGGAATGGGTTCTCCTGCATGGAAATCACGGTGCCTTGGGTGATCAGCATCAGTAAATATCCACTCAACTGAGAATATAACACATACCATCATCGCATAAGATAAGCCATGACCATAATCGTCGTCCATCTGGCAAATCTTTCCCATTCGACGTTTCCACATTCGGCACGATGTACAGCGAGTTATACCCGACGCAAGTATCTGGATCTCAAGTCAACCCACGCAATGATTGAATCCCCAAAAGAGTGTCATACATTTCTGACCGTGGTCGACGGAGCAAAAGTGCCAGATTTGATTTGTCACATGCGCAAATGTGAGGCCCCTAAAGGATGCAACTGCTCTTAATTCCTCCGGGTCGACCGTGTTTTTCAAACCATGTGCTTCTTCTAGATCATCCATTCGAGGTACACGGGGCGATTGATCGATGGCTGCGGTTTTCGGAGTTTTCGCCTCTGCCTGGGATTTCGGCCGCTCGACCGGGTCGGTGCACATCATTCCTTGTAAACGCTCCGAGACACCATATTGGCTGGTGATCGCCTGGGTAGGTTAGTAACCCGGAAATTTTTGACGGATCGTAATCTTTGACAGGGATTTCCGTACCTTGATAATGTCTTTTTGCTCTTCGGGATTCCAAATGTTACTGGGAATTATTAGCGCGCATTTAAGAGACTCAATCCATAAAAAGCCATCGCAACTCACATCCATCTGGTTCCAAAACACTTGGGCTTCTAGAAATACCGCGGGGTTAGCATTGTATCCAAGCGATCTTCCATTAAGCGACCTACGGGTTTGCGCAACAACGACGCGATGTCATCATGGTTGAGATTCACTGCACACCAAGCATCGTCGTTACCGAAATCCAAGACGAAATTCTGGGTTTGCGACGATTGCAAATGCGCTAGATAGCCTCGGAAATGAGTCTCATCGTCAATGTCACGGAATCCCCTCTGGATGGCGGGGCTGTTTGTGAAACTAGAGTAGAAGGCGTGGGGAGATTGAGAGTGCGGTGCCGAAGGTTCAGTCATGCTTCTGTCAGCCTACAAGAGAGCTGAAGGAAGGCAGTGTTGATAGTCCAGAAAAGAAATAGACCGGAGGAAGCTCAAGCGATGCGGAAATGCGATGCAAAACAGTCGAGATGCACGGTGTAGAGAAGAGAGAAGTAGAAAAAGCAAACGGTCGAGGAAGAAGAGCTGCTAAATACATGAGCGCGTGAAATCTAGGCAGAGCAACTTGAGGATAGTCAGCCTCGTGCTTGTCGCCGGGCAAATGACCGCAGTCATTTGGCAGCTGGATCCAGCAGATTAGCGCCGATAGTACTGAGTTAAAGTAGATTACTCGACAGGGGTCGCAGCAGATGACTGGTCGGCGATACACGAGGGGCTCGACGGGTTGATGATTGCCCTCTTGGGTTAGTCCGGCAGGCGCATCACAGGACCCCGGATCTACTATATGTACTCTATCTTACGGACTGGCATGATGTAATCTGTCCCATCTCCCTCAGAATCATGGGGTTCCCACTTTTAAACACAAGGTGCGTAGTAAATGTACTCTTGATATCACTCGGGAAATGGAATCATTGACTACCTATAGACAAGAAAGTGGACACTGTTTTGATCTTTGGACGGCAAAGCACCAGTAGAAACTCAACCATAGAAGTCGGGAGGTCTGCGCCTAAACAGTTTGCCAGTGTAATTTCTCATTTGACATATTCTGGAGAACTACAAGTAGGTACCGACCGTGCGTTCTCACGTTGTTGGTGCCTGAGGTGCTCGACAACGGCGCGGAATGCTCCGTTGCCATTACGCCCGTCATAGCCCCAGGGACTGGCGACGTCTCCAGCCGAGTTGACATCCTACTCGGTGTACGAGTCCACCGGTGCTGCCTGCCTGTACGCGCGACTCGCTGGACTCGTCGGGGAAGTGAACTTTCTTTAACGACATATGATCGGTGATCTTTTTAGGATCAACCTTGCCACGGCAATATGGGCACTTAAAATCGACACTGCCATCGTGGCCTTGCCTCACGGACAGCTCTGGGTCTGAAATCCTTGAGAAACACTCAGCGCAGGTGATATGGCCGCAGGGGAAGAAAATAATCGGATTATCAACGGCGTCGATGCAGATGGGACATTCGAGGTCACTGTTTCCTTTTAGACGAATGACAACTTTGTTGCTAAAAGCTTTCGCATTCTCAACGAGATCCAGCTCATCCGTGTTCTTGCTCCACAGAGCATAACTAGGTGGGAGTGGCTTTGTCAAGGTTATGGATCGGAACACCCTCAGGAATCGTGGATAGTAGATAGAAACTGTTACTTCCTGTTGCGAATAGAATGATAAAGATGATTGTTGTTGATTGGGTCATCAAGAAAAAGGAGGAATATCGAGACCTCTAATTATATGCCCTCCTTTGCCCTCTTGTGGATTCATGGTGAAATAATTTGCAGCGGTGATTTCCTATTTGACACTTCTTTATTGGCTGATCTCCAAATCCAAAGTTAGAATCCAGTAAACATCTGATAGGTGTCTCGCAACCTAACAGCTTATACGAAGATCATAGTAATTTCCATTCAATGTGAATATAACATTCCGGTTCCTAAAGGGAATGTGGTGTGTCAAACATGTTACGGAATATTTAGCAATTAGGGATAATTCTTCGCTCGATCTAGCTTCTAATACCTAAACAACTCGTTCCGATCATCTCATATAGTTGTGTTCAATCATTAGTATCATCATGATTGGCAGTCAGGAGAAGCGGTCCCTTTGATGCCTGAGAAAGAAGGCCTCAAACCAGCTGAGTAAGAACGGTTAGGGCAAGGCTAGTCCACAGACAGCTAGCGCGGTCCAACACCCACAAGCGGAGACGGGATTTTCTTACTTGCGGCCGCCGGTCGACCCGAGGGCCTTTTTTTCTTCTCCTCTTCTTGTCCTTGACCGATATTCAGCGTAGAGCCTCACCATAAGAATTTTGAAATCGATTCTTTTGGAAGACAGTCGCCATCATGTCCAAGATCACTGTCGGTATGTCGCTCTATTCTCGCCGCCATCAACCCCTCTGTTTCGCTGGCCAGTCGCTAACGCCGTTTGCCGTCTTTCAGCCGGAGTGCGCCAGAATGTCGCCCAGCTCCTCGAGTACTCTCAGAATGAGAAGAAGAGAAACTTCCTCGAGACCGTCGAGCTTCAGATCGGTCTGAAGAACTATGACCCCCAGCGTGACAAGCGTTTCTCTGGCACCATCCGTCTGCCCACCGTGCCCCGCCCCAACATGAGCCTCTGGTATGTGGAAGCGAGAAACCCAATTTGACACCCGCCGTTCTCGAGCGCGACAGAACGATTGGGATGAATGCGGTACGAGATGAATAGAAGGTGCTGACGGATGGATCTTTTTAGTGTTCTTGGTGACCAGCACGATCTCGATCGTGCCAAGCACCACGGCATTGACGCCATGTCCGTTGATGACCTGAAGAAGCTGAACAAGAACAAGAAGCTCATCAAGAAGCTTGCTCGCAAGTACGATGCTTTCCTTGCTTCCGACACCCTCATCAAGCAGATTCCTCGTCTCTTGGGTCCCGGTCTCTCCAAGGGTAAGTTTGAACCTCGCCAATCGTGAAACCCGCCAAGGACAAAAAAGAACTAACGCCCTCGCAGCTGGTAAATTCCCTACCCCCGTCTCCCACAACGAGGATATGTCCAACAAGGTCACCGAGGTCAAGTCCACCATCAAGTTCCAGCTTAAGAAGGTGCTCTGCCTGGGTGTTGCCGTTGGCAACGTCGACATGACCGAGGATGAGCTGGTCGCTAACACCATGTTGGCCATCAACTACCTCGTCTCCCTGCTGAAGAAGGGCTGGCAGAACGTTGGCAGCCTTGTCATCAAGGCTTCCATGTCTCCCCCCAAGCGTCTGTACTAGATTACTCGACGTATTTGGGTGTGCGCTGGGGATTTTTTTTTTAGGATCTAGAAGTGGGATTATGTATGCCATAGTCTAAAACGGAAATATGATTCACCTTGATTCCTAATCTTGTTCTCGATGTGACCTGTAGTAGTTAGCGTGGGCTACTCCGTAGTATCTGACCCCCGCAGTTTGGATACGTATGATCTTAAGAGAATTGTCTATTGTCAAACGGAGATGTCACAAGTAGTATACATTTATAAACAGCTTATTGCATCCCCGGCATCAGCTCCGTCTTATCCAAAATCATACCCCTCATACCAATGAACTCCCGCAGGCTCTCCCACTCCTCGCCCTCCTCTTCACCCCACATAGAGATGTTCTTGAATCCCCATTTAACCGCAACCTTATCCAAAGCAGCGCGCTCTTCTTCCCGCAGCCACCGGTGGCGCAACGGCACACCAGACAGCCATGTCACCCTCTGCATTTGATCATTGGCAGTAGTGATAGCCAAGATGCCAATCGACGAAACACCCCCGACATACGCCAGACTCGCGGCAAACGCGATCCCCGTCGCCGTGCTGGCATCCATAGTATTCTGCAATGTCGACGCCCACGAAGCAATGGCGTAACAAGCGATCGGGGTGGTTCCCAGCGCGCCCAGAGGCACAGCGGCCTTCTTGAAGACCTTGGCGCGGTGGAACGCCGGCGCGCAGAACGTCGTATCGATGATGGCCAGCACGAGTGGCAGGTTGCGCTGCTCGGTGGCAACGTCTAGGGCCATGTGTGCTAGCTCCGTGGGGACAGCACTGTTGATGTTCTTGGGGTTCGCCTTGTGGTATTTTATGGGCGAGCTGTTCTCCTCCGGGACCGGCTTGTGGGCGTACAGGTGGAAGATCTCGGGGCAGTGATCGGCCTGCTTGAGGAGGGTGGCGGTCTTGGTGTAGTAGGCCAGAGCTTCGGGGGAGATGAAGACTTTCTCGTCGGCGAGGATGTCGTATGCGACTTGCCCCAGCGACTCGGGGAGATACGGTTGCGTGACCTTGGCTTTCGGGGAGGGTTTTTGGCTGCCGCTCTTTTCCTCCAGGTCGAGTAGGGAGGTGATCACGTCGTCGCCCTTGGTCTTGGAGGGCGTCTCCGGTTTCTCCTGGTCAGCGTGCACGATGGTCTCGGCGAGTTCCTGGCATCTTTTCAGGAGCTGGACGACTGATTCGTCGGACGGCACGGACTCGGACTTGCGGAGCTGTGCAGCGTCGCATTCGAGTTGTTCGAGGGCCTGTTCCGGGTCGACAGGCGCCGAGGGCTGAGGTGCCTTCGAGGCATATCGTCTTGAAATGGTCTGGCTAGGCGTCCATTGGTTCCGAGCGTCTCTCTTGGGACGCAATTGGCCGAGTTTGGACGGGTGTGTTAATGGAGCAGTCGAAGCATACGATCGCGCAAATTGTGTGCGAGGCCGCGTGGCAGGAGATGAAGTCAATTGGCACAGTTGACAGATCAAACCTGGAGGCTTGATGGCCCTCTGGCCTCTCAGAGCAACCCCTTTCATGGTAGTGACGGCCAGGTTCCTGGGATCAGCAGAGCATTCAATTACCTCCGTTTATCGACAGACCGAAGAGAAGCGTGACAAGGCGGCGAGATACTGCCGCCCGCTAGTTGGTCGGTCTGTTTCTCCCCGGCTGGGATTAGGTAACCTCGTAATGACCTAACAACGTCCTCGCTTTCTCCCCATATCATCAGCAAGGCTACCTTGATTTCTCCTCCACTTCTCCCCTCGCTCGCCGAAGCAAACGTCAAATGGTCTGCTCGATCTCAGGCGGTTGATCCCTTCGCGATCGCGTCTGTCTACTCCTAGTACAGCATCTCTAGACCCCTCTCTTTCCCCTCTCCTTTTTCTCTGCCCCTCTCGGGCTTCAAGAAATGCCTCCTCCGCCACCACCACCGCCGCCGCCGCCCGGCGCGATGGGAGGCCCTCCTCCGCCGCCGCCTCCCGGAGGATTGCCGAATCGACCGGGCAAAGGCGATGTCAAGGACCGAGTACGTCCATCAATTTGGAGCCTTGAGCGCGATTGTCTTGCTAACAGATTCGCTAGGGCGCACTACTCTCAGATATTAGCAAAGGCGCTCGATTGAAGAAGACCGTGACCAATGATAGATCAGCCCCAATTGTGGGAGGTGGAGGCTCAAAGGCCTCCGGGCCACCTGTCGGAGGAGCACCGCCTGTTCCTACCATGGGGAAGCCTCCCGGTGGTCTTGCACCGCCGGTGCCTCCGGCCGGAGCCGCAAATAGACTCCGAAGCAATAGCGAAACTGGCTCAGGGGGTGGTGATAGCGGCGCAGCATCTGCCCCAGCGGTTCCTCAGCTCGGTGGTCTCTTTGCCGGGGGTATGCCAAAGCTGCGTAGTCGAGGCGGCGGAGTGGACACCGGTGCGAACCGAGACTCGCCGTATCGATCGGAATCCGATGGCTCGCAAGCTCCCAGGCCTCCCGTTGCATCTGCCCCGAAACCCCCAGGAGCCCGACCACCTCCACCTCCACCATCTTCAGAATCACCTCCTGCACCTCCCATCAACCCTTTGGTCAACAATCTGCGAAAGCCTCCTCCGAGGCCGGCGTCGCGACCGTCATCGACTGTCTCAACCCAATCTGGCAAATCAGCTCCGGATGCACCTCCCCCACGCGCACCTCCTCCATTGCCAGGCGCAGGGAAGCAACTCCCGCCACCTCCTGGGTCCCTAAGGAAGCCATCTGCTCCGGCACCACCACCGCCGCCGCCACCTCCTTCGACTAGTCCCGCTGCACCTCCTCCGCCTCCGCCCACGGCCAGACCTCCACCCCCAGCGCCGGCAAGATCCACTCCTCCTCCACCTCCCGCTCCTCCAGCATCTGCGCCGCCGCCGCCTAGCGGTGCAGGGGCCGCCTCGATCGCAGTTCAAGCCGCAAGGAATGCGCTTGGACATAGCCCGCAAACCCCGTCGGCACCGCCACCGCCGCCGCCTGCAGCAGTCGCTCCCCCTCCTCCTCCATCTGCTCCTCTCACCGCACCATCCAGCGAACCAATCTCGCGCCCATCTTCGTACGAACCTCAGACTGCTAGCTTGGATCCGAGCTCTTATACCCTTAGCAACGGCGGGCCGTCACCGGGACTAAGCCCTCGGAACGCAGGCGTGCAAGGAATGATCCCAGTGGATGACAATCGATTCAAGTTCCAAAGCGAAGGATTGTTGCCCAAACCCCGACCGTTCACGGGAGGCACCCGACGGTATCGGGCGGGACGGGGCAGCAGTGTGCCCTTGGATTTAAGCGCTTTGAGTGGATAAAAGCGATAATGCAAGACCGGGGTCCCTTGATCTGCGGACGTGCAGACAGTCGGTCTGATGCATCGCTTGCTAATTGTTACAATTGTGATAGCTAGTAAGCACTAGGAACGAAGCCGCCTTTTTTCTTGTCTTTCTTTCTATATTTTATGTACAAATTAGAGAATAGAAGGTTGTATATCTAGCTTCTATTAGATCTATATATGGAATGAAGTCTCGGAGCAGGCATAGTGTGAGGCAGTTTCGGTAAATGAGCGGCCGTAGGAAGAGAGCCCGGGGCAAGCTCCCCCTCACGTGACACCGCAAGCACCGTCGGCGCGGAGAAAGCAAGACTCGACACTGCGGCATAAACTACAACTTGAACCACTGAACCCCAAGGCCTGCCCTGCCGATCATCTAGAAGCTCTGCATTGCCTCTCGAAAAGACATTTGTCTCGTGCAGCTTCACATTCTAGGCAGAGGGATATCCCAGAATTCCAAGCATCGCAGCGAAGAGAGACGAAAGAAAATCAGCTCTTCACGCGAATTTCATCCACCGCGGTTTCCAGCTTCGTCGCGAACAGATACCGGCATCGCGGAATCCGTCTCTTTCCACGTCTGGTGTTCGATTCCATCTTGCAGCCGACCCATAAATTGTCTACCGCTACGACTGCCTTCTCTACAATTTGACGATCAAGTGACCCTGGATTCATTCGCTGTCTTGAACGAGCGAGGGCTCCAACCTCGCGCCGGGCGGTGGTGCCTCTAGAAAGACCTATTGACCGAGGATCTTATTTTATCCTCTCCCCTGTCATTTCTCTTATCCCTTATACGTCGCTCTACATATCCTCGCGATGTCTCTCCACTCCTACATCAATAGTAAGTGGTCCTTCATTTACTTCCCTCCCCGCCCTCTTTCCCCCCTTTCCATCCTTTTCCTTCCGACACTTCCGCCAGCGCACAGTGCACTAATGACGGTGTTTTCAACCTTCTAGAGAAAGTCCTGATCCTGACCGTGGACGGGCGGACACTTCTCGGAACTCTCCTTTCCACCGACCAGCTGACGAATCTGGTTCTTATGGATACGATCGAACGGATTATTCGGACCCCCGAGGACGAGGAGCCAAGCTCGCAGATCGAACACGGCCTGTATCTGATCCGAGGCGATAACGTGGTTCTATGCGGTGAGGTTGACGAGGGCATTGATAACGATATTGACTGGGCCAAGGTCAAGGGCGAGGTAGTCCGCAGTACCAAGAATGCATGAAACATTTTATTATTGATGACGAGACCTCCAATACCCGATGTGACGATTGCGCGGACAGCGAGAAAAGAAAGCGAGAACGGGGACAGGGAAACAAAGGATAGAGCACCAAATAAAGAAAGAAAAAGAAAAAGAACATGCAGACGGAGGTGGGGGACGTAAGGAGAAAAACGGAACGCTATTTTTGTTTTTGGCTTGATTTTTCTTCTTTTCTCAATACGATTGATGTGGACGATTGAGACGTGGGACGGACAACCAGCAACGACGGTAGCCTTGGTACTTTGTTGGATTTTTCTTGGTATGATGGCCCTCGTCGAGCGAGCGTGAGGGCTTTGGGCATCGCGCGGGTAGTGCGCTTCTCGGCGCATGTTGCCATGCGGCGGGGGAGCGTACTTCCTGAGCCATGATTGCGCTGGGCAGCATTGATTTGCGTGGGATTCGATCTTCCCTTCCCTGCTCCTTCCTCTGTGATATCATGGCATACATTACGAGGTTACCATGGCCTTGGGAGGGAGTGCACGGCGATTTCGATCCGTGACGATCCTCGGAGCCGGACAAATGACACTACGGGAAAAGACATTTGGGCTTTGATTGGGGACAGCAGGGGCCAAATAACAGGAGGAGAGAGAAAAAGAAATATGGAATTCAATGCGACTCTTCGTTGTCCCCGGTTTATTCGTGGAGGACGGCACGCGAGAGTAAGCAAGGGAACGGCAGTATAGGCAACTAACTACCTTGATAATTTCTTGTCCCTCGTGTGTCATGAAGGAGAAACGAGAAGAGATGGGGATGAGAAGGGGCAAGGAGAGTAGTCCGACATTTATTTCTCCTCTTTTTCTTATGCTCCGTGTATATCCATTATTCATGTTACCCTGACCTCAATATGAGACGCCCTCAGCATGGAGGCAATAGATTAAGTATAACGCGATTGGATCCATCTGGCGTGACGGTCGTGCTTGGCGGCCACCGGAATCGGAAACAATCTAGGCAGATGGCTAACCGACGGTGGTACTAGACCGACACCAGAGTAATTAATTCAATTAATTCGCTCGGAGGATTCATGGCAAGTGCATTGGCCTCGGGGAGGAGGAGTTTGGTGCCCAACCCTAACGTTCAGCGATGCGGCGGCCGACGGGGCGCGGAAGAGAAGTATACAGAACGGAGTATACTATAAGTATGTATAACTATAACAGCCAACATCGCAGTAAACAGGATCGAGATAGAAGAACATATTAACTTTGCACGGAGTGTAAGAGAGCAGAGATCCGTTTCACTCGACCAGCTCGTGGCAGTAGCGCCGTTTCTCTGCCGCGCGCCCCGCCCCGGCCAAGTTGGGCCATTTCCGTTTTTCCCCTGATCTCTGCCTCTCCTTCCCTTCCCTTCCCTCTTCCCTTCTTCCCCTTAGTTTATCGTCTTTGGCTTCTGCCTTACTCCCTCTCTTGCTTTCTCTTTTTTTGCTTCTTGTTTCTTCCACACCCCTCCCCTCCCATCTTAAACACCATCCCTGTTCTTATCATCCTTTAGTCTCCTCCTTTCCTCATACGTTGTAGGTCGCTGGGCGACCTCCGTTCCTTGCTTCCTCTCTCTTCCTCTCTCCTTCCGCCGCTTATCAAGCCACACTTTACCCCCGTACGCCCTTCATGTTGCCTTCACCGTCGCTACAGATCTCAGGTTTTATTCGACGGTGTCCAAGAGCCTTTCTGGCTTCGTGAGCGCCTGAATTGATTAACTGTTTGCTTTTTTTTCTCTATTTTCTCTTATCTTTTTTATCCGACATACTCCTATCAAACTTTCCCTCTCCCCGCCGCATTCTCACCGCCACCCTCCCTCCCTCTCTCGCCTTCAGTCCGATCTTCCTACACCATGTGGCTCTATCGAGGAGTCCAGTCGGCCGTCTTCTACTACGCCACTTGCACCCCATGTGCTATGTCCGTCGACCGTCGGAAGCGTAAGAAGGAAGCCGCCCGAGCGCATCGTGAAAAAGAGAAGGAGAAGCTCAACACCACCGTTACCGACCAGCCTCGGCCATTCCCCCAACCCACCGCGTTTCGCACCAATCAAGGATGGAAGGAAGAGATCGCGCTCGGCCCAGGACCTCCGGCGCGACGAGGTGGTCACCGCAACGCTCACCGGCGGACGGATAGTTGGAAGTCAGACGCACGACCTGCAGAAGATGTGGAACAGACGGGAAGATCGGCGCAGAAGAAGGATAAGGGCGGTCTGATGCAGCCTGTGAGCGATCGGTGGAACCGCATGCGATATCAGCGCGAGGACGAACCGCTTTGGGGTGAGGAGGTGGAGGTGAAGGGTTCCTCGGTGGGAATTTCCGGACAGGGTCGAACAGAAACCAAGGAGCCCAAGTACTACATCGCTCGAGTCCCGCCCGTGAACGACCTCCATCCGCCTATCGTCAGCGGACCGAAGAGCAGAGCCGAGACGCGATGGATGTTACAACCGCCGCCCAGTGCGAGAGTGATGGCTGGGAAGGAACGGACCAGTCCCTCGGACCGGACGACAAAACCCCGCGAGAAGAAGGCCTCGGCGACTCCGCCTGGGATGGCGCGAAACTACCAGCTCCCTCCTATATCTACCCAAACTTCTGTGAAGAAGAAAACATTAAAACCATCGCCTACATTTACCTCTCCCAGTGATACCCATACCCCGACTACCAGTAAATCGAAAAGCGAGGACCAACTGGCGCGCTCGTCATCCCCGATCGCATCTTCCTACGGATGTGATGAGTCGAACTTTGTCATCTCGCGGTCTCTCCACTCCCGATGCGACTCTTCCATGTTGATGTCCTCCGATTCCGAGATGGAATCTCCGCGGGTTTCCATGCATTCCATGCATTCCCCGCAGACGCCCGTCTCCCGGCCCGGTTCCAAAGAGACCGAGGATACCGGAAAACATTTCCGACCGACCATATCCAAAGCCCTAACAACTCTGCCACGGGAAACCAACAACAAGGTGCAGTTGCTCCATGTGGAAATCAACGAGCCTCATGATGAAGTAGGCCTAGGCCAGCTGGAACAAATCCGGCCGTGGCGATGGAGCATGGATGTCTGATGGATATAACCGTCTATGATGTCCATCCTCGTTGGCCATAAACCCTTTCTTTTTCACTTCTTTTCTCCTGTGCATAGAGCATCATGGTGCATTTTCATCGTTGGATTTTTCTTTTTCACTCGGCGTTGACAGCATTCAAAAGCTTTCGTTCCGTCCAGATAACCCCCATTGGTTTTTGTGCTTTGTTTTTGACCCACATACATACGCACACACGCTCTCTGTCTATACCATCGTTGGAAGGAGCATGGTCACCCCGTTCGAAGAGTTTCATCATCACAGTATGCATGAATGTGTATATATGGCCGGTCCAAGATACGCATCGTCTCGAAGCGGGAAATACACCCGTGTCCCTTGACCTGTCCATATCGTCCTGTTCTGCACTCGAGCAGTCCATACATACATACATATTCCATCCTATCGACAGTCTGTCTTCCTGCATCGTTATTACCAAGCGCAGATTACCATCCTTACTCTAGCTTTACTTTTTCTTACCTTTTTCACTCTCTCTATCTCTCTCTTTCCTTTTTCTTGTCTTGATTGATTGTCTAACTGTCTAACTGTCTTCCTGTTTTGAGTCCCAAGTCTTGTTTTTTTTGGTTGCATTTGCATCGTCTTTTTTCACTTTCTTTTTACGTGTAATTCTTCATCTTCCTGTATATTACCTTTTAATGAACATGCCCGTTATCTCTAACTTGACTAGTTTGTTTGTTTGTTTCCTGATTCTTAGTAATGGGTGTAAGATTTGACTTTGCGGGCGTTTCATACTTCGTCCCTTCCAGCCCGAAATTTCGGTAGCGCAAACTTAGAGTTCCTGGATTGTGCAGGGCCCGCCCGATTCACTGGTTTCATCGATATATAAATAGATCGGCCGGGCTATGTTTAGATTTGGATTCCTTACTTGGGAAGGCTGTTTTTTGGGTTATTTGTAGATTGTTCGATTGGATGACTAGAATAGAGGAATAAAGAAATGAGGTTTTGTATGTGTCAATGAATGAAAATGCTTTGTGTTTTGTTTATTTTGTATTCTTTGAGGATAGCGAGGGGAGTACGTATAGTTGTCTATCTCGAGACTTTAAATTAACTTCAAACGTCCTGGGCGCGGGGGGGTCACTGCGGTGATCAAAAACAATAATTCTATAAACAGATGCCTTGATTAACATTGAATTGATTGATTAATATAGGAAGACTCAAATTTTTCTATGGTATTACCTACATAGCAAGTGCCTTTAGAGAGATAAACAAACAGCAAAGTACTTGACAGCTTGTTTTAGGCATTCAAACGCTTACATACTATCCTAAACTGATGGCCATAGGTAAATATATACAGGTTTCCTATATATGTTACTTTATTCTGATATTCAAAGGAGATTGTTATGAGAATAAAACACCAGTAAAAGAGATATATTAAGTGGATAAAGATAGAGTATCCTTTTTTGTCTCTCTTGATCCTTTATTGTTTCTATCCTAGTCACTTCTTTTACTTCTTCGCGGACATGTAAGAAGATGACTTACATCTATCGTTGATTACCCCGCTCACAGTCGTTTGCTGACCTTCCATGTTTGCAACACCCAGGAAGACCTCTTCTACCTACAAAATCATTTTCTTGATCATTACATCTGGCTGTATCAAGGAAAATAATTCATACGTTCCTCATCCGCAGCGTTGCCTAAATTCATACGTCCACATTTGTTATTATTGCCTGGTATGAGCTTTCTAGGACGATGTCTCAAAATCATTTAGGTAATCAACAGGCTCAAAATGTCCGGCGCAGAAGTGCTTGCAGCGGTCGGCGCTACTTCTTCTGTGATTACAATCTGCGAGACCTGTGTGACAATTGTCAGGTTTATCCAGAAATGCCACCCATCAGAAACCACTGCCAGGCTGAAGCCCCAGATTGAGCTACTAGCGCAAACCATCACTCAACTGAAATCTTTGAACCTGGGTTCATCGGTGCCTGATCTGAGTGCGGTGCTTAATGGGTGTAAGAAGGAGCTTCAAAAGCTCAATGGTCTCCTCGAAAAACACCAGCAAGCCTCTTCTACCACTTTACTACAACGAGCCCGGAAATCTTTCAAAGTTCCAATTTGGGAGGAAAGGATCCGAGAGATTTGGATTGGCATCCAGCAATACCAGTCAACTATCAGTCTTTACTTGGACCTCTACAACACTCAGCGACTTCTCAATGCCCCATACGCCGACCTTTGTCTGTATATCGTGCCATGGAAATCAACAACTGGATTTGTCGGCCGTCAAGATATTTTCGATCGAGTTTCGAATTCTATAATCCACTGCACCCACTACCCTTGCATTCTTTCAATCACTGGCTCGCCGGGCATAGGGAAGACAGAGGTTGCCCTATAATTGTGTCTTGGAGCAAAAACAACATATTCGGTCATTGTCTGGATCTGCGCCGAAACTGAATCGCTTTTTATACAGGGCGTCTGTGACTTTGCACATAAGCTTTCAAGGGGCCAACGGACATTCAACAATCAAGACGACAGCTGGTCATATATTCCCGAGGTTGCCAAGATCAGAAGCCAGCCATGGTTCCTCGTTTTCGACGACTGAGACTCTGTAGATTTGAAACCCAGTACATTCCAATTTCTCGCGGATGGTCGCCAACGCGACGTGATTGTGACAACCACAAGAAAGAAAGCGTCATTCTTGGGAACACAGATCCAACTACCCGCTTTTCCAGAAGAGGATGCTATTGATTTGATCCTTAGCCAATCACAATACTCTGCGAGTATAGATGTCGAAGCTGCAAGGGATCTTGCCAGGGCATTAGGCTACATACATTTTAACTTGTCCAGGGTCAGTGCCCATATGCGGTCGAAAGGATACACCCCCAGGCAAATTTTCGAAGAGTTGGGAAGGTCCTCGAGCCTAGATCAACTTGATAACAGCAAAAGAATGACCTCGCCAATTATCCTTACCTTGGAAGGTGTTAGAAGAGAAGACCCTCGTCTGATTGAATTTCTCCTGCAAATGTCCTTCATCTCTGTTCCTGCGGAGTTTCTGTTCCGAGACCATTTTCTGGTGGCTCAATCTCGCGACGAGCCGCTTCCCACGTTTTACCAACTATTTATTCGCGACAAGCAATGGAGCTCCGAAAATTTCTTCTACGCCGTCATGCGCCTTGTCTCGTATGCCCTAGTCAGAGAAGAATTGATCGGTGAGACCGGATTCATGGTTCCGTCAATGCATCGACTTTGTGAGGACCACTTTGCAGAGCGAGCTCCTACCAGCCGGCACCAGCCTCAGCCTTCAGTTAATGTTTCAGAAGACAGCCATCGTAGCTTCTCCCCTAACCACTCATGACTGGGAGGAGCTTTCGTCTCACCTTCGACGGGTTTTTCGCGAGAACATCCTGGAGGGCGTCCGACAGAGTAACGCCATTATCAGCGGCCCTGACAACGTGAGAAAGTACAGCGGTATATTAGAAGGTTACCAAACGGTCTTTGCTGCATTCCTTGCCATGTACAGCAACGAGGAGAAAGAGGCTCGGGATCTACTTCAAGAGTCCCTCGGCCTGCAGTCATCCTGGCTTGGAGAATCAGCGTCCCTGACATGTGCAACCATGACATGGCTAGTCTTACTATATCTGAAAAGTCTGTCCCTCGACGAAGCTGAAGTCATGATTAACCGACTCAATACGGCCGAGTCTCAAGTGTCAAACAACAAGGAGGTTCCCCAAGTGAATGTGCAATTCCTGAAAGGCCATTTACAAATACGAAAGCAGAGCATTGATCACGCTGTATCCATTTTCAAGCGCTGCACAGACCTATGCGCTACCATCACTGGAATTGCATGTGTCAGTACTGCATCTGCTCTTCTCAGTGGGGTGGAAGCTATGTTGCTTCAAGGAAATGCCGAAGATGCCACCCAAGCCCTTTATGACGCAGAACGTATCGAGAAAGAGATCGACAGTCCTCGCGCCCTTGCTATTCGCATCAAGTGGAATCTGGCACGTCACAGCCTTCGTATGGGGGATTATGTTCGCGCGATCAGCTGCTACAAAGACCTCTGCGAGGAACATGAAAGCAATCACGACCAAGCGGGCTCACCCTTTCATCGATGGGAGTTTTTTTCACTGGGAGCTGGGCGATGTATACCTACACATGGGTGATATACAAAAGGCGCAATTGGAATATGATATTGGACGGGCCAGTGCAAGTCGGAGATCGGGGGCTATAAGTAGTGTTGACTCGCAAGACAACAACTCGCAGTGGCTCATATACGGGTCGTTGGTGAGAGCGGAGCCCCTTATCTGTGAGAAATAATACAAGAAATCGGCTCAAATTCTGTTTTCTATCCCTAGGTACCCCCTAGCACCTGAAACATCTACAGGCGATAAGCCCAGCCAGGACTTCTTATCACTAAGTTTCTTTGTCATAACAATGACGAGCGATGTGTCCTAGGTCAATGGGACGAGAATACACATACATATACAGGCAGATATACAAGATATCTCCTCAGAGGCTTGCGGTACTCTACGACTCTACTTTACGCCCCATGATAATCGGCAATGACTTGTTTCTGTCAAGGCCTTATCAGCCACAGCTCCTGTTGAAACGGAGATTATGTTTGTGGATATCATATAGTTACGGGGTAAGTGAAACTGAAACCTACCTACGAACTATTCCATTCACTACGGAGCAACAATCGGCTACAGTTGATAGATATACTGCAGGGAAAGACAGTGTAAATGTTTCCAGACAGTCAGATCTTGTCTTTTGTAGCTCTGATTAGGCGTTTGAGACATTATTCTACGCGCGTATGTACTGTAGATATGTTTTTCAGGCACAGCCTGGAAATGTATTTATGATTTTTCTAAGAGGGATTATATAATCATATCCATGTCAACAAAAGACTGCCCAGTAGGGCCTAACCTTTCCTGATATACCAATACCGCAGCAGCTACCAGCACCCCAGGATTCACAGCAAGAGCCCCTCCCCAAAAGGGATCATAGGGACTGAAGACATCCACCTAGTAATGCACGCGACCAAAACGCATATGTCTGCGAACCTTCTTGGTGCTCATCCCCATCATCTCGACACTCTTCTCATAATCACTCGTTCCGTGATCCGGGTCCGCATCCTGCGCATTCTCCGCACCACAAACGGATCCAGCATCCGCGTTACCCTTGGGCCCGTCAATCGCCACAAAGTTCCGGTTCGACTCGGCACCAACCATGTTCTGCGCCGCCTCGGGAATCCACCCGTTAATGAAGTCGCCGTGCGAGCAGTACGACGACCCACAGGCCAACTCGAAGGGCGCTTCCCCGGACCATCCGTCCGGCAGCAGAGAGCGGAGGTCGTAGCGGATGGAGAAGCGCAGACGAGGGATCCGCGACATGCCCGTAGGACACCAGTTGTCGCCGTAGCCGTCGTTGACGCGCGGGTTGCCCGAGTACGCGGACTCGAGGGTGTCGGGGTTCACGCAGTCGCGGAACAGGAGGAGGGTTTGCAGGTGGGTCGAGCAGGTGTTCGAGGGGAAGGCGGCGTCGTCCTTGTCTTCGGCGGCGTCGCCTTCGCAGAACCATTGGATGCCGGCGTTGGAGTCGACGTCGGCTTGCGACTGGGCGCCTGCGTTGCCGGCGAGGTCGGTGTAGTCTTGTGGGATGGGGATTTCGGCCTTGTCGAGGTCGATATAGTACGCGCTGAAGCGGTTGACGGTCACCGGGGTGCGGGTGCCGTCTTTGACGAGGTAGAGGGTAGGGACCCCTGGATAGAAATTAGCTGGGGCTCCGTAGATAGGTACTACTCAGGAAGAGGGAAGAGGAATGGTTTACAGTAGGTGGAAAAGTCATTGGGGTTGGCGGTGGAAGAGCACCCCTCCTGCAGCTCAGCTGACGTGGTGGTGTTCACGGTCACAGCGTCGGACCCGAAGAAGCTGTGCATGTGGGACTTGTACTGTCCAGGCACCACGAGAGGATCGATGTTCTTGTACATGAACAGATCGGAGGTGGTGACGGTGTAGGCCTCAGCCAGGCCTGCCACTAGGGCAGACGAGAGAATGAAAGAACGCATACTGATAGAATTAAAGAAAGATTTAAAAAGAAAGGAATGGATGAGAATGAAAGAATGTAGAGACTGGCTCAGAAAAGAAAAAACCAAGAAGTGGTGGACAAACGCATGACTCTTTATAGAAACTGGAGAGCAGATGAAGGAGATGCAGGAGACGCCGTGGTGGAGGCGTTTGTCGGTTTAGTCGGTTTTGGTGGGTGGTAGTCAGGAATTGATTAACCCAAGACTCCTCATGGAGACGCTGCCCGCTAAAAAAAGATTCAGGAACCTCGAATGGTGCTGTCTTAGTGTCAATACTCAATACTCAATAGTACTAACTAGTATTCACCGGAAGAGCCCATAGCCCTGCGACCTGATAAGTGACAATCTTGACATGCTGGACTCCAGATTTGGAGTCGCTGCGTTTGTATCCACCTTTCCTTATGCTTATTGTTTATGCTTACTTACTTGTTTTAGGTACTCCGACAGTTGGATCCATGACAGCCATGGCTCAGGAATTGCCTAATTCCCTCAGCCCCTCTCTCAATCTCATCAATCTGCACACTCTCAGACCAAGAGAAGAGCTCCCCAACGAACAGAGATGCGCATCCCATCGCCGAGAGACGAAAAATCATCTCCAACTCGACCCTGGAGGGACTCCGAAGGGGAAACCCGACGGCCCACTTTCCCAAGGCCCTAACGAAGGGTTGAGCGTTTCGCGTCGGCGCTGGTTGCCGCAGACCAGACACCTTTTAAATTAAGAGGAAGCTAGAGCCAGTCATGCTAGCCTAGTGTGTAACTGCTAGTGCAGACTCCAGCTGCCAGGATCCGCTTATCTGGTTGAGATCTTTCGCCGGCACCCTGCTTCCAAGCTGGCGCTCTCAGGGTCAAATCAATATGGAAAATCGCCGGATGAACCTCGGAAAGATTAGGGAACAGGGAATCTCAGTCAATCAGTTGATTGATCCCTTTAATTTATGATGGCTTGTGCATAACTAAATAGACCAGAAATAGACCCAGCGTTGTGGTTAGGCCGCTCGTAGGCTGATCACGACCAACTTTTTCTACTCTTGAAGATCTTTGGAAAGAATGTATAACTGCCAATGGTCAGTCTGAAGTAGTATAGAAGGGTTTGAGCTACCTTGTATACCGTTTGTCCCCCGCCATGGTCTCTTAGGTATACAACACCCAGGAAGACAAACTCAGACACTAATTCAGCTTAACAGAAGATACTAGTCGAAAAAGCGCATAAATTCCACGTTAGATGATCGATTTGTAACTTTGTAGCTCTGCAGCCCTCTGCATGATTCATATATTGCATACAGAATTAAAGAAAATAAAATAGAAATAGGCCTAACCAACTGATGTATTGGAAAATGAAGAAAACAACTCCCGGAAACATTGAACAATTCCAAAATGTAATATGATAGATAGAGAGGAACCAGAAGAAATGAAAGAGAAAGAGAGAGGAAGCAGTTCAAGGGGGAAAAATGAATCATATAAATACTCCGGTTGGATGGGTAAAGGGAGCCATCCCGATAAACAAGATCATAATAACAATGAATGTCACGCGAACACAATTTGCGGGAGTTCCGTTTTCTTGCTTTTCCTTTGTTTGTTTTTTCCTTTTGCTGCAAACGCAAGCTTTTCGATTCGGACCTTTCTTTTGCTGTGTTCATTTCCCCGTTGGCGTCGTCTTTTGTCGTTTGCGCCCTCAACCTAGTAAACCTTCTTCTTCTCATCCATGCTCAGTTGGCCGGGACCCATGTTAATCAGGAGAAGCAGTCCGCCACTATTCAGCGATCATAATTAGCCTCCGCTTCCAAAATCAGAGAAAACGAGCAACACTTACACGATGGACAAGATCTGGAAGAAGTCGTACTTGGCAAAGTCCTTGTGAGGGTGGTGAGGGTGGAGCTAGAGATTCAATTAGTTCCGCCAATCCAGGAAAAACCACGCAAGTCATCGAGAACATACTGTCCAGAAGTTGTTGACCAAAAGGTTGAAGATGCTGAGCAGGACCACCAGCATGATCGCGCTCCACTTGGCCTTGAATCCGACAATGACCATGACGCAAGCGACGAAGCCGGTGAGACTGACAATCACCCGCCAGATGGTCCACTGGCCCGAGAAGACGAATCCGATGAAGAGGAAGATCAGGAGCACGCGACCGGCGAACTGGACATACATCTTGCGGTCCTTCTCGTCGAGCTGGGGCAATCCGGCGGGCACGAACTTCTTGCGCACCCACGAGTCGGAGAGCACCATGAGAAGACCGCCCACGACGCTGAGGTTGCGCAGGAAGAAGTTGAGGTCGAAGATAAGTCCGTATCCGAGGCCCTGGGTGACGACCACGCCCAGCAGACCGGCGACCGCGATTTCGGTGTGTCTGCGGGCAACAACGAGGAAAGAGCATATCGACATCGCGATGACGTTGACAATCAGGAAGGTGTGGGTAATACCCCAAGGGACTGAGGAAAGAAAAGTCACGGTTAGAACCCCATCTCGTCCCTTCAATTGCTCTCCCAGGGAGATAAGATTTAAGAGAGCGCACGAAGACCAAGACTTACTTTTGCGGTAATCACGGAGATAGAGAAGCTGGTCGCTCCATTGCGTAAGAATACGAAGGCTGTCCTCAATGAAAGTGACCACGATCAGGAAACGACCAATGGCAGGCAGGTAGCTGCGGAGGCAAAAAAAGACACGGTGTCAGCGAGGTGGTTCCGGGATCCCGCGATCATTGGGCTGCCATGGCATTGGGAGGACAGGCAATGCCGTTGAAAGAAGCAAAACAATAAAATCCAAGGGAAGAGCCACCTACGGCTTCACGGGATCCGACACGGTGTCCAACCAATCCTCGATCTTGCTGGTTTGCTCCCGGATAGCATCCAAGGGGCTCGGGTCGTCGGTTGCGTCTGCCCGACCGGGACCCTGGAAAGGGTTCTGGTGACCGAGATTATATCCCGCAGTGCCGCGAATCTGCGCCATGGCGGGAGAGGAGGCGAAGCGTCTTGGAGAGGACAGAGAAGGTGACGCAGTAGAACAGCCGATTGATCCCTCGGCAATTGGGAGATGAGGGAGGGGAGTGGACAAACAAACAACCAGGAACTGGAGGGGACAGGGAAGACCCGGGGAGACGGTGGAAATGAGGTGGAAGGAAAGAGAGGACTGGGGGAAATCAATTAAAAAAGGTAGAGCGAGCGAGAGGGGAAGAGAGAGAGAGAAAGAGAGAGAGTGAAAGAGAGGGAGAGAAGAGGAAGAGGACAACAACAAACGAAGCTTCTCCGCCGCCCGCCGTGACTTTCCTTCAGGCCACGATACCCAGATGGGCGCCGCTAGTCCGGGCCGGGTTAGCCCGCCAAGTCCATCCCAGCCAATGACGACATCACCTGCGGCGTTACTGATTTTTAAGGCTTCATTCCGTCCTGGAATTCCAGGCATGCATTCTACCACTACAACAAACTATGCGGGAGAGGCATCTCCCTCCCAGATACTCTCCTCCATACTCTGTACCAGTGTACCTACCGCTGACGGACTGTCACCCCGGGCTCCCTGCAGCGGCCAAATGCCTTGCAGTTCCTCAGGACCTCAAGGCTCATCCATCGTCTCCACTTCCCTGCAATCAGGGACCAGTATTATTTTAGGATCATTGATCGTCCACGTCCGTTCCCTCGGCCCATGCGCGCAACAAATCATTCAAAAATAGATTTTCTCGCGGAGTCCGACCGGAGGTACGGGGCCTAAATTGTGAGACCGGAGACACACAATTGAAGGGTCGAGGGAAGCGTTTGAGGTACAGTGCCAGAACCAAGAATTAGGGGGACAAAACATGCCAGGTGTCTTGTTTCTAGTTGAAACGGAGCCATCCCCAACTCCCTCCTTCCGGCCCCTGTTTGCTGACCATTCCACTCGCATACATCGGCGACACTTCAAGATAATAAACAAAAACAAGTCAATGCGTGGTATTGGTACGATAAAATTCAAGGTCCAAAGGTCCAAAGTCTGGCCATTGGTAGAAACATCCTCTCGTCAATTATCACACAGCAAATATGTTGGTAGTAGTAGTAGTAGTAATAATAGTTTTGAAGAAATAAATAAAATAAAAAAAGATGGAGAAGGCCGAACAAATAGCTGGGAGAAAATGAGGGAGAAATAAAGTAACATAAAAAGAATACATGACTCTATGTAGATCAAAGATTTTCCGGGGCAGTTTTTTGCTTGCTAGAAATGGGGGGCTTCTTGCTGCTCGGCGCCAGTCATTTTCACGATTTTTTTGGTCGGTTTTTTCGAGATTTTTTTTTCTGTTTGCTTTCGCTGAATATGCGACACGCAAAGCACCTCGCCAATTGCGCGGTGCCTTTTTGGTATAATAAAAGGACCCAAACGCCCAAGCCGTAAAGGTAATAATAAGTACAGTTCAAGATGGAAAGGCTTTCCGATGAAACAGAAAGATAGGACCGCCGAAGGGATGACGCTCTTCGGCGATTTTGTGAGAGAAAGGGAGATAGAAAAAAATACATTTAAGCAGCCCAGTCGGAATCAAGAGGATGGCCCTTCTGCTTGGAGAGAAGGATGTCGGGAAGATAGGTGGGCGTCACCTTCACCTTGGGCTCGACAGGAGTAGGAGCGGGCGCGGCAGCGGGAGTGGGAGTAGGCTGGGACTCCGGGGCGCTAGCCTCACTCTCGTCGGCCTTTCCACCCTTCTTCTTGATCTTCTTGCTGGCGACAGTGGTCCACTGGTCATCACCCGCCTCGAGGATGCGCATCTGCTCCTCCTCGGAGGGAAGGCCTTGGTCCCACTTGCCGGAAGGCTTAGTAGCCGCGGGCTCGAAGGTGTCCAACAGATCAACCTTGGGAGCGGCGGTGGGGGCGACGGCGGGAGCCACCTTGGAAGCGCCGTTCGAGACGTTGCTCGCGGGCTTGGTCTGCCAGGCGTTGGTTTGAGGAGCAGCGGGCTTGGCCTGGGCGGCCTGCTGGCGCTCGGCTTCGCGAGCCGAATGTAGCTGCTTCTCAAGGAGCTTGCGGCGTTCCTGCTCGGCTTCCTGGACCTGCTCCTTACGGGCCTCGTTCTTCAGGCGCTGTTGGCGCTGCTTCTTGGTTTCAACCTGCTTGAAGGACTGGGGCTTCTGCTTCTTCTTCTGGGTATCTTCCATGGAACCAGTGACGCGGAGAACCGAAGCTCCGGGAGCAGGGGCTTCCAACATATCGGAGACATAACCGGTGGTGGGGACGGTGGCGTTGACCTGAGGGGAGTTGGCAGGGGAGAGATCATCATCCGCTTCCGCTCCGGTAGTGGAGGAAGTACGGGTGGACACGCGCGAGGCGGAACGCTCGTTGTTACCATTCTCGGGCTGGGCGAGAGTGGCAGTCTTCTTGTTGTTCTTCTTCTTCTGGGACTTGGTGCTGGTCTGAGCAATGGTTCCGTCCCGCACGGCGGCGAAACGCTTGGCCATTTCCTTCTGGTCAATCTCCTCATCCGGCTTATCGGCCTCCTCCGTCTGGGGCACGTAAGCAGGCTGCTCCTCGGCCTTTGCGGCCGGGACAGGGGGCTCGGGAGACTTCTTAGTCTTGCGCTTCGGCTTCTTCACACCCAGCGCGCTTTCTGTTTTTTCCACGACGGGCTTGATGGGAGCTTTGGCCTTGATGGCGGTGGGGCCATTGTAATACCAGCCGAGGCCACCTGCCACGACGAGCAGAAGAGCCCAACTGAGGTACGGATTCATCATCGTTAAAACTAGAGATCTCTAGGTTAGTCGAGGTTCACTGACGTGTATTCAGGGTAGTTCATGTACATACTTCACCGTTTATTCTTAACGCGACGTAGCAAAAGGTCGTAAAGTATTCAAAGAAAAAGGGATGGGTTTCTCGACTGCGCGTCTGAAGATGCGTGCCAAGAGAAATTGATTAGATGGTTGTTGACCACCCAAAGGAGAAAAGAGAAAAGAGGAGAGTAAGAAAGATTCAAGAAATATAAAAAGCGATCTCTCGCGATGATTCAATTCAGCATCAAAACATTAGGCGAAGGCTGGCGACAAAGGGCAAAGTGGTTGGAGAGGAGAAAAAAATAAAAAGCGGCAATCAAAGGCCAGATTGCGTTCGCGATCCTCGGAGACCGACGAATTGAGCAGCTACCAGTTTGTGTAGCGTGCAGCGGAATAGGAGAATATTCCCAGCGTGTCCGCAAGCCGTAGCGATTGGGACAGAAAAAAGCTGAGATCGCCAATGGGAGAGTCGGCGAGGGAGATCAATGGTCTGGAAGCGCCTCGAAGGGCGAGAACGCGGGTTGAGAGGCGAAAAAGTGAGATCACCGAAGGGACATCGAAGCACCCAACCACCTCGACAACGACGTTGAGAGGGAGGAATTGGGCAGGTAGTGAACTGGTTTGATAGACAGCGGTCGCGGGAAAAGGGAAAAAAAAAAGACGGGGGAGAGACAAGAAAGAGGAGAAGAGGAAAAGGAGGAACGAGCGTTGAGAGCGGAAGAGGCAGCAGCCCCGAAAAGGACAGATTATGGAGGTCCTTGGAGTAGTCAGCACGTATTGTCCGTCCGGTACGGTATTGCCGCTAGTCTCCCAAGGTCGCTGGTTTATTCTTTATGATGGATTATTTTAAGTATTTAAAGGGTTACTTCCGCTTCTATTTAGTCTTCTTGCCAATTAGGACGAATGACACCCGGATTTCCCAGCTCTACCTACTCTGACATTTGCTCCTAAAAACGGGATCCGTGGTTGACAGCTGGACTCCTCTCGTCGGAGGAGGACGGGCGTATTGTCCCCGTAGGTAACGAAGGTGTATATCAAGTAACGCCAGGTTCCACTTCATGAATAATGCCAATCCACGGTCAAATTGCTCTCCGTTCCGTCCACCGACAGACCTCGAATGACTGGCGCGGGGAAGATCTGGTGGATGTGGATGGCTGCAGCAATTCAATACGGTACGGGCCAGAACGACCCGAACAGGCCACGTCTTTGCCTTCTTATCGGCTGACTCAGCCCCGTCACGGCATCTTCCGGCCGAAGGCAGTGAAGTGAACTAGGTAGATAGTTAACTTCTAATCTTTACATCACGGTCGGAATTCAAAGCCGGTCATGGCTTGTATCTTTAGTATCGCGAAGGATTGGTTCGGTGGTTGTCGAGGATTGATTTGAAAGTTACCATCAAGCCCCTACAATCACCTATGATATATATACTCCCATTCCTCCTTGAACTTTTTGACTGCTAGCAGCTTGGCAATCTTATATTTTATTTCCTCATAGAAAATATACACTTACGCATCACTCCACAGCTCTCTTGTAAATGAAAAGAGACCGTTGTCTGGATATCTTCCCGACGCTGTTGATATCCGCATTGCTGTGGAGAAACCTGAAAATGAATATGTTTTAAGATGTTAAGTATCGAAGAACGCAGCAGGATTAACATAGGAAGAAATCTCCGTACAGCCTGAAATTGATTATAGCAATACGACGTGGTACTTCTAGCCGGTCTTAATATGTCTGTTTCCTATGTCAATCGCTCGCATATATCGGCTCCTCGGTTCGTTTAATAATGTTTGTAGGAGAAAAGACAGTTGCTTAGAGCTGTACCCCAGACGTGTCGAAAACTCAAAAACATTCCTATGGTAGCCTTTTATACCACAAGAAAAAAATAAATAAATAAAACATCCCTTATTCTGGAGCGAATCGAACCGAAATCCATTCATAAACAACATAGATAAACATTACTTAAATTCATCTGGGTCAAACACCTCGCTTTTCCCACATCCCATTATAATACCAAGCTCATATACAATATCACTTTCACCCCGGAACAATTCCAAAGTGATTTTTCGCTAGACCTCCGGGTCGGTTTTCTCATTGTGTGCCTGAGGTCCACGGCCCAGGTACGTCGACTCCTCGATCTGGTTAAGCTGGTCTTCTTGTTGATCTAGCTTGTAGTGGGTGAGATAGAAGAGGTTACCGCCGACGAAGGCAAGGATGGCGACGAAGCCGTAGTTCCAGATGAGTAGAGGGTCGGTGGAGAGAGCGGTAAGACCTTGCTGAATAGCCGAGGAGATGGCGTTCATGAAGAGGAAGAGAGATGAGACTGCGAACGGGGTGTTAGTTTTCTCTGGGCTCCGAAATTGACAAGAACGATATGTCATAAAATTAGGGTGTGGGTAGCATACCTAAACTCTTCATGTTCTTTGGGGCCTTGGTATAGGCGTACTCGTAGCCGGTAATGGAGGTGAAGATCTCTGAGAAGGCGATGAGCACGTAGGGAACGGTTTGCACCCAGACGTTAATGGGAGAAGAGGTGTCGCAATCACTGGGGTGGTCGCCACAGGGACTCGTTTTGTAGATGTAATACTGGATGACGGCGGCAGAAACCATGGACATGGAGGCGACGATAAACCCGAAGTAGATTCTCTTCAAGGGGCTGAAGTTGAACCCGAGTCTCCGAAGACCTGGATAAACAAAGCTGTCCATGATAGGAATGAAGATGATCAAGGCGAGGGGGTCCAAGTTGTTGATGATATCGTTTGGTGCGCCATGCAGTGCCAAAGTGGCAGATTGCGAAGTCAGGTTGTTGGTCATCTGGCCGTAGGCGAGCCCTAAATGGCGTCAGTTATAATCTTGCAAACACGATCCTGTGAACTTACAGTAAACGGGATACCAGAGGAAAATGACACATGCTTTAACGGCTCTGTTCACTTCATCCACCCATTGATCATCGAAGGTCATCCACTCCGGCCGATTTTGCAGTTTGCTGGGTTTAACTCTTTCCCAGAAATCGTCCGCCCGGCAGTTTTTGTAGCTATTCTCATATCAGTGAAGTTCAGACGAAGATAAAGAGCTAAGCGGGATAAAAGCGCAGGGGCTGCATGAACATAAAGCAGAGATCTATTACTCACAAATTGACCGGGTTCCAGGACCAACGACCCTGGAGGGCAAAGCCCCAAAGCTTGAAGGCCTTCGCTGCCACGGATCCAGTCGGGGGAGTGACATCGTAGTATTTCCGGCAGAAGAAAAGAACAAGAGGACAAAATGCGAACATAATCGTGGGAAGCGTGAAAGCGAGCCAGAACCCGACATATTTCTCGGCATAAACCATGGCGACCGATCCGATTAAGGAGCCGACGTTGATCACGAAGTAAAAGTAGAGGAAGATGCGAGTGATGGTCTGCGAAGGATCCACAATAACACGCTCCCCAGTCTTCGGGATTGTTTCAATGTAAAACTTCGTTTCCTTATGTTGCTCGGCGATGAGAGGTGAAATGTTTGACCTGTTGCAGCATTAGAATCTCGCACCTTACCAAACAAATCAGATGGGGAGTAATCACTTGAATCCTCCAACACCCATACCGAAGACCACGAGACCGATTGCAAAACACGCGATAGATCCATTAGGATGAACAATTACTTGAGGGATGGCTGAGATAATGATAATGATATGTCCCACCATTGCGAAGGCAATCGCTGCCTGAATGGTGTTTAACCGGCCTAGGAACTCATCGGCAATCCAGGCGCCCACAATGGGTGTCACGTAGCACCAGAATGTATTGACTGCAAGAAAAAGATGGTCAGCTATAGAAGACGAAGCATGAAAATGCCAAACTTACAAGTACTGAGACCGGTCGATGCTCTTTGTCCCATTCCCAAAGCGCCCGACTGCCCCGAGTGACCAGCGCCGGTGGTTGAGCCCGGGGGCAGAGGTTGCTGAATGAAATTCACATCTGATCAAGTTACTATAGTCCTTTGCATATTTTCATGAGGGATACATACAGACAGCGGTGGTTCCGTAGTACGAAAATCGCTCGCACAGCTCCACAAATGCAATTGTATAAGCGGTCCAACGAACTTTGCCGGCAACGCGACGAAGAGTGCGCTCCTCTTCTGGCGTGGGACGTTCACGTCCATAATCGTCCACAGCAGGTGACGCAGCAACCACTGAAGTCTCTTTTTCAGCCACCGGATCTTCGAGCGACTTTTGGGGTACGTGAGCTTGAGCTACAGTCACCAAGTCCACGGGGTCAACGGGGTCGCTCATGGCTGCAACACGGCGGCACTACCCGCACAAAGAAGAGTATAGAGCTTCGAAGGAAAATGAGACGGCCCCTAGAAGTACTCCGTACGTTGTTGATGATGGGAAGAGCTTGACAGAAATGGAGGGGGAAAGGGTCTGGAGAGAAGGAGAAGAAAATTTGGCAAGAGAAAGGGCGATCCCCTCGTGCTCTTATTCCCCTCTCAGGTCCATGCGCCAGGAGCTCCTCTCGTATCTTAGTTAGTCGACTGTTCTGTCTGATAGGAGAAATAAGTCCGGTCCAAAATCCTTAGACTCGGGGACCATGCTCCGACTGGGTTTGGGGGGGGGGGGATCGCAAGCTCGATTTTATCTATATTGCCAGGTGCGTAGTGGGCGCGCCTATTCTAGTGTCTGTCTAGAAGGCTAAGCCAACGCTACCTCTGTCCCACTTCCAGCTCATGGCAAGCCGCTTGCCACCGAACGGACAGTCCGATAACCAGAATCTATTAGCATGGGGTACAAATGAGCAGACTTCTATTGGTTCGTCCATTGGTTCCATGGAAAGGCAATCGCGTGCTATCGTTCGCCCTGACCTATCTCAAGGATCAAAGACCCTGCATTGTGATGTGGAAAACGAGCGAACGGCCCCATATCATTTGTGGGAGAGCCTTCAGGCGTGAGAGCATGGATTTTTGTCGTTGACTTATCAGCTGTCCCGGCGGATGGGTCCATCCAGGGAAAATTCCCGTCCGGTTCCCCAGCGCCTGGATGATCCCTAACTCATCGAGACAAGCCCATCTCTCCGCATGGGAGAGACTCGTCTACCGTTTCATCTCAGTTGGGGGTTCAATCTTGCCGCTCGAGACCACGTTGAAAGCATACAATGCCGGAGCGCGCTCAGAATTCTACCAAACAGGTCTGGCCCCATGTTGATGGATTTGACCTTTCCGGGAGTCCGACTGTTCACCGGAGCGAATAGCGACGGGGCAAATGTAACGTCGGTCGAAGGCGATACCTAACGGGTATTACTGTCTATGGCAATGAGACATCGAAATTGCGACAGATTGGACCGAGCTAGGAGCGAGATAGATGACACCATTGGGTCCACTGATAACACAAAACATCAGGGACCAATGATAATCACGATGTCCGAGGCCGCCGAGGAGATTTGGACGGTGGGGGGTGGGAAGCTAATAAAGCGAAGCCTTGGGCCAGAGAGAACAAGCTCCACCGCCGAGCCGGCCCAAACTCTGCTGGGGCGTTGCGCTGTCCATCCAATTCTGGTCGTGAAATTAGAGGAGAGTTAAACTCCGAAGTCTGTCTGGCCTGAGCGAATCAAGGCGGGCGACATGAATAATGTAGGCAAGAAAGGGTACAGAGTAATGCCTGTGATGTATGTACGAGGATTGAAGAAGTGGCAGCCTGAAGACGCCATACCTCTGGGAACCAACGTGATCAGTGCCTCAGGCAGCAGTCAGAAGTTATCCCAAAGGGAGAAAGCAGCCTTCATTCTCGGGCTTGGCTTGCATCAACAGCACAGAATCACCGACTTACACCATCAAGCATCCAGGGTGAGGAATAAGAACTAGAGAAATACCAAGGCCTACGGGATTGATTATTATACGAATTCCGAACTCCGGGGAGTCGCTCATAACCTCGACGGAATACGGCATTCAGTCTTCTGAGCAAATCAGAGAGGTCTGAGTTGATACTAACGCTTATTCCCTGATATCTCTTACTTAAAATCTCATCGAGTCAGTTGAGAAGGCATGGCTGGCTGACTAGGTTGGCCTGAAATTCTTCCTGTATTTAGTGGCAAATGCTCTTTGTCTTCCTTGGTTGTCAGGAATATACGATGTAGGTATGCAGGAAGGATAGGGCAAGATAGCATCCAGGGAGCTTTCCGGAGCGCTCCTTGGGTTACTATGGTGGTATCATCTATGAATAACCATGTCTTTTATTTACTTCCGCCAAATTTAGGTCAATTTTCCCTCCTAGACACTAAATGCGAAATCAATGAAAAGAAATCCTACACCGTATTCAGGCTTATTGGGAGTTAAAGAAAAGAACACCAACCAATTCCTATAGTTAAACAACAATCAACATCATGCTGCGGAACAATCCGGACATCCCGAGCCAAGACCCGCCGGGCAGTTCCGAACCCCCCTCAATCCCCACAACCGACCGTCAAAAGAACGAATTATCCCGAATCATCCCACCGCCATGCCTGCAGCAACTCGCACCTTCCTCGCCTTCCAGCACGATGCAAAGCTCCACAATCTCCAGACCGTCGTAACGGGGGTTCAATCGTTCGCCTCGCTCGAGGAATCCAACCGTCTCCTTTTCAAACAGGGCGGCGACGAGGACTATGTCGTTGTCACCGAACAGACCATCTTTCACCCGCAAGGCGGCGGCCAGCCTTCGGATGTCGGCGAGATTGTGAACTCCTCCGGAGTCTCCTTCGCCGTGGCGTCGGTCCGCATGGATGCCGTGCATGACGGACAGGTGCTGCATTTCGGCCGGTTTAATAATCCCTCGTCATCGTCTCCCACTCCTACGTTCTCTGAGGGCGAGACCGTTCAGCAGGCAATTGACGTCGAGAAACGCTTACTCTACTCGCGCTTTCACACCGCGGGGCATGTTCTCGGTGCGGCGGTCCGGCATCTTCTGGAGAAGGAGGTGGCGGGTTTTGACGAGCTGAAGGCGTCGCATTTCCCCGACTCCGCGTCGTGTGAATTCCAGGGTCTCATCGAGGGCAAATGGAAGGAATCGATCCAGAAGAAGCTGGACGAGTACGTTGCGGCTAAGATGCCGGTGGAAATTGAGTGGTGGAATGAGGAGGATTTCCGGGCGCGAGGCTTGGAAAGGCTAATTCCGGATCGCAGTCTTGTGCCGGCCGGGGAGAAGTCGCGCGTGGTGAACATCGTGGGCGCCGAGGTCTATCCTTGTGGAGGCACGCATGTCGAAACCACTGATCTCTGCGACCCTACGACGGTGAAGAAGATCTCGAGGAGCAAGGGGACATCGCGGGTGAGCTATATGGTGACATGAGAGGGAGTTGGCTGGGAAGTTGGAGGCTCATATGAAATATTTTTTCGATACTAGATCATCGATAGAAGATAGAGGGTAGAAAATGACTAGATACTTTCCCCCTGAAGACGAAGATGACCGGCCCCTTACTGCAGCCCACCAATAAGCAGCCCGCTCACCTGAGGCTGAGCGCAATCTGACAGGCCAAAGGATTCAATCCGCTGCTTGATGAGTTGGTCCTCGGATCTCCAGCACACTCCGTCAGTGCGAAGCGAATCAAATCCAGTCATGAAGGAGATAGAATCCATTTCATTGGCGCTCGAAGCTCCCATCCGCCGGTTGATGCAAGCGGCGCAACGAGGCGATATCCAGCAAGCCGAACCGCTCCTCCACGTTGTTTCGGCCAACGTGAGAGACAACACGGGCCGGACCGCGCTTTCGTGGGTGGCTTCGCGCGCCCAGACCCATTCGCCCGCCATGCGCGACCAGGCCGAACAATTCATGCAGTTTCTCTTGGATAAAGGTGCAGACCCAACGCTCGCTGATATCCACGGCGAGTCACCCTTACATTGGGCTGCCAAGGCCGGTGACTACCAGATGGTGAACGCGTTTTTACAAAACGACCTCGTTCATCCAGACTTGCCGGATAATCGAGGCCGCACGCCCTTGTCTCATGCCGCTGGGGAAGGCTTCCATCAGGTGGTAGAGCTGTTGCTGGCGACGGACAGAGTTGACCCCGACCGTAAAGATGCGCGCGGGAGAACCGCGCTCTCGTGGGCAGCCGAACACTGGCACTTCAAGACGGCCACTGTATTGATTGGAAACGATTCCAACGTGGACCTTCACGACGATGAGGGCCAGACTCCTCTAGGCTGGTTTATAACCAGCACGTCCAAGAAATCTGGCACAGATTCAAGTCCACGGATGCCATGCATTGACTTCCAGCAGTGGTTCAAAGTTCTGGGTCCGACAAACGGTGTTGAGCCTATGACCAGGACTCGACGGACTTTTCTTTCCTGGGCCTGTGAGCACGGCGATCTTCAATTGGTAGAGCAACTGCTGCAAACTACCTGGGCAGATCCCAATTCCGTTGACCGATACAGAAAGACCCCGTTGATCTATGCCATCGAACAGAGCCATTACGAGATTGTCGAATTGCTGATATCAGGAACCAAGAGCAGCCAGAGGCGTGATATCGTGTCTTTGCGAATCATGATCCAGGAAGGCCGGGCTCGCTTGCTGAAGCCGTTCCTGGAACGATACAAGTCCAGCTTGGAGACGGAAGATGGTTATAGCTCGGTCCCCTTGATGCGCATTGCACTGCAACAAAGTGACCGAGCCACGGTCACAGTACTCTTGGAACATAAAGCTAGCATTCAGGATCTGGAAAATGGGGATTGGTTTGGACCCTGCAGTGCGCAAAGGCCGAACACCGATCTTATGAACACTCGTTCCAATCTTTCGGCCGCATTGAACAGCTTGGGCACCCAAAACAACTCCAGCCATGTTCCACTGATGAGATTGGCCATTCCGGACAACAATCGCCCTGTAGTAACGGCACTGTTGAACCATCGCGCTCGGATACTGGACCTCCAAGAGAACGAAGATGACTTTGCACAGTACAATAAAGGCAGTGAGCCCAGTATAGCTGTGAATATTGTGGCTCTGCGCGACGGAAGGCGAAAAGCCCATTGGATTTTGGATGGTGACTTGGATGAGGAAGTGCGAAAAATACCAAAGACAATAGAAGAAACGCACCTCATGTGAGTAAAGCTTGGCATTATCTCACTTGCCAGGGACGTTGCGTTCTCGTTCTAACCGATTGCCCTTTAGGCTCTTCCGGGAAAACTATGTATGGAAGCCACATTACCAAAAGAGTCATCTACCCAACGAGTTGCGATTCTCGTTAGGCAATAAGAGTCCTTGCAGGACATTCACTCTTTCCATCCAGATGGACCTTAAGATTGCAAATGAGCACACAAGCAAACACGAAGAACAGGACTCCGATGGTAATGAAGATTACAGCATGCGAGTAATCGAGTGGTCGGTTTTGGAAGCACCTCCAAAATCAATCCACTATTTCAGCAATCTCCCTTACGGCTATATCCCGCAAAATGACTTGGATATTGTGGAGCTTTTTCTGCATACATGGCGTAAAGACTGGATGACCTACTGCCGGGATGCGCGGCGTCATCTTGCACAGCTTGTGGGTTTTATGAAAACTCGTAGTCTTTGTATTTCTCGCTAACCCATATCCAGCGCTCGCATCAACTGACTGCAAGAGGCAAAGACGAGTTATTGATCGACACTGTAGCTGAGAATATGCTCAGATGGACTCGTATCCAAGGCACATTGGCTGAACAGCTCAGTCAAGCCCGCGAGTTTGTCTCTCAATATCAACGATTTAGCGAAACCCGTCATTTTAGCGAGCAAATAAACCGGACGGTCGATTCTCTCGAGCGCGAGGTTTCTAGTCAGATTGACAAGCTCGAACAAACTTTCCGCGATCTACTCCAAATAGTAAGTAATGGGGTATTCAAACAGATGAGGGCTAATAGGATAGGAATTTGCCTGGACATCGATCAACGAAGCGCACCGGTCAACGAGCCTAGCAGCCAGTATGAAGAGGCTGAGTTGGATAACGGTTCGACCCCAGCCATTGATCGGAGCTTAGGCTGTGTCTAACCATGTCTAGTTCATCTTCCTTCCGCTGACTTTTGCCTCGGTGAGTTCTTGGTCCCATTTGCGACATTTCTAACCCGCGTAGAGTCTATTTGGAATGAATGTGGACATACTGGCCGACAATCCATCGTGGCGGTGGTATCCTCTTGTCGGGGGAACCCTTCTGCTGCTGACAGTAATAACCTGGCTTGTTTCCAAGTTCACCAAGGTAAGTGATCTCGCAAAGACCGGAAGATGGCGTCGACCAACACTGAACAGATGGACCGATTGGTGGGATCGAAACCCCAAAGACTCAGGGAAAGTCGGCATTGATGCACAGTGATAGATCGAAAAGTGATGAGATGGCATGATGCGTCTTGCGAAGGTAGCGATCATCACCTGACCGACCAGCTCCTGCCTAAAAGGGGCAGGCCTCAACATCCCGATTAGGCAGGGGCCACCCCCATTCACTCCCTCGACGCGTCCACGCGTTCTACGGCACCCTTTCCGATTGGCCTCCTCTGCAAAGTGGATTTTTGCGATTCGTTGCAATCCATGGTCGTCCAGTGGCCCTGATTGGTTCCTTCGAGGGCAGTCATGCAAGTGCGATATTTAGAGTTGGTCTGCATGGCCTATTGATAAATTTAGACTATACAAACTGCCGGACTTAGCGGGAGATTGATCTGATAGCACAATGGACAGATAGTAGCTGGGCCCCATGATATAGTGGCAGTGCTCTGAAGTCGGGGAACTCCTAGCTCTCCAATTAGAACCTGTATCTACTGGTCGGGAAGTAGTAACATGGGAGATATGTCCATGAAGATGTAGTTGTGCCACACGCTGGCCGATTCCTCAATATTCGGCTAAGACATCGCATGTGTTTTTCTGTTTTGTTTTCGATGGGATTCTCGAGGCATAGTTCTATTGAAAATAATGAATGAGGATTTTAGGGGACTTGTACATACTACCAGACAGAATGCTTTCTACATTTCTTCCTTGGTCAGTTCATCGAATAGTTGCGCAGAAATAAGGACATATTCGAAGTCTCAAATAATCAATTGCTCTGCTATCTAGATATGGGCTTCCTGCCATAAGTACTTGTATACTATTTTTACGCACTCCCATTTTCCATGGTCTTATAACCGTATAGGATCCAATGGATTAAAATCAACATAGTGCGATTTTTTGAAAAAGAAAGTCTACGATATCACATGAGTCATGGCGACATTTCTCCGCTAAATAATCTCAGTTGTTTCATTAATATACTGCAGTAAAACTGTGCCCGGGTATGACACAGCTCGTAATTCAAACCCACTCGGGGTGTCTGAGCTGACTGCGCGTCGCCACCAGAATATCTACCATCGCCAACGTCGCGCCTCCCATCACTTCTAGAACAGCCAGGTCGGCGGCGAACTCCTTTCTAATCCAATTGCACAATTCCACTGCCAGGAGCGAGTCAATTCGGAAAGTATGCAGAGGTACATGCATGTCCACCTCCGCGTCCTCGGGGATGACCTTATAGGAGTGCGTCAATTTATTGATCAAGGCCTTTGCCACAACCTCCCGCCCTTCCTCCAGCGAAGTTGCCTCGGAGAAGAGCTTCTGGAACTGGACTTCAACTTCTTTCGAGGAGTCGGAGGAAGAAATGTTATCCATTCTTAGGTGGTTAAACAGTGGCTTTGCCAGGAGTGTGTTGCCCACAAACCCGTCTCCTCCAGGGGCGACACCGACAAGCACTTGCGAAGTCTCCGGGGTCAGAAGAGACCGGTCCGGGTTGCAGTAGTGGTCCAGTAGACCCAAAAACTTTTGACGGGATATAGGCAGCATTGAACCGTTCGCGTAGCCGGCGACTTTTTCTAGTAGCTCGGGTGTCTCCGCTAGTAATCCGTCGTCACTCATGATACCCAGGTCTAGTGAGACAGCCTTTTGCCCTTTGGAGACGCGATATCTGACGAAGCCATCGGAGTAAGAATTGCCAGCGCTGTAATTAGATTGACTGGGTATACCAATAATGCCGTTGGAAGAGGAAAACACGATGAAGAAATCAAGGTCTCTGGGAAGGCTCATCTCAAGATTCCAAGAGCCACGAACCTTACAGTCAACCGCTTCTTGCCACTCGTCGTAGCTCATTCGCTCAAACGGTTGGTCTCGAAGTACCATCGATCCTTGAATGCAGCCCTTGATTGGGGGCATTGTCTGTGTCACTTCATGAATGACACGATTGGCGGATGTTGGGTCCGCCACATCACACGGCGGAGTTTTGACTTGGACATCTTGCGCTTCGAGCTCATCTACCAGAGCGAGCGCTGCTTTTGTTTTGGCTCCTGATCGTCCGAGGAGAACAAGATGCTTGGCTCCCCGAGCAGCCATCCACCGCGCAGCGGCCCTTCCAAGACCTCCCAAGCCACCGGCAATCACATAGGTAGCATTGGTGTCCAGTTTGAATGGGGCCCTTGTGTTGAGAATAGTTGGTACGTGCGCCTCCGGGGAAATTTCCAGTACCAGTTTCCCTATTACGCTGCCGCTCTGCATCAAGCGGAAAGCATCTTCGAGATTGCTGGCACTTTCGATGCGAAGTGATTTGTGTAAATGAAGTTTCCCTTCGGCGAAAAGGTTGAGTATTGTTTCAACTTCTCGTTTTGCGGCTTTGGGTCTCTCATGCATCCAGTTAACACTGTCGAAGTAAGTGAAAGACGCTTGTCGACCAGGCTGTGCCATGGGGAGACTCATAGAAGACAGAGAGTCCCTGCATCCGATGTCCACCAATCTTCCGTAATTTGCAACGCAGTCCCATGATGCAAGAAGAATCTCACCGACCAAAGTATTGATCACGACATCAACGCCGCACCCCTTAGTCTTTTGTATAACAGGCTCGGCGAAACTTGTATCTCGGCTGTAGAAGATGTGATCGGCGGGGATTCCGTATATATCGGTCAGGGTTTGCTGTTTCTCTCGGGTGCTTGTGGTGGCGTAAACGTCGGCGCCAATGTACTGAGCAATTTGAATAGCTGCCTGGCCGGTGCCGCCGGCTCCGGCATGGATTAAAATGCTCTCGCCCCTTTGAAGGCGAGCGATTTCGACAACGGCATGCCAAGCCGTTCCAAACTGGAATGGAATGCTAGCCGCTTCGGTCACAGAGAGAGAATCAGGAATCTTGCATATGGCATTCGCGCCAGTTCTCACGGTAGTCTTGAACTTTCCTGGACCAAAAGCCACGACTCGGTCACCAGGATTGAATCCAGACAGCTTACCTGCGCAGGTTACGGTTCCTGTGCACTCCTGCCCAAATGCCGTCTTGGGATCCTTTCCTAGAGCAATCTCACAATCACGGAAATTCAATCCCACAGCATTCACACTCACCTCCACCTCCTCCGGCTGGATTGTGTGGTCTAAGTGCTCACTGTCATCTGTCCAATGCAATGTGTCCAAAAGACCAGGCATCTTATATGCCAGCTTGACAGGTCCAGCATCGCCCAGGGACTTGGTTGCAAATTGGCGTGGGAGAGATGCTGCATGAAGGTCATCAGTCAGGGAATTGCTTGACTTGATGCGTGTGACATGGAGGATCCCATCAATCTCCACAAGTTCGGGCTCGTACTGCGTCCGGTTCAGATCAAGAAGTTCGTCTGTCAGGACGCGAGTGATATGCGATGCCAAATTGCTACCAGTTTGACCGACCACATCTAGCGCAAGTGTAACCATACGCAGCTGATCACGCTCAGCCCGCAAAACACGAGCCCATCCGTCTACCATGGTGTATTCAGGTCTGTGGGAGAACCTGCCACCACCTGCAGTTACCCAGAGAATAGAGTTGCAATGAGTAATCGCGTATTGAAGTTGAGAGAATGTTTTCTGACTCATACCATCCAAAAGCGGTGCCTCCGTCTCTTGAATAAAGATCAATGTCGTGTTGGCAAGAGACGGAAGTGCAATGCACTCGTTCAAGGAGCCGCCGGCGATAATTGACTCCGGCTGCTCGGACTTCAGCCTCTCTGTCGCCTGCTCGTACAATCCCTTTTGTGTTATAGAGCTCTCGTCAAACACGAAGTAGAAGTTCAACGGCGCGAGCAGGGTTGTGCTGGATGCAGTTGTGACCAGGACGGAATTTTCCTGGCATTCTGCATCGAGAAATTCTGGAATTTCCATTTCCACGCCGGAATACCCTGAGTTCTTAAGGGTTGTGTCCCATTGGGCGCCTGTCATTGCCGGACTCCAAATTCTGTTGTCATCCTTTCCTGCCCACCAGCCTTCCATCAAACCGGCGACGAATCCAGACCGGATAATTTCTGGACGGGTAATCTCAAACAGCGTCACTTTTCCACGGGGCTTCAGAAGCTTCCGCACGTTCCTCATTGTCGCACAAATATCAGGCGTGGCGTGAAGAACGTTTGCCGCTACCACTAAGTCGTAGGATTCCAGCTCAAATCCCTGGGCGGCCAAATCGTCCATTACATCAAGCACCCTAAAGTTCATGCGCGGGAAGTCCTTGAAACGCTTGGCAGCAGCGTCGAAGAAGGCCGGAGAGATATCGGTATAGTCATAAGACGCGTATAAGGGTTTACCAGGAGATATCCCGCTTCCCTGGGACAAAGCCTTCAAGATATGGGATGTGGTTCCCCCAGTTCCGGCACCAATTTCGAGAATTCTCATGGCTGGATTCTGCTGTGCCTGGGCCCTGAGGTAGAACCCTAAAGTGTCGAAACATCCATCCCGGTCGTTAGATTCACGATAAAAGTTGCTCATCATGTCATCCTTCCAAAGGAATTGTATAGGATCCTGCTCTCCGCGTAGAATTGGAAGCAGGTTGGACCCTGTATGTACACATGCGTATCCTTGTGCATTTGCGACAGAGAGCCGATCACATGCGGATTGGAAGTACTCCGTATCATGCAAAAGATCATTCCACTCCGGGTGACTCGATGGAAGCTCGCCTGCCTCGAATTTCGACCGCTGAAGTCTTGCCCAGTCGATATACCGTTGTACGTGGGGTAAACCCTTCTCGGTGTTGACCTCGCCCAGGTTGTCTAGCGCCTCGCTGAGGAACTTGTATAGGACAAAGTTCAACTCTCTGAAGTATTCCAATGGCTCTGGACCTTGGGGTCGACTTTGCGCACAGTATTCAGCAAGTCTGTCGGAGTCAAGGAGATCCAGTGCTGGAAAATGGTGAAGATGATGAACGGTTAATCTATCATCGGGGTTATCAAAGGACTCCCACGGACTATCTGCCACGATTGTTGACTGAAGACCATCAACCTTTGCGAGTACGCGAGTTCTTTGCTCATTCATAGCACAGATATCAAACTCATGTCCTCGATCGTGCAGAAATTTGACCAAGGTAGCGGCATGAATGGCCGCGGCTGAAGGATGACTGAGACCCTCTTTGGAAATCCAGAGATTTTGAATGCCTGTCGGGACCGCAGTAGGGACCCTTCTTTGCCCGCCCTCTGAGAGAGCCGCAGCAGTCAAATGAAGGATGCCATCTAGGGTTGTGGGATGGACGATATGAGGCTGTGGGTACTGGTCGGCGGGCCAAGGGAAGACTTTCAGTGAAGATCTTGCCTGGTGTTCTTTGTTGCATTTGCCGTCGAATACAGTCTGGAAAGTTGGTCCGAATTCGAACCCACTTTTGTTCAGGCATTTGTATAATTTATCCTCACTGAAGTCCATGGTGCAAGCACTGGAAAGCAAGTCGTCAAGTTGTAAGCAGTCCTCAAACTGTCGGGTTCGCTCTGTCAAATTATCGCCTGTGGTTTGATACTTGACTTTGATAAATCCGTGGCAGTTGTCTTGCCAGTTATCATCATCGTCCAAAGAGCAGAGTCGGAATTCTAGCCACGAGGATTCAGAGCTGCTACTATCTGTTGAAGTACGGAGATGCAGGTTGGTCTCAACTCCGTCAGCGGTCCTGGGAACCGTTAAGGCGCGCTGGAACTTCACATTGCGTAACTGAAATGCGTCCACCTTTTGGTTAGAATTGGCCATTTGGTTAGCAGCCTCGATTGCCATGACAAGCATTCCTGCTGCAGGATAAATCAAAGTTCCATTAACGACATGATCTTCAACCCAAGGCATCTCTGAAATTCGAATATGATGGCGCCATCGAGCTTCCAACGGATTCCAGTCAGTTACTGGTTTTCCGAGAAGATCTAATTTTCCTTGGGTTGCAAGGCGAAGACGTCTACTAACTCGACTTTCTCGCCAGTAAGCAGTTGAGTGGTTGAAAGGGTACTCTGGTAGGTCAATGAGCACACGAGCGTGTTTCGAACCAGGGTTGTCTAGGCAATTGACCCTGCCAAGATCCACCGGAAGGCCAATGCAATGAAGGTGGCCTAACGCATCTAGAAGGTTACTGGCTGCATTTTGGCCTCGTCGGATAGCTGAGTAGTAGTTGACCTCCTGGCCCCACGTGAGGGTTTCAAGCAAGTCGCGAATCGGTCGTTGCAACGTCGCTTGGGGTCCAACCTCAAGCAAAACGTTTACCCCGAGTTGCGAGTGATGACTGCCATCGAGTTTCTTCCTGATCTTTCGGCCTGATTCCGTACATATCCGAAGGAGTGACTGGGCAAACTGTACAGGAGAAGTGAGATTGTCGACCCAGTATTGTGGCAGGCGCAGTTCCTCAGAAACAACCTTTTCACCCGTGACCGAAGAGATCATGACACAACCATTGGACTTTGTAGGCATGTCCTGCGTCGGTTGCAGACCCTTCATCTGTTGTTTGTAGACAGAAGCAATTTGTTTCATATGCGATGAATGATAGGCCACTGGAACTTTCAGCTTCCTAGCGAAAATCTTGTAAGAATCCAGGATGCTTTTCAGCGTGTCTGTCTGGTCTTCATCTCCCGATATTGTCACACTCTTCTGGCTGTTTATGCAGGCTACTTGGAGACCACATCGACCATGCACCTTAGCAACCTCGTCAATATAACCACGAGCATCTGCTTCCGATAAGCTGGCAGCAACCATGGCCCCGGCTGGCTCTTGCGTCTGCGATAGCTTCGTGGCGCAGACACCTCTGAAATACGCGATACGCATAGACTCCGTCGTTGAAAGAGCACCAGCCGCATATGCTGCTGCAATCTCACCCGAGGAGTGCCCAATTGCTACAGTTGGACTGACACCCACACTGTAAAACAGGTCGACCATGGCAATTTGCAAGGCGGTGTTCGCGGCTTGTGCAATCTCGGGGTCATTAATTCTCGACGACGCGTCTTCTCGAAGGAGTTCATCTATTGTTGTTCAGCGTCAACTCCATCCTTGCAGAGTTTGAGCGAATAGGTCACAAACCTTTCAAGGACCAAGGGCACCCGAAGCTTTGGAGGTCATGCTCGCATTGCCAGATGGTATTTCTGAAGACGGGATACTTAAATAGCTCACGCCCCATTCCAGCCCATTGCGAGCCCTGTCCTGTAAATACAAAGCCCAACACAGGCTTCTCGACTGATTGGTAGGACTCGGTCATCTTTCTTTCCACATCCTGGAGATCTTTCACACTAGACGCTGTCCAGAAGCTTCGGTAGGGTAAGACGCTTCGGCGGGTGTTCAGAGTATGAGCCAAGTCGGTCGCATACTGATCGAATCGGTCTGGCGAGATGTCAAGGGTTTCGAAATGTGATTTGTATGCTGCAGCAACCTGCTTGACACCCACCTTGCTGGCTGAGGACAACACCAAAAGCTTTGGCAGTCTGGCGTCTGCCGAGGGAGGGTCCTCCGCTGACGGTGTAAGTGGTTCACTCAGTGCACCGTCTGTAGACTCGGTCCCGAGGACCGGAGGGTGTTCAACTGTGACGTGGTTCCCGACGAGGCCATGACTTCGGAGGTAGTTATAGGCATCATCCAGGACCACGTGTGCATTCGAGCCCCCAAAGCCAAAGGAGTTGACAGATGCACGACGCAGGCCAAGAGTCGGCCAGGGCGTTGGTGCGACAGGCAGCTTACAGGGGGTGGTGATGAGTCAGCAGCGTAATCTCACTTCACGTCGCTCCCACGGCGACTTCGACCCAGATTCACTTACCTGGAGACCCAGGAACTCCAGATCAATCTTGGGATTGAGCTTCTCGAAGTTTGTGTTGGGTGGAATCAAGCCACTCTCCAGAATGAGGATTGTCTTGATCACGGCCGCAATACCACTAGCGCCCTCCAGATGGCCGATATTCGATTTCACCGCGCCCCTAGCAGTCCGAGGTTAGCATGAGTCCAATATACTCAGTTTGGCTTATGCATACACGAAGAGGGGATCGTTCATATTCCGGACCCCACGGAAGGCGTCCCCAAGTGCATTGCACTCGATTGGATCTCCAACTTGCGTGCCAGTACCGTGAGCTTCGAAGAACCGAGTAGGTTCCATACTCAGACCAGCCCTGGCGTATGTATCACGGATCAGGCCAGCCTGAGCGGTGCCGCTGGGCTGCATGATACCGGACGGCGTGAGGCCGTCTTGGTTCGACCCGGCCGAACGAATAACTGCACGAATGGTGTCGCCGTCTCGAATCGCATCCGCAAGGCGCTTGATCACCAAGGTACCGGTACCTTCACCGCGTCCGTACCCATTGGCTCGATGGTCAAAGCTATAGCTGCGAGCGTCCGGCGATAGCATGTTAACATTCGAAAATGCCTGGTTCATATCTGCTGATAGTATGAGGTTTGTGCCGGCCACCACACCCTAGGTTCAGTTAGCGACGACGTGGACAACCAGCTTGAGTTGATTACCATGTTTGTTTCCCCGCTTCGTAAACCCTGACAAGCTAGGTCCAATGCTATGAGACTGCTCGAGCATGCCGTATCTATATTCATACTCGTTCCTCGGAAATCGAAGAACCAACTCAGTCGGTTTGCGTTCATGCTCATCTGCATGCCGACCACATCATAGTCTGCGGTCATCTCTACATCTTTACACGCCATTAGTCTGTAATCACAGTTGAAACAGCCGACGTGAACCGATGTCTGAGATCCCACCGCCTTTTCCATCGGGATGCCCGCTATAAGATGGTCAGTGCCAATGAACTCGAAGCACGGCGTCAGATTCTCCCACGGGCTACCGTACCATTTTCTAGTGCTCTATACGTGACCTCCATGAGATGCCGGTGTTGCGGGTCCAGCGCTGCGGCTTCATCTGCGGAGAGAGAAAAGAAAGGGGCATCAAAGAGGGACACATCCTCTTTCAGATAGTGCCCTCCATGAGAGGCGTACTGCAGACTGGTCAGCGGCCAAAAATCAACGATTCAAAGGGGAAGCTGATTCTCACTTGTCCTCGTCGTCTGCCGTCGGGGTGCTGCCATTGAAGAATGCTGATCCGGTCCTCTGGCGTATCCGACGTGGCGCACCTTTGCTCCATCATCATCTTCCAGAATGCTTTGGAGTCTGTTGCCTCGCCAGGAAATCGAAAGGAGTAGCCAACAACAGCGATGGGCTCCAGCCTATCTTGATCTCCAAGATTTGCCCGGACTTCAAGGCTGGCCATCTCCGGTTGACCACCTAAGCCATTGTGTGGTAGACCTAGCAGGTCACCAGAATCTAGCATGATCGGAGCCATTGTGAATTAATGAAGAGATGAGTGGTCACGTTTGTGTACCTTGGCTACAGACAAAAAGAGTCCCGATTTAGCCAGGGAAAGCGAGGCTTTAAGAAGGCAAGAAAGATGCTAAAAGGCCTTGAGCCTCCACGCCGTCGCATAGGGCCAGCCTGTACTCCGTGCGGCTCATTCAACAACTCAGCCGAGTCACTCGCCTCCACCCCTACCTACAGTGTACTCTGGTAACGATACGGTGGCTCTTTTGGTGACTATCATTGGGTCTTTCGCCCGCCTCTCGTTCGGTTATTCATCCGCAGAAACGACATGCAATGTTCAATGATCGCCATAGACCTTGGAGAATATTATTCACGTTTACAATTATTCCCTCCAAATTCTCATCCACTCGTCTCTCCACCACGCCATATTCTGATTCGACCGTTAAACGCTAAAATTTAGCGTTATGCACTAATGCATTAACTATCTGCTAGGGTTACTAGTGGACCGGATTTACCCCGTCATCTGGATTTGCTTCGCTCATCACTGGAATCATGTCGGTAATTCGTATGTACAATACCGATGTTCATCTCCCTCCTTCCCCTTTCACCCACTGTGGGCTGGAGGGGCTAATCAATGGGGCGATTTCATACTGTCACTGCTCAGTGTACACTCTAAGCCGCCATCACCGCCCTCCCGATCGTCCTGCGAATCACCCTAACGCTTGCCAATAGTTCATCCTTGGCCCTTGCGCCTGGGACGGTATGGCCTTCCTCATGGAGAAACACCGTGCGTTCTTTTGGATCACACAGGCCAAAGAGTGCCTCGCTTCCTTGACAGTATGCCTTATCAGCGCGGCCCCAAACGTGTGCGGTAGGGAACCCCGCCAAGAGTTGATCACCGTCCACCTCCGGATTCAATAACCTGACTTGACCGTGCTCCAGTCCGATGGGGTCAATTGGGTTTGCGCCAGAAAGGAATATAGCGCATTTGAAAGGCAGAGGCTTCTCGGGGTGGCGTATGGCTTGCTGGATGAGGTAGGTCGCCGCCAAACTACCGCCCATCGAAAAGGCCATGATTCCGTCGTACGGGCCCTCTACCTCGATAAAGCGCGACAATTCTTCCAGAGCTTTGAGCACGCTATCGGCCGATTCAACAGAAAAATAGTCAAAATACGCTTGACTGGTGGGGAAAAAGGTCCGAAGTTCTTGCTTTCAGATCAGTCTTCCGTGTACTCCGTACCGTAAGTTGAACTAATGTGGAGAACAGCTGACAAACATACCAGGGGCCAAAGGGGCAGGAATGGTTCCCTCGACAAAATCATAGGTGTGCACGCTGTTGTCTAGCTCATGTCTAAGAGCCGCTGCCAAAACACTTAGTCATCGACCGTGATATACACCATAGAATAACAGGGCAGACTCACCGATCTGGGATTCAAGAATCTGGGCAGTTGGCGTCCACTTAGTCACAAGCCTTATATGCGTGCAATTTCCCAGGAGAAGGGAATGTATAGGGTCAATCGCCTACCTGGCTGGTGGTGCCTCTACCATGGAAACAGAGAAATCGCATTGTGGCTGAATGATGAATTTTTTTCCTCGAGATGTTTGGACTCAGTAGTTCAACATTTGGAGTCTAAAATAGGCGCTCTTGAGAACGTCTTCCCTGCATTCATATCTCATCCAGACGTTCAATTTTCTAACTGATGGACATGTTCAAAATGAGCTCCGCCCGCCTTCCTACCCTAATGATCCAGTCCACCCACAGGTGGAGCCGGGGTTTTTGCACAAAATACCAGACACTAGTCACCACTAGTGATTGTTCTGAAATCTGAAGAATCCCCGCCCATCGACTAGACTTGGTAGAAGTGGCCTTTTGGCCCCTGCCGTCTCCGTGTGTACCGTCCGAGGCTATGGTCTACGCCACTACGGAGCAAAGACCAGAGGGTATGGAGTACGGAGTGGGTTACGGATACTCCTAAGCCGCTTCTCTACTTCCGATAATGATTATCACTTGTCTTGCCCTCAATTTTCAACCCACCCACGCCATCAATGTTGCTTTGTGATTTCGGCCCCTTGTCTGGTGCTGAATGTGCGCAATGATTTTTAGAAACCAATGGCTATGCGCAGAGTTTATTTCTCGTTGTATAAATTAGTTTCCCTTGTGAACGTTTTCCAAAGGTAATCAAATGGGAAACAAGGAGAGCAAGTGTAGAACGACCTCCACATACTCACTCGACTGGCCCCCAAGTTCGCACTTTCTCGGCATCTATACGCATGAAGACAGGGGTACCATCCATCCCATAGTCTCATACCTTTTCGGCCCCATCAGCTACAGCTGACATGCAGAAAGCCTGACAAAAAACCATGTCGATCGAATCTGGAGTTGCTCATGTTCTTAATTAAGGGAACATGTATCTTTTTCCCCTCTTGCTCCTGCATGCCATCTCTTCCTATTTCCTTCTCCCGCCTTATTGATTTGTACTTTTCCCTTCTCAATGCTCTAAGCCTATCACGATGGCCAGTGCCACGAATCTCTCGCTCGGCTACCTGCAGGAGTCCCAACAGGGAACCATTCTCGGTGTCGCCGTACTTTTCATCATTCTTGAGACCCTAGCGGTCGCATTCCGCGGCGTCTCTAAACTGATAGGCCGGTTGAATTGGGGTTGGGATGACGGGTTCATTGTTCTTGGGTTCATCCTTTGTATGGTTATCAATGGCTGTGCCATAGGTATGTTTAACTGCTCAGCTGGCAAAACCAAGATGTACGCAAGCTAACTCCTATCAGCGGATGTGCACCATGGCGGCGTTGGCCTTCACATTCAGCGTGTTGTCAAGGAGAGCCCCGAGAAGATCCCCGTTCAGGGCAAGTTTATGCTCGCCTTTCCAATCATCTACTTCGCAGCCGTCGTCCCGCCGAAAATGGCGATCATATACCTTTACCTTAGTGTATTCACACAAAAGCCGTTTCGCATCATCTGCTACGTGGTGGTCGGCATCATGGTTGGGAACTGGATTGGAACTACCGTCGCGGCATTCTTGTCTTGTCAACCATTGAGCTACTACTGGACGCAGGAGGGCACATGCTTCGATATCAATAGCTTCTTTCGCTGGGGCGGGTTTTCCAACATTGTCACGGATTTAATCATGATGGTCCTGCCGATGCCGGTGGTTTGGGAGCTTCATGCTTCCACTCGCCTGAAGCTAGGTATCTTGATCACCTTCTTGCTTGGTAGTCTGTGAGTCATCCGCTTGGTCGCTACTGTCAAAGCATTGCTAACATGGATTTTCTCACAGGGGTCTCATCGCTTCGATCATTCGCTTCGTCAAGTTCTACGTGACCGACGCACAAAAGGACCTAACCTGGGCGGGTGGTGATCTTGTCCTCTGGACGGTAGTCGAATGCGGCGGTTACCTGATCGCCGGATGTCTGCCCACGTACCGGCCTCTGGCTCGGTTCGTCGGGCGCAAGTTGCATCTCACGAGTGCCGGGAGTAGCGGAGACACCAGCGCACAGCAGAGCACAAGTGTCAGCAGCCGACGACAGAACAGCAAATTCCAGCGCATGGTCAACACCACTGACGACGAGGAAGACGCTATTGGATTGGTCAGTGTGACCAAAGGGGGCGAGTTGGAGGGAAAGAATGACACTACAGTTGAACCGGGGCAGATCATGGTCAATCACCACATCGACGTTCGATAATGTCGATACCATGGAGATGCACATACATTCTGCTTCTCCCACTCCCTCTTTCCCTTCTTTTTCTTATTTGTTTGTTTTCTTTTGTTTTCAGTGCCTTCCTGCAACCCTTTGCTCTGTATGGGTCAGGTCAGAATAGTCATATAGTATACCCCAACACGCAAAATTATCATAATCCCAAATAATTGCAGCATCAATTAGCGATCACTATCTTCCCCGCTTTCGTTCATGTCTATCTTCTTATCGCTCCCCTTGGTTCTAGGCACTATTAGTCTATTACAAGGATTACATACTACGGAGTACTGTGGACTAACTACTAAGTAGGAAGGTCAGAGCCTCAGGTGTCATCGAACGGCGGGCTTGGGCGCTCAGGCCCCAAAGTCCCGTGCAGATGTCAATCCTTATTTCCTTCCATCTCGCTCTCTCTCGGACTCTCTCCCTTCCCCTTTCCTCCCCTCTCCTCCCCTGTCAACGACCGACTAATTCCAGGCGACATATCCGGTTCATCACTAACCACCGAGGTTCGACAATTCAGCAAATCATTTTACTACAATTGTACCCCGGCTATCGTGTGGCTGGCACGATGCAGCGCGTTGACGTGTCTCGCCTTCTGGTTTGTTCGCTTGCGAAGAAAAAGGGCCTGGCGGTGCTGAGAGCAATCCGATTCGATTCCACTTTTTTACACCTTCCTTCTTTTGAGCCGCCGTTGGACCTCGGGGAGGGAAATTTCCGCCCGGGTGATTATCAACCATAATGGCCCCCAAACCCCCAACGACGCGTCTTCACCTAGCCGAATAGGGCCGTTTCTTAGCGGTACTCTATTTCCAGGCCAAACTCCTATGAGGATGGAGTAAATTGGGCCTTGACATCTCATTACTCCATTGAGCCAAGTTCCCAACGGGTGGACCCTTGGATCCTCTTTCCAACACCGCTAAAACAAAGCCTTGTTTAGCTTGTTACATACTTGGTACTTCGTGCTATTTCTTCGCGCCGTTCGCGGGTTCCTGACCTCTCGGAAATTGGCCAGCTGGCAGGCTGGCACTGGCAGCCTGGACGACTGGCGGTTCGGTTATCGCCCCCAAAATAAGTGGTTCCTTTTCAACGGCCGATCCTTACTTTTGGCGGGGCTCGTAATGTACACTGTAGAGGCTGGGTGGGCTGAGTAGGCTGAGCTATTGTGCAAACATGAGTTCCGATTCTGGACCAAAACCAAAAGTTCGTGCAGACGGAGAAGAGAAATGATGGCCCCCAGTTGACAATACAACAAAGAACAATCCATAATCCGTAATCCCGGTCACATTATGGAGCGGCTATGCAGGCCCAGGGAGTACAACCTCTGATTGTTGAGGAATAACGCCCAATAGTGCACGGTCACTATATATATGATTCCTTCGCAGCCACCAGTTTCTTGGTTTGGAAATCAAGCTCCTTCCTTCATCTCTTCTCCGCCCCTCTTCCCTGCTAGCCATTGCTTCGCCTTATATAAGCGTCTGATTTTCCTTGGTCAGGCATAATGACTGTCTCCCAAGACTCTACGTTCAACCCCCGAACGGAGCTACTCCCCCACATTGTCGACCACTATGCCAAGGTGAAGCCAGACGCGCTGTATGCGGAATACCCCAAGTCTCCCTTGACCTATGAACATGGGTATCGTCAGGTTACCTTCCGAGGCCTGGCCAATGCGATCAACGGCGTGGCCGCGTGGTTAACTGAGAAATTGGGCCCGGGGAATGGCGAAATTTTGTCCTACGTCGGTGCCAACGACGTGAGATACCCAGCTCTTGTTTTGGGCGCCGTCAAAGCTGGATATGTCGTACGTAAATCTTCTCTCCCTCTCTGTCGCTCTCTTTCTCCTCGAAAATCTGAGAAGCTGGAGTAAGAACAGATAGTTAACTATCCTAGATGTTTTATACGTCTCCCCGAAACAGCGTTGTAGCCCATGAGACCCTATTCAAGCAATTAAACTGCACAAAGTTCCTAGCACCCACTCCGCGCCCTCCTCCAGTAACCGCTATCCTTGATGCCTTCAAGATGGATGTGCTCGATGTGCCAAGCGTGGATGAGCTATTGAACACACCTTATCCCCATTTTGAATTCTCACGAACATATCCAGAGGCGGCCGGGGAAAGGCTGGTGGTAGTGTAAGTTATACCTGTTTCAACATGGTTGATTTGAAAGCCGAGTAGATTCTAAATGACTCCTTCCAGACACACATCGGGCTCAACCGGTATCCCCAAGCCAATCTTTTGGACCCATGATGTTGGCAACAAGAACATGGAGATGGGTGCTTTAGATGCGCCGGAAGGGTTTGAGATCCAGGACCATTGGATGATGAACAAGAGGGTTTTCTCAGCACTTCCACCGTTCCATGTAAGTGGAGCTTCTTTTACTTCCTTTCCAGGCACACGAACAAGTCCAGGCTTGCAGATCTAACGGGAAAATCAGGCAGCGGGTTTGGCTATGTTAACGTTTCTTGTTATGCCCGCCGGTGGCACGGTCATTTGTCCGACATCTGCCGGTCTCCCCTCCGCGGCAGGTCTGGTTGAGGCCATGAAACAGACCCCCGTCGAGGCGGCCTTGGTCGCTCCGTTCATGGTCTTGGAGATGGCTCAGAACCCGGAGCTCCTCGAATATTGCAGTCAGCATCTAAAACTCCTAGCATACGCCGGAGGTGATCTACCTCAGGCTATTGGCGATGCGGTAGCATCCAGGGTCAATCTTATCAACCGATATGGAGCATCGGAGATGGGATTACTAAACCTGGTTCACTCCGACACCTACCGAGACCGGCTCAAGGACTGGAGATACATGCATTTTCACCCAGCCCTGGGCGCTGAGTTTCGCCATGTGACTGGGGACGAGTATGAGCTGGTCTTTGTGCGCTCACCGGAGCGGGAACCTCATCTTATGATGTTCGCTGTGTTCCCAGAGCTGCAAGAGTATCACACACGGGACCTTTTCATCCGGCATCCGGATGAGAACAAGGCCGATCTCTGGCGCTATAGTGCCCGAGCAGATGACGTGGTAGTCTTCCTAAACGGAGAGAAGACAAACCCCATCTCAATGGAACAACACATCACTGCTTCCAATTCGGAGGTGACCGCGGTTCTGGTTGCTGGTGCCCAGCGGTTCCAGGCCTCGCTCATAATCGAATTGGGCGGTAAGAACCTCACCCCCAGCGAGCGAGCAGCGTTTATTGAAAAGATCTGGCCGAGTATCGAAGAGGCCAATGAGGTCTGCCCGGCCCACGCTCGCATCGCGAAAACTCATATCTTGTTCGCCACGCCTGAGAAACCGATGCTGCGCGCCGGCAAGGGCACTATCCAGCGGGCTGGAACTCTAGACCTGTACGCGCAGGAGCTCGAATCCTTGTACGCAGATGCCGATCGATTGACCTCTGAGGTTGATGGCGAGGCGACTGGTCCGGGTCGGGTCAATGATGGCCAAGTGGTGTCGGCCTTCATTCGACAGTCCCTCACCTCCATTACCGGATGGAATAAGGATAGCCTCAGTGACACGGAAAACTTCTTCCATCTGGGATTGGACTCGCTGCAAGCCATCACAGCAGCTCGATGGCTCAAGCGCGGTCTAAACTTCCCAAGCTTTACCCCAAATCTTATCTATCTCCACCCGTCAATCTCGGAACTGACACAGGCAGTCCTCGAACTCCAGAAAAATCAGGAAACTTCTGAGGAAACCAAGAAAGAAACTCGCCTCCAGGCCAGGAGCAGTCTACTTCAAGAGTTCCAAGACATGCTCAGGACTACCCAAGCCCAGTCCCAAACGGTGGTGCTGACGGGCTCGACCGGCACTCTGGGTACCTATCTCTTAGATGCCCTGTTGAAAGATCCTTCGGTTGCCCACGTTCACTGCCTGAACCGAAAGGCCGACAGCCTTGCGATCCAAAAGCAGAATAATAGCTTGTACAACTTGGATTGTCTTCTCGATCCTTCCCGCGTCAGCTTCTGGACTGCGGATCTATCCCAACAAAATCTAGGTCTAAAGCCCGACATCTTCAAAACCCTCCAGGAGACCACGACTCTCGTGATTCACAATGCCTGGGCTGTCAACTTCAATCTTTCTCTCTCGTCCTTCAAGCCTCACCTTGCAGGTGTCGTGAATCTAGCCAATTTCAGCTCGTCCGGCACTCAATCGCCCCGTCTATTCTTCATCTCCTCGATCAGCTCCGTTATGGGCCATCGTTCCGCATCTACCGTGACGCCAGAGGAGGTTATTCAAACCCAGGAGCCGGGACCCAACAGCTACGCCGATAGCAAGTACCTCGCGGAGCAAATCCTTGACCACGCTGCGCGGACGCGCGGTCTCCGAGCCTCGGTTGCCCGAGTCGGCCAGATCGCTGGCGCGGTGCGATCCGCAGGTCTCTGGAACAAGTCAGAATGGTTCCCCAGTCTGGCTCTCAGCTCCCTCCACGTAGGTGCCATCCCAGACACCCTCGGGCCTGCCCTCGACCGTATCGACTGGGTCCCCATCGACCTCCTCGCCGAAGTCCTCGTCGATCTCGCTCTCCAGGAACCCTCCTCCTCCGCGGGGCCCGTCGTCGACGTCGCCCACCCACTCAACCTCTCGCCCACAACCTGGGAGACAATCCGCCCTGCAGTCTCCGATACTCTCTCCACATTTGCAGGCGGAAAGCCCCTTGAGGTGATCCCCCTCCCGGCCTGGATTTCGCGCGTCCGCCAGGACATCGAAACCGCCGGCGGAAGCCACACCTCGCTCGGCGACGGCGACCTCCAGACTCTCCTGGACAAGAACCCGGCGGCCAAGCTGCTGGAGTTCTTCGAGAGTTTGACCCTCACGTCAGAGCCAGATAATGTCCTGGATACTCAGAAGACGGCAACGCGGAGCGAAAAGCTGCAGGCTGTGGAAACCATCAAGCCCGAGTGGATCCACAAGTGGGTTCAGGAGTGGGTGCAGCAGCCTTTGCCTAACTGATTTCAGTGTTCACCCCCTTGTGATCTGATGCAGAGGAGCTCGATTGGTGAATTTAATTCGTGGGATAGTAGCAGGTCGGATATCACCTACCTGAATGTTACTAGATACTAGCAATAGTAGGTAGATGGATGTAATATGACAAACCTGATGCAATTGACCTGGTAACTTGGTTTTAAATAACAAACGCTCTCGTTCGGAAAGGGCCTGCATAAATTCTAAGTAGTGTGTCTCTTCTCGACAGAGCAAGTCTATCACTGTGACTGAGTCTGCAAAAAAGAGGGTTCCAAAAACCATGGTTCAAATATATACATGAAAAATCCCAATATACAGCACTAGATCAATCTACCGTTCATACTCCTCATGAAGCAAGGCATCCGTGTTCGCAAACCCCTCGACCAGCTTCAACCCGCGCAATCTCTCCTGCTCAATACGCTCCCACGGCCACTCATCCGCATCCCACGACTCGACATTCGTCTTCCGCTCCGCCTCCAGCGTCTCGCGCGGCGTCGTCGACACACCATCCTCCAACTTCAACACCTCGCGCACCAACGACCCATCCACCCCCGACGCCATAGCCGCAAGACCCTCCCCAGCCGGGGTCCCCACCCCAGACGACGTCCCGGGCGTCTCAGCAGACACCTCGACACCCTCCGGCCGGAGCGGCAAGAAACCACTCGCACGCATAACCCGCTCGGGCGAAACCGTCAACCGCCCCTTCTTAATAACGTACTTACTCAACGCAGACGCAAGCAGCGTCCGCTTCCCGCCCTTCGTCTTCGCGGGCCGCAAAAAGAACGTCAGGATATACATCCACTTCTGATCCCACGCGACAAGCCGCGACTCGATCTCGTACCGCTCAAAGGGCTTGATCTCGCGCTTGAAGCTACAGAACACGGACCCCAGCGCGATGTAGATCGCCTTGCGTGTGGGAGCGGGTTTCCCTTCCCGCTGACTCGCGGCGAGGAGCTCCTCGTCGAGCTCTTTGCTGACGATGGTTGATCCTGGGGTATAGAGGCGGGTAGCGAGCGCGGTGCGCGCGATATCGAGGTCCGAGAAGTAGGTGCTGTTGGACTTGTGGAAGTTGTAGTCTGTTTCGAGGATCGGGGCGCGGGAGGTGATGCCGTAGGTTGCGAAGGCTGGGTGCGTGGGTTGCCCGCTGTGGTTGGCGATGGGGTTGCCGCGGGGGAAATGGGGGTAGTCGGATTTCCAGCGGATGTTGGAGACGAGGTGGTGGAGGATGCGGATCTATCATTGAGAATTAGCTTTGGGGTTCTTGATTTTTTGCGAAGGGGGGGGGTTCAATTGCCATGAGTCGATCAGGCACAACTTACATGCCATACAAAGGGAAGGTTCTTGATATTAATCACTGCTAGCACCAGGGCCAGCGTCTTCCAGGATAGGACCGGCGGTAGATTTGATAGCAGCTCCTGCACGCTAAGGGATTGTAGGACGCCCATCATGCGAATCGGTCCGGTGACGTGTCAGATCCGTTGATTGAAGAAAAGAAATTCTGCTATAATCTATAGATTTCAAAAGAAGACTGGGAAAGTTCGAGGTATGCAGCGACTGCCCCTGACGGCTTTGATTGCGACTATGGTTATCTGTCCCCGCAGGGAATCAGTCTCTCGTCAGCACGAAATCGACACCGAAGCGAACGGCCAAGAGAGCGACACGACTACGGAGGACCGCGAAATGGAGCGCCGACAAGAAGGAACGACAAGAAAGAGCGACGAAGGCAAATGCCAAAATGCGGAGGGAAAAAGAAAAGCGTTGGGGAAAGTCAAAAATGCCGAGGCAGTTCGCCTCACGTGCCGATAGTGATAGCTTATCGAGGGATGCAAACAAACAAACATGGCATTTATTGTCGTCATCATCGTATAAAGAATATCTAAAACAGCGCCATGCAGTTCGGAGGGCTGGAAACCCCTTGCGCATGATTCAACGGGCTACTCGACACGAAGAACGTCCACCGCCCCAACTGCTTGCACGTTTCCGCCAATCCGTCGAGATCGAACATCTCTCCGATCGGAAGACCCCAGCCGGTCAACAGGTGATGATGCAGATCAAACTCCGGGTTCAACGGCGGAAAGACCTCGAAGCTGACCGCGTCCGAGGCCACCGCCGCGAAGTGATTGTCCCACATGAACCGCAGCACGCCCTCGCTCTGCTCGATCCCGGCATGCTTGGGCGCTGACTGCTGGCTGTACGCCAGCTTCTGCGCATCGTTCATCGAGCCCCAGGTCTTGGGGAGTCCGACTCGGAGGAAAAAGATGTCCCCGCGCTGGAACTCGATGTTGCACTCGCGCGCGATCGCCAAGACGTCGTCCAGCGGCACCGCATGCTGGCTGAGCGCATTGACGGAGATGCCCTTCTTCTCGGCCCACGAGAGGTAATCGATCAGCACGCCTCGGCCGGCAATGCCCTTCTTAGCCCAGTACCCGATGCCAATGCGCGATGACTTGGGGTCCTGGATCTCCTCCGCCGTGGTCCCTCCGTAGAACACCCGTCGGCTCTGGTCCTCGGCCGTCGGGGCGGGAGCATTGTGGTGACGTAGCCCATCCCACTGGGAAGACTGCTGCGGGTTGAAGTGGTATTCGTCGTCGAAAGCAACACCCGGCATTACCCATTTAATGCGATGCTCAAAGGGCTTACGGCCGAAACCTGCGGAACCGGTGAACAGACAAGATCCGGATTCCTTTCAAGCAAAAGCAACCTACCTGGTGGGTTCAAGTTCTGGAGATCCCAATTCAGGCATACTCGTTCCCCGGTTTGGATCTGAGTCTGCGCCGCTTTGGCCACGATCTCGGGCGTGAGAATGCGCAGCATACCGAGTCCCTCTTCGGGCGACCCGGCCGGTGCGGGCCAGTATCGCCGCTTGTCGGGCAGATCGTCGTACTTTTCTGGCAAGTCGTTGATACCAGACATTATTGTGGAGTGGGTAGAGATGGTGAGGTAGGGTAAAACGTAGAGAGGAGGGTGATGGGGTGGAGAGATCAAGAGAAGTACGCAGGTGTAAAGATGGTGAAGTGGGGAAGAGCGGAGCAAGTTCGACGCCAACTTGTCCGGCTCATCTACGATTTCTCTCTGTGCGCAAACAATGCACCGCTTCTATTCACTATGATGCTAAAGTTCCAGAGTGTACGCAATACATAAAAAAGACACGATACCGACCCGTATACAGTTCTACTTTCTCATCTCAACTTACAAGTCATCTTCTTCCGCCACCTTCCCCTGTTTATTGAGGTTCGACATCTCGTGCTGCTCCCCTGCACGTCCGGAGCTGCCTCCTGGAGTCGACATGGCGATGGCCTGTCGTCCCGTGTCCGACGATTCGAGGAACTCTCGCAGTCGCTTTTTGCCCTCGGTCAGGGCCTGGTTTGAGGCGGCTTCGGTCATCTTCATGATGGGCCCCCAGAGGTTCAGTTGGTAGGTCACGTAGGCTCCGATCGCGCAGACAAAAAGCAGGAAGAAGTAAGCCGGGTTGCGGAGAACTAAGCAATTGTTAGTTATGCATTTTATGGTAGGGATCTCAGTAATTGGAGGGAAGACTTACCAGTAAGGATCTCGTTCCAGCCGAGTGCAAGGAGAATACCATAGAAGTACAGGGGAACCTGGGTCATGCCGCCGATGGCACTGCGCTTCGCCTCAACATACACACCGTCCGCGGCCTTCTTGAACCGGACAGTGAGCTCCTGTCGCTTAGCATCGCTGAGGACTGTCATCTCTTCCTCCAGACTCTTGCCTTCCTCTTCGTCCACTCCTCCGATGGGCGGTAGGTCTTCCTCGTCGGCCGGTGTGGCAGAGCTGGGCGTGTGTCCGATCCAGCGGTCCAGCGGAGGTGCAGCAGACGTCTCGGCCAGACGGAATTTGGAAAGAAGAGGAATCAGGGTGAGTGTCGACTCGCGAGCGCGGGTGTAGATGCCTTCGATGTCGTCGGTGGGGCGCCAGATCCTGGGGACTCCAGCCTCGTCATAGCGGAACTTGTCCTCGAAATTTTCCCGGAGCTTCAGCAGCAAGTTGCCCTCGATCATCTCCTCCTCAATCTTCGCACGCAGCACGCCCCACGACTTCCTTCGGAGTCTCCAAAGTCCAACGTCGACCTCCTCCAAGCTGGCATCGAAGCTGCTAGCGCGGTCAGTGAACCTGCGCTCGGCGTCAAGGACCGTCTCGACGAACACGTTCCACACGCGATCCCAGAATTGCTTTTCGATCGGCTTGTCGCCGGCTTCAGGTGCACCGCCGCCAGCCCGGCCCGAGCCCAGTGCATTGAACTCGAGACCCACAGACTCGCCCAGGCGGGACTGGACCCATCGCTCAACCCGGGTAGCCAGGCGTCGCATTTCATCGCGTCTCAGTCGGGAGCTAACTTCGGCGAGCTCTTTCTCGTACAAGGCCAACTCCTGCTTGTAGTCACTCCAAGAAGTACCTTCCATCACTGTAGCACGAGCGACTTCTTCAAACTTCTCCATTGCCTTCTGCGTCTCCTCGTTCACAATCTCGGCAAAGTCGTAGCCAGTGCCCTTCTTCTGTCCTGACTTGACTGCTGAAGAGACGGCCTCGGTAAACTCGCTAATACCGGACTTGTGGGTTGCATTGAGCTGGCCTTGGAAAAGTGCCTTCAGGCGAGTATCGACCTTGTCTTCGAGTTCGGCCCGTTTGCGCTGATAAACGCCCTTATGGTACCGACTAGCCGCAGTCTCAAAGTTCTTCACGGCCTTGGATCGCGACGATCGCATCGCAGCTCCTAGCCCTCCGAGGATCTCAGGCTCACCGAGGCGAGCGGCTTGCGATTGCTTGTCTTCGAACGGAACGATAGCCTCGTCAAATGCAACCATGACCTCTCTCAGGATCTCGTCGCAACGGAATTGCGCAAGCAGCTCTTGCTGGGTGGGCAGATCCAAATCCTTGTTGTTGACAATTTGATCCCAAATACCCTCCGCATATCTAGAGAAACCATCCGCCGGGATCCGCCTGTGATACTCCGGAAGAAACACACCTCCTTCAGAGAACTCGCCCTTCAGGGGATCCAAGCTGATATCCTTGTGGCCATCCCGGAAGCGCAGACTCAGATTCTTCGTTTCGGTCACAAACTGTTCCGGCTGGTAGCTCTTATGCGGAAGGCCATAGAACTGGAAGTCGAAGTATTCGTGTACGGTCGCATTCTCCAGGCCGGCAGGCTTCGATATCGAGTCCCACAAACGAGACATATCTTCCATCAGGGTTCTTTGCAGGTTCTTGAGCGGTGTGGTGCCGACGAAATCACGGATGACGAAGAACAGGAGGGACCGGTGGGTGGTGCTAGAAACAGAGGAGTCAGTACAGCCAACGAAATCTACTGTCCGAGGTCAGGGGGTCACGCACCTTCTGTCCTTCAGAAACAGCTGCATATTGACTTCAAATACGGTTTTGAGTAAACCCATGTTTGCGCCTTGGTACAGGCCGACCTGGTGCTCCCAGATGTTGACAATGAGGACTTCACTCGTCGCCAGCGCAAAGAGGGCAGACTTGCGCTCAAAGTCCTGGTCTTCTCCTCTCTCGCGGCCGTCCGTACCTTCGACATCCATAACCAGGATGTTATCTGCCATTGTAGATTCCCCATTCTTGTTCTTGGACATCCAGATACCCTTGGTGGTCTGTCGTCTCTCCAGCTCGGACATGACCGAGAAATGGGTACCGAAAAGATGGTTGAGCAAGGTCGATTTACCGGTCGACTGCGAGCCGAAGACAGAGATAAGGTGGTAGTTGAAACCGGCGGGGGTGACATCTTCGGCGCCTAAGTACTGGGACAAGTTCGGGCTGGACGTAATATTATATTAGCTCTGGGCAAGAATACCCCTGGAAATTGTCCAAGACACCAAAGTCGCATCACGGCGCTACTCAAGCAACATCCAAACGAGACCGGTGGCACAAGGATAAGCAGGTAAAGATAAATGAGGGACATACTTGAATTCCTTATTCTCATCAATCACTTGCACGCCATGCTCGTAAGCTGTCTTATCGCTACTTTCGACGCCTATAGCGGCGAAGTGGCCATTGGTCGCCATGTTGGCAGGGTTGCCGTCGGACTCCTACCCAGTTGCAAAAAACTCAGTTCTGAAAGGGGGTTCCGTTCCCAACACTCGTGGTGCTAATTCGTGGGTTGCGAGGGTGAGAGCACTGTCCGCGGCGGGTTTGGGGGGGTTGATTAGGAATAACGTCAGGGTGCGGAAGTGGTGGCGAAGTCGAGACGGAGCGAGGGAAGAAGCGAACGCAAGGGGAATATCGAGAGATGCGATGTACCCTGCGAGCCGAATAATGGGGGAAAAGGTGCAAGAATCACAAGACTGAGCCGTGAGTGAACCCGAGGTCGGCAGCGATCTTGTGTCGGCGTCTTGTGGACAGACAAGGAGATCGTTGTCCGGGGCACGCCTCGTCGCCTGAGCGGCCAGGCCACCCAGTCCAGATCTCCCGGCGACCCTACGCCTTGCCTGTTCAGGACTAGCGTGTATATGTGACCAGATCGGGTAAGGCGTGTTGGTGCCATCTTGCTCAGGCATTCTTTATCGTAGATAATGGGTATCGCCTCTGACTTGTACAGAAGACAATTAAACAGCTCTACTTTGGAATTAAGCCAGCAATTACTATCCATACTGGCCACGAATATCTCCTTTTAGACAACTGGGTACTTCAATTCAACGTCACATGTCCATCGCAAATACATACTTAGGTCTCGCCTTCACCAACTCATCGTCCATTCACCACCTCAACCACCCATATTAGTGCGGCTAAAAAATGGACTCGAAATATAAAATGGTCGCTCCAGAGAGTCCTGAGAGTTTGACTCCGGGATCTCCTGCTGGCCACCTTGGAGCGACTGCATTCGTGCCTGAAACAAAGGGTTCTGCGCCAGTTTGCCAACCTGCACCGTAGCCTTGTCGTTGAACCGCGCATCGGGTTCGCCTTCAAATGTCGACTCGGAGCCCGGGATCCATCCTCTTCCAGTTCGAAGACAGCTGTCATGCATCTCGTTGGCACCCGAGTTGATCATGCTTTTCCAGAAAGCCCCTTCCCCTTGTTTGAGAAGGCCAGCTTGTTCCAGCATCAAAGCTGCCGCGACAACCCAGTCTTGACAGTTGCCAACACCGAACTCGGGGATATTGAATTCATCGTGGCCAAACGCAGAAAGTAGACGGATAGCGCGCTCCTTTTGGTCATTGGAGAAGGTGGCAATCTCACAACGGCCTCTTAATACTGGATCTTCAAGAGGCTGTGTGCGCGGGTCATAGATGAAATCAGTGTCGTTTGGATTGCGAATGTGATGCATTTCACAGGTTTTTGAGCCGATTTCATACACGGCAATCCCCATGTGGGATGGGGAGTCGCCGAGGGCGGCGTCACCACGTCCATAGACATTGATGGACATGCCATGAGTGGCTGTCGAGGTTGAGGAGTCCATGAGTATTATTATGGAGTGCCGTCGGGGTTTCTGGTATGATATTGAGTAGTTTCTTTGGATTCAAAAGAGTTCTAAGTGAGTCAAGTGGTAGAAGTAGCAGTGTAAGTACACCGTAGGCAGTAGTTTTAACTTGGAAGGGTACCTGCGCCGTAGCGCCCAGAGAGCACTACTTACATTAGCGCGCCCTGTCCCCTCACTTGACTTCTAGATATATGATGTCTATAGTAGAAAACCGAAAATGAGTGGATTGCATCTATATTTCCAGTCACTCAAACGTATACATGTTTCCTAAGAGAACAAAACTGGTCCGCATATTTCACAACGAATAGAGCATGTACATACAAGAGAGCAAAACAAAGTAGTAACTAACCAAACAGAGGAACAAAAGAAACCAAAAAAGCGACTAAAAGATAAAAACGTAGCAAGCCAGCCCATGAAACCAACAAGCAGCTTAACATGTACAAATAGTATATAGCCTGGAACTGGGGATGTCGCTCAGAAAGAGACATTGACCCTAAGCCTGTACTCATCTACTGCGACCACTCCGACCAGAAAGTGCATTGATGTCCAAGCGGCCAACTGGACGAGATGCCTCTCGATGTTGTCCCTGGGCAACCGAGTTCGAAATCCAAGATGTACCATCGCGCCGAAGTCGATCCGCAACATCGGCCGATTGTCTGCCAACGTTGTCACCCCAGTAGCGCTTCGTGCCTTCTGGCGCCAATCTCTCCCGTTCCAGGGCCCCGAGTGCTCCCACAGTCCAGTTTTGGGAGTTGGCACTTCCACGGGGTAAATTTGCGTGATTCCTGCCATAGTCGTTCAGAATTCGCTCTGCGTCCTTCTTGCGCGAGCCGGAGAAGTGACTGATTTCAGTTCGACCGTAGGTGGCATCGATCGGGCGCGAGTTCTTTGGGGGGTCGTAGTAAAAATCCTCGTTCTTGCGGACACGGAAGTGCTCACCCTCCTTCGCGCCGCGTTTGTGGATCATGGCTTCCCAGTGAGCAGGACTGGCTGGGTTTCTCCCATCTCCGTGGATGTTGACGCTCAGGGCATAGCCGTCGCTGCTCTGGCTAGAACTACTGGAGCGGGAGCTATCCCTGGATGAAGAATTGGAGGCCCAGGGCATGTTGTTGACCGGAAGGTGAAATAGAGAAATGGAGAAGTATGGATCAGAGACGTTTGAAGCAGGTGATGGAAATAGATGTTCGACTGGATGAGTCTTGTTTAATGATAAACAAAATCTTGAGCAGAGGGATGGATGTCTGCTCCTTTATAGACATTATCCTGAGCATGCATGCTGTGTTCTACACTACCGGCCGTCTCTATAAGCGCCGTACTTGGGAAACCACAAGGAATCTACAGGGATTGTTCAGCTCTGTTGCCCAATATAGAACACAATGTTTTGTAGCACCGTGTCGATATAAAATTGAGTGGGCCTCGAGCCTCCTAGACCTTTTGAGGGGTCATGTATAGCGGTTACCTAGCCCAGGCGCTTCCAAAGTACAGGTTACGCGTCACAGTCAATTGATATTCACTAGTGAAGAATGAACACAGAAATTGCGAGAATACTACCTTGGGGCTCTAAGCGCTAACAGAGACATGAGATGTATCAAGTCCAAAATTAGCCGCCTAACTACTAGTTAAGTCCACATGGAAAAGCGACGTGTTAGTGTATGCCATTTCCTATCGTCTTTCATTTTCAAGGCAGCGGCTAGGGCTACCCTTACCCAAAGGCATCATCTATTCTAACGAACACCATGATTGCAGCTTACATAAATGGACAGGCATAAGGCGAAAACTTATTGTATTGACACAAGGGCCTGCGCATTTTCCAAGCCCTGGGGGTCGAGAATAATGTAGGCGGCCTGACAGTTTCTGTGTAGATTGAGTCTTTCTATGTCTCTGCAGTCTGTAGGCCGATTGGATGGTTTTTCCCGCCAACTTAAGTTGAATATGGCCTCATGGAAAGGGTGCTCTCTGTCGTGCGGGATTAAGATATCGCAGGCAGGCATTCGTGATTTATACAACCTTTATATACTATTCGCACTACATACCGAAGTTTGAAAATCTTCTTCTTTCGAGCATTCTGTATCACATCTATTCAATTCTTGAGCTCAACTCGGGTCTTCTAAGTCTATTCTTTGTATCAGGTCTGATTCGAGGTTTACACTTCATGACCACGAAGTACTCTGCATGATCTCGCGGCAGAATCTCATTAGGGCCGCGCACCCTCATTCTGTGTGCTCTGCATATCCTCCTGCGTTCTTTGAACTCTGGCTATCCTACCTTCCAACTTATCAGGTCGAACTGGCTTGATTCCGTCCTGCAGTGTGCGGTTCCGGATGTCTCGATAGTACTGTTGTGCCGTTTTCCTCATCAGGCCTCGAAGATCAGCTACATCTGCCTGAATATCGAACAGAAGTTGCCGATGTTCTTTACGAACCTGATTCCTGAAGTATCTGGTTCGAAATTCATCCGATTTCTCGAATTCGCAGGCAATAATGGTTCCGAGGTGCTTTCGCAATTTGGCCTTATCATCGGGGAGACCCAACCATTTCTCGACTGTGCAATCGAAATGCTCATGAAGGCGTGGGATGAGCTGTCGCAGTCCCGACACATTGCCTGCGAGACAGTAGCCCCATTCTGCTGCGGGCAGAAGCAATACATCGAAGAAGACCAGCCCCGGGTAAGTTGAAATTCTCCACTCACTTAGAGGGGAGCACATGGCTCCCAGAGCGGGCAAGAGGGCTGGCACCGGGGACACGAGTCGAGGTGCATTTCTGAACTCGGGGATTCTCTCGAGAGCTGGGGCTGGTGAGGTGGGGATGTATGCGTTGTCTTTCAGGACCTGCACAGCTTGCTCTGGGTCGGGCACCAGAATGTAGAGATCCGCCACATCTGTTAGGACCCCGGGAAAAGGCTGGGTATCGTTGCCCCAGATCTTGCATGGTATACCAGCCTGGCGGAGTAGAATGCATGCCTTGTAGGGATGATGGGGCGAGGACTCGTCAACTTCACAGATCTTCTCGTTGGTCTTCGCCAGATTCTTCAGGGACTCCCACAGTGGCTGGATCTCTCGTAGGCAGCGTGGCATTGTGATTGTACAGCTGTGGCTGTGATCATTGAGTCACTTTTTAATATCAAAGGACTAGTGTGGCAATTGGGTGCTCTGGGGGCTGGTCTTGAGGCTGCAGCAGCAATTGTATTTCTGAACGCTGTGGCGAAGTGGTTTGATTTAGTGGAAATTGTGAGGATTTATACCGATACTGGTGGAGGACAGGCAGGATTGTCTGGTGTTGGCGGATTCTTCCGTCCATTGTTCGTTTGCTCTTCTATTCTTTAAAGACACGTCCTCGTGCCAGCGCAAGGTTCCACTCTGCTACAAACGGCCTCCGCCACTTTCCTGTTATTGAACCTGACCAGCCCATAAATACTCTTTCGCTCCCCTATATTTGGACATTGCACTGGTTTTGAACCTAAACTTCTCTCGGTTGTGGCCGAACCATTAGGGTCATTGAATACAACAACCAACCAGTCCATCCCCCTTTTCAATCTTACGAAAAACTGCTCATTCCTTTGTGCTCCCTCAATACGGGATACTTTCGCTGCAATGGATACCCTCAGTGTACAAATCGTGTCAGACCTGCACCCGAAATACAGCGACTTGGATATTCCCGTCACGACCCCATACATCGCATTCCTCGGTAACGTCCATCAAGTGAAAGATAACCACTACTTACATCTAGAGCTCAAGATCTTCCCTTTCTTCGAGACTTATCTCCGGCGCTACAAGGTCGTCTTCCTTGTCCTCGGCGTTCGAGAGACACAGTACATAAAATACGACGCTGCAGTGGAGCAAATCCGTGCCTTCGAAGCAAGGATCAACGAGCAGCCCGGGTTAGGCAAATTCGTCTTCCTCGATCAAAAAATATATGACATCTCCCCAGATACCACCGTCCTAGGATGTACGCTCCACTCGCGCATCTCAGCCGAATCAAAGCCCACCATCGAGAAGTTCTGACAGTTCAGAGTCGGTAATACCTACCGATCGATCGATGACTACAACGCCGCGCATGAATCCGATCTCGCCTGGCTGAACCAACAGGTCGCTCACATGGCAGAGCACGAACCACACTAGAAGGTCGTTATCTTCACGCACTATAGTCCCACCGTCGATTTGCGGGCTACCAAACTCGCATTGCCTCATTGGAGCGAGGTCTCGACCACTGATCTAAGCTTGGAGGTTTGTTGGACCGTTGGACGTCTCTGACGGTTAGGATGTGGGCTTTTGCTTGTATGTAGGTTAATTGTGACGTGACGATTGATGGCAAAAAGCTTGTGGTGAACAAGCAGGTGGGAGTCCGTGATGTTGAGTTCGATCCTGAGAAGCGTTGGTCTTTGTCGTTCCTGGACTGATATTGCTAGCAATCTGTTGCTGATAGCGTTCAAGTGAAAGTATGCTATGATATCTTGGTATGGCTTTCTGAGTCTGCTTTTGTTTTGTTTTATTTATTTCCTTTTTTGTTTGTTTGCTTGCCTCCTCCCCTCCTTTGTCTGCTTCTTTCGGGTCGTCAATCACATCTGTCAATGTCAAGTGGAAACTTCCTTTTCCTTATCACCCGGTGAACACGTTTTGCCATTCCCAACCGGAGATATATAGTTAGCACAAGCGTAAAAACCTTAAAATGCTAGGAAACAATGAAACAATACACGCACACATAAGCAATAACTGGAATAGACGAGTAACAGTATAGAATTATGTCCAATACAACCCCTCAAGTATCTTTCTACATCCAGACCAGACTTGTATAATTCACAGAGCAACCAAAATACTGAGTAGTTATGCTTGCTTGCCGAAGCAAGAGTAACTAGATATTTTGTTTGGATTATTATTTTTTATCAAAATTAACTTTCATCCAATTGGGGATGTGGTTTAGTGGTATAACGTTCCCTTAGCATGGGAAAGGTCCGGGGTTCGATTCCCCGCCTCTCCATCCCAATTATATTTTTTGTTTTTTGCTGGTCAGATCTTGTGGACTTGTGGATCGAGTCTTTCCTTGTCTTTTCCCGCATCGCCTGGGTGTCTTGGACGGGAATTGCGCGTTGTGCACGGTGTGGTGTATTCATCCCTCACCTTTGTTGACCTATACTATAATACTACTAAACACACAAAATTAAGGGAGATCACTCAATTCGTATTCAACGACTTAGCTGAGATAGAAGAGGGGAGATATAACAAAAAATAAAAAATTCTACATGTTTTTAATACAATACATAGATCGACATCACTCAAAAAACTCCGGTAGTAGTCCACGCTCGTGGTGTATCAACATTGCCCGGATTCCTTCGCTCATTCCCGCGCTGCAAAATTAGAGACCCAGAAAGAAAAAGCCTGTTTTTGTTCCATATTACATAGCAGCCAATTAGTCGGTCCAGCCTCAAGGAGGACTAGGAATTTAAATCACACGAGTGACCAGACCAGTGGCGACGGTGCGACCACCCTCACGGATGTTGAAACGCTGACCAGCCTCGGCAGCAACGGGGCGGAGGGTGTGGAGGACCATCTCGACGTTGTCACCGGGCATCACACGGCGGGACTCATCAGTACCTTCGGGGAAGGTGAGATCGGCAGCTTGGTCTGGATTGGAGAGTTAAAAAACAGTTCACAACACTGATGCGCTGAGAGCAAGAGAGAACTTACCGGAGGTACGGATGTAGACCTGGGGGCGGTAGTTGGCGCCAAATCCGTGCTTACGGCCACCCTCCTCCTCGGTCAGGACATACATGGACACGAGGAACTTGTCGTGGGCCTTGGTGGTGCCAGGGGCGGCGATGACCATTCCACGCTTGACATCCTCACGGCGGACACCACGGAGCAGAAGACCGGAGTTGTCACCGGCGCGGGACTCGTCGCAGGATTTCTTGAAAGTCTCAATGTCGGTAACCTTGGTCTTCTTGGACTCCACGGTGTTTCCGACAATCTCGACTTCGCTATCCTTCTTCAGGACACCACGCTCGACACGGCCCGAAACGACGGTACCACGACCGGGGATGGAGAACACCTCCTCGACGGACATGAGGAAGGGCTTGTCAAGGTCACGAGCGGGGGTGGGAATCCAGGTGTCGACGGCCTCGAGCAGGGAGTCAATACGCTCGGTACCAATCTCAGGGCGGCGGTTCTCCAGAGCACACAGAGCAGAGCCGAAGATGATGGGGGTCTCTTCACCCTCGAAACCGTAGGTGGTGAGGAGCTCACGCATTTCCAGCTCGACGAGCTCCAACATCTCGGGGTCATCGACGGCGTCGACCTTGTTGACGAAGACGACAATCTTCTGGACACCGACCTGACGGGCAAGCAGCAAGTGCTCACGGGTCTGGGGCCTATTTGACACGACTGTAAGTATGATGCCTTCCTTCACGAATCCTGTAGGGTTTCGGGGGATTTCCAAACGTACATCTGACCGTCGGAGGCGGCAACGACAACGATGGCACCGTCCATGTTGGCAGCACCAGTAATCATGTTCTTGATGTAATCAGCGTGACCGGGGCAGTCGACGTGGGCATAGTGGCGGTCCTGAGTCGAGAACTCGATGTGGGCGGACGAGATGGTGATACCACGCTTACGCTCCTCGGGAGCCTTATCAATGGCACCGTACTCGAGGAAGGTAGCAAGGCCCTTGGAGGCCTGGTACTTGGTGATGGCAGCGGTCAAGGTAGTCTGGATTGTGATGGGTTAGGAAGGGAATTCGGATACATTCGGGGAATTCCAGCCAGGAACAGGATGTGTTCTTCTTACCTTGCCGTGATCGACGTGACCAATGGTACCTATATGCTTCCGTTCAGAAATCTGGAACGAGATAAAAGCGTTTGAGTGATGGATGCCTACCGATGTTGACGTGAGGCTTGGAACGCTCGAAAGCAGAAGCCATGCCACGGGCAGCCAGCTTGTCCCCCAGGAAAACATGCTGAACAGGGTTGACAGCGCGAGGGCGCAGCAGGGAGGCCCTGCTAGAGCGCAGCAGAAGATTGGCAGACCGGGAGATGCTCGACATATTGACTGCCCTGGAAAGAATAGACAGACGACGAAACAAGCAAAGAGAACGCGATGGGGAGGAAGAGACGGAGCTGGGCTGATCGGAAAGAGAAGTCGAAAATTTAGGGGCGCTTAGTCATCCCCGCTGCCAATCAGCCCGGCGGAATTGCGGATACCTTCAGGAACCGGTTTACTTGGGATTATTATGATATCTATTATGGTGAAAATCGTTATCTTTGTATGCTTGTATAGTTGTGCCGAGTAAATGCTGCCTTCTTTGCTGCAAAATGTGTGGCTATGATCATGATACCCCCAAGTCGAGGGTGTATGTACTACCTGTGTCGTAACTAGAGGAACCGTATGGCCCGGGCCGCCGTCGACCTCTATAAAGCTCAGGTGTATTATAGTACTCCGTACAGTTAACTTGCTTTCTTTTTCTTTGTACCAAAAAATGTACATCATTTTACCCAATAAAGCATGTTCATTCCACATCCTCGTTCTTCTTCACCACAAAAATAACGTGCTTGCCCGGAACTCCCTCCATCGGTTTATCCTGTATGGCCTTCACGCTCTTGATGGCCTCAATCACGCTGTCCATGAGATGCTTGATCTCTTCCACATTGGGCGCCCTCTTGCCTTTCTTCCGGGTCAGAATGACCTCCACTTTCCGACCCTTCAGCAAGAACGTCTTCAGCTGCTTCAGCCGATACTCGAGATCATTCGCATTAATGGCCCAGTTCAATTCAATCTGCTTGGTCGACACTTTGGCTGCGTGTGCCGCTTTCGCCTTTTTTCGTTCCTGCTCCCGCATTTCGAGTCGACTCACAATCTTGCAGACGGTGGGCCGGTCATACAGCGTAGGAGACACCTGCATCACGAAATACTGTTTGCGATCGATTGAGCCGAGCACATCGCGGAGCAATGCGGGAGGATTCAAGCCACCCTCCTCGTTCACAACTTGAATAAATCTGGCCTCGATGTTTTCATCCATCAACTGGGCGGGTTTTTGGCCTTGCGCCTGTTGGTTTAGTGGCGATCGAGGGCTTGCGCGGTAGAGTCGGGATTGGTTGAGTGAAGGGGCCAAAGCCCGGCGGGGAAGTTGGAATCGAGGGACTTGTAGAGGAGTAACGAAAACATGGCGAAGGACCTGCGCCGTTGAGATGAGGTTGCGCATGTGTGTCATGATGAAGTCGGAGGAGGGACCTGCCCTATCGGTCTATCGGAGGGAGAGAGGGAGGTTTGTAGAAACTAGAAAATGAACAAAGCGGGTTGACGTGATAAGGCTGAGATGGAATAGAATCGGGCTTAATGACAAGCCTAGCGTGGAGGAATGCCAGGCGACAGATAGCTGGAGTGAAGCAATGACAATCCGTGGAAAGGACGGGGAACGGACGAGAATCTGGATGCAAGCGGGTCAGCCACAGACGGGGAGAGGAGAAGCCTGCGCCACGGCGGATCCAGACTTCCAGCAGAACAAGTCTCCCTTTCCCTCTCGCTCTCGCTCTCGCTCTCCTGACACTCCACCAACTGTTCTTCCTTTCGCTGTCCTCGCCGCTTCTCCCTTCCGCTCCTTTGTTGGCCTGGTCCGGAGGCTCTTCAAGGATCCATGACTCCGTTTATTTTCCATCGTTAATTGTTTCTTCTCTCCCTGCGCTTTTCTCGACCAGATTCTTTACCTAAAAAAAAGTTTAACACTTTCCCCCCCACAAGGGCGTTTATCCGGTCGAAACGCCACATCGCCCTTTACTTGGTCTGGCTCGTATGTCGACTGGCGTTGACGGACAACATCTTCAAGACACTCATTCTTTTCCACGTCCAAATTCCAGCGCAAATAGGCGCCCTGCATCGCGGGCCCCCAACCCTGTAAACTCGCCGGCAAACGGTTTGCCCAACACTCAGCCGCAAAGTCCGACCAAAACGACCATGGCTCAAACTCAGAGATCTCGGTACCTGAAGACAGGAGCCATTATTGGTGCCCTATTGTTGATTATCCTATGGCTCTCCCCCTCGAGACCAGTAACGACTAGTCTTCCCCAGGGTGAGTGGTGCATTGTTGCCTGTGTCGTAAAACCTCCCCTTACATGCTAACGGATGGGGGATGGCAGAAAAACCATCGAGCGGCGTCGCAGGCGCGACGGAAAAATGCTCTAAGCCTTACGACTCGTCGAAGCCTTTGATTCAGTATGCGCTTATGATCGATGCTGGAAGTCAAGGCTCCCGCATCCACGTTTACCGATTTAACAACTGCGGCCCTACCCCCGAACTCGAGCACGAAGAATTCGAGCAGACCGAGAAGAAGGCGGGTGGCTCGGGCCTGAGCTCTTACAAGGAAGATGCCGAAGGTGCCGCCAAGAGTCTTGACCCTCTCATGCAGGTGGCCATGAGGACCGTTCCCGACGAATACAAGTCTTGCTCCCCGGTCGCCGTGAAGGCCACTGCCGGACTGCGCATGCTTGGACCCGAGATGAGCCAGAACATTCTGGAGGCAGTCCGGACTCGCTTGGAGACCGCCTACCCCTTCCCCGTCGTCTCTCGGGAGAAGGGCGGCGTTGAAATCATGGACGGCTCCGACGAAGGTGTCTACGCCTGGATCACCACCAATTATCTTCTTGGCAAGATCGGCGGTCCCGACGAGACTCCCACCGCTGCCATCTTCGATCTGGGTGGTGGATCCACCCAGATCGTCTTCCAGCCCACTTTCGAGAAGAGCCAGTCCGGTGGTATGCCGGAGCACCTGGCCGAGGGTGATCACAAGTATGACCTTCAGTTCGGCGGGCGACACTTCGAACTTTACCAGCACTCCCACCTAGGATACGGTCTTATGGCGGCTCGCGAGTCTATTCACAAGTCCATTGTCGAGTCGATGCTGACCGCTAGCCCCAATGATCTGGCGTGGCTCCGTCAGCCCATTGCTAACCCCTGCATCGGTCCTGGCATGGAGCGCGAAGTGAAATTGACCTTCTCCAGCGAGCACCCTCTCGGAAAGGAGGTCACCGTCAAGATGATGGGCCCCAAGCCCGGAGTGTCCTCGGCCGCGCAGTGTCGCGGGTTGGCCGAGAAGCTGCTGAAGAAGGAGGCCGAGTGTAAGCTGGCCCCTTGCTCCTTCAACGGTGTTCACCAGCCGTCGCTCGAGAAAACCTTCGCCCGGGAGGATGTGTACATCTTCTCCTACTTCTTCGACCGCACCAAGCCTTTGGGCATGCCCGACTCTTTCACTCTGGACGAGCTGCACCAGCTCACTTCCACCGTCTGCGGCGGCGAGGCCCAGTGGGGCATCTTCCAAGGCATCGAAGACGCCCTGACCCAGCTGCAGGGTCGGCCGGAGTGGTGTTTGGACCTGAACTTCATGCTGGGTCTGCTCCACACGGGCTATGAGATGCCTTTGTCGCGTGAGGTCAAGATCGCCAAGAAGATCAAGAACAACGAACTGGGTTGGTGTTTGGGTGCCAGGTAAGACTCTCTTTTCCACTTCTCTCATTTTCTTGCAAACACTAACGGATTGCCCCAGTTTGCCCTTGTTGAGCCAGGAATCTGGTTGGACCTGCCGCGTGAAGGAGATCTCCTAAGGAGGTCGAAGCGGCACGGTGATGTATAGCTATTTAATTACATTCAGATGGACCCCCCACCTGACTTTTTCTTTTCATGCAAATAAGGCTAGACCATTCGCATGTATGCATCTTTTCCCTTTTCTTCATTCTTTTTCTGCTGTGCAATAGACTTCTTTGTTCGGTCTGTTTTGTGTGTATGGTATGGGTTCAATGTGATCAATGTCTTGGGATATTGCTGCCAAAAACGTGATGCAGACGAGGATATAATAGAAAAAGAGAAAGAACTTTTGTAGGGCACCAAGACGACCTCAAACCAATCGATAATAGTACATATTAGACTCGGCTCCGACCGTATATTGTGCACCATGTAGATAATCCCAAACCGAAGAGCGCCATTTCCATGCAATTATTATACCACCCCGGTCGATGGGGATTATAGTTCTTGAATCGTCGGCTTCTTCGACGAGGGCGATTCGTCGTTGCCCATTAATGTATCCATGACGTTCGAGTCCGTTTCCGATTTCGAACGCACTTCGGATTCTTTCTGGGGCTTTTCAGACTTTTCGCCCTTGTCTTCGTCATCGGAGTGTTGCTCTTCCAGGACACCTAGACCGAGATTCTATACCGTAGTAAAAACCGGAGTTAGCATTCCCTTAGTCCGAGAAGAAGAAAAAAATTCGAGAGTCAAGAAAAGACATACCATCTCAATATACCGCCCCTCACTCTGCTCGTCCACCTCATCCAGCCTCAAATCCATCCCCCGACCGGCGTCAATCTCGCGCTGCAAATCCTCATTCGCGCTCTTCATCTGCGGCAGAAACGCCGACAAGCGCGCCACGAGCCCTGAGTCCCCCTCGACGCGATGAATCCGCGGCTTCGCGCGCCCCGAGATATGCGGCATGCGTACGTCGTCACCGTCACCGTCTAGCCGCCCTACGTTCTCGTGCTCGTCGTCACGCGCCTCCTCGTCGCTATCACTGTCACTCCCCGAGGAGGAGGTGTAGTCGTCGTCGTCATCGTCGTCGGCGGCGGCATGGTTAGCGCCGTGATTCACATCGGCGTTGGCGCTGACGGCGGGAACGGAGCCGTCGCGGGGGCCAGCAGAGGGCGAAATTTGGCGCCGGGCGTGCTGAGCACTCGAGGGCGCGCGAGTCCGGTGGGCAAGCGAGGTGGTGGGTGATTGGCGCTGCGTGTCGCATTCCGGGCGCTTAGTGGGTGCATCGGCCATGATTGCGTTCGCCAATGAAAGTGCAGACCCAGAGGGGTAGAAAGAAAGAGAGACAAGGAGGAGGAGGGGGGGAAGGAGGGGGAGGGGGAGGGAAGTGTGAGAGAGAGTGGGCGAAATGTCGTGCAGAAGGATTTCTTTCTTGGACGTTGACGGGGGAGGAAAAGAAGTGGGGATTGAATTTCGCGGTGGATTCAGATTTCGGGGTCTTGTGTCGCAGGTGGAACGGCGCAGGGGATAAGTAATGAAAGGGAATGGGAAAGGGGAAAGCCAGCATGAAACTGGGAGGCGTGATTTCACTTCTCGAATCACGCTGATCGTCCCGCTGTGTGTGCTCAGTGGACGTCTGTCATATTAGTGGGAAGTATATAAGGAGGGAGGATGTATACCTGGTCTAATCCGTCCAGATGGTTTAACACGCAACAGTCATACTCCGTCCTGTTCTTGTCGATGGTCCAGACGTCCAAAGTCAGTGGGGCTTGTCTTCATTCACAGAGTCATTGTTCCTTTATCCCTCCATGGATGGATTGTCATTGATTGTATTGCCTGATTGTTGATCCCGTCTTATACTTCATTACCCTCTTTGCTCTTTGTCTCGTCCATCTCGCATCTTGTATAAAATGACTCAAGGCTGACTCCAATTCTAGATTTCTTGTTTCTTTTCATTCTTTTCGATTTCTCATCCACCGGAGACTATATACTCCTTTTGGCCCTCTTCCCCCTCCTGAGCCCTGAGCCACTCCCAACCGTCCTAGGGCCAACTGGCATGAGCATCAGAGAACTCGATCTCTCGAACCTATATTACCAGCTCTAAACGACCCATAACCAATCTATACCTTTCTTTTTCTTTATACTCCGTTCTTGATACCCAGAGACGCATACCAAATCAATAAAAATGTCCCTCCCCAAACTCCACATCAACGACGCCAGCCCCATCACCGACGAGCTCACCAGCCCCGACGAATCCACCCTCACGCCCATCACCCGCAAATCCCTCCACCAGAACATCTTCGGCAAACTGCGTCCTCTCCCCTTCCAATACCACTGGACCGTCTGGTACGACAAACACTCCGATCCGGCGGACGACTACGCGAACCGGCTGTACGTGCTACATGAGGACGTTGCCGACATCGCGACCTTCTACCGCGTCTACAACAACTACCCCTGGGACAAGGTGCGGCTGCGCGACACCGTGCATATCTTTCGAAAGGGTGTGCGGCCGGTTTGGGAGGATCCGGAGAACCTGAAGGGCGGGTGTTGGCGGTTTCGGGTGCCGAAGAGCAAGGCGCAGGCGTTCTTTCATGAGATTGCGATCCTTTGCATGGCGAATGAGTTTCAGGCGGTGTTGGAGAAGGGTATGTTTTCATTTCCTTTTCTTTCCTTCTGTTAACTATTCCTATTTCTTGGTTTATTGTTGTCCCAGGGGGACTGGAATAGGAAACTACTCAGAGAGCACTGGCTAACAATATATCTAGAACATGACCACGTCCTCGGCGTTTCCACCTCCGTACGCTTCAACTCGCATCTAATCTCCGTCTGGAACAAGCTCGGTGACAACGAAAAATCCATCAAGGTCCTGGAGCGCACCATTCTCGACCGCTTATCGCCAGACCTCCGGCCCACGGGGTCCGGTTCCAATGCCTACTTCTACAAGCGGCATGACGAGAACGAAGGGTACCAGGAAGCCGTGGAGCGGTTGGCGTTGAAGGATTCATAGCGGTGCGATTTGAGCCCGGGTTCATGCAGTTCCGATTGGGGTTGCTGGCGGTGTTTGTAGTTTCGCTTCTTCTTTGCGCTTCGCTTCCCATGTATCTTTTGTCTTTGTATTTCTTCCCCCAGAGCTTCTTGCGCGTTACTGGTATAAGCGCTCTGGCTTTTCGTTTTCCCTTGTTATACGCGCTGGAAGCATTTTCTTCAGCTTGTCTCTCATATATAACCATAAGCATCAGAGAGCGAGGATGAACATAACCCATCATTAGAATTAAGATTCGGTACTTCCCTATAATACAAAATCCCCAACCCCGATCCCAAGAATGCCATGTCGCTAACTAGTGTACATCCCAAAGATAAAATACAGTATAGACATGCCGACGAAACCGAATCGCATGGAGAGAGCCCTTTCTTTGGTTGCTGTCTAGCGGCTGCGACTCCTCCGTCGACTGGGACTTCTTCTGCGCGGTCGTCGATCCTCAGCGTCGCGATTGCGCTCCGGTTCCTTGGTGGCCGGCTCCCGATCTCGTTCTCCGCCGGGGATGTATCGATCGGCTTCCCCGAAGCGCGGCCGCTCTTCGCGCTCTCGCTGCTCACGCTCGGGAGATCGTACGCGACGACGGGGAGACCGGCTGCGGTTGCTCGTTGCGGGCACGTAGCGGTCGATGTCGAGGGTGTTGGATTCTCGTCTGGGGGACCGTCTGCGAGATCGTGACCGACGGCGTGAGCGTGATCTCTGTCGCGGTGAAGGGGATGGTCGTGAGGAAGTCTCCTGGTCACGGTCACGGTCACGGTTTCGGTCCCGATGGTCTCGATCCCTGTCTCTCTCCCTATCGCGGTCCCTCTCTCTGGGTCGGTCGCGTTCGCGTTCGCGATCACGGTGAGTAGAGCGGGAGCGAGTACGTGAGCTATATCGAGGGCGAGATCGGGAGCGAGCGTAGTCGCTGCGACGGCGACGGTAATCGTCGCGATATCGGTCTCTGTCCCTGTCCCTATCTCTATCCCTCCGATCCCTATCCCTGTCCCTGTCGCGGTCTCGACTACGATCCCGGCGACTGTCAAACCTTTGGTCCCGATCATCCCGACTGCGATCTAAATCCCGCTTTTTATCATCCTGACCCCGCGTGGTAGATCTGCTCCGACTCCGCCGATTAGGTCGATAGCTTCGATCGCCATATCCACCTCGGAAGTCACGAACCGCAGGTCTCTCATCGGAGTCGCGGTCTCGCGGTCGATCGGTGGTGTCCCGCGACTCCCGTCGGCCATCCTCAATCCGAGATGTATGCCTCCTCCTCGAGCGACTCCGACTCTCATCCCGTTTGCGAGAGGAGAGCGGGCGATCTTCTGCCACCGAACTGCGTTTGTGATGTGTGCTAGACTCGCCCGCCGGGCTGTCGTCCTTCGACGCGGGCATGAGGTGCTTGGTGTCGGAGGAACTCTTCGGTCGTGTCGAGGGCGGCTTGAGTCCGTTTTCGATCGCTTCGGCTTCCTCGAAGTCAAACTCGGGTTTCTGTCGGGCTTTGGCCGCGAGCTCCTCGCCCTCCTTGAGCAGGAGCTCCAGCGCTGCTTCTTCCAAAGATTTCTCATCGACCGGCGGGGCAGGCGCAGAGGCCGCGGCAGGAGCGGGTGGTGCCGGCGTGGGTTCCTTGGGAGTGGCGGAGGTATCTTTGCGGCTGTCGCGAAAGCGTGGGGAGAGGCCGCGATCAGAACGGTACCCGGGGGAACGATCGCGATGGCGGTAACGGTCTCGGTCGCGGTCTGAGTCTCGGTCTCGAGTGCGGCTGCGGTCACTATCGCGATATCGATCGTAGTCACGGTATCGATCGCGCTCCTCCCGTCGGCGGCGTTCATATCGTTCCTGACGGTCTTTCTCCCGCTGCTCATCTAGCAGCCGTTGCTCGGCGCGGCGCTGTTCCTCGCGCTCTCTTCGGCGGACTCGATCCTCCTCTTCCTTCTGGCGCTTGATCTCTCGTTGCTTCCGCTCTTCCTCCTCCTTGCGCTGGGCCTCCTGTTCGTCAATTTCTTTTTGCTGGCGCAAGTATTCCTGCCACTCCTTCTCGCGCTCGTCCCGTTTCTCCTTCACTTGAGCGGCGTAATCCTCGTCCGTCTTGTTCCCGGCGCGCTCCTCTCGAGCGGCCGCTTCATCGCCGATTTCCTGGCGCCGGATGTCGCGTACGGAATCGAGAATCGTGGGGAGGTGATTCGAGGCCAGCGCATCAAGGGATCTCTCGACGGATTTGTAGACATCGCTGCGATCCACGGCACCCTCGATCAGGGTCGCGGCTTTCCCCCGTTCGCGAGAAAGAAGCTCGGGTTCGCGATCGATCTCCGATTCTGCTAATTCGACCAGCAATTTAGTAAATTCCACTTTACCCTCCTAGAAGCGAAGGGCATTAGCGCCAGGATCGTAGATTGCGACATGCAAATAAGAACAAAGGAACAGAAAATTAGGAGCCATACCCCTTCGTCAAATTCCGCCCACACTTTCTTCCGGACCGCATCGAACCCTCCTTTCTTCTTGAATGCGTGTAACAGGTGATCAATGGCCGCATGTTGCGTCGCGGACAGCGGCAGCTCCTCCATCTTGAACTTCTTCCGCTGCAAACCATCCAGATCCACAGACGGCCGCTTGAAGCCGCCAACCTGCACATCCGACATTTCCTCTGGCTCCGCCATAGGCGAAAACAAAACCGGACCAGAGACCCAGTCAGTGGCGAGTTCCGTGGTAACCGGGAGGAACAGGCAGAGTGAAACCAAAAGATGCGAGCTTGTCGCAACAGCGAGACAAAGCAGCGGCAGAAACCCTGCGGTCGGCGGAACGATGGTCCGAAGGCGGGCACCGATTGGGAACTGCCGCCCCGTGATTCGACGGGGCAGAGAGAGAGAGAGAGACCTCATTCTCGAGACTTGCTCCGCCGACTGACCGATTAGCCCCGGTACTTCCCTCCCTCCAATTGCTTCTTTTTAACGTCGCTGGTTTGAGCCGCGACTTCAATTCTCCGACCAGTGATCCTGAGAATTCCATCCCTTGTCGATTCCTTTTCACCCGGCTGTCATCATGGTCCACAAAGTCCTCTTCTGGGGCGGCTTCGGTATGTGTTCACGAGTTCTTTCTCCGTCATGCCACGCCCCCTCCGCTCGAGCAACACCATACTCGCCCAATTGAAACCCCTAGACTAATATATATCCCTTGACTGTAGGCATCGCCGTCCGTCTTTGGCAACTCGGCATTGAAATGCGTCCCATCCTCGCTAGGGAATCCCTCTGGGTGTACCCCCTGTTCGCCGGTGTTGGCGGCAGCTTCGGATACTGGCTGCAGGGCGTCGAGAGCCGACAGCTGAAGATCCTCGCACAGCGCCGGGAGGCTATCCTCGAGAAGCGCCGGAGAAGAGACGAGAAGGTGGATGAGACGGGTGCTCTGGCCGCGACGTCGTGAAGGTGAAAAAGGGTGTGTGTGCGCGTGCGTGTGTACATGAGAAGCTTGAAGAGCGAATCGATTCTCAAATTTTCTATGCTTTTGTTTCTATATTGCGTGCTAGGTGTGTGATACTGGAGACACTCAAGGGGAGGCGAGGGGAAATGGAGCCCAGTATACCAATTACTTGTACTAAAATTCGACCGGTTCTTTTTTTTTATATGCTTGACTTTATGAGAGGAGGGAAGCCTGAGACATGGGCTTTAAGCTTATGTCTGAGAGAGCATAGAGCTTAGATCTTGCTCATTTTGTTTGGTGCTTTGCGTTCCAATGACAACTTGATTGAATTCCTTCAACTCCAGTTCAACTCCAGTTCAACCCGACTCAAGTACGGAGTATATCTCTGTAAATGGGTATGTATCCACGTTCTGAACTCCTACAATTGACCGGGCCTCCTACTCCCTCCCTCGATATCCACCAAAGAAACCACATAGGTAGCCCTCACAACCCATCTTCACCCTTCACCCTCTCATAAACCCCCTTCATCACACTCGCATACCCATCCAAATCCCTTCCATCCAGAACCCTCCCTCCATCATAAACCTCCTCCCCCCGCAACCCAGCATGAAACCTCTGCCGGTCGAAGATCTTCGCAATAACCCCCTTCTCACCCCGAGAAGCTCCCCGTACCAGCACCTGCGCCGGCATACCCTTCACCCAGACATGAAACCAGCCCCAGCGCAGCACCTCTTCCGCTAGACGACAGCATCCGTCGACGCACGTACAATGTCGTAGATCGACCTGCAGTAAGGCCAGACGGAACGTCTTCCGCACAAACGTCAGTGTCCGGCCCCATAGGTACTCCTTCATGTTCTCGATGTGGCGATCATGTAACGCCGACGCCGTCGCTGACGCGGTGCTTTCCATGTCCATTTCGATCGAAAATGGGGTACTGCTGGCGCGCGGCGAACACTGGAGGAGCCCCTCCGCCGAAGGAAAGTCGAGATGCATGGCGTCCAGGGCGCGAAGGACCGTCACTTTCTGGTAGCTCGGGGACAGGGCGTCGATGGCCACAGAGACGGTGGGGAGTTGGTCGGCCACGAACTGCGCGAGGTAGATGTAATCGCGGCAGTCGAAGATGAGTTCGATATGGCGTATGGACTTCAAGTTCTGGGCGATGCGTGGCGAGTCCCGGCATGCGCCGGCAAGGAGGTCGATGTGCACGATGGAGAACGTGTTTTCGCGGAGGTAGATGGGGGTGGCTTCTTGATGGATTTGCTTGCAGACGGAGAGCAGGGAGAGCGTGGGGATGCCGTAGGTGTCGACGCGATTGGCGTCGAAGAGATAATCCATTGAGATGAAGGGGCGGACGAAGATGCGCGCCATCACGAGGACGTGGCGGTAGATTTGCTCCCGGATGGGGAGGGGGAGGTCGAGGAAGGTGATCATTCTGTTGCATTGGTTCTCTGGGGGTGTATTGGAGAGGCTTTGACTGGGGAGAGGAAGAGAGTGGGCGTTTGTGTTTCCGGGGATGGTTGAGGTGAGCATAGAAGTAGTGAATGGACGAGGAAAAATGAGTAGGAGAATGGACTTTCGGATAATCAATAAGGGTCGGTCTCTCGCAAGACCAGAACCAGTATGAGATGCTATATATTGAACTAATATAAAGTAGATATGTAGCCTAATTCATGTACAGATGTTGCTCGTGTCAGGTCAGCACTCCTAGCTGCGCGTCATGTCAATCATGCCCTTTCTATCGTAAACTGCAGGGACACTTCCCATCTCTGACCACCAGATCCGTATCCTCCGCCCAGCCGGTTTCTGATCAAGCTAGAGATGCGCTCTCGGAGTCGCGTGAGGTTCTCTTCGGTGCCGGACACTCGGAGTTTCAAGTTCGCCATGCAGAGACCGTAATGGACTTGCCAGAATCGTGCGTCGTCGATCCCGAAAACACAGGGGTCCGCCTCGATGTCCCGGATGACATCAGTCACGCCTTGACCGGAGTAAGACATCAGAAGCATCGATCCCAGCGTCTTGACCAGGCGCACACCAATGACACACATGGAAATGGAGATCGTCACGGACAGCAGCACGTCAAGCCAGTTGTACAGCCGAATGGATACCAAGGGAAGTATCAACAAAAGCGTGGAGCACGAGAGTGTCAGGAAATGGGACGGATTGCTGAGCACCGAGGGCAGGGACTCAATGTATCCGAATCGCATCGCCTTCCCTATCCGCCCGTGGTTCTTCAAGCCGATAGCCGAGACCAATGTAGACGAGACGGCAAGCACAGCGGTGACATCCACGCTGCCCACGGTCACACGATCGTGGGGATGGGAATGGTGGGGTTCATGACCGGATGATTCGAGAAAGTGTTGCAAGTTATGCGAAATGAGGTCCATCCCCATGAAGAGCAGGAGTACACACATAGCAAAACCAGCCAGCACCTCTGCCCGTTCTAAGCCAAAGGGATGCCGAATGCTAGAGCGCTTCCACACTTCGAAGTTGCTCAGGACGTCCACGGCCACACAAAGCATTGCACCCAGCGAATCAAACAGTATCAAATGGGATAGAGCAGTCATGGCCAAGGACCCATGCGCGCTCCAAAGTGTATACGCGGCAACAAACATGTGGCATATACTCCACCAGAATCGTGTTTTCTGATCCTTGGACATACTGGCCCGGCACTCCTTCAAGGTGGGGATGGGTAGCGAGTTTGGCAGTGCTAGGGGCGCTCTTGGGGGCGGTTCCAAAAAGATCTGATGCGAAATACTACTGTGCTTGTACTTGTGTCCGCGACGCTGGCCAATGTTCTATGTTCAAAGATAATCAGTACGATGTCCTTAATACGATTCTGTAGCTCTGCGAAGGAGGCACAAGGAGAGCTTGAGCATCAAAACACCTACAGATTTGATCACCGGGCTCTTTGCCATCGTTGCAGTCTTGAAATTGAAGGGCCCAGCCGGATCAGGGTCGCTCTGGCCATTCTGCTGCGAGTCGGACGGACCAAAACTGAAGTTCGCCCGCGTAGGACTCAAATGCTTGCGATCTTCCGTATCCAGACCACTGCGCGACTGAGCAAACGTGTCTACCAAGGGCGACAGCGAGTCGTGGCCGACAGTCCCTGGATTGGAGCCATGGTTGGGGGCCTTCGGAGGGTCATCCAGAGGCGGAGTGGGAGTGCGCGGAGGGAGAGGAATGGGGAGGTTTGACGCCATTGGAGGTGCCTGACGAGACAGTAACGGGCGCCTGCGCCGCTTGAGGGATTTGGAACTCGGTATGTGACAGGGCAAAGTTCAGGAATGGAGGAAAGAAGGAGGAAAGTTAAGCTGACAGTTCGACCGATCGACAAAAGGAGAGGCGGAAAAAGGGCCAAGGCGGGGGGCTGGCCTGAGGCCTCGACTCACTCGTCGCATCATCGACTCCGCCTTTCTCGCGCTCTTCCCTCGGCCTTCCGATCATCCATCTGTCGACTTGGACTGAGTCCAGTCTCTGACACGCTCATCTGTCCTGATTTAAACTTCTCTTCCTCCCCCATCTTCCTGGTCGCTTGTACATTTCCGCCGTCGTCTTTGCGCCCCTTCTACGGCCATGCGACTTTCAACCTAGGCGCTGTCATTCGAGGAGGCCCCCAGATTCCGATGCCTACATCGTCTTGGCATTCTTGATGGATCACCGCGGTTCCTTTTTCTTCCTCTTGGTCGTATTCTATCTTCTTCTCAGCTCCCAGTCGCATCCTCCGTTGATTGTTCAGGACCGAGAACATCAACGGGAAGTGGCCAGGGAACGCCATGCGCTGCGCTTGCTGAATGAGTCCAACTATGGGGACTTCAACCCGCAAGAGGATCGATGGCTTCCGTTCCCCGGGGTAAGAAAGAATGATAGTTACGCCTGGGACCTCCTGGGAGATGTACAGGATAGAGCTCGTTACCAACTCCATAATGCCATCTCCGACGCCGGATTAGAGCCCCCGAAGGGACTCCAAGATCCCAACGCATCCCCCGCGCTCAACCTCTCCCAATTGCTTCTTCCCGTTTATCGCAATTGCACGGGCAAGCTGCGGGGAGAATGGGTACGCCGTAAGCAGGACAAGCCGCATCCTCCGCTCAATACGACTGCGATCGCCTTGGAAAATGAATATTTTACGCATGAATTTAGCCAGAATGTCACCGGCCAGAGTGGGACCTTCTATCTAGATCTCCGGGAGGGAGGTGGTGAAGAGCTCCGCCTCCGCTCCGGCCATATTCGAGAAATCCGAGCCACCTTAGCGGTAGAAAGTGGTGACTTTTGGGGAAACACATGGTACCTCTCCTTGTTCGGGGTGCATTTCCCGGAGACAGGAGGCATCCTGTTGAGTACCACCAGCGAGAAGTTTGGGGGTGTGTTTTCGCTACCGCACTTGATGCTATCGCCCGACTCTTACGACCTCGCCCACCAGCTACTCCTCAAATCTCTCTCCGACACTCTTTCCGAAAAGAAGAGCCGCCCGCGGACACTCTTCCCTTGGTCGTCGCTGGTGGGTACCGAACAGGTGGAATATCCCGCTCCGAAATGCGAACACATAGTGTATTTGCAGCAGCATCCCGTTGCAGTCAACGACTATCTTGCCGATAGATTACTCATTGAGCAGATAGAGCAGGAGCTGAGATTTCCCATGGGCGCTCCAATACCGTCTCCGCCACTCATGGTTATGTCGGCTCTAGTGTTCTCTCCTGACTGCGGTTACATCCTGGAGACCAAGGGCGCCCCTGATTTCCCTCCGACGGACGCACTGTATCTTTCGGGGCCCAAACTGGAAGAATTCGGTAAATTCTCTGCTCGCATAATCTTTGTGATGGCTGGCGTTTCCGTCGCTCAGATCTCATTACTCTTGCGCCAGGTGAAGGAGGCTTCCACGCCTTCCACTCGCAGTCGGATCAGCTTCTTTACCATCGCTCTGATGGCATTTGGCGACTCCTTTCTGCTCGTACTCATCCTCCTGGAACTCTATCCCGCGGTTTCGTTCTTAATCATGACAACTACGTCGTTCCTCACTTTCCTCTCGGTCAGCTATATCGGAATGAAGTTCATGATGGAAATCTGGGCTGTTCAGGCTCCGGAAAGAAGAGAGCAGGAACGCCGCTCGAGCCCTCCGACTAATACTCGACCGGGGAGTCTACCACTTCCTGCGACGGCAGCGCGCGTCAGAGATACCGGCGCAACTCCGGTTATCTTGACCCCCGACCAAGACCCTCCGGACGAGGAAGACGAGCCGCCTCCAACACGCGGTGCGGCTCCCACCGCTCGGGAAACTCGCAGCGATGTCGGCGCTATGTACGCCCGTTTCTACTTTGTGTTGTTCGTCATGCTCATAACCTCTATTTGGTCATCCCTTTGGCCGAACCGACTCGGAAAGTTATACGCGCGGACTCTTGCGTTCATTTACCTGTCATTCTGGACTCCGCAGATATATCGCAACGTCATGCGTAACTGCCGCAAAGCTCTCCGATGGGAATTTGTGGTCGGACAGAGCTTCCTCCGACTGTTCCCGTTTTTATACTTTCTCACCGTGCCCGGGAACGTGCTGTTTGTTCGCCCCGACACAACCACAGCACTTGCGCTAGCTGGCTGGGTATGGGTACAGGTTTGGGTCTTGGCCAGCCAGGACATTCTGGGCCCGCGCTTCTTTGTCCCTCGAGGCTGGGCGCCCCCAGCCTATGATTACCACCCCATTGTGCGGGACGCGGTCGATCCCACGGGTGAGCTGGAGTCCGGCGGAGTTTTATCGATCGGGGCTCTGCGGGCCGATGAGAGGGATATCAGCGACAGCAAAGATGACGACAAGCACCGATCTAAGGATAAGAAGAAAGCCATCTTTGACTGCGCAATTTGCATGCAGGACATCGATGTCCCCGTGCTGGCGGGGACTTCGGGCGGCAGCAGCGTGACGGACGGGGCGACCAGCATTCTCAGTCGTCGCGCGTACATGGTGACGCCGTGTCGACACATTTTCCACAGTACATGTCTGGAGAGCTGGATGCGACTCCGACTGCAGTGTCCGATTTGTCGAGAGTCAATTCCGCCTGTATAGATAGAATCTAGCTAGCATATCGGGGCGTCAAAGGGTAGACCGTTCGCATTGAGGGAATTTCTCATCACATACAAATTGCAGCGTGCTGTACATGACAAATCTCAAACCCAATGATTATTAAAAGCAGTCTGAACAATCTGGGTTCCAATCGCTAGCTGTAAGCCGAGGAGCTCTTCGGTGTAGAGCCGCACGGCAACACATCCCCACATTACATCATCGAGTTCAGCACGAACACCCTCAGTAAGATAATCATTGATATCATTGTATATTATGAGGGCCTTCCCTGTTGAACAGAAAGCCCCAAAGCCAGCGACGGCTCAGCGCAAGTCTAACATTTTCCTCAGACAGATATAGATATAGATAAAAAAAAATTGGAACAATAAAACCATTCCTCATAGAACGAACCCGCGCATAAAGAGTTGAAACGACCCCATCATAACCAAGACGAGAAAAACCAAAAATCTTTCACAAAACACCGCTCAGCTCAAAGACACAATTTACTCCTCATCCAGAGACTCCTTGTAGGCCGCAGCATCCAGTAGGCCGTCCAGCTCGGCCGCGTCGCTGACCTCGATCTCGGCGATCCAGCCATCAGCCTCGGCGCTCTCGTTGATGGTCTTAGCCTTGTCCTCGAGGATGGAGTTACCCTTCACGACGGTACCCGAGACAGGGGACAGGACGTCGGAGGCAGACTTGACGGACTCGACGGCACCGACGGGCTCTCCGGCGCTGACCTCCAGGTCCTCCTGGGGCAGCTCGACGTAGACAACGTCACCCAGAGACTTAGCGGCGTATTCCGTGATACCGATCTTGGCTATTGATTACAAAAAAGACACAATTAATTAGTCTTCTGTGGTAAAAGGGAGGGGACCCATGTGTGCGAGAGAGGGGGAGGGAACACTCACCCGTCTTGCCGTTCTCGGCCAGCTCGATCCATTCGTGAGACTCGGTGTACTTCTTCACCTCCACTACAGCAAGGGGAAGGAACAATTAGCTTTCCAAATCATAGCGACAGGCCTCAATGGCCTTCTGAAGGGCGAATCGGGAGGGAATCGCACTGAACGGGCTCTGGGAGAAGCTCCTGATACTTCCCCGCGGGAAACCCATGGCGGGCGAAACCCTGCGGGCAGCGGCCAGCGGGAGCTTCTGGGAGAGGGCGCGCGAGGCGAAGGGACGGATGGAGCGGGCGACGGCAGACATTGCGATGGATGGGAGACGCGAAGGAATTAATGGGAGCAAGGAATTGGGAAAGGAAAGGAAAGAGGAGCGGAGAGAGAAAAGCGAGAGATTAAGTAGTTGTCGGAAGGAAGGGAAAGCAGGCATGACGGAAGACGAGGACGCTAAAAGGGCGACTGATAGCGGGTTTGCCAAGACCGGCCGATAAGGAGCCGTCGAACTCGAAGCGTCGGGAAAATCTCGTCGGTTTCCCCATCCTCCGTTCTTCTTCTCCGACGCCTTGTCCCTATCCCCACTTTCTCTCGCCCCCGATGCTCTACGAATTGATTGCTATTGTATGTGATCTTGTCTTTCATGTCCGGTGGTCTGATGTGCCGTACTAACCCCCCTCGATTAGGTCCGTCCGGGCAGTCTCAATGAGGTCCGAGAGTACGTGTTATGATTATCCTCTACCCCCGATCGATCGAGCGATTTCCTTCGTTGCACGGATCACGACAATCATCATTGACAAATGAATGCGGAAACTGATGGAAAACTGACGATGTGTATAGCATTGCCCGTAATGCTGGTGTTCAGGTCCTCCGATCCGGCGGCGTAATCCGCGGCTACAACAACTGGGGCACTTTCCGACTACCCAGGCCTACCACGAAACATCAGGCCAGATACACCGAAGGCCACCACTTCGTCATGCGCTTCGACGCCTCGGGCCCCATTCAGACCGCTGTCCGAAGAACCCTCGGTCTCGATCCTCGGATGATTCGATTCTCGGTGGTGAAGCTGGGCGACAAACTCGAGAACATCAAGGACGTGGAGGGCCATATCAAGTGGAACAACGCCCGCAACATCTCCGAATCTATCTAGGGGAACAAAAGCGATGATTATGAGATGAGATTGAAACGTGGGAGAGTCTTGAGAGGTCTCGCTAGGAGTGGTCCTTTTCGGTTGGGACATGGATGATGTATTATTCATTGTATTCTTTGGGCACGGGAGCCGTCATTTTGTACTATCATACCAGCATCGCAGGCGCACATATATACTGTTCTTTTTCTTTTCGGGAATTGTTTGCGCTCTCCAAATTTTGCAGCGGCGCGAGGAATCCCTTCCGGGCACGTGATCACGATCATCTGGATCCTCTGGACATTGAGATTCTCATGGACGGTGAAACGCAAGTCTCTGCTAGACCAGCGTAGATCAATTATAGCGTACCCTTTCAATGGGATTGACATAAGACATAAGGACCGCTAACTAGGGACTTGCCGCCACGCATCCGGTCAATGAACCGAGGTCGATTTCCCCCTCTCATGTCGGCTATAACTAGGAACATCACCCGAACTGAACCTCGCTGCATCGACTAAGCATCCCTGCATTTCAATCTGACCTGTTCGCTAATCATCTACCCATGGGATATCAAAGTCCTCTGTTACCACACATCCGATTACAATATCTCTCTCATCCAGGATCTCCGCATTTTCCGCGCCCCGGCAAAAAACCCGCGAACACTACCTACGTATTTCTATAGTACTATACATTGGACACCGGTCCCGTTGACAACAATAGCGATTAACCAACCATGGCGCCTAAGAATGACAAGCAAAAACTACGCACTTCACGCGATTTCGTGGGGCTAATGGCCCTGCGACAGCTCGACAGCCCCGAAACCACGGCAGAGCACCCCGAGAAAGTCGAGCGATTCCAGTCGCTATCTGTTCCCTATCCTCCGGCTGAGCGCGATTCAGCATTCGGAGGACACGTCTTCGCGCAGTCGGCCTTTGCCGCCTCCAAGACAGTGGACAAGGGGTTTCTGATTCATGTATGCTACGCTATAATTAAACCATGAAAGCCAGAAGGCAGTCCGTCAGTTGACTAACCCCATACTCAGGATGTAACAGGGACATTCATACTCCCCGGCCGACTAGACGTTCCGTACATATACACAGTGCGCCACCTCCGCGACGGCAAGATGTACTGCTCGCGAGCCATCGATGTGAGACAGGACGGCGCAATCTGCTTCTCCTGTCTCTGCTCGTTCAAGCGAGACGAGAGAGGCCCGACGTTTAGCCACCAGCCCACATCCGCGCAGGAGCGATACCGACACATCCTTGCCGCCAAACGGCCGGACGAGCAACCCGTCAGTCCCAGCGTCGACGTGGACTGGTGGATCGAGCTCGTGAAGAACGGAAACATCACGGAGTCTGAATTCCCCGGGCTGGACGTCCGCAAGGTCGATATGCAGGGCTACAATAGCTCGCTGGAGGTGAAGCAGAATCCCGAGAAGTATCGCCAGCTGCATCTCTACTCGCTTAAAGGCCAGCCGGAGGAACAGGGGGTGGTCATCAGTAGGGAGGAAATGCGAAGCCGAGAACAGTCGGCGGTATATGATAATCTCTACGCCTGTGCGCATATGTATGCGAGTGATCGGAATTCGCTGCTGCTGATTCCGCGTGCCCTCGGCCATACCCAATGGGTGGCTATGGCGAGCTTGACCATCATGGTTGTTTTCCACGAACATGGGGATGCGCTGCGGATGTTGGATTGGGAGGCAGCAGAGAGCCAAGAGAGTGGGGAGACAACGAAGAAATGGTTTGTACAGGAGGGCTGGACGCCACGCTCTGGCGAGAATCGGGCCATTCATGAGAGTTGGCTGTGGAGTCCGGATGGGAGGTTGCTGGCGACGAGTTACCAGGACAGTTTGCTGAGGCTGGCGAGGCCGGAGCCCCAGGGGAAGCTATGAGATATATCATGGGATTTGAAGGAAGCTATAGAATGAAAGCATATATAATGTCGATATTATACCACATCTATATCCAGATCAAGTTCACTATACACAGCATCCCCGTATCCATACCATCTTTTCCTTTCGCGTTTCTCCGAAGATCGAACAGAATCTACAATTTCGTCCGTCCCTCGAATCCACCAATCAGCCCGGCAGGCTTGATCTCCGGTTTCTGTGCCAAAGCACCTCCAATCGCCTTAGAGAATTGTTTGAACGCAGGCGACGAAGCGTGAGCCTTCAGGCTCTCTTCATCCTTATATCTATTTCTCATATGATCAGCCATATATTCACCACACGGAGACATAATCCAAAGAGCCAGACACTCACTTCTCAACAAAAACCAGCTCCTTCGATCCGCTAGGCTGCACGGCAAAGTAGATCTGGGTGCCTGACTCCTGAGTCTCGATGTACTGGACCAGAGTCTTGAAGGCTTCGACGACCTGTATGTGACAATTAACTTCTCGAGCCCTGAGCACATAGAGAAAAGACGGAGGGCATGAGAAAGTGTGTACACACCTGGTCGAATCTATCGGGCTGAGGAACCAGCTTCACGATACTGTAGATGGCGGGCATTTTCAACGGGCGGGGTTAGTCTGATCGTAGGCGTGGGTTCTGTCTGTCAAGATGCGGTTGGGGACTTGATGAATGAGAAGAGGGAACTGGTTTAGAGTATGGGAAATATGCCTATGAATGTTGATTGATATATGCGCGAGAATGACAGCTTCTCGGTAAGATTCGAAGTTCGATGTTGTGGAGCCGAAGATGCCGAGGATATAACTAACTATGGATTTAATGATTACTTCATTGGCGATCGCCTCATCAGAACACGACATCTTTTTTCCTGTTGTTTATCGGGGAACTATGTTTCCTTATATTTTTAGGATATTAAACTATGTTTGATGAAAATATCGAGGATATGTGGATGTTAGAGAGTTTGGTGAAATAGGCTCATGAACAGTTTAGGGGTCAAAATATTGTTTTGAGTAAACAAGGTACGTTGAGTGGTGTAAATAAGAAGTGTGATGAAGTCACCTGTCTAAGACTCGGGTATATATTTATTATTTGAAACTAGACTACTAATATTCGAATATAGAGTAGTCTGGTCCCAGTTCAGTCTTCTAATTACGGTTCTTTATTAACCCCGTTGTAATTTCTCTTGAGAGCCAAAAAAATTATCTATATATGACAATGAACTAGAGACTATATGACCGCTGCAAGAATGGGGTAAATTTTCTTTGAGCCAGCTGATCAGGGTATTTCAGCTGATGTAGAAGGACAAGAGGTAACTAAACCGGACTATTGATCCGAGCTGAACCGAGCGATCTACAGACTGTAGATCAGTACAGCCTTATTTTCTTTACTTATATTCAAGGTCACCAGATCTCCAAGTCTCAAGAGTATGTACAGTAAGAGGTTGGCTGATCAGCTCAATGAACCTTGTAGTTTCAGCTCTACGACACGAAGTGATAATTGACACCGACCATATCACGCCTAGGCGAACAAATAGTCTCCAAGAAAAACATTGGGAAAACCTAGTATTTAACTTTGACTTAATGCGCTTAATGTGATATTTTACTTCTCGGAGAAGAGGTTCTTGTAGACCTCCATTTTAGTATCCTTATGTTCAACTGAGATGCAGCTAGTCAATCGAGGTCTTTTAAAATTGCGGAGTATGTATGTACTTGATCTTTCAGCTGATGTACGTATGTTGATGTATGCAGTGTTCCTGGAGTCATCTATTGATTTTGTGTGCTGTGGAGATTAGTTCGACCATTGAGAAAGAAGTAGATGGTCTGTAAGCAGAGCAGCAGAACCATCACATTCAATAGTCTCTTTTTCCCTTGCATAGCACATTTCAGGTAGAAAGTACTTTACTTGTAGATCTCTGGATAAAGCGCCATGGGGCCTCTATAAATGAGGCCTTGCGTCGGTCTTTGAGACAATATCACACTCATCTTATCTCCATATCTCATTGCAATAACTACTATTATAGCTACCATAATGAAGTTCACTCAGATCCTCTTCACGTCCGCATTTGCAACCGCCTGCCTGGCCTTTGATACATCGGCCACAGAAGGCATCAAAGAAGACTATGATATCCTCGGAGAATGGAACTACGGCCTGCAGTCGGGTACCTTTGACTCGGACAATCTGGGCGAAGCTATGATCGCAGAAGCGGTGAAGTTGGTGGATCCTGTGAAAATCGAGGATGCCTTGAAGATCGAGTCTCAAAACAGTGTATGAAACACACTATGTCACCTGAACACCAAAAACCTGTGTGGAAACTAATGAAATGGTTGTCTTTCAGGCAGGAGAATGCTCTGCACTTGCCGAGGCTTCGGAAGGCGTAAGTCCTCTGTTCTCAATTCAACGTGAATGCAAGACCGACAGCTGACACGAACAATAATAATCTCAAGTTCGCTCACCGGCTCTCGGATCTGTTCCACAACATTGAGGACCCCAAGGTGCTATGTGAAGCCAGCTTCCAGAGCAAGATCGAGCAGTTCGGGAGCACTATCGTACTCCATCCTCATATCATCGAGGTAACTATTCCTTTCAACTATTCATATAGTTCAAACTTGTGTATCTAGCTGGAGACTGATCCACCATGTTTCTAGGTCGTGGAGGTAACCCTCAAGAGGGACTGCGATGCTGATGCCGATGACGTCAAAGCGGCTCTTGAGGCCTTCCCGCAGGCTTTCTCGAACTTTGATGCATTCCTCACAGCCCTGAGCGATGCCAATGCGACTTGTTCTGGCAACTAGTCTCAGACAAAATGAGCTAAATCTGATCCGTTCAGCGGATTTCAATTTCCAAACCGAATATGGCAGTCAGATTGATGGGTTGAATTCACGTGAAGGAACGGAACGTGTGATAGTTGGATGCCCTAGAATAACTGAATGAGTCCATCAAATGTTCAAGCTCCGAAAACCTCAAGTGAAAAGCGCATTGTCCATCTATAGACTAGAATCACTAGGCCGGGAACGTGATTTAGTAAATTCAGTCCTCGCTCATCGGATTAGATTTGCCCCCGAGTGCTTTGCAGATAAACTTTGAGTGCACCTGAGATAGGTAGTAGAAGCATAATCTCCGCTCTGGTGCCTGCCCTCTTGAGGACGGAAATAGACCAACAGAGGTTTTGATTAAATCAGGAAGATGTGTTACATTGAAAAGACAAAGGTAACAGAGGTTTCTGTTGCCTAAGGAAAACCAGGCATCACGTGGCGGTCACGGGTTGAAACGGGTTAAAGCAGCAGCATCCCCAGACGAAGCATTTTCTCATACATCCATCATCTCCATTCTCTCCGGTGGAGCTTCTCAAGTTTCATCTTCATCTTCGACTTAGTATCTTATCTCCGAAGTGTTTGGACTAGACCACGCTGTTGAATCCCCTTGCCTTGTTTGAAGTTTAAGCCCCAACAAAATGGCCATCGAAGTGGTTCCCCTTACGGAGGCAGATATTCCCGGAGCGATCGAGGTCATCCAGCAAGCATTTGCCGAAGACCCCTATTTTGAGTGGGTATTTGATGCCCCCAACGTAAGTCACATCCATCACCTTCCGGGCTCCGTCGACGGGCTCGACTCGACCTTCCGCTTTGATGCAGAATGCTCTCCGCGTGGGCGGGACCTAGTCCCTAAGCGAGGCCATGACTCGATAAGCGATCGCTTACAAGCACCATGCTAACATGATCGGCCATCTCATGGCGTCGATCGAACGTAACTCGATCTACGCTTATGAATGCCATGTGGCTGAGACGAATCTAGTTCAACAAACAACGAAATCACGACTCTCTCGCTGCCCGCTGCCTGTGGGGCATCAACAATGCCCTGTTCCATGTCGCTAAGGAGACTGATGCTCGTGTGAATGGAGAGGTAGTGGATCCCACTGATCAAAATAGTGCGAACACCGGTTCTTCGCGTATTGTGGGTGTCTCGTGTTGGTTGCCGCCCCATGCGTCTTCTGAACCGGAAAGCTGGTATAGTTGGTACCAAGGGTGGGTGCTCTTTTTCCGCCAGTTCATGAACAACTTGGTCCACTGGGGCCGCGGTGGTCTAATCTCGAGACGATACTGGATCTGGAAGGAACGTCAGGCAGAAGCTCAGAGCGCGATATGGGACGACCCCAAGGGATATTATTTCTGCAACATTGTGGCGGTCAAGCCCGATGCCCAGGGCGGCGGAATTGGAAGGAAATTGTTCGAGAAAGTGACCGAGCAGGCTGATCGTGAGGGCGTGAAGTCGTATCTGGAGAGTTCTCGGAACGAGCCTAACGTGCCAATCTATGAGAAAATGGGATTCGAAATGAAGCGGGTAATGGAATGCCGAGATGGGGATGATGCTTGCATGGTAAGTGGAGAACGATACCCGAACTCTTTTGCAAAGCTCTCTACTTACAAACTTTGCAGCTATACTGTATGGTCCGCGAGCCACGAACTCGGAAAGATTAATGGTTGTGAGTGGACGTAAATTTCTTTGTGACTGCCATTAAAGTCTTTGAAAATGAATTGACGTGATTGCTGGATTGTGTTTCTTTGTTCGGTCGATGCTTGATCACAAATTATGACTAGTCAGGACATAGACGCACTATGTAGATAAAACCGGATGGGCTTCCCCAAGAGAATCAAATTATTCAACACAATGAAACGCCTGACATCTAGTTAGAAAGTCAGAAAACAGTGTTCACCGCTAAGATGATATAGCATATGCAGAATGATCCCTGAAGCCGGACCAAACTGTCCTCCGAGAGCCGTCGTTTCCAAGCTCCCTGTTTGCATTTACGGCCCCAACCACGTTTCAGAAGGCGTTCTTAGCAAGAAGAAGGAAGAACTGCTGTCAGCCGGCGACATATCCATGTCTATCACTGACCACTACCAGTCACCGTCAAAGTCGGAAATATCTAAATGAAACCCGGGGTAAGGGATTGGATCCACTGAGGTGTCCACTGCTAGGACCTGCCATTTTGACCAGAATTTTGCAGTTTCAAATTCACTATCCCTCCAGGGACATCAACGGACCGACGTGCTCCATATCATATTACATTATAATAACTCCGTTCATTATGAGAGGGGAGTGGCCGATCATCACCAAGGTTTGGCCTAACTGCACACAATCCCTCCCATAAATCGCGTGAGTATGTACGCGAACGATAGTGCAAATCTAACACGTAATGGATTGATGATTTGACAAGACATATGTCAATCAACAAGGCGAAAAATTCTGCTTAGCGCGAACGAGAGACCAACGGTGCCAGTCAACCAGTTCGGCGTCGTCGTTTCACAACGTCGACATGCAGCACTAGTCGGGTAATGCGTGGGCCTTAGCAATGCGATGGATCAAAAAAGCGGCAGACCCGGCGTTTATGGTAGATTGTCGCGGATAAGGTTAAACGGAAGGCACGGAGCTTTCCCATGCTTTTCGATGTTTCAGGGGACCTCCTGACATGCTGAATTTAGAAGTTTCTGACATGACAGGTGGAATCGAAAGGCCTCGCATTGGTTCTCCTCGTCGGTCCTTACTACCGGTTGCCTGAGTAAGAACTCCGCAGTCTGTCGGTGCCTCAGTGCTATGATAATATAATAACAGGGAAAATGCCTGGGAGAACCTGGCGGCGGGTCGTTTCTCCCCCCAAAAAAATCCTTCTTTTATTGCCATATGGCATATACCTAACTTTATACACGCTCCTTGGAAATACCCTCAAAAACTAATTGACCACACCCACCTTTCTACACTCATTATATTGCCTTAATTCTAGTGTTTACTGTTTAATTGCCGACTCTGATTTATTATCCCCCCCCGATTATATTCGAATTAATTTAAACAAAGAGGAAGATCGTGACGAAACCATGCCTTAGCCTAGAACGATCATGACCCAACCGAACCAACAACTCTCCAACCTTCATTTCCGCTCCGACGCCTCGCAATCCAACTCTCTCTCCTCAGCGGGTAAAGTCGGTCTTATCCTTGGTTTAATTGGTAAGATGATCCTTTCTTTGCTCTTCCTCCAAACCTCCCGCCCTTCCGTGCTGGGAAAGGCAAGAGGGTCTCCACAAGAGACCATTCCATCCCATCCCATCCAATCCTCCCCCCATCAAAGAAATCAATCAAATGATCAGATCAAGTCAAAACCCGAATTTCGACCCCAGTGTCTTCTAAGCCAATGATCCTTGCTCACGTCCAACATCATTTCCAACACAAACAGCAGGGGTCACGTTGATCGTCCTCCTCGTCATTTACATTGTGCTGCGCCTGAAACGCGGGCCTGTCATCACGCTCAGTTCTTTTCTTCCTCATCCAAGTAGGAAGGCCGCTTCTCTCCGAAATCTCCCGTCCGACGATATCGAACGTGGACTCCGCTCCAGAGCAACGGATCGGAGCGCTTCACGGGCCACAACAACTCGGACGACTCGAACGACTCGAACGACGGAGAAAGACACCACCGGCGGTAGAGGAAGTGGAGGCGGTCGACGACAGACCAGCTCACCAGCTCATTCTCATTCGCAATCACATCGCAAGGTAGCACCTGGCTACCACCAACAGCATCACCACCACCTCTCCTCGCTGGACAAGGAGTTAGGACTCAAGAAGAAAAGCGCGGGCGGAGGCGGCAGCAGCGACCGCGGCTGGATGAACGTCATGACGCGCGACTTCCACGCCGATCCGCATGGACCAACGCCCACGAACCCCCTGAACACTAGCCGGGACTTGAATCACAATGTGACGGTAACAATGCCGGTCTCTGCGTATGCCCTGCCGCATGAGCGCATGAGGGACCCTGTTCGCGTGCCGCCACGTCCTGTCATCGCCAGCCCGGGCGTGCCGCCCAGCCCGGCGTTTAGTCGCTTGACGACGAGCACGGCGTCTTCGGCGGCGCTGCCGTCGGCCAGGTTCATGCCTGGGATGCGGAAGAGCGAGGAGGCTTGATTGTTTTTTTTTTTTGATTGTTTTTGGGTTTGCTCGATACTCTAGTTCTGTTGGAGCCGATGTCAATGGGATTGGAAGTGGTAGGGTACACAGAACTATCCTGGTATGTATGTAATATAGTCAGTACGTGGGGTATTTCAGAAAGTTGTCGTTAATCGTTTATTCCATTAATTGTATACTAGAATGGGAAGAATTCCAAATACCGGAGATGGAAATGAAGGCCTCGGGCAGTAAACACGGACATTGAATATGCGACCAACAAAGAAACACAACCGAGCCTCGAGCTACTCCGTAGGTAGATAAACGGAAAAATTTCCGTCAAAGAGACCCTTCCAAGGAATATACCCGAGGTTATTCTCACCAAGAACACCTCCCCAACGATGTTTCAGGAATTCCAAATCGACGACAGCAGGCCAAACAAGCAAGGAATACAGAGTACGGCAACCAATATAATAACGCAATCAACAACAGAGTCAGAACCAAGCAAACAACCGATCGTCTAATCCCGCCAATGGAAACCACCCCACCCCATCATGCCTTGAAACAATCTCATCCAAACACCACCATCTATCACTCAATCACATCCTACTTCGAGCCGACGGAACACTATGACCCTCCCGTCGTTTGGCCGTCAGAACGCCGATCTAAATAATCCTTGCTTAGGCCGTCACCACGGTTCCCTCTCTCGGGACTCGGTATGTGCCCTACCTAGACAAGCATGTATATCCATACGGGGTAAAGTCAACGAAAGAGGGGAGGGGAGGGGGGAGTTCGGGGTCCAGATCTTCTACCCAAAGTACAGTACATACATACCCACATTGCCTTGTTTAGGCCAAAGCCCCTGCACGTGCAGGTCCCTGGGTCTAGATTACCTAGTAGTAGTTAGTCGAAGGGCCAACATACACAGTGTACTATATGCACGGAGTACTAAAATAAGTAAGTCGGGACTTGCACAATGCAGGCTAGACGAGACGCGACGAGCCAGCCAGGATGGTGTATGTATGTACTGTACACTAAGCGTGGTGAGCAGCATTAGTTAGTAGCGCATTAGACTGACTGTCAGTGCGGCACGTGCCATATACCGACGGAAGCCATCTATATTATTCACTATCCCTGCCAACCTAGCTAAGAGGGTCAATTAAAAGAAATTGAAATGCCCAGTCTGTACAGATAACTAGGGAGAAACTACCTTAGCCCGCTTGATCCGTGCGTCCAAGGGGGGTTTGCAGGGGCCGCGATTGGCCGGGCCGAAGTTGCGAGTGGCTCCAATTAATTTAACCTGCATTTTGACAGGTCGGGAGTGGGGGGAAACACTCGTTGCAGGTGCATTTCATTTGCATTTCATATGAGGATTCGGTCTGGAGGGGTTGTTCGTTTATTATTTTGCGGTCATTCTATTGGTTCTGCGGTTTTTATTCATTTTATCTTGGTTTGTTTTGTTTTTGGTGCTGCGCTTCTACCTACTACCTACTAATGTATGTACTATACGTGTAATCGGTGACGCCGGAGGATCCTTGCTCTAGAGTACCGTGGTTTGGTTTGATTAAATTGATTAAATTGATTTCGATTTGATTAAGTGGTGGTTTGAGCCTACCAAGGTACGTTTTGTACGTACTACATGCTTACATAGCTTGGTGTTGTTGATCTTCACTCCATATGCTCTCAGACTTGAGTACTTGCATCGTGAACTGCCCGGCTTATGTGAGATGCAGCAGGACCCTTCAATTAGGGTTCGAACAGGTCGATAACCGACAGATAGAAGCGCACAATGTAAGATTCGAAAGAAAAAAAAAAATAGAACCAAGAACGGGATTAGTTCATTTCGGCATAATCCGATCTAGTATGGTCCCCGGAGATGAGTTACCTCTTTACCTATCCTGCAAGCCCGACGACGCCTAAGGTACGGTAGGTAGATACCTGGTCTTCCCATGGAAGTCCCCCCTGGGACCCGATTTCGCTACATGCCTATTATTTCCCCTCCAATCAGGCCACGTCATGTCCAAATCCTGGCCAACAACATCAGGACTTTCCCTGACTAGGCAAATTCTACCATCTAGGAGAATCCGTTCTATTCCCCACTAATGCCGAGATATCTGCACAAAGAAACAAAGAACTTGCCTCCACCTCCCGGCCAAGAGCTACGTATGCATCCGCCGGGATAGACCATGCGTTTCATCTAACCGACGGACATGCGAGAGTACGCAAAGCGGCCGTTCCGGCCAACCAAAATAGACGCTCACTTTCAGCCGAGACGGGTAATGGACGATCTTTTTTACCTGGGTAGAAACCGAGACCTGAGTATAGCCATCACCAGTCTCACAGCCTGTATACAGTAGAGGTGGCTATGTAGTGTAGACACAATTCAACCGCGTGTTCAAAGTGTCGCAAGGCTAGCAAACACCCAGATCCCAGATCTATACCCGCCGATCAACATTTCATCATTCTTGCATCATATCTCACCCGCCATCAGCGTGGCTGATTGATTTGATTGACGTGCCCACACCATAGGCTCCTGGCCCGGATCGACAACCCATCATATCATGCAACCCGATGCAATCAGGACAAATTCCCCGCCCGAAAAGGATCCCGATGTCCCAAAAAACGCATCGAATAATAACAGAACATCTATAGACCCCATCCGATTATCACCTTCCTCGGCACTCTCACGGCTAGCTAGTTAATTAGTTGATGAGTTGATTATTTATTGCGAAATGTTTCAATCTGCGACAATCCCAAAGCCAGCGTATGTACCTAGTTTAGCCCGCGGAAGGATTCAAATACCGTGTAGATGACTTTCCATGGCACTGACTCGAGACGTCCCTCACTGCCTTTTCGAGGGCGTCGTGCGCGCGCGCCCATATCCCGGTTCTGGTCGCTGAGTGGCTGCGTCATGTTGGGATTTGCATCACATTGGACCAGGACAGACGAATCGATAAATTGCAGTGGCGAGGTCTCGAGACGCGTCTCGAATCGAGTCAGTTTAAGTCTTGCGTTTGCTTTATTTGTTGGGGAATGTCGATGATGACAGGGATGGGGAAGTTGATTGGACGCATTACTTTCTACTATTTGCGGAGTACAAGAACTCCATACACCGATAGGTAGGTATACTTTATCTAGAAAAGAGCATATAATTACATACATACGTACATACATAAAACGTACAGCGAATAGTACACATACATCAAGCCTACCAGGCTCTCGATCCTCCAGGATTCCAATCCTTAATCCCATTCTACCAGGGTGGGCGTGATGAAAAAAAAGAAGGTTCAAACTCGGGGAATAAAAGTAACGGCCAATGCATATTCGCCGTTATTCCCCCGGTCCCTGTAATGATTTCATACCTGACTACAACAGCATGTTCCTACCTGATATCTGCGTTTACTTCGTAGGGTTACGAACCCAACAAGGACTACCAAGGTGATAGAGAGGGGGGAAGGATCGACAATAAACTACTTAGTAAAGTAGTATCTAGTTACTTAAATAGGCAATGGTTTGCCCATTCCTTGTCTTCCTTCCCATATGTGCTTTGACAATAGATATGATATTATCCAGTGTTCTGTCTTCCTTCGCTTCAGATGATCAATTTATTTTATGGAGAATGGTGGTGGTCTTGATCAACATCTACCTATCCTATCATGCAACACGGAAACCTACCAATTCAGGAAGTTAGGAAAGCATGTAACTATGTATAGTAGCCAACATTAAGCCCAAGCATAGGTAATAACGATAATCATGAAACCACCCCCGCCCAAAAAAAGGAACAAAGAAAGAATACGCCGGAGGGTGGGGGAGCAAGAGAGGGTAAAAAACGCCATTCCCGCCCCTTGACGTGTCTATCATCAACCATGGGTTGATCGTGACGTTTTGGTCCGCTTCTCCGGACTCGATCCATGGCACAGACGTATTGCTGAGCGGATAAGGTAGATAAGTGTAGCTTCGTAACCATGGTTGACTTAACCCCTCTTTCCTTGCTAAAATGAAGAATAATAAATAAGCAATAAAAAAAACCGTTGCGTATGGTGTAACTAATTAACAATGTGAACTCGGTAGGACGTTGAACCAGGGGGGATGGAGATTAAACCACCACCCCCTCCCCACCACCGCTGCAAGTGACTCCAGTCGAACAACATGATGTTCTCGGCATCAACGATTTTTTTCAATATATTATATATTGTTTTCTATGAGAGCCTGTCCTGTGGGTATTTCTAAACGATGGCAGGATTAATCTATTTACTCAATAGTTGCTGTAACCACCGAGTATATGGGGAACTGGGAGGTGGGTCATTAAACGGTCACTGATCACTCCATACAACGGAGTACGGGTACTCCGTTGTAGATGGTGACATGTGACTGGATGTTGAATACAAGTTGGACCTACTACCCACCTGGGAAGCGAGCACAAGCAGCATAGTGGACCGACAGACAATATTAAACTCCTGTCCTGCAGCCCAGACATGCAGATTCGGCCCGAGAGTGGGTGGGACCAGATAAAAAGAAAAGCAGGGGAAATTAGAACAAAAAGCAAAAAGGAATAGAAAGAAAAAAGAAAAGAAAAAAAAAGGGGATTAAAATTAGGATGGGAATCAATAAAAGCTGCTTTATCCAGAGTTACGATGGCTTCTAATTTGTAGCACAGGGGCCTCAAAATGATCACTCTTCGAGCAATGAGAATTCGCACGGCATTTGGTAAAGTTTTTTGTTGCAGCGTGGGTGACGAGCAGGGAATATTAGAATATAAAAAAAAAAAAAAAAAAAAAAAAAAAAAAACCTGATAAGATAGAAGACAAACATTGAATTTCCTGATTTCAATATGACTTACGCAGAATATCCTCCTGTCGGAACATCAATCACGATTGTTTAGTACTGTGCATACTCCGCCCCGTTTGAAGGAAGAGAGAGAGAAATGAATAAAAGAATAAACAAATTAAAAAAACTAAAATAAAGGAAATAAAACCCATCCACAAAAACGCCAAACTCGATCTCCACTCGGAAACGGACGG